GACCAAAACATTCGGCGACTCAGCATGACGGAAAAGGTGAATCAATCGTTTGGCTTAATGGATATTGATAAAAATGTTTGTTAACAGTGTTTTTTGTCAATAGATGGACAGTCATTACAAGATATGGACATCTCTCCGGACAGGAGTACGCCACTCTCTGAGAATTCGTATGGAGCCAGGGATACAAATTCATCCGTACGGAATAATGCAGAGAATAATGCAGTTCCGCCTGTTGTTGTACTTGACAATTCAAATCAGCCGGTATGTTTCATGCGTTTCATATTCATCTATAAGTTTCACTATTTCCCATAACTAACGTTGGATATTGAATATTACAGAGTGGCTCGTTACTAGCAGCGGCGTTACCTCGGATTGTTGCCGTGCAGCCACAGGTGACGTTACCACCCGTCAATAACAATGGCGCGACGGTTTCGCCAATCTGTGACGGCACTCGCAGTGGTTCAGAGACACCACACCGTGATCCTGGGCCACCAACGCCGACACACTCAGAAAATATAGATCCTCATGCGCCACCACTACATCTAGATACAGCGTTACCTAGAAAAAGTAAGCTTATATTTTATTATTATTCTTTAAGGACAGTGAATTTAGCATAACAAGTTAACAACAAACTACTTATATCTGAAATTGTTTTAATTATGAATACTAATAAAGTAACATTTTTGTTTCAGTGGAATGTCTAGGAAGTTATTCACAAGTGGTAGGTGGCACACTTCATCACGCACCGCCGATGCTGACGCCGTCACTTGTTAATTACGTGCGCTCAGACTTAACGTCACATGTAACTGGCTGGCCTGCAGATATTCTAGAAAAACAGGTAAAGCAGAAAATACCGCTCTACCATAATCCGATGATGTTATGTCCTAACATCATTAATCGTAGATAAAATTAATGACTTTAGTTTACCATTTTGTACCAGGCTAACAAGTTCACTGAAGAAGCATATCAGCTGGGATGCTTGCAATGCACACGGGTATCTGCTGAGCTGAAGTGTTCTCGGTCGCTTGTCCGCCACACGGAAATAAGGGCCACGTTACAGGAACAAAAGTAAGTAAAGTATTTTAGCAACATTTATTTTAGAAGCTAACTTCTCGAATTAATTTCAATTTGAATATTCACCAGAACTGTTCCTATTGTTGTAGGATGTTCATGCATTTGCCATAAAAACTAAAAAAAAGAAGCAACTAGATGGACATCTATGTTATATTTTATTGTTGATGGGTGTTTTAGTAGAGTTTACTAACACTAAATTAATTTGTTGCATAGGGTCTCGTAAGTGTTTATATCACAATAAATTTTAAGAAATATCTAGTACAAATTCCTAATTGATGCCCACAGAATAATGTACCTGCGGCAGCAGATCTCACGGCTAGAGGAGCTCAAGTCGCAGAATTCGTTTATGTCGGAGGACTAGGATTTGTGGCGGGGACGCCGCGCTCCCCCGCCGCTCTCCTCGCGCTGCCGCCTAATACGCGCGCTGCATTTCCCACCCTCCCGGGGGAACTTTCACATGTCAATGCTAAATATTGTTCATTCCGTTCACTTTCTATGTAATTTAGATCAAATTATTACTCTTGTGTTGTGTGATTTGATGTTAAACACACGTAAAATACGATCCACTAAAGCATAGTATATACCACAATAACAATTGGTGGAAATATTGTTCATTCCGTTCACTTTCTAAGTAATTTAGATCAAGTAATTACTCTCTTGTATTGTGTGATTTGTTATCAAACACATAAATACTAAAATCCACTAAAACATAGTATAAAAATTTAAACAATTCATATTTGTAAACTGATGAGGGGGTGAATTTAAAGGCAATTTTGAATCTTTCGGAGCCATAGCCAACATTCACTCTGTTAACTTACTAATAATGAAAGTGTCTCTTTGTTGTAGTATATGCAGTTGTCATTGTCAGTGGTTGTTTGCAAAAGTTTCCAAGGTCGTATGTATACCCGTGTAGCCTCCTCCAGGAGTATGTGGTTCAGCAGTAGTTTTCATTTTATCCCCTCCGCCTGGCTGGTAAAACTACATGTACACGTGTTAGCTATCAAATTACTCAATTCTAATGAGTTATTTATTTGCACTACAAGTATAAATGAAAGCAATGACGTGAGAATCGCCAGGATTTTTCAATTTGAATTTAACGTATTTTAAATAATTAAATGTGGTTCAAAATTTCGGCTTCAACTTGATTTACATGTGGATTAATCAATATAATTATGTAATTGTAATACAAACGGAAGTATGTTTTGATGAAACTGTTGTTTATGTAGATAGGTTAAGTAGGTATGACTGGACATACGGCGCAGCGCGCGTCGAGAAGCTGAGATCATAGTTATATTTCTTTCTTCCCATAAATTTAATAATAGAGATGCGGACCAGGCAAAAAGCTATTTTGTCTTATTTGTTTTATCTGTCTGATTATCACGTCCTAAAACAATGTCTTTTAGAAAAATAATTAAGTTTGATTTTTTTACTATTGTTACTAAGTATTTGTTTTAAAAACACGACATCCATTATTTTAAAATTTTACTAAAATATGACTTATTTTTTTCTTTATGACGAAAATATGTGTAATTTGTCCGCTTCCCTATTACAAAATTAAATCATTTAAGAACCTTTGATCTTAAAGTTTGCTTTCAGTAACCAAAATCTTGATACAAATAAAAGTAGAATATTATTATTGTATTATCCGTTGATTCAATCTTAGATTTAATGATTATTTGTCAATGTAAGGGTACTACAGACTTTTGTAATGTGTTTACTGTAAATTAAATTATTAATTAATGTATTTGGTAGAGAATGATTTCAATAGTTCATACGCATCATCTTAACAAAAGTTGCGATTATTAGTCGCCTTCACAAACGATTCGGTCTTATTCTCATATGTCTGCCGCAGACAAGGTAACTTGTTTCTGCTGTTTAGTTATGGCCGACAACTCTTTCAAGAACCAAGTATTTTTAGCAATGAATTTAAAGGAATTCGAGCAGTAATGTTAATTGACTTAAAATCTATAAAGCTTAAGAATTTAGAGAAATTAAAATTTCCAAGCTTTAGATTTCAAGTACACACACAGTGAAGTGAGGGGACTAACATTCACTACATGAGTAAAATAGTGAATCATTATTTAGGTAAACAACTCCGGTCTAGGTCTTTCTAATTTTTCTAATCAAATAGGGCTATTATATTGTTTGAACTGCTGAAATTACACACCGATACATAATATAATATAATAAATAAATCAAAGGAAATACTACTGTGATATTCATTATTTCACACGTAATAATAGTGGATTTAAATAAAATATACATTAATGTATAAAAGGCCTGTGTGGAGCTGTAATTAGGAGCACGCTGTTTATAAATCACTTATTTATATTTTTAGGGCTTCTGAAATCAGGTCTCGGATAAATTTTAAATGAAACCCGATGCGTCGTTCTGCTGTCGTCGTCTTTTAACTGTATTTTAGTGTTAACTAGGGACCTGTCAAATCGCCCGCCGTAAACTTAGGATAGAAAATAATATTTGAAGTAAATATATTGTGCGACTAATATTGTCGCCTCCACGCAGGACTTTCCTAGAAAATGTTTCTTTTCGCATTCTGATAGAGCCTGCGCAGTCAGTCGACTGTTTGCTCCGTACTTCTGTTGTCGAGATGGTCGGCATGTCTATGCAGGCCCTTATTACATTGTGACCTTTTTTCACATAGAAATTAAACCGGATTAAATAAATCAGTTTCTGATAATCCTGTGTATTCTTTACTTAACTTCCAACTACACAAAACAAAACGTCCTATCAATGTGTAGATGTAGGTACACTAAATTCTGTTTACTGTCTGTTTAGCTAATAAGGTTTTCCAACATACCTATTTAACTTCCACTTTATTTGCTGCCGATAATTTAGTAATATCGCAGGGTGACAGAAATGAAAAACCTCATTTCGTCCGCTTGTTATTGTCTTGTTTAAATTAAATCTTAGATCCTGTTAGCACCGCAAAATCACAATTTACTAAATGATAGGAAATTAAAATGTTTTAAATTAAAGACGTTTTTCAAACAATAGGGTAAATAATAATCTTATTTAAAATAATTAAAATGTTAAAATAATAAAGTTTGTAGCATATTTTGCTGTTTAATTAACTTAAATACTTTGTTTATTTATGTAATATGTTGTATAAAATAACTATACTCCCTCTTATTTTCACTCATACATCAAGTTATTATTAGAGATAACAAACGACAAATGAATAAATAAATAAAGGTATAATAATTAATTACAGAAATCCCCGCGGTCACGATGTAATGAATGCTAGTTTTTGAGCTCAATTACCTACCTACCGAATCGACCCGCACATGGATCTTTTGAAAACAAACTTATAAAATTAGGCATTACCCCACTCATGTATTGAAAATAAATACTCCCCGATCTTCATCTGATTGTGGAAGCTGCTTACTAAGATTGTGAACAGTTTTTAGTCAGTGATTTGCGTGAGTAGAGCTGTGCCACGTATAATCCAGTAGCTTTGTGGTTGGTTTGAAGGCAGCAATACAGGCAGAACAAAGTTGGTACTATGTCCCGTGGTGGATAATACACCTGCTCGCTCAGACGTCTTGTAAAGTGGTGCTTCATATCGAGGGTCAGGCTTTGGTAGTGTAAGAACTGGCTTGAACCATACCACTGGCATCGAAGGATTCATTTGACCTAGTTAACAGATTAATACAATTTTTTATCGATTCACATAAATAAAACTAATGAATTGGCAATAAGTACAAATATTTTAAATGCAATTATAATAGATAAAATATTTTAGTTATAAAAAAAAGAGCCGATGCGCAACAGGTCAGTCGATCAGGATCGTGTGACCATCGCCGCCCACAGCACAAGAAAAGTTACAAGTGCGTTGCCGGCACGGGACAAAAGTTTCGTTCGTCATTGCCGCCCTTAGGAGGTGGCCTAAAGCTTATAGTCTAGTGTCACTTACCAGGATATGCATCAACTAAACGACTTTTGTCCATGTCCCAGCGCCCAGCGTCAATAAACAACCCGTGTATGTTCACACCATCTTCAGGCAGCGCCAAGGATTGGTACACATTGGGCCCCTCGTCGCCCTGAAAGATACAATTTAAAAAAGCAAATGATGTGACAGGTTGCAGAAAGCCACTAGCAGTTTCATTTCCAAACTTTCAGTTCTTGTGTGAACCAACGAGATGAACCTAGCTACTTGCGCCTTTTCTCTGCCCTTCGATCACTACCTCAATGAAAGTTAATCGGCAGTGTTGCACAACTGCATCTATTAAATGTGATAGGTAGGTACTTGCCGACGTACCATGAGGGCTACTAGTGAGTACTTTTAAATCGAGTTTACTATGCGTTGGGCATTACCTACACGAATGTTTAAGTGTTGTGATTGTAATACATATGATTACGTAATTATTGTTAAATGGACGAACCTTTTTCCTTTTATTTTGTTTGAAAATATCATCTTGTGACAAGAAAATCGGCAATGGAAAGAAGTCAAACATGAGCGCGTCAATAGGCACACGGAATCGTCTGGCGTATGACTGTAGTGACCCTGTGAGTAAACCTTGTGGGAAAAATAGCCCCGATACCCAACTGCTTGGCTGAGCGCCGTCTATCAACCATTTCTGTTAGAAAAAAATACATTGACGTTAGCAAAGAACCGCTAATTTTGTTTTTGTTATTAAACGTGCCGTAATTCTCTATCTATTTAAGTAATAGCGGGTTTACTTTTTACCAACCTCTATGAAGTCAACTCTTAAAGTAAGGTCATGTATCCAGCTGCCAAGAGTTTTTAAGGAATTGTAGCCCTTTTTATGCCACATCTGGGGGACTTTGTTGTTCATAAAAGAGTTAAAAACTTCTTCAAACTCTTCGGACATTACCACAATACCCTAAAAATCAGAACCGAATGGTGTAGGTGCAGCATTGATTATCTTTGGAACATGTACCTAAACAGAAAACAAACTCAACAGTAGGAGGGTAAATAATAAGTTCCATAAAATATATTTTCTCAGTAAGGCTTTTCCCCATGCCTGAAGCAATACAAAAACGTAACACTTTTTATTAATATAAGTAGCATAAAATGATGAGAAAAACTTACTTTAATTGCTTTCTGAAGTTCATTCAGTGAACGATGTATTAAATTAAGCAGTGTGTTGAACCTGTCTGTTTCGTGTATAAGCACAGTCGTGAGAGAATGTAGTTGCCCCATGTCATCAGGTATCATAAGGTCTGGATTAATGAGCGATTTATCGATGGATTTAGATACTTGGGATCGGGTTTGATCACAAATTCGCCAGACAATCTGATCAGGTGTATCTCCGCCACCAGAACCGACGGCACGAGGCTGTACATCTACTATTGTTTGTATTAAAGTGTGAGATTCCTTGTTCTGTAAAATAAGAAAGCAACCATATAACGCAACAATTAATTTAGCACTAATACAGAATTCAGCGCCTCAACGTAATCCATCTGTCATTTCTTCTGATATTGGTATTGATGTTAAATTTACACCCGGTTTCTGAAAGGCTTGTCAACGCTAAAATTAACTAATCTCCTGTTAAATCTCTTGTCAAGTCATCTGATTGGTTGTTGATAATTCAGTCAACCAATCAGATGACTTGACAAAAGATTAAATTGATTTTAACATTGATCGGCCTTTTGGAAACCGGGGGTAAGTGTGTAGAAAAGAATTTGCGCTAAGTACCTATTAAGGCGTTGTATCTACTTGTCCATGCCAATTTCAATTTAAAAAACCATACAGAAAACGATACATTATTTGAGACAATACCTCAAATGCTATATTCGCGTTTTCGTGCATTCCGAATACTTCGGGGTTCTCGACATTTGGTAACGATTCTACGTAATCTCTATATGTTTCTAGTTTATCCGATCTTGGACAATAGTATCTGCCAGATTCTGAGTACACATATCCAACTTCAAGGGTTTGCGGTGAGAAGAATAGTTTTAAAATTGTTGTCAGGCAGCGTTGATCCCACATGTCTGTTACACGGCCTCCGTATGTTATTAGACCTATAGCAAAAATATGAAGGTGGTAGATAGGTACAGTCAGCTCCAAAAGTCGATGAACAGAATCAACTTTCCAAAACACCTGTTCACAATAAAATGCCATAAGTTATAGTCACAACTAGGAAACAAAATAGCCTGTACATCAGAAATTTACAAAAGTCGTTATACACGACTAATTCAAAAGTATCTGTGCACTATAGTATTCCTAAAGTCGCTGTACACCATCAATCCAAATGTCGCTGAACATCATTGTATCAAAAGTCAGTAAACAGCAGAAAAGTCAAAATTAGGTTAACAAAGTATATTTTTAATGTTGCCCTGTGTTAATATAATTTTGACGCTTATGTTGTTCAGCTCATTTTGGGACAGTGCTCACTAGACCTTAGTAATGTATTTTAACACGTAAGTATCCATTTCAATACTTATTTACACATCAATTATATTCTTAACCGACTTCAAAAAAGGAGTAAGTGCTCAATTCGATGCGTATTTTTTTTTATGTATGTACACATCGATTACTCGAAGACGACTGGACCGATTAACAAATTTTTTTTTTATTTGATAGGGTTTACCTGCCATTTGGTCCATTGTCATGAGGTCAGAATCTGATGATGGAATTCTGGAGAAATCGAGGGGAACTTTCAATTATTGCAGGGGCGAGTTGTTCTTTTGTATGATGTTTAAGTAGGTCTTTTACAACACTATAACTTGACGAAGGTCGAAGTCGACCTGATGTTGGAGCTGGAAGACAGTCGAGGGATCTCCTTGACTATTTGGAGTAGTTGCCTTGTGTTTGAGCTTGAATGATTCGTATTGGCACTTTGCACCAGGCTTGCTCGTAACTGTCATTAAGGGTCTGATGATGAGAACGAAGGACAGGGAACTCCTGAACGGATTATAGTAACTACTTCGTGTTTGAACTTAATTCATATTGTCAGTAATCATACTAATATATAATATGAATTAACATAAACATCACTCTAACAATCTACGAAGTAGACAACTTTGTACACAGAAAATTTATTTTTTTGTTAGTGTTTACTTTTTGAAGTCGTTTGTTTTTTTTCATTTAGGTAAATAGAAAATAATAATTATAACTATTTTTATAATCTCGCAGTAGGTGCCAAGTAAATGCTACATACCAAACAACAACAGTATTAGAAACGTGTATTGATCGGTACCTAGCAATCATCATTGTTTTACTTGGTACCTGACACTTAATAGGCACCGATTTCGAGATTATAAAAATAGTTATTAATATTATTTTCTATTTACCTAAATGAAAACATGTATTACTTTGTACACAGAATATGCATTTTTTTGTTAAAAATTATTTTATTTCACCATTTTAAGTGATATGCAGAGCAAGCAAGGATAATGCGTTTCGAATGAGAAGACGACGGCTACTTGAGACCGAAAATCACGGTAATAGTAGTAGTCCTTAGTGTTCAGTTCTGTAAATTGTTGAGGAATGCCCTCGACTGTCAATGGTCTCCATAATTATGTATACTGTAGACCTTCAACATAGTTACATAATCTATATAGATTTATAGATTATGTAACTATGTTTAGGTGCAAAGTGCTCACCAATACGAATCATTCCAGCCCAAACACAAAATAATTACTCCAAATAGTCAAAGAGATCCCTCTACGGTCTTCCGGCTCCATCATCAGATTTACTGCATAACTTCATTGTAACTCATGCAGGTGTGAAGTTTTTATTGATATAAATGAATTAATTCCAAACACGAGGTAGTTACTGGAAACCGTTGGCGTTCCCTGAGCTGTCCTTCGTTGTCATCATCAGGCCCCTAATGACAGTCATTACCAGTCTTGGTGCAAAGTGCTCACCAAGAAGAATTATTCAAGCCCTAACACAAGGCAATTACTCCAAATAGTCAAAGAAATCCCTCGACTGTCTTTCGGTTTCATCATCATCAGGTCGAGTTCAACCATCGGCAAGTTGACGTAAATACCTGCTGACGTAAATAACTTCAGAAAATAAACGAATCATGCCGACTGTCCCTATAAAATTTTAAATTTCCACTCGATTTTTCTGGGTTTCCATCATCAGATCTTGACCTGGTGAACATGGGACAACCTGGAAATCATACCCTACTGAACAAAAAAAAAAAAAAATTAAATCGGTCCAGGAGCCTAAAGTAATCGGTTAACATCAAAAAAAAAAATCCCGACGAATTGAGAACCTCCACCTTTTTTTAAAAAAAATTTAAATAAGTATTGAAAAAGATACTAACGTGTTAATATACATTATTAAGTTACACTGTCCCAAAAGTAGCTGAACAACATAAGCGTCAAAATTATATTAACACAGTGCAACATTAAAAATATACTTTGTTAACCTAATTTTGACTTTTCTGCTGTTTACTGACTTTTGATACAATGATGTTCAGCGACATTCGGATTGATGGTGTACAGCGACTTTAGGAATACTATAGTGCACAGATACTTTTGAATTAGTCGTGTTTAACGACTTTTGTAAATTTCTGATGTACAGGCTATTTTGTTTCCTAGTTGCGACTATAACTTATGGCATTTTATTGTGAACAGGTGTTTTGGAAAGTTGATTCTGTTCATCGACTTTTGGAGCTGACTGTACGTAAGTTTTGTAGTAAAAGAGGAGATAATCTTTATTATTACTTGTTATATATTCCAAAGCGTCCCAAGGTATGGTTCCGTCCTCACAGAACATTTGCAAGTTCATCAAGGCGCACTCACGATCGCTGTTATTAAATTCATAAGTAATGTTCCAACCCAACGGACCGAACTTTTTGCGCTCTTGAATGATTGCGTGGAACATACAAACACCAAATAGCATTGTACGCCAGTCTTGGCCCAATACTGTAAAATAGAAAAAAATAAAGTTTCTCTTCTTAATACAGACAAAAATTCACATGACTGGATAAAAATTATCCTGAAACTGAATAAACTAATAAAGTTTTGAACAAGGTTGGTTGGTTGTTAAAGAGGATGTGCAAAAGGCGCTAAGAGCACAATAGTAATGATCATAGGTACACCAAACAAATTATGAGTCCTTGAAGATACAAGGTATATTAATTTTTATTAGGTAAGCGTTGATTAAATCGTACCATGCTGTTCAAAGAAATCTTCTTCCATTTCAATAAGAGCTCTTTTCACATTTGCTTTTAAACCCTTGGGTGGCTCATTTGTGACTTTAACAGAATTTTGTAAGACAGACACTGGAAATTTGGGCGTGGGCATAGAGCTCAAAAATAATCGGAATTCGGAATGTGGCATGCCAGATTCACTAGTCAAGTTAGCCACTATTACTTCTAGGCTAAGCATCCATGAAGCTGCTAAGTGGCAATTCTGTAAAATAAATTATCATGGACAGTGATAGATATCAGAATATAAATAGGTAGTTACTACTTAAATAAAATTTTGAAAGCCTTTTGTAGGCACTTCATATTTAGGTAATTACTTGTAAGAAAATCCAATCTCCTTTGGGTTTCGCGGCACTTATCATCTTTTCGGCGACTGGTCCTTGCCCTTGGCCGAGTGAGATTGAATGTACACGTTCACGCATTCCCATTTCCGTGGCAAACTTATGAAAGGCCCCGAAAGGATCAGAGCCTGTGCTTAATACGAAGACTAAAGGGATAGTCGCAGTTGTGTCAGCGTATCTAGAAAAATAATTATTTTATTGTGACCAGCATTGGTGCCTAAATGCATCCTGCGTTACCACTTGCTAACGTTATATATGAATAATAAAGGAATATATGAATAATAAAGGGATTCATAAATCTAGATTGTAGTATGTAGATACTAGATATACATACTACATACAGTTACCAAACATAATTGACTACAATACCTTTTTCTATACTAATATTATAAAGAGGTAAAGTTTGTAAGTTTGCATGTAGGTGGTAATCTTTGGAACCACTGGTCGGATTGCTGCAGAATTCTTTTACTGATAGATAGCTACAATGTTCCTGAGTGCTATACTTAGGCTATAAAACATTGCGTTCTTAATGGAGCTGAGCAGCGAGTGAAATGGCGCGGGAGTAACTAGTTATATATAACTTAGAAAGCACATCACGTTACATCTAATTATGTTGCTGATTCTCCTACTTTTCTATACTATAATTATATATATTATATAATTATATATAAATTATATAATTATATATATAATTTTCTATACTATACTTTATGAAATACGATAATTAATGATTATTATATCCATTGAATTATTTTTTTTGCATTGATAGCCTGAAACACAGGTTTAAATAAACCTAGTTCGGGTAGTCCCTAATATTTAGACTAAGAACGTTATTTCCTCACATATGTATTGTATTAGCTAGGCTATTAACTATTACGATTGTTATTATTAAGACTTTTTATTACTATAAAATCTGAGCCATCTGTAATTTTAAATGTGTTCAATGTTTTTTAATAAAAATTTATTTTAAATTTATTTATTTATTTATTTATTTATAATCACTGAGACAGATAAATAGATTTACATAATCTAGGTAGATACACAATAGGTACCTAGTAGGTATGCTATGTGCGATATAGGCACGTTTAAGTGTGGGAGAGCTATGATTCGGCACGCATAGACAGGCTCGACCGGAGTGATACGACGTCCTCACAGAAATTGGTTTGAGGAGACACTTACCTACCATACATAATATAATAATTTTTTGTGAAGCTTTCAGTAAGAGGCCAACTTCTACTCTTTCTACGCCTGGAAATTTTAATCTCCATTTTCCTTCTTGCAACATCTTTCCGTGATATTATTATGTTTTCTTCGCAAAAGGACACTGCTTATCACAACTTTCCATTTCGGACCATTTTAGATTACAGAACGACAGATGAGAACGATTCTTTTCCCGATCTAGGCCCGCCACTGATAAAATAAGCGACCGTGTTTGCTGCTTTTATCGGTACAGGTAGTGGGCACACATCTCGTGCAATCCAGAGCGGTGCGCCCCTTTGTGGTTTTCGTAAAATTGCTCCAACTTGGCGGCTACTAGCCGAAAATATTCACTACAGCTCTTTTTTATGGAATAGATTTGCAAACGAGCCATCAGCTTACCTGATGGTAAGCAATCGGCGCAGCATAATACTGAACTGGAGTAACTCCAAGTGCGTTGCTGGTATTATGAGAGGCCTTAGTATCAATTTGGTCAAGCCGTGCCATTCGCGCCAAGTATGTACAACACTTAAAGCCGGCATAAAATATAAATTTAAGAATATTAAAAATATTCTCCTGTAAAATGAGTGAGTGACTACAAGTTCAAGCAAATTATATTTCTAGTTACTATTTCGTTTTTATTGTTATGACGCATCATTTATACATTTAAAATAATCAAAGCGACAAACTAAGCAAAACGACAAAACGTTTTGTTTTGCAAGACTGGTAGAATATTAGACATTTTATGTTGGCAACATTCTAATGTCACTGTGACAGTTTCATAATTGCCATATAAATGTCATATTTAAAGTTGTCAAAACATGACAATTCGACACTAAGCCAAAACAGGCAACAGCATTTTACCATCACTACTCAGTTTAGGTCAGTGCGTTGATGAGGGTCGAACGAGTTCTACCTTCACTTGTGGATTTGTTAAATTATGTTACAGTAATAATATTGTATTGTAGCTTCAGTTTCATTGGTGTACCGTGAACTTGATTTCTAAGTTGTGCTTTCGTTACCATTTTTATTGTTTACGAGTAGTAAACTTTCTGAAAACTTTTTCTGAGTTCTATTTGTTTAGAACTATTTGCCTTGTACGGAAGTTATGTGAATTGGAATATACCCGCAACTCAGCTACAATAATGGCATCAGCAGTTGATTCTATTATAACAAGCACGAAAGTAACATTAAACAATGGAACACAAATGCCTGTGGTGGGGCGTAAGTTTTATTTTACATTATTATAAAAAACATTTTATGCCTAGTTGTTATTTTCATTTAAAACAGGCTGTATGCGAATGTAAATATAGTCCTTGCATTGCTCCTGTTTCATGCGAACTTTTATCTTTGAACTATGTGTCCACCAGTGTAAATTAATAGACTCTATTGTTACAGTGGGAACCTATCGCATCCGTGACCCAGAAGTTATCATGACTGTTGTTGATCAAGCCCTATCAGCTGGATATCGGATGTTTGGTAAGGTTTTTTTAAAGCAATAAAATATTCAAAATTAGAATATTTTTATATTTATCAGTAATTTAGATCAAAAATATAATCCTAATGGTTTTTGGTGTTAATTAGATACTGCGGCAGTATATCGCAATGAAACCAGTCTAAGAGAAGCTTTTAAGACTTTACTTCCTAAACACGATCTTGAGAGGGATGATATCTTTATCACCACAAAGCTATGTAAGTCTAAGCATTCAGTTTAATTTTGAAGAATCTGTTGTGCCAGTTTCTCTTTGTTTTTAATTAAATTAGTTGATTGTTTATAAATTTTAACAAAAATTACAGCTCCAGCTGAACATGGTGGGCCTGATGTTATTTCAAAAGCATACAAACAATCGGTTGAAAATTTGGGATTAGATTTTGCAGATTTATACTTAATACATTTTCCTGGGACACAAAAATTAGCTGTGACTGATAAAAGGAATGCTGAATTACGCCTAACTACTTGGGCCAGCATGGTTGAGCTCTATGATAATGGTCTTGTTAATGCTATTGGTGTTTCCAACTTTACTAAATACCATTTGAAACTGCTAATGGAAAGGAATCATGGTGTCGTTCCAGCTGTAAACCAGGTATGAATAAAACAACAATTAGATATAAAATGTCTGTCATATAAAGTATTAACCCTAATTTAACTTTTATTTTTTGCAAAGGTGGAGTGGCACCCCTTCTACTACCAAATGGAGCTCCTTGATTACTGCAAAGCCAATGATATTGTTTTACAAGCATATTGTTCCCTTGGAGGAAAATCACTCAAAAATGATGATTTGCTATCTCATCCAGAGGTCACAGATATTGCTCGAAAACTGGAGGTCACTAATGCTCAACTTTTGTTAAAGTGGGCTCTGCAGCAAGATGTTGCAGTAATACCAAAATCCACCAATCCCTTGCATATCAAGCAAAATATATCTCTGAACTTTGAAATACCTCCAGAAGACATGCACACTCTGAGTAACCTTTCAACGGATACTACTGTGAAATATGCATGGGACCCCAGTATAATTGTCTGAAAAAAGCGATCAAAAGGCACCTCGACCAAATCTAAGGCAGGTGCCAGGCGCAACTAAGTTGAGACTTCTGAACAAAACAAAACCTTCTTTTTTGATAAATTATGGAACTAAGTTTACTAAGGTCAGTTACAAAATTGTGGAAACCCTGGTTATCTAAATTGATTATTTCATTGAAATGAACAGAGATTTAGGCTACATGCGCAGTTTTTTCAGAACAACTAGTTGTGTATGAATTATAGTAAAGTGGACTATATAAACTATATTTAGTGTTCATTGTTTGAGTTGCAATTTTAAGACAAATCAGGTTTGTGGGCAAAATTTAAGTCTTATGTGTTGTATAACTACCGATTATGTTCCGTTTATCTAAGTATTCGCTTTAAATGTTACTATTGTCATATATATTCTTTCGTATTACATAGTTCGTTGTAGTTACGATTTAAACATTATTAACGTTTAATCTTAAGAATAAAGTTATATTGAAGACAAAACTGCATCTTAAAATGCAGGCAGGGCTAGGTAAGAAAACTATGGGTGCATTTTTTATCTAATATAAGATGATATTTATGAAAGAAGTGAAGTGGTCTTCAATATGACATGTGTTGTTGTTTTTGTTAATAGGTAAGATAAGCTACATTGACTCACTAAACTATACTTTTTCATTGATAAAATGTGATTTGATATTAACAAAAAAATAATAAATTAGACGAAAATCACGACTTAAAATTAGAAAAATAAACGTATCAATAACTGCATATGATAATTTTGTTGGAGTCCAAATCACGTACATACCTATTTCTCGAAGACAAATATATTTGTGAGATATATTAACTAGTTTTATAAACGATATTATATTCAGTAAGTAGGTAGGTACTGTAGTGAAATAGTTGTAAAATAAAACAATATAGAACTTTTTCCCACTGACGACCTAAAAACGTCAGTTTCCTTGTTTGAATTGCTTGTTATCAGAATCTTTAAATTATTCATTCATATTTTGAGTTTCATGATTAACAACAGGGTTGCAGAAAACGACGACAAATCTTTACCACTGTCGATGACAAAATGCTTCTTGATTTTGATTTGAAGTTTATAGGATTAAATTTATTAAAAATGACAACTTACTGAAGTGAACGAACGGGGAATAGCTCTACTTGTTTCAAGCACAACGGGGCTCTTGAGCGGCGTATGCGTCGCGTCAACGTGAGACGTGAAAGTCCCGTAGTGACTTTTCTCAACTAATTCACACGAGTAAGTAGTTATTTTCGATAACTTGTTAGGATTAGTTTATATGGGTGTTATTAGGTAAGATAATTTCGATTTGATTAAAATAAATGTCCATTAATTGTACGTGATTGCTGCATAGCATAGATAATTTTCTCTGTTGTGAAATCTTTAAATATTTACACTTGTATGTTTTTTTGACATTTAATATATTTCTGTTAATCATTACATGCCGTAGATTTTAATTGATGGTTTCTAATGTGGTTTAAATAAGTAGGTAGCATTTCGTTAAGACTGGGTGTGTACAAATTGGCAGATATGAGGGTACCAATAAGGTTAATGTTTTGTCGGCATAGTGCTCAGAGCTTGCTCTTAATATGTTGCTGGTTTTCAAGATCGTTCTCTTCTTTCGCTCTATGTAAAATATCTGATGCATACAGCCAAAGTGAAAGTACTTGAAGAAAAAAAAACACATTTCGGTTGCAACTCGGTTTTTATGACAATCCATATCGACCAAATCAAATTTCTAAATTTGAATATTAATGAGAAATTTTGTCATTTAATCAAACGAATAGTCTGAGGTCAATTTGAACCGTTAGCCAACTAGGAGTTAGTCCTCATCTAATAAATACTGATACAGCAGATACCTACTGTCAAAGTTAGCTTTTTCAATTTCTAAGATATCCATTGTTCAGCACAATCACTTTGGCTGGGATTTGTACCTATGTAAAAGACACGAAAAGTGTGGACCACTATGAAAATATGAGCTTACAAAACCTCTACGGACTGATCTATACTTAATCTTCTTGCGATCGATGTTACAATTTATTTAATCAACTGGATGCACTTTGTGTATAGTGTAAGGCACAAATATCTGCACATGCGATCGTATGTATTGTTGTTGAGTTATGCTTTGCGTTGAATGCGACAGGTTATGGATGTACCTAATTAAATGCTTTTTTCGTCTACGGTTAACCTCTAGTTAGACGCTATTTAAATAGATATATCTACATTTGACTAACACTTATCAAATCACGGTACGCGGACATTGAATAGAAAATTATTTACATAAACTGTATAAGTAAATACTCATTGTTATTATTTTTTCCTTTACTATTATAATATATATTGTACCTTAAGATGTTGTGATAATGTACCGTTACTGTTCAAAACAAAGCGGTGCTATCGAATATTATTGTTATAGATAGTACATATGCTACATACTTGAATGTATAGAACTATATGTATACTCACCAACTGTTATATTATGTTGATGCAAGAAACACGTATTAAAATAAATAAATGTCTCAATGTACAAACCTTTGTTTTCTCTACTCTTACTTTTAGAAGAATAAAATTCATACGCACAGGGTGTTTAGTTGAACCGTAGGACTTTCTATGAACACGGATCCCAGGCTGGAAGCTACATATTCGCTAATCGCGTAAACCAGCTTTTCTTCTTTAAGACACTTCATTAACATAAGTTTCTCAAATGATGTCAGCCTAGTGTCCCAGTTTTCTTTTGGTGGTACATCATTAGTCTTGTCAACATGAATGTCCTAAAATTTCATATTAATAAAAATTGAGCTGGACAGATTGCTACCCTAATGACCCGAATACAATTTGCATCGCGCAGGGCAGATGATGATCAATTATATATTAATATCGAGCTCAACCGGCTGAAGAAAAAAATAAATTGTGTGCGTTTTTCGTGCGAGCCATTCGAAAAAGAAAGTCTTCGAAATTCGAATCCTAACAGTAACAGTGACGTATTTCAAGACTTGGGTGTTTTCGTTCTTTCTCTGACTGGTTAAAGGTTAAAACAAAGGAACCAGCGTTCATGGTCTTTCATGCTGGGAAAGGTCATCAGAAGAAGATGAACCTCGTCCTTCACTGTTTCTTTTAATTTATTAATTACCTAAGTGCAGTCTTGTTAGTATCTTTATTCGCGAGGCATTTTAATTGCTATAGGTAATGTTCGACTAAATATCGAATCAACCCATCCCTTTAAAATTACACGACACAGAAAACAAAAGTGTTAGGTAGAGCTTAACAAAATATGAGGCAGCCTTATACTTAGTATAGATCTTGCGATAGCTAACTGTCAGCGTTCAAAAGTACGTTACCAGTAGATACATAATTATAGCTAGCATTACCATAGTAATTACCAGTCCTCATCTTTGCGATTTTAGTAATACTTACCGTGGTGAAATTTCCGATTGAAATAGTAATTTTTCGTAGACAATCATTAACAATTCCTGCAAATCGAGGATCAGTTTCATTTAAGTGGTTGATGGCTAACCACATGAGTTCAGTCATTGCTTCGATTGGTGGCTTTTTGGGTGGTACCTGGGAATTTACAAAGAAATGACATTAGTAGGTAAAATTTAATACCAGTACTCAGAAATGATCTTCGTAATTCAATATTTTGAGCATATCAGTGAATTGGCGATGCTTATCCACATTATAACTAAACTGTCTTCTGGTTGTAACTCAGTATCAGAAAATCGGAAGTAGATTACTTAACATTAAAATAAGTATACTAAAAGGTACATCTAGTCTCACGATATTCGCGCTTAAGGGTAACTGTATTAAGCATTTTTAAATTTTTAAAGAAGTGCACTTTAATGATCGTCAAATATTTATCGTTATCCGCTGTAATTTGTTTGTAATAATGACTAATAATTACCACCCAGTGTGAAAATACTCATAATGTAATTAGAAAATCTTAGTAAAAGAGGTTATACAATTTTTGCTTACCACAACTGTGCCAGCTGCGCCACGTAAGATAAATTGCCACTGTTCTGGTGTGATAATCTCTGCATTCAAATATACAGCTACGTTTAGGAGGAAACTGAAAACCAGTTTGTGTCGTTCAAAAAGACCTCTGGAGACATTTCTGTACACAGACAGGGTTATATCGTCACGGAGAATTTGTAGCCGGGTTTCTAGAACGTTACATTTTTCGGCCTTTTCTATGACTTGATTAAATATCTGCAAAGAACAGCAATATAATAAATGTTCTGTTGATATTTAAGTACATATATTGGTATCTGTGAGACTGTCTTCTATATACATTTTTCCTTTTTTGCCTTTGATCACTGATGTATATCCATAAAGCTGGTAACGGAATCTCTCACGTGTTACCCACCAGATTTGTTACTATGGGTAACTTAACAGGTTATAATTTTATAAACTCGACGTTAACGTTGCCCATACGTGACAACGTTGACGGCAACGCTAGTAAAACGCTTAATGGGATAGCGGCCTTAAAGTATATGTTAATAATATTTATAATAAGGTTTACAGGAAATAACTTTCATTCAATGAATAGCTTTTAATTAAAGGAGGCCTTGACTTTACGTATCTCAAATACAATTTCAACGACACATTGCGATTATCATAATTTTTTTTTGTGAGGGGAAAATCTTTAGATCCTTTCTCCCGCCCAGGGTGGGGCGAGAGAGTGTGTTAGACTCTTACTGACTAAAGACCTCGTGTTCCTTCTCCTGCTCTAGGCCAAGGCCGCAATGCGTCTTTGCGCTTACCCGGCAACCGCGGGTGAAATTGTCACACATAACATTAAGAGTTGAGAATACAGTTAAAAATACTTGCCTGGTTAAAATACTTCAATGAGAATTGGTACATGGGATCGATATCTGCTAACTGTGCTACAGCGAAATATAAGACGGCTCCTCGCGTCGCCACGGTTCTATACTTTTCGCGCGCCGCCGATATGCTTAACTCCGTAGCTTCAGTTTCTTGGAGACGAGCATTAATTATTTCAGAAGTTTCCTAAAAATATTAATTCCTTTTATATTTGCGAACAATCGAGCTTTGTATAGTATGAAAGTTGCGTCACAGAGCGAATTACGATGTCTTTGTTTGGGAATTACTCCCTCCAGAGCTCAGCGTGTGGGTTCAATGGTTACCTAATTTCAGATGGTAGATATCTAAACAGGACAAACTTCATCACTTCTCTTTGCACACCTACATATGTATGTTGATAATGGCAGGTACCTATTAGGACTGAAATACTGAACTTTGTGCGTGTTACTCAAAAGATAGGAAGTGTTTCGATTTGTAGATCGAATTGTTTCATTTTCAAGGATTGGAATTGTAACCAGTTTCTTTTATTGCCTTCCACTAGCAATGTGGTGGATTTATCTTAAACGATAGAATACATTCACCCCACCGGTGCTCCTACCTCATAATGTAGGAGAATGGAGAACAAATATTCAATTAATGTTATTTGTGTTTCCACCGGTCTATAAAGTAATGTACTTAACACAATAACCTAGCTACTACTACCTACGCAAAACAGTACAATAGAAATGTATCAATAAGTAGCGTCAGAATGGGATGGCTTGGAAAACATGTCACGGTCCTCCATTTTGTGCAGCCCTGACCTTGCATGTAGAGTAAAGTTACACTGAGGGAAACATCCTTCAACTATTTATTATTACATTTAATTCTGAAAGAAATAAGATCAGAAGCAAAATGTAAACACGTTTATGAAACAAACCGTAATTTTGAGCTTGCACCAAAATTTTGAGTCGGGATTAAAACATAAAAATAATTATAATGATCTTACTTTACTCTCGTTAAGTGTTTCAATCAGTTCTTCGTCATCCAGAATATTTCCAGTAGAAGCGTAAAGCAATCGCAGGATCTTGTCTTCAATCTCAAGGAGCGTTGCCTTATCAGCATTGATACGCACAATTAGTTCCGATCTTGAAATTTCAAGGTCTGGACGCTCTAGTCTCACTACATCACTAGCAAAAGTAAATAGGAACATTCAATACAAAATTTCATTATACATAAAATAAGTAAGCTGTTAGGGTATTCTAAGCTACCTAGCTACAGTAAGTGCAAACTTGCTACTATTGTACAATAGAAAAATTATATTTGTAAGCTTTGATAAACCAAGAAAATGTCTACTAACGCCAGTAATTGATCTTCTAGACCGGACAACGTGACTGTAAAGTTGACGAGGGTCACTTGAATACAAATTTCCGGCAAGTAGTGTGGGTTGGCCAGCTTCGTGGTGAGGTACAGACGGAAATTCGTATCATATTCTATGTCACTGTCACCCAAATGAATAAGCAGCCTGCCAGCCTGTTGAATAATTGTATGCAGATTATTATTTTATTTTAAAACTAGCTACTCCCGCACGGTTTCACACGCTGCTCGGCTCCATTTGATTTTAGCGTGATGTTTTATAGCACTCGGGTAAATTGTAGCTATCAATGGGTGAAAGAATTTTAGCAATCCGACCAGTGGTTCCAAAGATTACCCCCTACATACAAGCTTACAAACTTACAAATTTTACTTCTTTATAATATTAGTATAAAGTACAGATTGGAACAATAATATTCAACGTCTGACAAATAAAAACAAGAATAAATTGGAGCACTTCAAAAGTAATTGGAATAAATAATTATTACGTACTAGCTGACCTGGCGAAATTTGGACTGGATTGATTTATTGTAATGTCATTTTTTCCTTATATTCTCACGTTTAAAATCTTTCCTCGACATTCACGAATATTTTGAAGACGATTCGTTATTATATACGATTCATCATCATTATCAGCATTAGCCGGAAGTCGTCCACTACTAGACAAAGGAATCCCCCTTATTTCCCCACGTCGAATGACAAGTCACCACTAGCATCCATTGACTGGCCGCGACTCTGTCGAGGTCCACCTAGGAAGAGGTCTGTCCACGCTATGTCTTGCGGTCCGTGGTTGCCATTCAAGTACTTTAATAACCCATCCGTCGTCGAGCGATGTGGCCTGTACATTGCCACTTCAGCTTGCAGTTTCGAAGAGCTATGTCAGTTTTATACGGTTTTTTTATTTAGGTATTTAAGTTACCTGTAAGAAAGTTTGCTTCAGCAGTACAGGTGCTAAGGTAGCATCAAGCGACTCCCCGAGATCCTCAATAAGCATTGGCCAACCCAGACGAATGCAGTTCTCGAGGACTCGTACGTAGTTCGTATCGATCAGTTTTGTTATCATCAGCCCGTTGTCTTTCTCCATGTTTCGTATCCATCGGTTAGCCTGTGATCAACAAAAACTGTTGATTTAAAAGATCTGTCTAAATTAAAAGCGAATTGACGTTCAACCTGGGAGAGCGTGGAAGAGCCATGCTTCGGCACGAAAGGGTCGGGTCGACCGGAGTGATATCACGGCCTTACAGAAATCCGGCGTAAAACAACCACCATGCGTGTTGTGTTTCGCCGTGTGGGTGAGGTTACCGGAGGCCTAATCCTTCCCCTCCCCCAATCCCTAAATTTCCAAATCCCTAATCCCCAAAAGGTGGGCAATGCATTCGTAACTCCTCTATTGTTGCGAGTGCCCATGGGTGGCGCTAATTGCTTATCATCAGGTAATCTGCCTACTCGTTTGCCGACCTATAACATAAAAAAACCTAAGATGAACTTAAGGGAGCGTAGCAGTAGAAAATAAATAACAACTACTGACGATATTGCTTACTTTCTTTTTCTTAGAATAGTTTTTTCGCTTTTGTTTTATGAAATCTGATTCAGAAATACTCCTACACCTAAATACATTTATCAACAAGAATATGTCTTTTTTATAAATCTATTTCTGGGATGTTTTGTCTGCTTTCGTGATTCGAATAAAAATGTTAAACATTATGCCAATATCTATTTTTTGTTGAAGTAATAGTAGTAAGCATATAGGATCCTGGGCTAACCATACCTGTAGTCCATTAAATAAATCTTTACGCTTTTATAGCAAAATTTTTTTTATAGATCTAATGCTAAACCGTCAAAGACATTGTAATTATAGGAAAGTATGTACATACCTGTTCCTGCGGATCGATTGTGAGAGGCCACCGTCCGGCTCTTGTCACCAAAATACCATTCTCTGTAGATATCGCATCGCGCGGCAATCCTTGCGAATTCCATGTCCTGACTGTGTATGAGTCAGCCATCACGGCGATCAGGCTGATGAAAGATTAATTTATTTAGAGAAACAGCAGCTAATCAAACTTTCGACGGTTTCAACGCGGAAGTCACACTGACGTTTTTCTACGACCTGATAATGTTACAGATTTGTCTTTGCACGTAAAACGTATCGGGACTGAGGGGTGATAGTGGTGCTATATAGAACATAATATTGCACAATTAGAGTGTTGCATAGCAACAATTACGCTTGTGTGCGTCTCAAATGTACGAGGTTGGAACGAGAGGACGAGGCGGGGTTTTTTTATGAGGGGAAAATCATCAAATCACTTCTCTCGCCCAAGATGAGGCGAGATGGAGTGTCAGACTCTTACTGACCCCCTTTCCTTTTCCTGCTCCCGGCCTAGGCCGCGGTGCCTCATGGCGCTTACTCCGCAACCTCGGCTAAACATCATCTCTATAGGGTCCCGTTTGTGGTAGTTTATTGGCTCTAAGAGACGCACGGAGTGCAACGCACCGCACTGTCGGGAGTGTCGCTTTCTGTGGTGGATGGGGCGTGGGGAGGAGAATAACTCTCTCACGCGCTCTGCCTCCTTCGAAAGAGGAGATGGCTTCCCAGTTCCTTTCGCTCCGCAGCATGGCCTCGACTAAGGCTGGACGCGAGAGGTCGCCGCCGCCGATCATTTTCCTGAAGACATGGCGCTGTTCAGCCCATGTCGCGCATACCGCCCACCACCGTATACTCCACCTTGTCCTCTGTATTAGTCGACGAGGCGGGGGTAGGGTGGCTTTCGCGAAATGGATAGAAATGTATAGCCACTGACTAAATAACTATTCACACGTTGTTGTTTGGTCACAGAGTTTCCAACATTATCTAATAAGTACTTTTTACTCCACTCTTCTACTTAGGACTAATCCTAAGATGCGGTTATATATTGGTATACTTACTCGAACGTCGCAGAAGCCGGTATCTTCAATTCCTTGCACTGATCAATCCATTTAACCACTAATTCACGCCTGTAGTTAGCGGGGAAGGCGCCGAAATACGCGATGCAACCCGAAGCTATAATAATGTCCCCGGTCGTACAATGCAATGCTTCAGACGCTGCCTGTAGATTGTACTCAGATATTATGTTATCATCGTATCTATTACAAGTCGTAACAGCCCACTAGGCTCGAAATCTGCTCTAAGGAATTGACGTTAGATCATTGTCGGGCAGTCATTTTTTAATTTCTATTATCTGGCCTAAGGCTGGCAGTTTAATAGGTTTATCAGATAACGTTCCTGCTCCATCTCTGTCAAATCTGCCTGTACTCATTAATTTCCTTGTTATTGGAAACTGAAGGCAGTACCAGTAATAGTATGAATAACTTTGACCATACGTACCTTAACACTGTCTTCCCAGCGTGTTTGTTCGTCCGCCAACGCTTGAGTTAGTCTACCGGCACGGGATAAACGTGCGGCTGCCAAGTCAACATCGACTTGCAATTTCGCGCGCTCTTCTTCAACAATCTTAAATGTAACATACATACAATGTATTATGCCTATAGGCATAAGATACATAGCGTGCTTAATGTCGTTTTCATACTTTGAGTAAAGCGAATATGAAGAATCAATAATATAAGCTTCAGAAGTAAAAGGGCGGGATACATAAACATACCAAATGTTATTGTAAAAATCCTACAGTTTCTCGAAATAAAGCCCTTCCTACATAAACGACAAAGATATTCTTAAAAAAGACTCCTTTTCTTTCATTTGAGGTACGAAACCCTTTTTTTGTGAGGAGAAAATCATTAAATTACTTCTCCCGCCCAAGGTCGGGCTCTAACTGACTAAAAACCCACGTTCCTTCTCCTGCTTTAGGCCGAGGATCCTTTGTCGATCACCGATGCTCGGAATGTCGCCTACTGCGGCGGTTGGGGCGTGCGGAGGTTAGTTCCCTCACGCGCTCCGCTTCCTCCTTTGGAGGTATGGAACCCTCAAAATCTAATTTTCTTATACATACCCTCAGTGAATCAATCATTTTAGCGAGTTGAGCTTCGATAGCCTCTACTTCTTTCTGTTTAGCCCTGAGTACAGCCATTACATTCTTCAGGACACTGGCTGCTTCTTTATGCCTATGCAAACAAATATATATTTATATTACGTACGCTAAGCAATTACAAGATTATTATAAAATTATAAAAGGCCCTACAAGTATATTATCTATACTAATATTATAAAGATGTTAAGTTTGTAATTTTGTATGTAGGGGGTAATCTAAAATCGCTGGTCGGATTGCCAAAATTCTTTCACTTATAAGTTTCTACATGGTTTCTATAAGCTACAATGTTTGTCGGAGCCAAGCAGTGGGTGAAACCGCGTGAGAGTAGCTAGTCTATAATAATATTATATATACAATTTATAAGTTTGTATGTAAGGTAATGTTTGGAAACGCTGGTCGGATTGCTAAAATTCTTTCACTGATGCTCGTAGATAGCTATAAAGACTATAAAAATCACGCAACGATCAAATGGAGCCGAGCAGCGGGTGAAAACGCGCGAGAGTACCTCGTAACATATGCAAAGGCCGGGCGTTATAAAAACCGACGATTTTTTTATTTGCATATAACTTGCATATAATTTATTTTCTATTACATATTTTAAATGTTTTTTATGCAGATCTAATGCTGCGTGCAGTGGGAAGGTGGTGTCACAGTTTGTGGGCGTAAAAATCACTAATTTGCGATGACTACAACCTTGTTTGCATCGATCGAGCCGGTGATGATTATACTTCCGAATGGGCTGGATGAAGCATATAAGTGAGGAGATAGGGCTTTGCAAAGACAGGCCCAAAACTAGGATCACGGTGGTGGATAGATCCGGAAAGTTAGAACTCACTAGTTTTCCACTTAGTAGTGGTTCCGACATCGGGAATCTGATCCATGGTTATTCACCGATGAATATGATCGGGTATAGGATCCGGGCTATCCGAAAAGCCTGCGACTCGCAGGAGAATTGGCATAGCTAAGAGCGCTATGTCTCAGCTAGGCATACATAATATAGAGAGATCGCAACGTATCCGTCAAAACCAAAACCAAACTAGTACGGAGCCCAGTTTTCTCGGTCGTCTCTTATGGCGTAGAGACATGGTCCCTAAGAGCATATTGGCATCTTCGAGATGTGGTGCTGAAGGAAGATGCTCCAAATTCCTTGGATATCATTTCGGACCAACGTTTAAATACTGCGTGAACTCAAAATCTCCTCATGACTGTCGTCCAAGTGTCTACGCAGAGTCCTTGAAACCTTTGATTGCAAGGAAAGATGGATATAACCTAGAAAGATTTATTGTGATCAGAAAAGTGGACAGGAAAAGTTCTTGTGGTCGCAGCCGTACACCGTACAGCCAGTATATTCTATTATCCTTAAAGCTCAGCACACCGTAAGGATGATCGTCCGACTGAAAGTGATGGTCAAAGATGGCCACAACTCCCAGCAAGGCGAGAAATGCAACGTAAGGAAGTGGAGCAATGCCGACTCACAAATTTTTTCAGAATATAGTTTGTTATTATACATCTAAACGTTTCTGTTCAATCATTCTACCCTCTATTACTAGATATTAGGTATGTGGGTAAAATCAATACACATTTCGAATGTATGTTTAGATGCTGCAGTTTGACTGTTCCATTTAAGATTTCAAAGGTGACTACAACTGTTTTGATTGAGATAACTGTACTGAGCAAGCGTGTTGCTGAATACAAATTTCATTTCCGTGTTCTTCAACAATAGGATGGTAAAAAAATGATGATAAAACAATACCTAAGTTCGTTGACAATAAATGCAATATTTTTATTATAAATGGACTATTCAATTGGCTGCTTTGCGTAACATTTTAAAACAATATTTTGTTGGAGTAGGCGTTTTAAAATCTTCAACTTGAATTTAAATCTTAAAAAACGCACTAAGTTTATTGACATTTATTAAGAAAAAAAAAACATCTGAGAAGAACTTCACGTGCGTGCCGCAATCTGAGCTTAGTAAGAAAATTGCAGACTTGAATGATACAAACAGTGAAACTGCTCAATACACTAAGAGTTGCTTTATCAACAAGTAGGTTATCTTTCGATATCTAGATTTGTCCAACCGACGGGTTGGTCAACAACCTAGTGAGTAGATATAAATATATATTTAACTAGGTTGCACGATTAGGTTAGGTTAGAACAAAACGCTACGTCATTAAATCAAAATAAAAAAAAAAACACCTTAAATTAATTCGTAGGAGAGCAAATCGATTCAATTCACCCCCCTTGCAAGGGTTGGACGCTTGGATTAAATAATTTCTCAGTTAAAATGAGGCTATCAAAAATTCAACTTTGTTCACCTGAGCGATGTCACGTGGAAAGAAGAAAGAAGTGGTATAAGCAAAATACTGCAAACGTAGAACGCGTGTAGCGCGTAGTTCGTAACGCGTAGTTCGTAGTGCGTAGTTCGTACTTCGTAGTTCGTAGTGCGTAGTCCGTAGCGCGTAGCAGTGTTTTCCGCTACTAATCTAACAGCCCTTAAAACGCCGGATTTAACTGGCAAGTCAGAGGGATGAAAAGATTTTACAATTCAAGTTTCGTATGGGCATTTTATTACTACTAAAAAAGTATTGTCATTCATATTTACTTGTCGACATCTCTCTAGCTGAATCCACGGCATTCACGCTAACAATATTAATACCTCATAACGCTAACGCTAACGCGCTACGCACTACGAAATACACCCTTAAAGCTGCAGTTGTAGTGTTATGCAGTAACTTAGTCACTTTATATGTTTTTGATTACTTTTTGACAGCGTGAGCTACAGAGATGGTCTCGTTTTTTATGTGGTAAGCAATCAGCGCCGCCCTTTGACACTCGTAGTACCAAAGGAGTTTTGCCGGTGCAAGTGCGTTGCCGGCCGCTTGTGGATTTTTCTGGATTTAAGGATAGGGGATTTGAAGATTGGGAATGGGATTGGGAGAGGGTAAAGAAATGGGCCTCCGATAATCTCACTCTTATGGCGAAACACAACGTAAGTGTTGCTTCAGACTGGTTTTCTGTGAGACGTGGTATCTATCACGCCGGTCTAGCTGGCCCTTTTGTGTCGAAGCATGGGTAATGTTTTTTGAGAGATATAATCTAACGATTATTTTTTTTACGTTGGTCATTTTCTTTCTTTTTTCTAGAACCTTGGAGGTGTCTTTTATGGAACATTCTTTACTTTTCCCCTTTTTAAAAGATAGATCAGAACGATACTTACCTATTATATTACGTAAATAATTATGAAAGTGTTAGTTGACAAATACTGAGGAAGTGACAGTCAATGGTGGCGATACAGTTAACATAAAAATACAAAATGTCATTTCGCGATACTATAAAAAAAATTAACACTTACTTGAGTATTTTTGGCTCCACGACTTTGAATACTTTGGCGTACATGTCGATGGCTTGCACCCATAGCACCATGGAACGGCATACCTAAGAAAACTTCGGATCAATACTTAAGACTATGTATGTAGGATATATAAGAAATCGACCAATAAATAATATAGACCTGATAGAGGTCATAAAGAGCCGCCACATGTACCATGCTTCCAAATAAACGACTTTGAAATTATTGAGGGATTGTTCAACAGTAGACGTCATGAGGCTAATATGGCGTTGATGATTCATCAAAATAATTTCTGCTCAATGGTAATAAAGGGAAAAATAAACACAAGACCCGGTAAAACCATAAGAATTTAAGCTATGGAATTCCCCATAAAAGTGATAAAATGATGACGTCACCTGACTAATAAAGTGATTCACAGAAGATTTATAAAACCTAGTTTTTTCTTTTTATTAATATTACTCATCTTGGGAACGAAAGCATTGCGTATAACTAAGGTGGGACATGAAATTAAAAATGTTTTATTGTCATTATCCCTTTCAGAGATATATGTACTTACATCATTACTGGTAATGATGAGGTAATTAGGTTTATGATACCAGATGATGACGATGATGATTTACCTTAGATACTTTGACGACAGTGTCTGGATTGAAATCCTTATGAGTGAGGTATACTTTTAGTTTCTTAAGAGTAGCGTCTGGAATATGATCCTTGTCATAATCTTCAAGTTTGCCGATGAAATTGACATCGGCCAACAACTTTTTCGTGGAATCCCAGTCAGGCCTGTGAAAGAAATGTGCGTTAAATTCAACCGAATATTACTGCATTCGTCGGTTCGACACTTTGTATTATTTAAAAAGTACCACTAAAATGTATGCTTTAATCGTGATCAACGAAACATAAGTAACCAAGTATAGTACTAAAGCATTCCAGATGCACAAATTGCGAAAAGCATTACCACAATAAAAAGTATTCTAGAAACGCTTCTATAAATAAAAATCTTATTCAATCTTCCTAGTTAGCTTTTACGTCATTTCAAGACCTTTCCACTTGTGATTACTTAAACCTAATGCGTTACCGAAAATGTTTTAAAAAAACATACACAAGTAAAAAAAATATTTGTTATCCAATAACACAATATATTCGGTAACGATGTTGAATAATTTGGTCTAAAATTACTATAATAGAACATTCATTGCCCTTGTGTATTATTGCAATAGTTATGACCTCGAACAATCTAAAGAAATTAAAATCACGGCCAGTAGCTTAGTGAATAGACAAATTCGTACCTACATGGGGGCCTATTTGATTAATTTTAATAAACATAACATATAGAGCAGAAATGTAAAAGATGAATAGGCACTCAACCCCTTGCGTTTCAGATATAAGCCGGTACATAACTCTATACAAATTGTACTTCATATTCCTTTATTAAACCTGTTAGGTAACGGAATCTCGTTCGTATTTTAAATAAAAAATTGATGATCAGGAAAAAGTATGATTTGCGAAATTTTAGTAACAAGAATTGCAAAAGGAATGTTAGTCATGTTGAAAGGATACTGGGAGATTAACGAAAAAGGTTTAGGAACAAAGTCGATTAATGGAGCGCTAGACGGACATGGACTAAATAGACAATATTTTGAGGAAGGATCAAATTGAAAACCTCCTTAATCGTCAACCAACCTTATAGATATAGATGAATGTAAAAGCAATAAAATATGTGTGTCAGAATCGTATCATTTAGCGTTCAGTTGTCTCTGCTTAGACCAATGGTAGACTGGCTCACGCATGTTGAGTTTTACTTTTCGATCGTGGCAATTCGCGAAACAATAGAAGAACAATAAGTGGGCGAACGCTGGCGTTTACTTGGGGTTTGATGAACTAAATTAAATCTGATCTACAAAACGAATGTGTGACGTCCCCCTTATTTTTAGGGTCCCGTAGTAAGTTAGGAACCCTTATAGTTTCACCATGTCTGTCTGTCTATCCGTCCGCGGATAATGTAAGTGACGTTATCATTGGAAAGCTGAAATTTGGCACCAATATGCATATCAATTACGCTGGCAAATTGGTAAATTAAACAGACAGGACGTATGGATATCCTTATGTACCCTAGCACCTAAGATGACTTTGTGGAATGCAATTAATGTATCGAGTCCACCAAAAGACAGTTCTACGACTTATTAATATATCTATCTGATATCTATCATTGTCAATATAATATATATACTCAATATCATTCGATGCTTACTTTGCTCCAAGTAGTATGCATACAGGTTCCATGACAAATCGTACAAGTACGGGCGGTTTCTGGAAGGCTTTAAGTTCATTGATGTCAGCTTTATTGAGTGCCTTCAGTGCAGCTTGAGCAGCATCCATGGCAGGCATAGCGAGGGCCAAGTCAGCTTTCGCTTCATCTGCTATTTGTTTCACTTCTTCAGCTTTTATCTAGTTCAATGAAATTAAATATTACTCATAAATTATGTGTTCTAGAGTGGGGATCACTTCTAGGCAAACGTAGTGTAGGGTGTCCGCAGTGGTTGGATGCGAAGAGCTAAACAACGAGCTCAATGGCGTGCAACTGGTGAGGCCTATGTCCAGCAGTGGACAGAATTAGGCTAATGATGATGATTAATAATAAACTACACGGTTGTCACAGTAACTATGCAGCAAGTCTTGGTTTCGAGTTCGAATTTTTAAATAGAATTGGATGATATGGAGATTAGGTAACATTAATTCCTCGTTTATCGTAAATTACCATAAGCCACTGCATATTTCCCGAAATCATACAAACATCTACAGTAGTGAAGGTTTGACGTAATTCTAAAATATACTTTGTTCTACTTAGGAAAGCGGTGATATCACTTTTCGAGGGCTAAGTAGCTTTGCAAAAATATGTCATGAAAGTATTTTGTTATTATATTATTAATTTGTATCATTTGGTCACTATTTCGTCTGCTGGTAAGCAATGATGTGACCTACGATAGAGCACGCCAACTTATAGGCTACACATTCCCTCGGGCCTTGAATATAGCCAACACAAGGAACACAGCCAAACGCAAAGAATTGGCTAGCGGTTTGAATGAAAAAACTGGAGGCTCTTCGTGCTTGTGGGTATGCCTGGTAGTATGATGGTGTCAAAGAATTCTCATATATATTTTGGACATCTTTGAGGTTTAATAAGAGTATCGGATTTGACTAGATCGTATTCTAGGACTAATCGTACCTTCGCTGCCGCCTCGTCCTTCATCACGGCAAATTTCACTTGGTCAGCGGCTTTCTGTTCTACTTTGAGCCTGGCAACCAGCGCATGACTTTCCTCTGCTTTCTTAGCGAGGATTGGTTCCATTTCACGCACCTGTTGCTCCATCACGCCTACAACCTCGTATGTTTCGTATAATTTCTGTATTCATAAAAACATAAAGTAAGTCACAATTCAAATAAAATTATGTATCTATATGGGTCCATGAAGTAATTACTACAGGTACTTAGGTATGCAGTTCAAATTTAGTATAGCAAATTGTAGTAATTCTTTATCATATTTATTTTTGACATAGTGATATGACCTATAAATTTTGAAGAAAAAGTTAAGTAGGTATAAATACCAAATAGTCTCTCGAGACTCGATCTCAACATTCTCGAAATCACAAGAGCCCTGTTCCAAATTACCTATAAGAATAAATCGAATAACTTTTCGTTATGTTTTAAGTCTCGTAAATATTTTATTGGACAAAATAAATTGGCACACAGACTTTTTGCACTCAATTTCCTCTAACCTTGAAATTGTTTGACTACGCAGGGTGTTGCTAAGACACACCCTTGGACCATTTTCAAGGTCCTCATCTCCCCTCGATAAGTAACATTGAAACGCATTCCCTTCGGGATCAGAGTGGACCCTACATACAATGTATTTAGGATTCCATACAGAAATATGAAATCAGGACCCTCGTATTAATATGTCTGTTATAAACTGTACTGGACATTATTTGCATTTATCTAACGAATTTATAGTGAATACCTGATCACAAGCTGTGAAAAAACGTTGACCTGAATGATAAATAATTAATTATAATAAATCTTTTTAGGAGTAGCCGCCATTAATAACTTTACTAGGCTAGACTAGGCGGCCGATTACCGCACAACAAATCGCGAATTGGATTCTCACACAAATCAACTTTTGTGTTGATTCACAACAACAGGGCCCCAAAACCTTCGCCCAGGTCGCCAGTACACCAAAAATCCCCAAGCCAGCTCAGGCAAACCATACCCTGATTGTCTCGTCGACGGACTCCAAGCACACTGGAGACAACGTCATCGAGAGGATCAGGGTTGCCTTGGACCTAAAAACCAGCGGAGCCCGCGTTGATAACGTCCGCAAGGCGCGGAACCAAAAAGTGGTCCTCAGGTGCGCCAGCAAGATGGACCTAAACCTGGTAAAAGACCATTGTAAGTTTAGCGGAGGGCTCAAGGCCCAGGAGCCGAAACTCCAGAACCCAAGAATGGTTCTTTGTAACAAAAGACAATAAAGTTTATAAGAGAGGGGGAGGGAAATATTAAAGGAGGAAAAGGAACAAAACAATAACGCTAGGCTATCACCATGGTGACGAGATGTGACCATGACCTTTCTCATCACAGACAAATTGCTCATACCAGTGCCATTGGCAACATGGTGACATCTTTGGTTTACAAGGACGAAAATATAATCATTTTATAAACCTTATTACATTAAAATGATTACATTTTTCCTAGAAACACTCTGTAACTTGAAAACAAGATTACAGTATTAATTCATCTGTTTTTAAGTTTTCTGATAAGATTTTCCTAGAAGGTTCTTAGGTGTATGGATAAATATGTAATGTTTTTTTAGAATTTTTATATATTTATAATTCGTGTTGTATTTGTGCTATAAAGCAGCTTAACTACGTAGTTTCTAACTGACAAGAAAGAAAAAAGAACAACCCATAACTAGACTTAGTTGCAAATGATCTTAACGAAAGAGGCTGATAATGTTTAGACGGAAAATACAATTTCTGTATAATATTAAGCATATTCTGCGCTCTTGTTGAGTGTACTTAGTTGTAGAGAGACTACACGTTCTAAGTCCTATTAATAATCTTCTGAAGATGTTCTGTTTCCTCGAAACAATCTTGAAATAATAGAAGCGCTTTCACAATAATTTTAAAAGCCATCATTTGTGAGAATATTCTCGAAGTTATCGACGTGATATCATTTTAATAAAAACAAATTATATAATCTATAAGACAATTTTTGTAGCTAGCAATTAAAATGCAAGCGATGAAGCAAATTTCAGTTCATTAAATTATGAAGTTGACACACTATACAGGACCACCGCCTATGCCTGCGTCTATATCAAAAATTGAGTACTCCCGCACAGAAAACCGGCGTAAAACAACCATAGCGTGGTGTTTAGCCATGTGAGTGAGGTTACCGGAGGCATAAACCTTCCCCTCCTCCAATCCCTAAATCTTCCATATTCCTAATCCCATAAAGGCAACGCACTCGTAACTCCTCTGTTGTAGCGGGTGTCCATGGGCGGCGCTGATTGCTTACCATCAGGAGATGAGTCTGCTCGTTTGCCGACCTATCACATAAAAAAACTCACATGACCAAAGTACGGAATCCGTCACAGTCTGAGTTAAATTTAATCGGTTTTATTTACTCTCCTTTCAATTACTAATGTGTTTGTGCAATATTTGTAGGAAAGAATTTTATGTAACGAGTTTCGCTTAGCAACAATATTTATTGTTCATGTTATGATTGTGTCCACTGTGATCTCCAAGGAAATCCGTTTTGTATTGGCCATGTTCTCGGGATCAGTTTGTTGTTTTACCAGATTAAATGAGTTGGACCTACGTGATTATTCACTGGACACTGGGCTTTACGCCTGTTAGTAATTAGCTCAGGGATAAAGATAAAATGGTATAATTAACAGAATAATTGCTTTCATTAGAAGTATTTACACGCGTATGTTGGTAAAGTGTTATTTGCTTAGTTAAGATCTTTAGTACTTAGACGTATTTAGAAATACTCTGAAGATTTTAGCATTTTTTTTTTTTTTGATAGAGTGTGTGTTGGCTCAGTTAATAGTACATTGTATTGTTACCTGTAGACCGCAGGATACTCTGTCCCGTCCGCGTATAATCTGTTGCTGCTTCTTATCGAGCAGCATCAAGTACAGCTTGAGCAAGTCTAAGTAACTGCTCGGCGTAGTGTAGAAGTACCTCCTCATTTCTTGATATAATCTATCTGTCATTATATCCACGTCCTAAAAACATAAATAAAACCTTGTACACCGTTTATTTAAGATCCTTTTACAGTGTGATTTGTAGACAGATGTGTCGCTGTCTTGATTCTTAGTTCGGATGTGATATTTTAAGATCTATATGAATTTCATATTTCTCAGCCAAACTGAACAGTCGGTTGTTCCACGAGTTAAAAATAAACGGTGGCTCTCTAAAATCAATGCCTTAGTTTCACTGCCTGGGCGGCGCGGCGCGAGTTTCAGATTTTCACTTGAACCGATGGTCTCTTTCGATTTACATAGAATATTATAAGAATATTATATAATATATATGTTTAGTAATGATAAGTAGAATATAGGTGTGTTATACTGGAATGAATACAAAAAAGAGGGCAAAAGGCAATCTATCGCTAACAGATCATTTTATTGAAATTGGTTGCGTACGGACGTTAGATAATATATTATTGATGGTATAATTTTTAAAGAACTTAATATTACCTGATGCATTGTGACACACATCTTAGAAATTAGTTCGATAATTTCTTGATTTCCGAGCGGCTGTAAACATTGCTGGGCGACTGACAGTAACGCCTCTGGCGGCCATTTAGTGAACCAGTCAATAGTACAGCAGTTCACCAGAGATGGGAACATCCGACACCGTCGCCTGACGACACAAAGGGAGTTTCATGTTAGTGTGTCATTCAGAATGCATATTATAATGGCCACTGTGATCATTTCACAGCGGTCTACATACGTATTCAATGAACATGAATTGGATGTTTTTACTTTATAGTTTTGTTATTGTTAAATTGTCTTATATGTTACTGTTGGTTTTAGTGATAGATTTCGTAAGTAAAATATGTGTATAAATATGTCAAATTACCGTCAAGGATCAAGATAAACTTAATAGATGCCGTCTAATTAGGTACTTCAAAACTACTAAAATGTGTACCTACAATAAGCTAAAAATAATAATTTATATAAAATATGTAAAAAATCTATTTGATAGGTAGAATCCAAAACAGGATCGCAGTGCCCTTTAGATCCGGGTCTCAATTTGCGTCATAGCTTTTAGGTGTATATTAATATATAGTGCGTAGCGACTGCACCGGGGGGTGCAAGGCGGGTATGGGAAGCGTTGCAGAGCGCAGCCGCGCACCTCTACCTCTGACCTAATCAAGATTTATTGATCCATCCACTTTAAACCACATCTCTATTAACTTTATTTATTTATCTTATCATTTAATCATACCTAGTATTACTGAAACTATTTTTTTTAGTCTGCCTAGTCTTGTTTCTTTATTTTTATGTTGTCGTGAATGTTGGCAGTGCGCCAAGCTACAGGAGCTTGGTGAAAGTGCAGGGTCAAGGTTCGTAACATTCGCGATACATTGTGGTTGTTGCGAGCAGGTACTACGTAGTCTAAGTACATAATTACATTCACGGTCAAATGAAGTCTTAGCAGACATTCTCCTTCGGCTGAACTTGTTTTGAGTTAAGTACGGAACAAATCGAGAAACTATTTCTTTTTAAATAGTTTTCAATCTTGCGTTTGCAAGTTACCTAGATGTAGAAAATAAAAAAAAAAATACTAATTAAAAAAACATAATTTAATTCATTCGTTAGTTGTCAAAATTGGGAAGGTATGTAGTTCGAGAGATGGAAAAAGGAAAACGTAAAATACATCAATGAAACTGTGCCAACTGTACTATGCATAGCTGTACGCAGCAAAGCCTTAGTCCTTCTTCTTACCCTAACGCGAATTACCCTGGTTTTTTTCAAAGTCAAAAAAGCAATAAAATATAAAATAAATAATTACAATGACTTTATTATTGATTTTAATTAAAAGAAGCAGTTAAAAAAAACTTGATGTCAATACGCTCGTTCCGGAACACCATCTATAAAAAATGGTTGATCATGACAATTTAACAAAAGTATTGAACTTGATTAACTATTATATTCACGATTAATCGCCAAATTATTTGTTCTTTCATGCTAAAATCAGTTTTTTCAAAGTTGCTCCATTCTAGCATTTTCTCCCGTGTCGTGGGTGCGTTTACAAATATACACAACAATTTGTAAATTACACAAAAAGTGCGGAACCGAACCCGCGACACTTTGCACGACAGCCAGTTGCCCAGCCACCGCGCCGATCGTGCAGTATCTAAGAGTTACCGTCGCGAATCGTCTTACCTGAAGGCTTCTCCGACAGGACTCATACAAATACAAAGGTGAAGCTTCCCGCGGACTCGGTTGATGAAGAAGTAGTAGACCGCATCACGGTCAGCAGGGTTGATGCCAGACTTTCCCGCATCATTACGACAAGCAGTCTGAACAGCCTCATACGTATCATCTTCAAACAAGTTCGGCACCTCACCTTAGAAAGGGATAAGGAGAAATATTATTTAGGTCATAGGCAATAAAGTTGGTTTTGCATTCGTAAGTAATCTGTAAAAAATATAGTATAATATCATTTTGACGAATGTTTGGTTGGGTTAGGTTACACTAGGTACCTACCTTTTTTTTAGCTGAAAAAAATGCCGTACTCATACACACAGCGACGGGGAGACGGTGAGGTAATGTGGGACTTGCACCCACTAAAAAACTCAGCTTTCGTGCCGTCTTCTGTCTTTTGGGAGAAGCTACGAGAACCTAAAACGACTTTCGTAACTACAATACCTACCTACACCAACTGCAACTCAAAGTTATGACATACACAAGTCACCTCAACTCCATTCTACTTGTATTGGGATAGATAGGACATAGTACGGGAGTTGAGCAGACAGATTACCTGATGGTAAGCAATCAGCGCCGCCCATGGACACCAGCAATAACGGAACAGTTACGATTGCGTTGCCGACATTTTGTGGATTTGGGATTTCATTGGGGTTTTGGAGATTTAGAAATTAGGGAGGGATAGGGAGAGGGGAAAGATAGTAGCGAATCCTATTTTATTCGACTTTCAGGCTCCTTGTCCAGATGTTGTTTTACGTTAGTATTATATATTTTTTTCAGTAAATAGATATAGGTAAAATAAATAAGAATATGTATTCTATTAATATCTACTGAGGCGAAATATAGGTGTGGTAACCGTGTGGTATCAGTACCGCGCTGGCTAGGTAGTAAGCTGATGCGACCAATTAATTATTGGGGATAAACAGTTTTATAATAATAGGTATTATGATACAGACTCCAAAATCAAACTAAATATAAATAATAACGTATTTTAAGATTAAAGATTCAAGTGTGGGAGAGCCTTGCTTTGGCACGAAAGGGGCAGCTCAATTGGAGTAATACCACGGCCTTACAGAATACCGGCGTGGCACGATCATAGCTTGGTGCTATACCTTGTAAGTGAGGTTACTGGAAGTCCAATCCATCGCCTCCCCCATCCCTCTATAATCCCAAGATCTCGAAAATCTTAATCCCCAAAAGGCTGGAAACTCGTATCTCCTTTAGTGTTGCATTGTACATGGGCGGCGCCGATTGCTAAACAACAGGTAATACGTCTACATGCTTACCGAGACATGAAATAAAAAAAACAACTGTGACTGATGCAATATCAGATTCAGCGTTATCGTTTTAAAGTCTAAAAACTCATACCTAAGTAGTTACCAGTAGTACTTTATACTCAACGATTTCGGGAAATCAAGTTCAGTCGAACTTATCGATCTTACTAAGTAAGTAGTAGGCTCGAACGGAGTGATACCACGTACTCACAGAAAAAATGCGTTAAGCAATACTTAGATTGTGTTCCGCCGTGTGAGTTATCGGAGACCCAATTCTTCTCCCCAACCAACCTCAATCAGGTCTGCGGACGGCGAGTCGGGTCTGCGGACAGCGAGTAAGGGTAGCTCGCCGCCCGACCAGGACCAGGCCCGAGCGTACGGCGCGTAGCGATCGGCGCGCGCCTCAAATAGCCAATAAACCACGCTGATGACACAGACGAGGCTGATGTTCAGCCGAGGTTGCGGGTCAAGCGCAATGAGGAACCGCGGCCTTGGCCCAGAGCAGGAGAAGGAACAGGGGGGTTTTAAGCAGTAAAATTCCGACACAAGATGTCGTTTAATGGTTTTCCCCTGATTCCGTATCCTTAAATCCCTAATAACCCACAAGAGGCCACCAACGCACATGTAAGTGTCGAGTGTCCATGGGCGGCGCTGATTGCTTACCATCAGGTAATCCATCTGTTCGTTTGCCAACTTGACATGACATAAAAAGAAAAATTTGTTACCTGGCCATTAAACCAGTCGCACGAAGTAGAAATATTCCACAATCACAGCAAGGTACCTACATGACTACCTAAAAACTATTTTCTACCGCTCATGGACAGAATCCGCAATTCCAATGAAGTTAGTGTTTTGGACATTTGGGGATTGGAGGAGTGGAAGAAGGATTGGGCCTTGGGCCAAAACACGACGCTGATTTTCTGTAAGGGCGTGGTAAGACTCCGAGATAACCGGCCCATTCATGCCGAAATGGTTCTATCACTCAAAGTAATTTAAGTAGAAGAATAAAAAATATTACCAGAATTTAGCATATTATTGATATCTTCAAGGAATTCTTCCTTTGTGATCTGAGTGTCTGTGAAAAGGAACACGGTGTCTTCATAATTGGCACCGGCGCGCATATACATCTTCCGTAGATCGTCGTGAAACTCGGGCGTGTCGTAATTCCTTTTAATTTCCATGCCCATACACCTGCGTAATAATATAATATAATTTGAATTCTATGCTCAATAAACAGGGTGTTAATTCGATTAATGGCTTCGTTTTGTAAGTAACATTGGTTGTATGTGTATGAATTAAATACTTAATTTTCCTTAATTTCAAAAAAAGTCGTGGTGGCCCCGAGCTTAAGGCGGGCGCATGAGGGTGTGGGTTCGAAACCGGGAAAGTACCAATGTGACTTTTCCCGAGTTTAACGTACTTTCTATCATTATTTAGACACCACTGACACACATACGGTGGAGGTAAACATCGTGAGAAAACCAGGACTTCTATTTCATTTTCTATTCAATTCTATCTATTCTATTCAATTTCAAATTATAAGTTTGTAATCGCCAACCCGTATTGAGCAAGCGTGGTGATTAATGCTCAAACCTTTTCGCGTGAGAAGAGGCCTTTGCTCAGCAGTAGGAACTTATAGGCTGACGATGATAATGACTTTTCCAATTTAGAAAGCATGAAACCTATCATAGTTTACTTTCCATCTAGTTAATTTTAAAACATTATTCCAAAAAGAAATAGACTGAAAATCAAAACAATGCATTTTACTGAGAAAAAATCTTAGAGTTTCTGTAGGTACAAATAAAAAAACAAATAATATTAATAGAATAGAAAGCACAAACAATTGTTTAAGTAACAAACAAGACTTAGATATATGATATTTGTTTAGGTTTCCACTACCCACATAAACTACCCACATACTAATAAGTTAATAAGGAAAATACATTGTGAACGAACAAAGCCATCAGGGCATTAAAAACGGGATTGAAAATTAAAGGTAAACAATTCAGCGTGCATCCGATAACCGACCGGCTAACCACCACTTACGTGTTTATATTTATGCATATAAGTATGTGACGAGGAATAAGTGACCGACATTTTATTTAAACACATAGGAATTACATGCTCCTTCGACCGTTGCAACTAGTAACGAGCCATGTCGATTGTACTTTCTGTAATAAAATGTACTCAAAGTATACTGTCGCTGTCAAGTAGCTTAATTAGCCATCAAACCAATGTCCTGAATATAATATGACTTTTTTTTTGGGAGGAGGTCGTCATTAAATCGCTTCTGAGTGTAATATCCTTGGTATTTTTTTTGTGATACGCCGGCAAACATGCAGGCAGATTACCTGATGGTACGCGATCGGTGTCGCCCATGGACACCCATCAACTTTGCAAGTGCATTGCTGGCATTCGGCAATTCAAAGGTTGGGGAGGAAAGTAGGGTGGATATTGGGCCTCCGGCAACCTCATTTACACGGCGAAACGTAACGCTGTAGTTGTTTCATGCCGGTTTTTAGTGAGGCCGTGGTATCACTTAAATTTTGCGTGGGGCGAGTGGAAGTGCTAGATTATATCTGACGCTTGCACCCATATTCAGGCTGCTAGTTGAGAAATGAAGGGATTGTCATAAAATCTGAGTTGATACGAGAATGATACGTTAAGTAAGATTAGGTTCGAACTGCGACCAAAAATCTAAATGCCATCACTAGTAAAAGCTACCTGAAAATTGTACAGCGATATTTTTTTTGAACAAGCTAGTCCGTTGTGCATATGGCTTACTAAGCGTGTTATCTGCGACATTATATGCATGCAATTTTGTAAACATAATGCAATACTAAGCTCTGCTATACCGCTAGAGATAAGTAGGGGTTGTATTAGTCCCGTTGTTGTAGGGGGACAGCTAAAAGACGGAGCCATTTTAGACCCTATATCGATACATTTAAAACCGAATATTACATTAAGTATAGTACCTACCATTAGATAAAATTCACGCGTTTGTAGGCCAAAATGTTTACAAAGTATTCGGATCGATTTAAATTTTTAACAGAAACTCCATACAAATAATGAAAAGCGGCAAAGTGAGCGTCTTAGCGCGAATGTTTGCGGACCAAGATTTATTTATTTTTCTTTTAGTAGTTACTATTTTCCAATGGTAACAGAAATACATCACCATCAAAACTGTCTTGCTATCAGGGTTTATAAGCCTAGTGAACGGCTGTGTCCCATCTCATGAGTGGTATGTCAGTCGGAGGGAAGGGCAGCGGAGTTTGAGAGCGCTTCCTTCAAAATTCGGTTAAAATTTGATTACTTTTTAAAAATACAATCGCATTACAGTAAGTAAAGTACCATAGAATTAGTTCTACGAGTTGACAGATCATATTTCCAAGGGTTAGGATCTCCGATTCCGCCGTCCATTTTGTCCCTTCAGCTACGCAGAGCTAATGCATGACTTTGACATGACTTTTTCCAAGTTATTACTTTCTTTGATTATTCAGACACCATAAACGGTGAAGGAAAACATCGTGAGGAAACCTGGACTATAAACTATAAACCTAATCAAAAGTTTGAAATCGCCAACCCGCCTTGAGCATGCCTGGTGACTAATGCTCAAACCTTCTCTATGTGAGAAGAGGCTTTTGTTTAGCAGTGGGCACTTATAGGCAGATGTTGTAATGATTTGTATGGAAACGTACACCTACGTAAAACTACAAGAAGAGATATCATTGAAATTTCACGATTTCAAATGATTTATCGTCAAAGTGGGTCATGAATCAGCTTTGTCGCCTGTTGGTACACATAATATGTACAGTCTTATTTGTTTAGTGTGGGGATCAAAGCGTTGCTATGACAACCATGCGGTAGGTAACCGCAATCAATGCTGACATAATGCAACTAATGAATATTGAAGACAGACTCAAGTATATTTAGGCACTTATATTTTATAAGTGTTTAATAAGCATAGCAACTAAATAATAAATAAAATGTGATGGAAAATTTTTCTATCCTATTTATAAACCCTTGCGAAACAAAAACAACTGAAATTTTCCACGAAAACACTTTAACTTGAGATCAATATAATGTTAGAAGGTATTTATTGGAATTTAATAGGCACTTGAATTCCTTAATTTTTGAACAAAATTCATTATTACTTAAATAGAAAGCGACTCAGGCGATGTTTTGGGACTAGACACGTACTTTTCTATATTTGCACGGCTAAGCAAACTGTATGAAAATATTTTAACATTACGTTGCTGGGGTCACATATTCAAACTCAAAGATCCAAACATAACATGAATATTTCCACAATGAAAATAATCTGGACCGATTGCCACTTGTCTTGTTAAAGTTGGCTCTTTCCCTCACAATCGACCCTCTCTTACAATAGTATAAAACTGAAGTACGTACTTATTTCAACCTGTGTACAATAAAACTGGTAAGTTTCTAAGGAAAAATTTACTTAAATTATGTTTATAGTATCATATCATTACAAATTAAAATAGCTTTCATCTAGGTACATGTTGTATATTATTTATTACTTTTATTTTTCAACATGGGGTAGAGCTAGCAATAAGTTGGTGACCCATTTAACATTTCCCAGTCTATAAAGCTTACAAAAAAAACCACGAGATAAATCTAGGACGAGGGTTCAGCGCAGGTAAGTTGATAACTTTATTCCCGTCGAGGATGAAACATATTGATTTACAAAGTGACTTCAAACATGACCAACGGATGTCAGTCCTTATAGAATTTACGATACAAGTCCTATCTATGCTTACCTAGCTATATATATACTATTCACTTGAAACGCTCCTAATTGGATCGCTCAACTATAGTTAGAATATTCTTGGGGATTAAGTACACGCGCTTGTACTGAGACATGAAAATATTCGTTTTCATTTTTAGGTTAAGAGGCTTACTTTTGTTTGGACGGTTTTATTGTTTCCCCAAGTCTGGCTGGTACCTGGCTACTATATTGCATATAGGTACGAATCTTGACGCCAATTTTCCATAAAGGGATGGAAGACAATGGAACGACAAGTGATCTTCGTATGCCTCCTTTGCTTCACTGCATTCAAGACTCTCACGAGCTAGCCCTGCACTCTTTGTGACCTAAATTTGTCTAAATTGATAAATTATGTCGTGTGACGGCCTAGCCAACGTCACTACAAGTCATTTGATGTGTGGAGCGGTGCACTATGGCCAATATCTACTAACATATGACCCTTCTCTGTTATACATAATATATGTCTAGTGTTTGTTTCAATATTTCTTTCCAACCTAATGTTTACATTGTTGGGTTTAAAAAATATTAAATATAAGTCGTACTTTGGCCTTTTTTTAAAACATCGGACAATCATCATATTATTATGAAATAGACATCTCTTCCTTCTTATGAAAGGGTGTATATGATCATAATCCCCGAGCTTGTTGGTGACATCATGATGATCAGTGCGGAGTGACGTAGTTCTCAGACTTAATAAATGGTGTAGTTGTTCCCTAGTTTGGAAGTAGTTTGAGGCTGGTGATATACTCTATACTTAAAACTAACAATCAACGTTTTTCGTTTTTGTTTATCTTTAAATAGGTCTTCGCATGATATTGAGGTTTCTACCATCATTTCTAAACTGAATAGTAGTAAAAAAGAAAGAAAGAAAGAATAGGCCTCCGCCGCAAAAAAAAATTTGTTACTGCGTTACGAAACCCTTATGGTGTAAGGCTTTGGTAATTGGCGAGTCGCGACTCGCATTTGTACTCGTATATATAACAATCAATATCTCAGTTCTTATCCATCGTTTTCAAGCACTACTAACTATGTAAATGGCTTGGGTACTATTTTTCAAGAATTTCCTTTTTTATTTTTGGAAAATAGTTAAGTAAATATAGTTTAAAGGTCGTATTATTCTGTACTAAATTGGCACTTTGTCATGCAATGCCTTCATGAGGCACTTGAGAAATCCGATTGTAATAGGACGCGTCCCCTAGTGGAATCTTCCAGACCGGCTGCATAGATAATTTCTTCATTGCGTTTGTGAAAACGTGTCCAACCAACGTGACCGATCTCATTCATATGCAAAACTGTGAGAGGATGTACGTACTTGCATTCGTTGATGTGTCCTGCTAGGGTGGCCACGCTTCTCCGGCCTGATCCCCCGGGACCGACCATTAGGCAGTGTCCACGCTCAGCTCTCAGCACCCGAGCTGTTCGCACTATATGTTCGATAGCGTCTTTGAACAATACCAGGTGCATCTCTGCTCGAGCCGTCGAGTTATATTCGTCTAAATATTCCTGCAAATTACAAAAAAAAACTTTTGTAAATGTTAAGACGCGTTAATTTTGAAAATATACTTAGGTAAAGTTTAAATACAAAGCCAAAAATAATTAATACATTTTTCGTTAGTATATTTTTTACAGTAGACATTACTGTCATAAACTTTATTGATACTCTCTTATTATACGTCTGGTATGTATACTACAGGCAGACGTGGAAACATTCTTGTTTCTACTGTTGTCAACGAACCTTTACCACCACCATAAGCTTCTGCATATCAGATATTTCAGCATAGTTTCTATTTTCCTTAGGCACGGCTGAGCTGATGAAATCGCCAAACAGTAGAAGGGGTGGTGATGTAATAATTGGATCATCGGGGATCTCCAATATTGGGGTTTGGAAGTATCTCTCGCAAACCGATCTCATTAGGTGATAGAAGTAACTTTTATCTTGGACGTTAATTAACCGATCGTGGAACACTCGAAGGCACTCGTGGTAGAATAACCTGAAATTTCGCAAAAATAAATAGGTATACAGTACGAACATGTTTGAGTAAAAGATATTTTGTTAGACAGGTACCCTGTAATAGGAATGTGATACTTATATTTGATATTTTTTTGCGAGCAACCACTACATATCTACATTTCCATATTAAAAAAGGAATACCTGAGCATGCCCTGTGGTGCTCGCATGTATGCAGCGTCGGCTTGCAACACCCCTTGCATACATTTAGACAAGTCTCTGAGATTGAAAACATAGTGCGATTTGGCTGGCGTTGGGAGTAATTCACTACAAATCTTCAAGTAGAGGTCTACAGCAGCGTCTACTATAGGCCCTCCAAGAACTGATACTTCCGTGACAAAGTCTTCCATGTGACCGTTAAGGATCGCCTGATTGAATTGAGAAAATAATTTGAGAACGACTGTTATATATTTATATATGTACTTAGTCGGGTCATAAGTTCTGTCACAAACTTTTGATGTAATAACTTATACGCCTTTTGACAATTATTTAAAAATTATATATGAAATGAAAGGTCATTAAATGTACAATATAATTTTATTTACATTATTCGAAATGCCCTCCCCCATTTTGAACACATGCCCTTAATCTACGCGGCCAGTCATCGATCGCTGCACGCACCACATTCATATCTATGTCTGCCGCTGCTTTAACCAGAGATGCTCGGAGAGACTCCAAATTCGGGTGAGGTTTAGCACAGACTTTTTCCTCCAAATATTGCCATATCTTGTAGTCCAGTGGGTTTAAATCTGGACTAGAAGAGGGCCAGTCTTCATGCCGGATGAAGTCAATTCCACGAGCGATCAACCAGTCTTGCGTACTTCGTGCCTTATGAGCCGGTGCAGAGTCCTGTTGGAATATCCAATGCCTGTTCCTGAACATTGTCTGAGAAAGAGGTTCCACTATGTTTGTTAGGACAGTATTTTGATAAACTTCGGCACTAGTTCTCACACCTTTTTCACAGAAAAACACCTCAGTTACGCCTGAATATGAGACTCCAAGCCAAACCATGAATGAGGAAGGGTAATGCCCACGCTGGACCCTCGCAATACGCGCGCTTGCTTCTTCACTGCTGTGGGCATACACCTTATCATTTTGTTTGTTAAAACTTTCTTCAATAGTAAAAATTTTTTCATCCGAAAAAAGAATTTCGCGGTATTTTTTTCCCGCGTACCGTCGTAGCAAAGCGCGGGATCTGTCTAGCCTAATTTTTTTTAAACGCTCGTTCAAAAAATGTCCTGTCTTTTTACGATAAGCTCGTAGTCCCAGGTCTTCATTTAGTACTCTTTTAACAGTGGTTCTGCTTAGCCCCATCTGCAGAGCTAGGATTTTTTGTTTACGTACGGGATTTCGTTCGATTCGCGCCTTCACTGCTTTGATGACCTTATGTGTCCGAACTGTGCGAGGTCGGCCGCTTCTCTTACGATCTTCGAAGCTTGACTCTTCGGTGTATCGTTTGATAGTACGATAAACAAACCGTAACGTTATTTTCAAATTTTGAAGAATATTGAAAATGTCTTTTGGCGCGTAACCACAGCGGTGCAACGCGATAACCGCGATTCTGTCTTCTTTATTCGACCACTCCATATTTAAAAATGAATAAAAAATAATTTCTTTTTTATTTTCTACAAGCGCGAAAGTTCTATTTTTAAAATAAGTCGAAGAATTTCTGGCCAGTAATCGAAAATTAAAAATATAAGGTTTTGACAGAACTTATGACCCGACTAAGTATATACTTTATTGCACACATATACTAAGTCGCAATTCGTTGGATACGTGGTTGGATACTATAAAAGAATGTCATGTTTACAATGGGCGGTCTTATCACACGCAATTTCTTCCAGACTATATTTACATGGAAATGTGGAAGAAGGAAGGCAGACTGTTATTTGCATAACCAAATTTTTATTGTGGGAGAGCCAAGTTTCGGTACGAATGGGTCGGCTCGACCGGAGTGATACCACGGCCTCACAGAATACCGGCGTGAAACAACCACAGCGTTGTGATTCGGCTCGTGAGTGAGGTTACCGGAGGTCCAATTCCTCCCCTAACCCTTCCCGATCTTTATATCCGCAACCCCTATCCCCAAAAGGCCGGCAACGCACTATCAATCAATCAATCAATCATCATTTATTCATTACATTTTGGGTAAATAATTATGATCACAGTATTAATGTTAGTACCACCAAAATCTGCCCTCACAGGCGTATGAAATATTGTTAACTTAGGTCAATAAAGATAGAATAACAAAATAAAAACGTCATCATATTGCATTCAAAATGTCAAAAATAATAAATGTCAAAAATAATTAAACTTATAAATATTTACAAATTACTATCATTAAGGAAGTCGTTTACATTATAATAACATTTCTTGGATAATATTGCTTTAAGTTTGTGTTTAAAAACACTAACATTGAAATTTTTTATGTTGTTAGGGATTTTATTATACAATTTTGGCGCCATACATAAAAGACTCTTTCCCATCAGACTCGTTACTGCTGTGTGAAGACACAGCTTATTATTGTTGCGCCTATTTCGCGGCACAAGTAACAACTTTGGTGTTGCGGGTGTCCATGGGCGGCACCGATTGCTTACCATCAGCTAATTCGTCTATTCGTTTGCCGACTTTAACCACAAAAAAAACAAACTGGAACGGGCTCATAAGATTGTTTGATGCTGTGCCTACCTACATAAAATTAATTCCGATCTCGGTTAGCAGTCACAAGGTAGTACTGTATAATTACTGGATTTAACTATCTACTACCTAATTTATCTTTCACTTTGATCAGTTATCTGCTTTGTTTGTAATCGTCTCGGATTACATATGTAATTATGTACTATTACTATTCATATTGGGGTTTAGTCCTTTGGTATTCTCATTGGTAGACAGACTGCTTGGGTAATAGTTAAGGGCCCGTTGTACTTTCATATTCATAAAAATCACATAGTTCACATATGTACCTAGTCTAGCCATAAATACTATAACAAATAAAAAAAAATATTTTTTCTATTGGAAATAACATTTATTACTTCTTCACTGCCAATCGTATGGACTGTTTTAGGGAGTCCAAATTATCATGACGTTTAGAGCAAGCCCTACTCTCTAAAACTGACCATAAATCATAATCCAGCGGATTAAGATCGGGACTAGACGACGGCCAGTCTTCAGCTCTGATGAAGTCGGAAACGTAACGTTCGTTTCCAACCAAGACTGCGTGGGCCGAGCTTTATGACCTGGCGCCGAGTCTTGCTGGAAGGACCATTGTTGGTTATAGAACATGGTGTTGTTAAGTGGCTTAACTACCTTCTCAAGAATGGTATTTTGATACACTTGTACCGATGTTTTGATACCTGTTTCGCAAAGGTATGGCTCAGCCACTCCTTCATAGCTAACACCCCACCAAACCATCACTGAAGTCGGATAATGCCCACGTTGCACTCTGTCGACTAATTGAGAAGCATCCTTAGAGCTTTGAGCATAAATACGGTCATTTTGTTTGTTAAAATGTTGCTCAATAGTAAAAAATTTCTCATCCGTAAAAAAATTTTTTCTGTGATCTCCCTTTGCGTACCGCTTCAGTAGTTGTTTAGATTTTATCACCCTATTCTTTTTTAAATTATCATTTAAAAAATGTCCAATGCGTCTCTTATAGGTTGTAAGTCCTAAGTCGTCTTCATCTCCCGAGATAAAATCTTTTGCTTTCGGACAGGATTTCTTCGAATTCTTTCCCTTACTGCTATGACCACCTTTTTCGTACGAACAATACGTGGACGGCCAGATCTTTTTCTGTCACAAACAGAGGTGGTCTCATTGTACCTATTAATAGCCCGGTACACAAACATTTGACTAATGCCAAGCGTGGCAAAATTGCATTTGGCTCCATACCCACTTTGTGTAATGCAATCACAGCGACTCTCTTTATCACCCCACTCCATTTTAATATCGCAAAATATTGAACAATTTATTGGCGCCAAAATAAGAAAACACAATAAAAAAATATATAAAAATAACAGATTCCAAATTCAAATGTAATATTTAGTTTATTTTTAATTGTAACAGCATTTATGGCCAGACTATGTATATGTTATTATTTTATAAAATGTTTTGGTTAAGTTTTTGTTCCTGTCCAATCCACAAGAAACACTAAGCACATACCGACTGACTTTTCAACTAAAATACTTAGGTAACCGCAACTCGGGTCTAATTACTTGAAGTATATTTAAGTATAATTACTTTCTATATTTAAATTGATACGATAACAAAGAGGTAAAATTTGTAAGTTTGTATGCGATAATTAGCGTGTGTATGCGTAAATCCCTGGATACATTACTTCAATACGCGTGCGAAGCCGCGGGCGGAAGCTAGTCTAGTATAATATAGCGGTACCCAGAAATGAAAAATAATCAATAGCAAGCATTAACCTTGAATATCGTCTTCATCGCCCCGGAGTTCGGTGCAGAGATAAAGAACATGGCAAAATGTCTGACGAAGCGTCCAGTTAGTGGGTTGCGGCCGCCCCCAGGAGGTGCGCAAGCGCATGAAAGCACCACGTCGAGAATATCCTTCCAGAATAACTTGTCACGGTCGTATAGGCCGCCGTAATCCAAAAATTGTCTGATTAGGAGAAAATAACAATAAATTCAATTCAATTAGATTAATTTAATTCATCAATCCCAAGCGAACGCCAGCGTTCGCTCACCTATTCATCTTCTTTTGTGTCTTGAATTACCACGATTGAAAGGTTAAGAAATCTTTCTCCTTATCACACAGCGTGCAAACTAATTAACACACTTTCCAGGATATTAAATGATTAATTGTTGTAACGGAAAAATCTCTATTCTAAACATATTTCATACCTCAAGAGCTCTATAGTTGGCTGAGCTCCATATATGTCCAACCGGGGCATATTTACATCATCAATAAATATGATTATTTTCTTTCCTAATGGCGCTCCCATAGCCTTCCGAGGTCTTTTGTCCAAACGCGACTCAATCACTGCCTTTAGGGAAAAAAAAGGTACCATATAAAATTCGTCTGTAATAATTTTTCTAATGAATTAAAAGACATATTTTTGTCCGCATTACCTGCGTTCTTCCACTGCTAGTTTGAGCGGAAAAATTCAATATGAATGGTATGTAATATCCGCCCAACGACATTTTGTTCAAAGTCTCTAATGCGATTACAGTTTTACCTACACCTGAAAATTAATTCATAACTTTGAATACACCATAACTTTATCAGCTTCAATACAGTACGTAAGCCTACCATTCATTAATTTAATTAACTAAAATATTAATTACATGGATGGACGTAAAATAAATAAAACCTTTTTGTATTTCAAGGAATAGGACCTTTTTTGTTCGTTGTAGTGACCTTAGCAACAGATTAAAAATATCATAATAACCTGTGTTTCCTGTAAACATGACAGGTTTCCCGCAACTCACAAGCTTCTCGAATAAGTATCCGTATCGCACAGTATCTATGGTTGGTACTAAAGTTTCGAAGAATGGCTTAGCAGAGTCATATAAGAAGTCAGGAATGATTTCAGCCCATACTTTTAATCTCCGCATTCGAGTATCCATGTACATGTCGAATAAATTGAAGCCCATTGGCGCGCTATAAAAAAGGAAATTATAGAAAATTTAGTTCAAACATATATGTGGCTTTGTGAGAATATAACCCTACTTCGGTTAACTCTTCGATATTATAGTGACCTTAAAGCCTTGAGCAAGAGTGGAACGTCTAGATGTGTACATACATTTTTCTATAGGGTACCTAAGGAACTTATATCTTCGCTGATAAGCATTCAAAGTCGGTAACTTGCAACTATGTTAATTGATTTGTTAATTAGACCCCGATGCTCTGTTCCCACAAAATGAAAGCTTTATATAAGCGGTAAGCTATTAACGACAAGGATTTTTGACGGTTCAGAAAGTAAATAAAAAAATAACTACAATTTTCCTTATTAGTTAAATATATGACATGTAAAACAACTAACTATTCAGCCTCCGCGTATTGTTCAAACTGTCTCTTGACGAGCTCTTCCAAGAGTTTTCTGTTTTCTTCCAGAATATTCCCGCCTATGCACCAAACGTAGCAGAATATGAAGCAGTGAGCTATGTACACTTTGATGGCAGCTTTATCCGGGAACCGGTCACCAGGCTCAGAGAGCAATGATTCCAGCAGAAAGCACACAGCTGACACTTTGCTGATATCCACCTGCACCCATAAAAGATAGGATTTTTAATTAGGTACTGAAAATACACTGGTGACTGAATCTGAACTAAAACGGAAAATCCAAAGAAGAACTATGCTTAAACCAAACAGGCTTAGGCCAAACAGTCCAGAAATATAATGATTGATTATTATTAAGTTACCTGTCTAATTCCAAAGCGGCATTTAGCGTTCACGTGTTGAACACCAACTTCTAGCAAATCGAACAATTCTAAAACAAACTCAGAGTTTTCCAGAGAGAAGAGATTTTTTTCTACTGCTGTATCGATCCACGAACGCACCATGGGCATGTAACCCATCTCATTCGGGTCTATGTACACCATTCCACAACGAGAGACCGTCGCTGGCGACGCTTGGGCAAGATCCGCGACCTACAATATTGTATACAATAAAAAAAATATTATTAAAAAAACAAAATACCCGACTGCACACTAAAAAAAGAGTAAAACAAGCCCCACAATACAAATTTACTGAATATAATTTATAAATGTTGATGGAAAGCATCGCAGGCGGGGACCAACAGAGGCTTATTTATAGTCATTTCTGTTGTGCACCATTTAGCAGAATTTTCGTTGGTGGCGGTCAAGGTGGTCCCCGCCTGCGATGCTTTCCATCAACATTTATAAATTATATTCAGTAAATTTGTATTGTGGGGCTTGTTTTACTCTTTTTTTAGTGTGCAGTCGGGTATTTTGTTTTTTTAATAATATTTTTTTTATTTATAACTTTTTAGCTGTTTTTTTAAAGGGAAATTTAGAAAAAATATTATTATGTCTTTATCCCGTGGGACTTTTAGGATAAAATGTATCCTATGACACTCCCGTAATCAAGACAAATCTAACGATACCTCATACATCAAAATCCATCAAGCCGTTTAGGCTACAGGAGGTCACAAAGGAAAAGACATACATACATACTTACATACACTCGAAAAACATTACCCTCCTTCTTTGGCAGTCGGGTAAAAACCAGAATTAGGTTGGCAACAGTGCTAAAACAACGTCGCGCAAAAGTAATTATTTTCTGAGCTTTTCAGGCTTGCTTGCTATTGTCGATTGTTTAAACAAGTTAGCAAAAGCTGTAGAAATGAATAAGGGTTCTGGTATTTGTTCAGCGTAACAATGTAAGCCGAGGTCGAGATATTCAGAAAAAACGGTAGTTTATACAATAGAAAACTTGTTGAAATGCAACAATAGCGAAAAATTACAATGGTTTCTCAGAAAATATATTTGTACTTATTGTAATTAATTAATCATAGGTAATCCGGATGTGTTTCAAAATCAATTGTACCTCAAACAACATGTGTACATAAGGCGATAGCTTGATTCTCTCAGAGTTGGAGAGACACAGCATCTTATTGTCATCCAGTACAGTGTTCATATTTTCTATCCATACCGCGTCGACGGGTCCATCACAAATCAACCATTGATGATCCGGTTCCTCGCACTAAATAATCACGAAAATATGGTTTCAAAATAAAATTCAAACAAATAAGGGGAAAAGCTCTCTTCTGTGAGAACAACATTATCATTTTCAGATCGAATACTGCAAATAAAATTCTGTTTAGTAGGTACTATATTAATCAGAGAGTTAAATAATTGTACAAAGAACAAAGCCATATGCGGCTACTTGTGAATGTTATGACAAGTGTTGAGATGATACGTCAATAGATTAAAAATATGTATATCGTAATTATTTATCTTCTAATCGCTGTCAACACTTACTTGAACAGCTGTCCGTAAACTTAAAGGCAGGATCCCGTCGTGCCATTCAAGCGTTTGTAGATTAACTTCACCATACAACTCTCCGATGGTAAGACTCTTCGGGTTCATAATGTACTTGCGCACTATTTGATTTTGTGGACCTGGGACTCCCATTGTACAAAGTTTAGAGTAAGTGTCACCTAGAACCTATAAGAGTTTTGATTGGTATTTATTGAATTGACTTTGAGTTTATTTTTAAACCTTGATCGCTATATGGCATTATTGGTTTAAGTTAGTTCATTGCGAAGTAGTCCCTGTTACAAGGCCAAGTAAATTAAATCAGAGTATATTAAACTTATTAATTATTGCTTCTTACAGACAAGACGACCGATTTTCCTCCACCAGTTGGGCCGACTAACATGACGCCCCATCGAACAATCATGGTTTCATGCAATTGAATCACTTTACGTATTTGACATTCTTCAACTTGATATTTATGCTCAGTTAGCACCTCCCCTGTGAGAAATTTATAAGGGTTAGAAGTTTTGTAGGTCGGATTAATTGTATGATGGCCTCCTAGGTCACTTAGGCCCCTTGGGAAAGATGGTGGTACAGTGGTCACGTACCTTAACACAGGCTTAAGGGAGACGCTAGTTTTCCTAGCGTATGTGCCGTAACAGGTTTCGCACCATGTCCGCTCCGGAATAGGTCTAGAAGAAGGGATGGTGTATACCATACTCCCTAGACTTTCGCCCAAAAAGTTTGGCGCTTTTTGAAGTTGTCCACCCGTAATCTTATCATATAAAAATGGCTAGAAAATGTGTTGGTAAGTCCATAATTAAGACTGCGGTGTATAAATAAACATAGAAAGTACATCTAACTCGTCATATAAGTCACATTCTTACGAGAAGCGGGCGCCTTAACCTACGGGCCACCACGACGCTTAAACCATTAATGAATTAATATTATTAGAAAATATTTTGATCATAAAACGACTTCTGAACTCACTGATAGCTTGGTCCATAACGCCGTAGTCTCTGTCAGGCAAACTGACGCCAGGAAACAGATCTGACAATATACCAGCGAACAAGATTGCATCCGCGGCGAGGAATTTTGGCAAATTGCTGTCGTTCAGTGCGCATAGAAGGGTCATCTCCTCGTGCTGGTCAGGACTGGCCCTTTTTAATGCTCCAGCCATCACCTGAACAGAATGGTAGTTAAAGTAGTTTTAATATACAGTCCTTATAAATTTTAATCTATGAGATTTGGGTAACTCGGGTCTGAATATCGCAAGAGACAAAATTAGGGTGACATTTTAGTTATCTTTGTTAATTAATTGGTGAAAAGTGTTCGTTAAATTTAACGTTTTGTATTGTAAGTACAAGTTTGTAATCGTACATCTGCCTACGCTTTGGAAAATACAGAGCTTAGTTTTCTACGGAAATTGTATGTTGTTTTATCTAGTTAGTTTGCTGCGAGTTCAGCGTTGTGCGGTTAGTTTCGATTACAGCACGCTGCAAATATTTGTTCGATCTGGGTTTGTATTGAGAAATGGGTGTTACGTTCGTGTTTGTACTCGCACCCTCAATACAGGAGATAAGCTAGTTAAAACTCGATAAAGAAAAATAAAACATTAACTATACGTGAACAGCTTTTAGTGAAAATCTGAATAAATTCGTCTACCAGATTTATTAAATGTTTCTTTCTCCAAGCAAAAAGTGTAGATTATGATTCCTAGCCGTGCTATTTGTGTATCAGTGAGTACCTATACTATTTGCGATTTTTTCGATTGGCAATATGGCTGCCACCATCACAACTTTGACATAGGACATATGTATTAATGATGTAAAGCTAGGTATACCGTTTTCTTACCAGACATCCACCACCAGATTTTTTATGTCCCCTGTAACTGCCAAATATTTAACGTTGTCAAATAGTGTGTAGCTACTTCTCTATTGGATGAAAAGACACGATGTTCTGGTATGCATAAGCCGGTAGCCTATTGGTGGCAGGTGAGTGTTACTATTTCAAATCCTTTCAGAAACCTTTTGACCACCATGGTCAGCTAAAGGCGACAAACGTTAAATTGGCTATTTTGCCAATGTCTAGCATAGCCGACTTACAAACGTCGTAATTAAGTACATTAAGTTTATCGTCTAAGCCGACCTTAGCGCTCAAAATTTTAAAAGGCGAGACGTTATGTTTCTATTATTTATAACAATAGAAAACATTATTAAAGTGAGAAATAAACTTACCAACACACTCTTCACAGCTCTCATTCCAAAATCGTAGTGGTCCTGTTTGGACAGCTGTTCGCTAGACAACTTGTACATCTGCACCATCTTTTTAGCTAAACCTTTCGAGGACTCAAAACCCTCGGAGTAAAGGATCACCTCAGCAATTAAAGCTAGAAAACCAAACAGAATTTACAGGTATATGTATACAAGGCCGATGTTCAGCCGAGGTTGCGGGGCTAGCGCAATAATTGCGGCTTCGGCCTGGAGTAACAGTAGGAAAGGGTTTTTTTAGTCCGTAAGACTCATGATACTCCTTCTCATCTCAGCCTGGGCGAAAGAAGACATTGAATTGATGATTGTCACCTCAAAAACAGGCATATTCTCCTAGGAGAGCCACACACGCATGGCACGAATATGTTAGTTTAACCGGAGTAAAATACGGCCTAGATAGACGTGGAACGATGCTTGCATTGCGTTTAGCCATACTCATCGCGGAATATAAGCCGACATTATAAGTAACGTACAAATCTTGCCGTGACTTAAATAATATTTATTCCTAGAAAAACTTGGTAATTGCTTACCATAATCTGGCACCATCATAGCAATAGGACGGAACAGAGCTTTTAGGTTATCAGGTAATTCAGTTCTACCAGCGTAACCAGGGTTCATTGTTATGAAGGCTGCACAACTGCGCACCAGTTTAATTTCACGCCCCTCGAACATAAACCTGGTGGAATAATGATAAGTAGTTAATTATTCACAAAATAACAAATAGTATAGATATCTTACTGACAATAGGTATAAATGCGAAAGTTACGATATTTGAATGTTTGTTACTCAATCACTTCACAAAGGCAGGACGGATCTGGATGAAATTTGGCACAGCATAGGATACATCAACATACCACGCCGGCGAAACCGGAAGCTATGGTGTAATTGACTGAAAATATATAACTGGACCAAAATGGTTTTTTTAAATGTCCTTCGTTACTGCGTTTATTATGATTATTCCGTTACTTATATGAAAACACACCTGTTTAGTCGGGCAACTTTTGCGTTTCTGATAGTGATCAACTGTTGAGCGATTACAGACAAAACTTCGATGTCGATGCGGTTGAACTCGTCGAAGCAACACCAGGCACCAGAAGTTGCGAGGCCAGAGAAAAAACGCCCCATCATTTTGTAATCCAAACCTTAAAGTATGCATTTAGAATTTATTATTGGACGAGAACGGGAATATACACAAAGCCTTAAACTTTTAAAAATAGTGTGACAGAAAACTCTTTGACATCATGACGTCAATGGATGGTTGTCAAACGTTGCCTAGAGATTGTAAATTTCGTCGTGAATTGTCAACACGAGTTGGTGTAATCGGTAAGGCGTGTGGATTACACCACAGAGACCCCGAGTTCGAGACCCGCCGTAAACATGAAGTTTTTTAGTTGATGGAAGTTTTGTCGAACTTTCTGGAATATTTGAGTGAAAGTAATGAAAAATTAAGGAGCGAGAAGGAGAATAAATAAAAATGAATAACGAAATTATTGGAAGGTTCTGGAGGCATGACGATCAAAAAGAATAACGAAATTGAATGTTCTAGAACCTGACCAGGGGTATATAAGCGGAACTGCGGCTCACCGCTGGCAGTTGAGTTCTAAGTCCAAAGCGATTCAGAAGAAAAGGAAGAAGTGAAAAGAAGAAAAGTGAGTGAAATAGTGAAGTACAGTGAAATAGTGAAGTGCAGTCAGTTAAGTGAGTTAAGTCAGCGTGAACAGTGAACGGCAAAGTTGTGTCAGTCGGCCGGACTCTGCTGGAGAGGAACGCCGATAACTTATCCGTATCCGTGGACGCTGTCACTTAAGTGCAATAGAAAGTCTGAAAACCGGTATTAGTGTTTAATTTCATCCAATCCCGTAACCCAAGCCCGCATAGTTAGGAACGTGACGTCAGGCACGTAACATTTGGTGTCAGAAGTGGGATTGGAGAAAAATGCCGCTAGTGCCGCAGGACGTAAGAGGAGTGAGTACCCGTGCTATGTCAGAAGCGCAGCGTGTGAGAGAAGAGGGTGCTGCAGCTCAAACCAGCGATGCAGAAGCCAAGCCTGTGCAGGTGGATCTTCTGCTACAGCTGCAGCAAATGATGGCAGAACACCTGCGGGAGCTGAAAGAAGATCAAGCGCGCCGCCAAGAAGAGCAAGCACGCTGTCAGGCAGAACAGCTGCGGGAGCTGAAAGAAGATCAAGCGCGCCGCCAAGAAGAGCAAGCGCGCCGCCAAGAAGAGCAAGCGCGCCGCCAAGAAGAGCAAGCACGCTGTCAGTCAGGACAGCTGCGGGAGCTGAAAGAAGATCAAGCTCGTCGCCAAGAGGAGCAAGTGCGTCGCTTGGAAGACATGCATAAAGATTTCACGAAGGGACTGCAAAAGGCTGTCAAACGGGTACAAGAAGTGGAGGAAGGTTTAGGCAAGTTGGAACATCGCGTCATGGCGATAGAGGAGAGATTGGAAGAAGAGATCTCCAAAATCAAGCAGGAAGTGACAAACCCAAGCCCTTTAAAGAGCCGAAGCCGTCTTGCAGCCGTTTTTGACGCCCCAAATGCGGCCTTAAGCGCAACGAAAGGGCTCAAGATTCCCCATTACGACGGAACAACATCCTGGACCGCGTTCAAGCTACAGTTTGAGACACTTATGGAGGCTTATGGTTGGACTCAGAAGGAAGCACAGTCAGCCCTCACCCTGGCCCTCCGTGATCAAGCGCTCTCAGTGCTGGAAGCTATCGGCGCAAGTGGAGATCTCAGCTTTAGTGCCCTCCTCGACGCACTTGAGGCACGTTTTGGAGACAGCCACCTCGAGCACGTGTACAGAGCGCAATTAAAAGAGCGTACTCAGCGTGATAATGAGAGTCTACAGCAATGGTCCGTGGAAATCGAGAAACTTGTGCGTCGAGCTTTCCGGTCGACTCCGTCAATGATTGAAGGCACGCTTCTCCAAGCGTTCATTGACGGTATTCGGGACCCCGAAGTACGAGCTGCTGTTCATCTGGGCCATAACAAGAACATGAAAGAAGCTCTGGCCCATGCATTGGAAGTGGAAGCCGTGCGTGGCAACTCCCGTACCTTACGTCTGCGGGAAATGACGACAACGGAGCAGGTACCTCCACGCCGTCGGAACTTCATGTGCTATGGATGTGGAGAGCGTGGGCACATACGGAGCGACTGCCCGAAGAAGATGAACCGCAAGGACGCGGCGGTCTCAACTTCTGACCAGCAGGGAAACTTAAATCCAGCCAAGGCTGCGGGGTGGGCGCTGGCTGGTAGTGGAATAACCCCAACAATCTACATCAAGCAAACTAACGATGGAAATACCCTGGTGATAGACGGTCAAGTAAATGGGAAAAACAGTCAGCTAACATTAGATACTGGAGCTTCAAGGACGGTGATAAATGTTCGGCTGCTCGAGCAAAACATCAGGAAACACCTTAAACCAATTGTTGGCCTACAAATGAAATCAGCTACCGGCCAGTGCATACCGATAAGTGGAAAACTGCATGTAACAATCAAAATTGGGGAACGTGTTTATCGACATGAGGTTATTGTGGCCAGAATTCTGGATGACTGCATCCTGGGACTTGACTTCCTGCAAGGGCACCAGTGTAACATCGACTTAAAATCTGGAGTATTACTATGTGGAACTGAGGAAATTCCGATGAAGGGTGGAACCCTGGGAAAAGTTTGCTGTTTAAGAAGAACTGTTCTTGCACCAAAATCACAGACTCTCGTACCAATCGCATTACCTAGGAGGAGGGAAGGAAGTTTACCTCGAAGGTGCGCTGTGATTGATAAATCGGAACACGTGAATTCATGGCTACCGGCAAGAACTGTCGTGGGGTCATCTGATGTTAACCGCATTCCGGTATTCAACTTCAGTGATTCAGAAATTACGATTGAAGAAGGAGAGCCTGTGGGCGTATTGGAAGAAGTGGCCTGGATAAGAAAATGCTCGGAAAATCTTGTGAAGAAGGACAGTACGGGAATAGACTTTGTAACGAAAATCTTAGACGAAAACAAAAGTCTGACAAAAGTGGAGACTATGAAAGCTAGAAATTTACTTCTTCGATTCTCTGATGTGTTTTCAAGAAGCGATGGTGATATTGGCCGAACTGGTTTGGTGAAGCATAAAATAAACACAGGTGATACAATGCCAATTCGTCAAAGGCCCAGACGTATACTATTCGCTCGTGAGAAAGAAGTTGAAGAAATGATTGACGATATGAGGAAAAATGACGTGATAGAGCCCTCTTCTAGCCCTTGGTGTTCACCTGTCGTGCTTGTCAAGAAGAAAGATGGTTCAACGAGGTTTTGCGTAGACTATCGACGATTGAATGATGTAACCAAGAAGGATAGCTACCCGTTACCAAGAATCGATGACACACTTGACACACTGAGTGGCATGAAATGGTTTTCAACGCTCGATCTGAAAAGCGGCTATTGGCAGGTGGATTTGGATCCCAAGGACAAGGAAAAGACCGCATTCTCAACTGGGAAGGGACTCTGGCAATTTAAGGTGATGCCATTTGGATTATGCAATGCACCGGCAACCTTTGAGCGTTTGATGGAACAGGTGCTGGCGGGACTGCTGGGCGAAACTTGCCTAGTTTACCTCGATGACATCATCATTGTTGGACGGGATTTTGACGATCATCTAAGGAAATTGGAAAAGGTACTCGATAAGCTGCGTGGAGCAAATTTAAAGTTGAGTCCAAAGAAATGCTCTTTCTTCAAGCGCGAAGTGAATTATCTAGGACATGTTATTTCTGAGAGAGGAATTGAGACTGATCCAGCCAAGACTGCCGCTGTTAAGGAATGGCCGACACCTAAAGACAAAACGCAAGTTCGGGCATTTCTTGGATTGTGCTCGTATTATCGGCGGTTTGTGAAAGGATTCTCGGACATTGCCAAGCCTTTGCATCGATTGACAGAGGAGAAACGTGCCTTTATCTGGGACGAGGATTGTGAGCAAGCCTTTCGAGAACTAAAAGAACGGCTTTGTAACACACCAATTCTCGGATACCCCAGCGCGAAAGGAATATTCGTAGTTGATACGGATGCCAGCAATATTGGAATAGGAGGTGTCCTTTCACAACGCGATGGTGAGCAGGAGAAGGTTATTGCTTACTTCAGCAAGTCACTATCCAAGCCGGAGAAGAATTATTGCGTGACCAGGAGGGAATTGCTGGCCGTAGTCAAAACTCTGCACCATTTCAAGAAGTATTTACTGGGACGGAAATTTTTGATCAGAACTGATCACGCTGCTTTGAAATGGCTACTTCAGTTTAAGGATCCCGAAGGCCAAGTAGCCAGATGGTTGGAACAACTTCAGGAATTTGACTTTGAAATCGAACATCGCGGCGGAAGAATTCATGGCAACGCAGATGCATTATCGAGACGCCCATGCGTGGAAGATTGCAAGCATTGTGCCAAGAAGGAAACTGCTTTTCTTAAGGTGATAAGGACTGATACTGTTGACGAGGCATGGGGAGATGATGCGATGAAATTAGAACAGGAAAGAGATGCAGATATTAAACCAATACTGGAGTGGCTACGAAGTGGTAACAAGCCAAGTTGGAGTGACGTCGCCCAATATAGCGCGGTAACGAAAGGTTTATGGGCACAGTGGAAAAGCCTTACGCTGCATAACGGACTTCTGTGCAGGAAATGGGAATCAACAAACGGCAAGGACGAGCATTTGCAATTGGTGGTGCCTCGTTCAAAAATAAGGGATGTATTAAAAGCGTTCCATGATGGATCTTCTGGAGGACATTTGGGAACTAGGAGGACTTTGGTGAAGATCAAGGCGAGGTTTTATTGGTTGCATTGCAAATATGACGTCGAAGATTGGTGCCGGAAATGCACTAGTTGTGCAGCTGTCAAGGGTCCACAAACAAGAAGCAGAGGGGCGATGAAAATCTACAATGTTGGTATGCCTTGGGAGAGAATAGCCTTAGACATCGCTGGACCATTTCCAATCACTGATTCGGGCAATCGCTACGTTTTAGTGGTTATGGATTATTTTACAAAATGGCCGGAGGTCTTTGCCATACCGAATCAAGAGGCAGTAACTGTAGCCACGAAGTTGGTAAACGAGGTATTCACCCGATTCGGAGTGCCCTTGGAGATGCACAGTGATCAAGGACGGAACTTTGAGTCCCAAGTTTTCCAGGAAACTTGTAAACTTTTGGGAATCCATAAGACTCGAACGACCCCTTATCATCCACAGTCAGATGGAATGGTCGAACGCTTCAACCAAACATTGGAGCGACACTTAGCAAAGGTGGTTGACAGCCATCAGAGAGATTGGGACACTTACATACCTCTCTTCTTGCTTGCCTATCGGACTGCTGTACATGAAAGTACCGCAAAGACGCCTGCATTTGCAAATTTTGGAAGGGAATTGAGATTACCGGCAGATCTTGTATCGGGCTGTCCACCTGGTGACTCTCGCACCGAGTTTAGCGATTACATAAGCGAGTTAAGGGCAAAAATGTTGGACATTTATGAGCAGATCAGGGAGGCCGGTCTTCAAGCTAGTGATCGCGCAAAGACGCGCTATGATCGACGAGCCAATTCTGTTGGGTTTGAAGAGGGGTCATTGGTCTGGCTTCATAATCCAGTCAGAAGGAAGGGAAAATCTCCAAAGCTGCAACCGAGTTGGGAAGGTCCTTACGAGATAGTCACGAAGATCAATGACATTACTTACAGAATTCGGAAGTCTTCAAGGAGCCCTTTGAAAGTTGTCCATATAGACAGGTTGGCGAGGTATTACGGCAGCAACGATGCTCGGGACGAGCGAATCTAAGAGGGGGGCAGTGTGACAGAAAACTCTTTGACATCATGACGTCAATGGATGGTTGTCAAACGTTGCCTAGAGATTGTAAATTTCGTCGTGAATTGTCAACACGAGTTGGTGTAATCGGTAAGGCGTGTGGATTACACCACAGAGACCCCGAGTTCGAGACCCGCCGTAAACATGAAGTTTTTTAGTTGATGGAAGTTTTGTCGAACTTTCTGGAATATTTGAGTGAAAGTAATGAAAAATTAAGGAGCGAGAAGGAGAATAAATAAAAATGAATAACGAAATTATTGGAAGGTTCTGGAGGCATGACGATCAAAAAGAATAACGAAATTGAATGTTCTAGAACCTGACCAGGGGTATATAAGCGGAACTGCGGCTCACCGCTGGCAGTTGAGTTCTAAGTCCAAAGCGATTCGGAAGAAAAGGAAGAAGTGAAAAGAAGAAAAGTGAGTGAAATAGTGAAGTACAGTGAAATAGTGAAGTGCAGTCAGTTAAGTGAGTTAAGTCAGCGTGAACAGTGAACGGCAAAGTTGTGTCAGTCGGCCGGACTCTGCTGGAGAGGAACGCCGATAACTTATCCGTATCCGTGGACGCTGTCACTTAAGTGCAATAGAAAGTCTGAAAACCGGTATTAGTGTTTAATTTCATCCAATCCCGTAACCCAAGCCCGCATAGTTAGGAACGTGACGTCAGGCACGTAACAATAGAATCTCCTATTCCCCATTTGCACGGAATAGACCCATTTGTTTATTTAAACATGTCTTTTCCGTATTTTATCTTGCGTCATGTTCATATACAAAGGCACAATCTCACATACACATGACACCCAGACCCGATACCATAATTTATAGATCACTCATATGGGTTATTCCGTGCGGGAATCTAATCCGATAGACGTTGTGCAACAACCAGATACCCTGTCACTACGATAACCACGTAGCATACGATTTACAAATATATTTTTTTATAAGAAAGTAAAAATTAGATGTTCAGTATACCTTCAGAACAGTTGAACACAACGCACTGTATAGCGACAGCCTTGGCCATATCTTTGGTGGTTTCTGTTTTCCCCGTGCCCGCTGGTCCGGCCGGAGCTCCTCCCAAATCCAATTGTAATGCTCCCATGAGACACAAGTAACAGCGATCAGTCAATGGCGTTATCACAAGCACACCTATTTGAAAAACAACAAAGGCAATTGTGTAAGTATGTTAGTAAGATAATCTTATTTCTTTTTAATTTAACGCACCTGCTGCTCCCAAATATTCATGTCCATAAACATACATAGCACTTGACATTCTAGCTACACAATTGTCTATATCTTCTTCCCAATAGTAACGAATCATTTTTAACCATTCGAAATCCACCCTAGAAAATTGCAAAATTAAATCGTTGCCTTCTACTCGTTAAGAACAAGGGGTTTATTCCAAAAATATGTTGGAATATGTCATTTTTCATTAATATAAATATTATTATGGCATTAAGTTCTACAGTGTTAATGTAGTTCCCTTATACTTACGCTCGTTGAACATGTTTCTGGACCATATGCGTAATAGTATCTCTTGCATGCACATCTACAGTGATAAGGGCGCAGAGAACTTTTCTGAACAAAGGATTGATATCAGCTCGTGTGAGCGCTGCCAAGTCATTTAAATCCGATACACACTTCTTTTCATAATCTATTAGGCCAGTATCAATGCGGAGGGGGATTCCTAAATCGAATATTTCGTGTACTCCTTTGGCCCACATCACTTGGGATACTGCCAGAATAATCTGTTACCCGTGTAAAATATGAAATTAGTACCAGACAAACAATGGGAATGTAGTCATCCTTAATAACTATATTTACCTGATTAGGATGCAATTGGACCCATTTTACTCTTGGGCGTAGCTGGAAGTCTTTGAGTGCGTGTTTCATGCATCTCTTAACTGACGCAAACATTGCTTCCTCAACTTTGCCAAGCCAGTCTTCTACGTTTCCACGCGCTTTGAGGCCCTGTTGCGTTAACAATAGTTAATAATCGGAACAAGTCAGAAGTAATTTATTATCACTCTACATTGGAGTATCTTCTATGCAGTTTTAAATAGTTTTTGTTGTTGTTGAAGTCAATAGCGGCCAGCAGCGTATACTAATACAGAATTGTGAGAGGTGATCGAGAAAAGGAGGATTTATTACCTTGCCCAGATTAACTCTTTCTCCTTCAGGTGACAGCATGGCTACAATATCTGTAGTTAGATCCTCTGGCTTAGCAGTCTTAGCTAGTTTAGCTTGGAGCAAGTCCCTTGCCATGAACGACATTTCTCTTTCCGCAAGTCCACCTTCGTCTGTTATAATCAGCTCGCTTTCCGATAGCTTCACGCCAAATTCCAGTTTAGCGATAGCGTCGAAGCATTTACGTAAATGTGGTTGTACAGCATGCGGGTTACGTGTCTGGATAAAAAATAAGCTACTTTAAAAAATAAATACCTCATATTTCAACGGTTATTAGGTTAAGTAGCTATTAATTTAATTCATGTTTAAGTAATAATGGGATACATAGTCACATCAACATATCTAATTGTCAGATGCTTATGCTCTAATAAGCACAAACTTCAGGGAAAACCGATTAGCGTCTAACTGCAGTACAGATAGATTACAGCCGCTACAAGACATATATAGGTGTAATGTTAGTCGAATCTACAAAAGAACAACATTCATAAATGTAAAAGCTAAATTTCAATATTACCTGAGCTAAAATCTCTAACAGTTCATCGTTAGACAAAAAGAAGAATCTTGGAAAAGCCACACGTTTAGTCTCTAAATAGGCTTCGAGACATTTCATGATTTGATCAAGCATTTCATTATTTTTAACAAATTCTTCGTAAAGCTTAGGCTGAGTGGTTGCTGGCATCGCCAAAGGTACCTAGATGGAAGGGTAATTAGTAATAACTACAAAAGGGTAATTAGTATTAACTACTAACGGCCCGCCCCCGCTTCGCACGGGTCCGACTATCTCGCTATCAAAGGCTCACTTTTTGATAAGAACCTTCTCCTGACAATAACAAACACAACAAAAAAAGAATTAGCAAAATTGGTAAAGGCGGTGTTGAGTTATGCGCTTACCAACACATTTTGCGATCCATTTTTATATATAAGAAGATAGGAAGTAGACACCTAACAAAGATAATTCAACTTGTATTCGAGTACAATATAAAGTGGACAGCCACTACAAATTACAAATAAATAATTGGACAATGGTTGACCTATTTCAGTTTTAAAATGAGCCATTCTTAAGAAATGTTGCACATAATTAACTTCGCCGTATAATAAATACAGTAAATGAAAGAAATGAAACCCTACACTTTCACGGATATCCTCAAAGTTAAGATCTGACTTAGCGAATATATATTTCACAGAGAGGAGCACTCTCTAATGAACCTCGTCATTTAATCATGGTTGGGGTTATGACAAAATCCCTCTTTTGTGATTTTTGGCATAGATCGACAAACGAGCAGTCGGATTAAGCATTCAGCGTCGCTCGTAGACGCTCGTAATCCCAAATCAGATTATTGCATGAGCGTTGTCGGCATTCTGTAGGTTATTTATGGACAGGGGATTTGGGGATTGAGGATGAGGAAATGTTGAGTCACACCTGTATTCTGTAAGGCCGTGGTATCACTCCAGTGGGGCCGCCCGCTCGCCCCGAAGCGCAGATTTCTATTAGACTTTTTCTAGACGTAGAGTCCACCATTGGACTATAACGGGTTGTTGGTGTATTAGATATATTAGTCTTACCTTGGCTAATTTACGCATGATGTCCTTCCAGGACTTGTCTACCATAGTGAACAGTCTTGTTTCATTAGGCAACTGTCTCTGAATATCGGGAGCACTAAATATCACCTCTAAATACATCCAAGTTTGTTGGCAGGTATACCATTCTTCCTGTGAATAGTAAATATGTAAGTAAGAAACCAATCTATACCTAAAATCAAATGTCTTGAATAATCTATTTATCGAAGGCCATACTCAGGAAAGCCAGTTTAAAAATTGTATATGAAAAATTAAAAGTTGTACTCTTAAAGATTTTTTTTACCAGGGTTTTGGAGAACAGTTCCAAGTTTCTATCCCATTCTTCAACCCTACTTTTGATCGGTCCACAGTTGCGGGAGCTGAGTATAGTGCTGATGTGAATGTTGCTTTCATCAACACACGCCTGGATTTCCTCGAGACCGCCAAGCACGTATACATCTTTCGCGTCCTTGTGTAATATTACAGGGAACTCCAGAGATGCCCACATTTCTTCAACCTAATAATGCATATAACACATCCATAATTATTACAAAAAAATAACCGCTAACAGATCGCCCTGGACTTAGCTATTTATTTACATTGGGTTTTCGTCTAAATATCAAAACTATAAAGATGGAAATGTAATTTGACAATAAGGACCAGGTTGACCAGCTGGCTGGCAGCTAGGGTATATGAAATATTCTGTGTATTCCACATAGTAGAGGTTCGGCAAAGTAACGTGAACTAACTTATTCATAAAATCTTCATCCTCATTAATAAACCGAAAAATATTAATAATAATTTGTCCAATCAAATATACAAAAACTACAAACCCAAACAAACAATTCATTGAATTGTTCTAGTGATGATACAAAAAGTAAAAGTTGATATATGATTTGAATTTTTACCTTCTTAAGTAATGCTTCCAGCCCAGCTTCAGAGCTCGCTTGTCCAGCCACTTCCATCAGTTCTTCAGCATGTTGGAAAGCGTGTAAATCCTCGAATACTTGCAATGTTAGTTCCATATTTGGCGTGAATCGTGTGTGAAGAATTTCTTCGATTTTCACCCAATGCCGTGGCTTCAGGGCTGGGTTTCGGAGATACGATATAACAGGAAGCTAAAAATGCAAAATATAATCCAATTATTTCGGGCATCGAAGGCCCAAAGACAATAACTTGAAATATGCAAACACAATATCATAATTAACTCATTAATGTACAATAGTTCTGTATATGTAATAAAAGCATGTCATTTAAACCTCAAGAGGTCGGAAGTTCATATGTGTGAAGTTGCACTCTATCATCCCTAGTTCTATAACAAGTTAATTGTGTTAGAAAGTTAAGTAATGCAGTTAAAAATGAAATAAAATCAACTGCGGTCCATGCAGTTTTTGATAATTTAAGTACTCTTACTGTACTGGGCGATTGGGTTTTTAAGAGACGAAGCCTTTAAATAAATAATAATCAAAAAGTTCTGCACTTAGAGCTTAATATTAATTTACGTTCAAAGTTTAAAAAACATACCTTTTCTTTAATGATGTCTACAGTTGCCTTGCATTTTGGCACGATTTTGTTTGGAGGGATACCTTTATCCAGTTGGTTAAATACCTTACCAAAGTTGACAGTGATTGTTTGAATTTCATCAACGTCTAATTTGTTGAATGGACATTCACACCTGATAATAAACATATTCACAGTTATTTAACTTGTACATCATTCGGGTGCATACAAAACTTTAAGTCTGTTATCGATACGTTAAATTCGGTAGTTTCAACGGAGAATCTGTTACTGGTGTTACGATAATTTCCATTCCAACCCATAAATCGAACAAAAAACTCTTTAGTTGGCTCTTTAGGGAGTTATTGATGATAACTTTTAGAGAAATTGGTAGGTATATATCAATCAGGATAATGTATGATCATTTTAATAATCTTACCAATGCTTATACGTGTCGTTCCATTCCTTAGAAGATTGCCACAATAGCTGTCTAAGTTTAACATCGTTGACTGCTTCATCTAATTGTTCCAGTCGAGCTGGCGGTATCTACAAATTGAATTTATTCAACAGTTACTTTTGCATATGCGTAACTATGGTCTTTCATTAATATAGTTACATTTAGTGTTAACTTTTGGTCTGCGGTTTCATTCCCGTAAAAAGAAATAGGGGCGAGTAAATATCCAGATACAACCGTTTTAGAAAAGTACCACAAAAACGCTTACAGTTCTGTAGCATGGCTTTAAATATTAAGTTTAAGCGGTCATAATTCAGGGTAGCAAAGAAATGGCGGTATGTCCTGCTTGGGCTGAGAAGCCTTTGTCCTCAGGGAAGCGCTTGGTGGCGGCAACCTCTCGAGTAGTCTGGGCTAACCCAGGCCATTGTGCAGACCAGTCTCCTCCGTTTGCGAAGTAGCCATACTAGCTATGGTGGAAGAGGACTGTTTGTAGCAATGATGCTTCTGACGCCCTAGCCACTGCAGGGGACATTCCGGGCATCGGGCATTGAGAAACGATCTCCGGCACATGTAAGCGCGGTTCTGTGGAATGGGAGCCAGGGTAGCTTGCCGCCTGACCAAAACTAGAGATGAGCGTGCAACGCTATTTCAGTCCCCATTCAGTTATGTATATTAAGATTTATGTATGTTAAGAATGTTAAGAGACAAATGTATCTATGAGTATGAATATTGAATCCTAAGATTTACACCGATGTAAAAGTTTTTAAAACGTTGGATCTTTTGTTATCCTTACCTTGAATATTTTCTGCCATTCTCGTATTTGCTTCTCCCTTGCTGAGCACGCATTGAGCTTCTGTTGTAACTCTTGTAAGGCTGCCAATACTTTATCTGTCTCTGATTTTTCGTCGTAGAACCACGGTTGCTAACCAAAAAGAAACAAAGCTCAAATACAATCCAGGTACTGGGGGATAAAGCGCTATAAGACTCGTAGAAGTAGGTGTTGAACGAACGGGATGGGGTTTTTGTCGAAGCCTAAGACTTCAAGCCTCATCTATGGCGGGAAAAGCCACAGATGAATTAATCCCTCGAAACACGCAGCGGGTAGGTATGTAAGGATGAGTGAAAAAGGAAAACGTGGCATTCTTACCGCAACTTCCTCCCTCAGTTTGTTAACATCCAACATCAGATCCATAATATCCTTGCCAATTTGACTTGCAAATAGTCCTGCCAACTTATTTCGTGTCTCGAGTCGTGCGTCAACATTAGTCCGAAGAGTTCCCAATGCCACACTCAACCCTAAGTATTATTAATATAGGTAGACAGTTCAAATCATTGAAATAAAATTAAATATTGAATACAATACTTGATATTTTAAGAAAGATAAAGATATATCCGATCCGCGTACTCTGTACCGCCTCATGTATAGCTTTATGTTCTAACCTTGAAACCTGGACTTCAACGATTATTTTAATTATTTATGAGACATATATTAATAAATATTATTTCTGTATAAATACGCACCTAAGTATTCAGTCATGTCATCAGGCGATATCGGTATATTAAATTCTCCCATAGTATCGTAAAGTTCTCGAAGATACTCTAGCCTTTCTTCCAGGTATGCAACACGGGCTTCCAGACCATCCATCATAAAGTTAAAGGCAACCAGTTCTGCAGCAGTTTCAGGTTCTTTAATGATATCGTTGTTAATATTTTCAATTCCTTGAACTATTTCTTCTATGCAGGCGTGACCGATCCTATACAAAATATGTAATATGTGATTCGTTATAGGCAAAAGAAAAAATATCCGACTTGGTCTATACATTAAATTAAGCATTACTTACTCAGGTGTGGTAAGAGCCACAACGTCAAAAAGTTTCCTCGGTTGCGGTCTGAATAGTTCTTGGAAGGGACTTAGACACAAAAACAGCAGACCCAAGGGTTGGTAGCACAATACATTTTCTATAGATTCCATTTGTTTAACAAACTCGTTACACATTTCTTTAAACTTGAATACGTCTGTTTCCTGCTTGATGATATTAATGTCGATTGCACAAGATTTACTATAATCATCTTTGTACGGTTGAAAACGAGCCAGGAAGATCCATACGACCTCATATGCATATTTAATAGCATAAGGTATGTATGCTAGATCATCCAACATATCTTTGTCTTGATTCATGAGGAAGTACAAATTCGGCGACACTCCGGCTGACCAGTCTACAGGTTTCCCCATTATCGTGGGCTGAACAAATATTTGCAGCGTTTCATCGTTTAAGAAATTATGGAATGTGCGCACGTACTCCTCCCAGTAGCTCGTAATTTTTTCAATATAAGTTGTCACTACTTTCTCGCTGGGATTTAATTCCATCTCACCAGATGGTAAAATGTAAGCATCTACTTGGAACAAAGCCCACTGTGAAACGGAACGTAAAGTGTCATTATACATAATTATAAGGCAAAAACCTCAATTTTAATTAACCTTTAAAAAAACCCATACCTTGCACGTTTCTGTGACACGTGGCAATTCTTCTAGTACCTCTTCCACATTGTTTCCCTCCAAAAGCGATAGAGGTGGAGTGAAATTAATATGAGTGCGGAGCATATCCGACATCATTTTGTTTGATCGTTTTGTTAAGCGATACAGCATGTAGTTCGTCATATAATCCGCCAACTTTATGAAACTGAGAGAATAATATTTATAATTTTATTAATGTTTCAAGCAAATCATTTTAACTTCTATCATTACTTCACCTACGACTCAGACTGATTTTCTAATTTAATTTACTCTTTCAAAATAAAGTAGTAAAGCGTTTGTCTGTTTTTTTTTGATATTGATACATACACGAGTTTTTTATTTAATATGCTAGTATGGTTTTACTTTCAGTTTATCATGGGGAGAAAAAGAATACCCACTGACTTTACCGCGCCGATGCAAGCGGTATGTATGTTGAACTTGAACTGACTGAAACCACCGGGTTACCTCGCTTGTTCGATTGCCGCCGGGCAATCAGATTCATCCGACAGAAGGTATCCCTGATCACTTACTTGATTGTTCAACTAGTTGGAGGGACAGATAGAAGAGCTCACACTGACAAGCACTAATCCTTGGATCTCTACCAAGGCAAACGGTGACTCGTATGTAAACTGTTACGCTCAACAACGACTATCTCAATTTCATCATCGACAGCTCGTGCGCTTTTTAGAGAGCCTCAAGCTTTATTAACTTTTTCTGCCAATTTTTCTCTTATCAAAATTATAGAACTCCAACAAAAAAGTGGCTTAATTTTGATTTAAAATATAAATTTATTATTTAACAGACGGTCTAAAACTCCCAGGATGTAAAGAGCAATTCAATATGATTCCTAAAGCTACAAGGCCAAAAGCAAAATAATTAAACTACTACACTGAACCAGATCTTACCACGCTAATCTTTCGCAGTATTTTCTTTTATTGGCTTTCTCTGTGTAGGACATTCCTCCTGTGGGTTTACCTCTGATGATTTGGAAGGGTGGGATATTTCTGTCATCATACACGAACCCTTGCTGGTAAAGAGCTGTGTGACAAGATTGGGTGATCACATCCAGAACCACAGTGCGGTATTCCAATAACTTCTCTCTAATATATTCGATTTGTTTCATCTGTAATATAAACCCGTATTTATAACTAACGTATATATGTAAGTTAGAAAATGTATAATATACCTACTAGCTTCCGCTCCCGGCTTCGCCCGCGTGGCAACATGATAAAAAGAAACCTATGTCCTAATACGGAGTGTATACTATGTCGGTGCCAATGCCAAATTTCATCCAGATCCGTCCGGCAGTTAGGGCGTGATTGAGTAGCAAACATCCAAATATCCAAACATCGAAACTTTCGCATTTATAGTAAGATTAGTAAGATAAGATAATAGGTAACTATTGCTACTACCTACTACTCTACTCCTACTCAACTTCACAATAATGACAAAAAGGATGAAATCGAAACTACAATTTGGAACGAGCACCTAGCTTCACTGACTAATAGACTGCCAGACTACTATTCTATTTTGACGTTTCAAAAGTACCTATTTATGGTTTGATGGACAAAGAAATGGTGAATTTTACAACATTTTACCTGATCTTCGATGAAGTAGAAGAATGCAGTATCCATATCTCTGGACAAATCAGCAAATGTTTTTGAGTACATCTCACAACACATCGCCTGTATGCTAAGCAGTGCCTTGCCTAGGACTGGCGTCAAGATGAAAAGGTTCTTTGCCAACTTATTACGTATCTTAGTATATTTTCTAAACATGATAGACTTCTTCCAAACATAAAATGCTTTCCAATATCTATATAGTTTAAAAAACCTAATCTGAAATCGGTTATCACAATTGTTTAACTATCGCTTAGATATACAAATAACGATAAATATATAAAATTCTGAATAATATGCCTTTAAGTCTACATAATAATCATAATTATTCTTACATCAGTTAGCTTAACAAAAATGGTATACTCTTGTTCCCAAGCAGGAAGTTTTGTAAAGACCATCTCATTGGAGTAGTGTGTGACCCCACACGGACTAATTGTAAAATAATTTCGTTTGTCAATGTTCTCATAAGGCACGACTCTGGAAGTAAGAATTTAAAGATATCATTCTGTGAAAACAAACAAAAAGATACCCACGTATCCAGTAAAAATAAATAAAAATCCGGTCTGATATACGTCTTCGGAGAAACGGCTCGATAACATTTAGTGAACTTGGTGTCAATTTATGGTTTAAAAGATATTTTTTTTTTAGGTAGTTACGAACACTATATATGATCTGAATATAAACAAACCAAACTATCTAGTATAATTTATCAGTTGCCTTATAGAAGAAACCAGCTACCGCCCGCGGCTTCGCCCGCGTGGCATGTTAATAAAAATAGCCTATGTCCTATTCCGGAGTGTATCCCATGCATGTGTCAAATTTCATCCAGATCCGTCCAGTCGTTTTGGCGTGATTGAGTAACGAACATCCCAACATCGTAACTTTCGTATTTAGTTTTAATATTAGAAATATAATAAGAAGTAAGATAAGATACAAGTTACCGAAAACATAGACTTGGACTAATTTTGCAGAAAATAAGAAATATATTAATCCCTATAGTCGATATATATATAAAAGAAAGTGTTAGTTACACTATTTATAACTCAAGAATGTAGAGGTACAGTAGGGTAGGTAGAATAGGGTAGGTGGAGTAGGGTAGGTAGAGTAGGGTAGGGTAGGTAAAGTGGAGTATGTAGGTATAGTAGGGTAGGTAGTCAAATGACGGGAGCGACGCCGCGGGTAAGAGCTAGTTAGAAATAAAAGGTGCTTACTGGAGGTAATAAGGAGTAAAATAAACGTTCTGTGGGTCGACAGCATATATCATGTACAGGAAACCGCAAGACGGGTTGTTCCTCACGTGGTTAATCACGTCTGTTTGAGATGCCACCGGTGGTTTAACTTTCAGGGGGTCATTAGTGTGCCATTCGGTCTCATTCAAACTTTTGTTCGAATCCTGAATCATGAGTTTCCGTTTCTTCTTGGTACCACTAACACTAGTACCTGTAGACAAAATTATTTAGCGTCTTTAACAGATACTTGAGTTGAATAAACGTATGTTTTTATATTTTGGGACCCTTATTATCTACGTATCTAAATAATGATATCTGAGTTACTATGAAACTATCTAAACATGCGTCTGTACTGAACATAGCTCAGGAGAATGCAGCATTTTTTACCGCAGTACTAGTAGCAAGCAGTAGCAAGAAAAGGATTTTGCCTATAATGATGATGTGGTGATGTGAAACTAAATTAATTTCATAGTTTCGTGCCGAAGCAGTGGCTTTCGCACACTTATTACCTATTTACATAAAAACTACTTACTCTCTGTTTCTATGTCTTCTACATGAAATCCTAGAGGCAGTAAAGTTCCTGACTTTCGTTCTTTTTTTAATCGATTCTCTTGAGCGGCTGCGAATCCCGTCTGTAGTGACAAAAGCCACAAATTTATTAATTCAGTTTTTGGAGGTAATATTAGCAATTATTTGCAAAGGATTCCATCAAATTTTAAGTAAGTACCTAATAAGGTACACCCACAGATAATAAAGTACCAAACTAAAACACTACTCGGTAGGCCAGACTTGTAAGTTCCTTCGTTAGTTTCCGGTGTTACATAGAATTCCAGGAATATTATAATATCTTCTATACAAATAGGACTTCATGATTTTACCTAAAAAAGAATACATACCAAAGGTTCAGGTTCCTTTCTTACATATTCAATTTTCTCCAGTAGCTTCTTGTGCGGCAAATGAAAAGGCATTTCCCGTGATTTTCTGAAACATACAATTTTGACTGAAATTCGTTGACTCACACGCTTTTAACAAATTAAACTCTCAAGTTCTGCTAAAACAGAAATTGCCGTGCCCCTCATTAAATAAATACGTGAGTAGTAGCAACACTGACTATTCATAACTTTTGCTCAGCAAATTGATTCATGAATGTGCATTTAGTCACTATAGAGTTAATTAAGACCTCAGAAATACATTCGTTGAAATAAATTACGTTTGGAACGTACGTGTTGGTTCCTATTTTAGCATTTAATAAACAGTTCAAAAGACATGAGAGTGGGTTCAGTTTTCATACAAATGAATAAATTAAAATAACCTAAAAGACGATAAGAGGTTTTCATTCCAATTTTTTTGTGGGGGGGAGAATCTGTAAATGACTTTTCCCGCCCAGGGTGAGGCGAGAGGAAGTGTCAGATCCACCCCTCCGTTCCTCCTTTTGCTGTAGGCTAGGCTGAGGCCGCGATACTTTATTGCGCTAGCCCCGCAACCCCAGCTGAACATCGGCCCTGTTGGGTACCGTCTTTGGTGGTCGATTGGCGCGCGTCGCCTATCTTTGAAGCGCGCGCGAAACGCTACACACCGTATGCGGTTTTAGTTTGGCGTCGGGCTATTGCCTGCCATCCACAGACCCGCAGTTACGGTGACCAGCCCCTATACTGGCATAGCTTACATTCCCTTGAATTTCCAAGGTAAAAAAATTATAATCTATTTCATAGTTTTTCCAGAATTTTAAACTACCATTGTCTTATAGAAGCATGGCTCTTTCACACGTACAACAAGCAAATTAATAATTTTGGATTTTCCAAGTACGGTCTTTGAAGTTTCAGAGTTTTTGAATTGCTATTACAAACAATTAATAACTTAATAAATAATATAAATAACCAGCAGCCCGGCAGGTACGTGCTTCGCTGGGGTTGCGGGTTAAGCGCAATGAGTCACCGCGGCCTCGGCCCAGAGCAGGAGAAGGAACGGTGGGGGTTTTTGGTCAGTAAGACACTTTCTCTCGCCTTACCCTGGGAGACGACATTTGATGATTTTCCCCTGACAAAAAAAGGTAAGAACGTGCTTCCGCTACGAAATAAATGGAGAACTGATCGACTGTACCTAAATCATCTATTAATAATAGTCCAAAAAAGCCTACTATCAAATAGTCCAAAAAAAAACTAACAAGTTTATAAGTGGTTGAGCTCCCCAAAGAGAGGTTTTAGCTTTATAATTTCTAATTCATATAGAGATAGATGATAATATATTTACTTCATATGGTACTGCGGTACTGCTTTTATATTTCTCTGTAATATCTCTATAGCTGGTAGTATTGTTGACGCAGTCCTGCGGGTCATTCGCTTGTCGCTGTTTATTGAAAACGACATCTTGCACTGTTATATCCTTTACATTTAAATTATTCAAAACAATCACGTTTACAATATTAGGTATAGGTATTTAAACAACAAATAAAATAATGTGATCCAAGATTATATTAAGACAATCGATGACAGTCGTCAAATGGTCGTCAACAACTTAACATTTTGTTTATTTCCATGGAAACTAGCTACCATGGAAACTAACTAAGTTTCCATGGACAAATAGTTAAATTTTCTTTTTTAAACTCTTGACTTACATTAAGTTTAAAAGGGTGTCATTGTTTCACACCTAGCTGTCTCTAACCGAAATAGATAGATTGTAAGGAAAGGCAAAATAATAAAAAGATAGGTAATACGATTCTAATACAGGTTGTAAAAAGACACTTAACGAAGCCGCCGAGTGCAAAGGCGACTAGTTTATTATAATAGGTAGGTACATAGCATTTGATACTTTTTTTGCTTGGCAATTTCAATTACTTACCTACATACTTTTTTTGTCACGGGAAAATCATCAAATGACCTCTCCCACCCAGGTTAAGGCGAGAGAGAGTGTCAGACTAGACTAAAATCCCCCCGTTTCTTCTCCTGCTCCGGGCTGAGGACGCGGTGAGTCATTGCGCTTAACCCGCAACCCCAGCCTTAACTCCGGCACATATCCCTCCCTGGAAGAGAATGTTTTTTTCTGTGGTAGTTTAATTGATTTGAAATCCAGGCCACAATTAGGTAGGTACCCAATGATGTATAAAACTATATAATACGTACTATATAATACGTTATTGTAGGTACCTACTATACCTGACAGTCGTTAAAAAAGGACTTCACTACCTATTTCGAAAATGATCGAAATTACCTTTCCAGATATTGATTTATTTCATTTTCATTTAATTTTATTCTGGAGTGGTTTCTATTATCATTTTCTTAATCATATGACAAATTTATGATGACATGTAACCGCTCTTGTATTGTTTTTACTTCTACATAACAAATGCCATACAGTAGGTAAGTAAATATTTACTATATCAACCATATTCCTCGCCTACTGCCTAAGGAATCATAAAAAATATATGAAACGGTCTTATCGTTAGTCATTTATTTATAACCGTTGCTCCCGCCGTTGTTGTGGATGTTTGAAAATCCCGCCATTTCACAAGGAGCACAAAATGTCTGATGGTGTATCATATAGCGCCTGTCTATTTTATTCTAAATAGCGATTAGTTAAATTATCAAGAATTGTAAGATTTTGAAAAAATCAATGTTTTATTTTGTTCTTGTTAACATATTATCAGATTCAGCTAGATATTATTTGTTCTAAGAAGTTAAAAGGTCGTGAATTGTGAAATATAAAACCCTTGCGCAGATACTACTTTAGCTTCGTTCTGTCGTTCAAGTAGGTACGAGGCGATTTAAAAATAAAAAATATTTGTCTATGTTCTGATTGTGATTGTGTGATTGGCGCTATTTTGCGTTTTTATTTTAGATTTATCTAATAAAACAGTGTAATTTGTGTCAAGTATGAAATACTAGTTTCAAAATAGTTTTCTCGAGTGTGGTTAATCATACCAAAAGCTTCATATAAGGTACGGTTCTAAACATTTTAATCATTTAGAAAGCAACTTTCTCCTTTCGCTTCTGTCAATTTTGTCGATATGTTTTAGTTCGGACTAAAAGGATGAGAACTACTAGCGTATTGTAAAATTAGCAAATTCGGTGTTTATATATCTTATGTTACATCAAGCTATATTTTAAATAAAAAGTGGCTTTAGATAAATATGCATTAGCGACATAATGCCTACCGAAGCCTTGGTTTGCACAAGACGCAGATGCAAGTACATAAGTACGAATACTGTTTAATACTTAACGAAATAATAACTTGCATTTTCATTTCGTGATTCGAGTAGAATATTAAAAAACATATTAGGTAATTGTCTTCTAGTGTTTATTATATTCAACAAAACGTAGTAGACTTATTTTACTTAGCCAGCATAAAAATACGTTATTTTCCATGAATATACAAACAATATATTTCTAATTTTTATGCGCTCTCCAATGTCCAACCATTCATGTAATTTGAAACAAAAAGAGCATAGCTAAATACTGGTACAAAGTATGATGTGGCTATAACTATTAATTTTTAAAATACCAAAAGGTATTAATTAAGTTTCCAGTGATTTAATAATTATTATAATGAAGTTGATAAAATAACACTTTGAAAAACTGAATGAACAGTTTCCAGGTAACAAATGTATGTACATCATACACCTGTACATCATACAGTTACCTGGAATTGGACCGTGTTGTGCCAAATCATACCAATCCACATCAACCTTATTCTGAGATATTTAAGTTTTAAGTTTGACATGAGATAACTATTGTTTTTTATTTAAATAACTCTCCAAAATATATATCAGTATGAAGATATGGAAGTTCTGTTTTAGATTAAGATACAAACAATCAATAATTTAAAGTAAAAAAAAAGAAAAGTGTATTTTCTCACTTGGTATATTTTGACATAATAGGATTTCTCATACTAATGACAATTAATAAATAAGTCCAAAATGTACCAATAACATTTTCTTTTGTATCTATTTTTTTTTTTTCAATATTTTGGGGTTTACAATCCACCTAAGTACTAAATAAATAAACCATTTATGGAAAATAATAAAAAGAATGTCATTTATTATGTTATTATATTCATACAAAATTATGAACAACAAGATCATTCTTGTGGTTCATGGTTCCTCGACTAGAGTAGGTATAGATGATATTCTATTGAACAATACAAAAAGTACAATATTATTTAAAAAAACTGCTTAAGGTAACACAGTACAAACAGTATTTACTAAAAGAAATGAACTTAATCTTAAATAAACTATGTCTCTTCTAATTCAAAGTCGGGTATAGTCCCGTACCCATCCAAATCATCTAGAATTTGATCGTTGCCTCGTAAATTCTCGTAAAAAGCACGACAGTCAGCGGGAATAAGATGCTCCATGGACCGGAGATCGTTGAGTTTCGCTTGCGCAATCTCTTTGCCATCTGGCCACAATTGAACCAATTCGCTCATTTGGTATGTTTAACCAATATCGTTTGCAGTTTGCTAATATACCAAGTGCTTTTGGTACATTCAAGCAATATTGTTTACGCTTAGGACAACATATACCAAGTGCTTTTGGTATGTTTAACCAATATCGTTTGCAGTTTGCTAATATACCAAGTCATTTTGGTACATTCAAGCAATATCGCTTACAGCTTAAGGCGAGTTCCAAACGGCATGTCTTGAATTGACCAAAAAAAAATGTTTATTCATATTGTGGGTTGGTTCCAGATACCTTTTATTTTTTAATAACTTCAGCTATATGTGTCAGATTGAAATCAAACTTAGCCACATGAATTTAGAGGTGATTTTACGTTGGATGATGTATATAACTCAATTTTGACGAAATTGTGGATTGGTATGATTTGGCACAACACGGTCCAATTTGTCAATAAAATAATATTGTAAAAAAGTTAACATTTAAAAACTATTTATAGATGTAAACAATTTTTTTGTTTTTTTAATTCCACAGATTGTTCAATGGGTTCCTTAACATAAGACCTGCCAGAAGCTTCATTTGAAGCCTTTAGTGTTAGTTGTTATTGAGGAATTGAATGGCTATGTATTATTACGCAAGTAAACTGAATGAAGCCTCATGTAGTGGGTGCAATATGAAAGTGCCCCCAGCCCCCTCCGAGCCGGCCCCTGTGCCACCACCACCCACCGATCTTGCTCCACTACCACCAGACCCATCTCTCCTGCATGGAACGGGCCTTTCTTATTATGATGTAAGTTTCCTCTACCTCTTACAGTACCTAATGTTTTATATTTATCAATATTCATATCTATAAACCCTTACATAGACATTTATCTTGTTACATAAAAATTTTTTTTTCTTTCTTCTGCATGGATGGGATGAGGTTTAACATGAAATTAAAAGTTTTCAATAAAACACACCTTAGTATACCAAAATTACCTACAAACATTTTTACAGAATGATGATTACTACTCTATGGTAAGAGGCAACAAGTTCATGTCTGAGAGCACTTGCAAACATATTGTAATGAATGGAGGAATTAACTTTGTTTCTTCCCAGAAAGTAGAAAATCCACAGGTAATACAATAATCTTTATTTATTTGTGATCAAAAATATAATGAATGTAAGATTATATTTATATATATCTTTTTAGTTATCCGCCGTGCTACCATCGGGTGTGAAGACCTTAACAAACCTGCCATACATGAACTGTCCATCTGACAAACCAGAAGTTGAGTACAGAGATGGGCAGATTGTGAGTGCTACTCTAGAGGCTCTGGTGGATATGCTGCGACCAGGGGCCAGTAAAGCATTTACATTCACATTTCTTCTTTGTTCACGGCTATTTGTTAAACCACATGAACTGCTGAACAAGCTATGCAAGCGCTACTTCAAAAGTTATGAGAAAATAGTAAGTAATTTTTAAGTGGCCTCCCAAAACTTATTTTTAATATGGTTCTTGTAATACCTATAAATTGATTACAGGGAAAGTCAGAAATGAAAGATTTGGTAGAAAAAGAACTTGGTGACATGATATCTCTTGTGAGGGTGCTAAGTCAGTGGACCAGCATGTTTCCTTACGATTTTCGCGATGACAGGGTCATGGCTCTTGTGCGCAGTATTACTCAAAGGTAAAGTGGCTTGTTCTCCTAATACCTTGTTTTTGGGTTTCTGTTTGAAGTTTCTTATATGTAAACTTTTGTGCAGATGTGCAGCTGATCATATGACTTCAGTAAGAGTAGAGATGTCTACTACTTTGGAAAAACTGCTTGATAAGTTGACAGCACTTGAACAATATGAAGAGACCTTAAATGAACCACCTCAGGTGTCGTCTTTGGACCAGTTGACTCAGGTAATGTCAAATTAAATTTAGATGAATTGAAAAAGTTCTTTTAGGGCAATGGAAAATTACAAAACTTTTCTTGTAACCTCTTTCAGGGTGATATTCTTACCCTCGGCCTCACCCCAGTTGAATTGGCAAACCAATTGACCATTGTAGAGCTACACAGGCTATCATTTGTTGGCCCTGAAGAGTTTGTGCAAACATTTGCACCAACACAACCACCACAATCTTCATCATCATGTGGAAAAACCTCTATCAACTTACATCATATAGAAACTAAAAGCACACGGAATTTGGAAGCATACGCTGATTGGTTTAATAGACTCAGTTATTTAGTGGCAACTGACATTATAAAGGTAAGAAATAGCATTATTACAATATAATATTTCTTATATTCTTTAGCTGAGTATATTCATATTATTTTTTTGGTATTATTTCAGGCTGTTAAAAGCAAATACCGCGCTCGAGTTATTGAACAGTGGGTAATGACAGCCAGAGAGTGTTTCAATCTTGGAAACTTTAACTCGCTAATGGCCATCATAAGTGCATTGAATATGTCACCAGTGACGCGACTTAAGAAGACGGTAACGGATACTTAATTGCTGCCTTTATCTGCATTCTTGCTGTATTTCTTTGTTACTAAAAAGTCTTGTGATCTATTTTAGTGGAGCCGGACATCTGCTGTATGTGGTCAACAACTGAGGCAGCTGGAACTATGTGTTGAGCCTAGTGGAAATCACGCAAGGTGAATATCATGCAGTTTGACAATTTATGGTGATATGATCTGGCATTTTTCTTTATAGGTAAACGATTTTATACTATAATAATTACAGATACCGCGCAGCATTGGCCGCGGCACCCAGTGAGACAGCTGTGCCATTACTTTCTGTGACGTGCCGGGATCTACATTTCGCAAATCAGGGCTCTCCCTCGAAGTAAGTAACTAAGTACTTGCAGAAAGTACTTACTTGCTTGAGATATTTTACCTATATAATGATTCATATATCTGCTAATTCATGGTAACTGTGTCATTGTTATATTGGGCATATTATGTTGCAGGTTGCCTGGTAATCGTGTAAACTTCGAGAAATGCCTGCTTTTGGGTCGTTACGTCAATATCCAGTTGGCTAGCCGACAGCTGACCGTCGAGGGGAGTCCTGTCACCTCACATCCTTCGCCCCACATTTCCGTGTGGCGTTTCCTAAACGATAGACCTACACTTACTGAGATTGGTGAGTATATTAATATTATCTACTCCGGCATGGGATCTACAAGATTCTACAACATTTGTGAAATATGAAATTATAAGTCTGTCCTTATTGTAACATTTAATCAGCATTGTTCGAAGAAAAAAGTTATGTAAGTAGTATATTTTTCATAATACTTACTAAAGTACTATAAAATACTAGGAATAAAACTTTGCTACTATTCAAGTTCAAAAATGGTCTAATAGCACGTCAAAGCGATCGTAATTATTATGTTTATTGTTTACTATAAACTAAGCTTTGCAATAAGTGTCTACAGCGAAAGTTTGTAATCATTACAAGTTTCAAATGACTATAGATTACACAGTTGTGATAATAAAAGAGGAAACAAAACGTTATTGAAAATCCGTCCCTGCATTACTTCTATGTGACGATAATATTTACGTTTATTTAGGTCAGCAGTAAAGAGGATTAAACGTAAAAGTGTCCTTGAAATGTTCTACTATGTTTTATTTAATTTATTGTAACCACCTGTAGGATTTATAGTACGGGGCTTAATGCTTGTTTACAAATACTTATGACACAGGTCGCATTTTCCAAGAAAAGCTAGCGGTAATTGTATAGCAGTGTAGTTTGTACTTTCGTTTGCTGGCAAAATGGAAGTTAGTTAAACATCCTCTACCACACAAAACGTTGCACTAACAACTTTCTATCTTACTGAATTACATTGAATAGGAGTTGTAAAAAACGACAGCTTAAGCCGCCAACACTGTGTTACTATAAAATAGTGTTTTGTTTTGTTGTTGAGTTTGCCTATGTTTAAGTCATTGCTGTGTTTACGCTGTGCTCTATTAGTTACTAGCGACCCGACCCGGCTTCGCACTGGTGCATTTCTGTTACTAAATTCTTCCACCATTTAATAGATTCTATTATACTTTAAAACTTCCTCTTCAATAACTCTCATCTATTTAAAAAGGGTTCAGATGTATAATTTGTCTTTGGTTTGGTCACGCGGTCGAGCAACCCGCGGAAATTATCGTTACATCTGATGTTGCCAATGCATCTTTGATTCATGCTTCGTATCTAGAAAATATAAGTTCAATTCTGGCTCTCCTAGTTCCATCTGGATGAAAAAAAAAAAGAAATTGAAGCAATATATTGAATTCTGTTGCCTAGTGCGCTCTGTCGTATTTTGATTCCAAAAGCGATTTGTTATACTTTTATTTGAGATATAGTAGTGATTCAGTCAGCAAATATATTGGCTTACAAACATAATTATACTCATGCATTGCGAAAAATGGTTTTGCAAACGCGGATTACAAAATGTTTATATGTCGATTCAGATACTATTCATATTATCTTTAAGTGCTATGTACGTAGTTAGATGGTTTAAAATGAAATCTAGTATAAGTGACTCGCAAAAAACTGTACTGCATTTCAGTACAGTTTTTCCTTACAATATTATCAAAAAGCTGGTTCAAAGCTGGTGTATAGTCGGAGTTGCGAAGGAAACCAAACGCAATAAGATGATAATCGCGAATGTCTCCTTTTGCCTCACTCTGGGCGAGAGACACACCCACCTCACAAAAGAAGGTATAGCCTTTGTATACAATAGGCCTGCGATCCTGAAGCTGTTTTTTTACGGCTCCTAACGTCCTAGGTGGGGCAAAAGTGTCAGACTCTTACTGATTAAAAGGCTGTGCTTTTAAACGGCACTAACCATAAACGAGGAAAGAGTAAGAGTTGTGATAAATGTAATTTATTCGGGTATCACCATACTGCCTAATACGTTATTGCGATAGAGATTAATAAATTACCAATGAAAAGCATATTGCGACATCAAAATTGTTTATTATTTTTGCTTGCTTGCTAACGCGTGCTTATGCTGCCTGTATTTTTGCAAAGGTCATCTGTACTACCGACTATTACGACAATAATTCTTATTAATTTATTGCGAAATCTAGCTAACTCTCTGACTGCTTAGACTGATTAGTATAAAATGTTCTAAATTCATTAAATTATTATTCATTTCCTTTTGTATGTGTGTGCTAGCGTTGTTTTTTTCTGTAAGATGATGGTTACGATAAGGACAGCAAATAAGTTTATGCCAGCCAGATTATTTTCATTGTGAAATGTAATTTTACCAAAAAGCCCACAGCCGGCAATAAATCAAATAAAACAAATGTGTTTTCAATCGAAAATATCTTTTCAGCTCTGGAAATCGTATCGTTTGAGCGCGAGCCTCCAGTGGACCATCAGGAAAAAGAGCGGCTGAAGCGCTTACGAGGCGCTAGTTAAATCAAATACAAACCTCGTATTCGCGATCGGGATTCCGATAGTTTTTCTAAGTTAAACCCGGTTATGGGTGACGCCCACCAAGCGTTATGTGTTCTACTCTTAAACTCATTACGTCGTCGTATGTTATGTCTTATCTCGAGGGTAAAGGTACTTATGTACTTTGTTTCATTTAGGTCACGTTATACTTTATTTAAAAACTAATGCTAACGTATCTATCCACTTTTAAATTACTTCCTATTCAATTCACGTTGCTATTTGATTTAATATTTAATTACATTTTGTTATGATTGTGGTCTTGTGGTCTCACGATTATTAGAACATCTATAAATTTTTGTTCAATATCTTCACTTAATCCACGTTTTGTGGGAACCACCCCGAGGGAAATATTAATAATTTGAGATTATCAGATTTTTATTGGATCTACGAAGTAACTGACCAACGATAGTCATATCAACAAACTGCTCAATATGTGTATTAACATTTTAATTTTACATTTTGCAGCAACAGAAAATGTGTACCAAACAGTTAGTACTTTTTTGTGTAGTTTTAGAGTATAATGTGATTCGTATTTTTTAATATCGTCATAATTCATAATATTGCGAACGTATGGAACTAGCCAGAGCACCGGGCTAGTAGATATTATAAAAAGAAGTCGATTGATAATGAAACTATGGAATTTACTACATTGACTTTAAGTGTGAAATACGTGTGATTTAAATTATTTCCATGACTCCTTGATCTTCATTTATGAGGCCATTTAAATCCAAGTTCCTTACACATCAGTATTTAGCTACCTGTTAAATCTCGCCATTATGATGAATCTCGTAATGTAAGTACTTAATATTTATTTATACTTTTTGCATTCTGAAAATTGATCTCATGTGTTTTGAATTAATATTTTGTGTAACTTGTGTTCAAGTGTTAAATGTGTATTCGAATGTGTATATGTGCGACGGATATAATGTGTATTTGATGTATATGCATTTATTGTGCAGTACAAAATATTGCACGAGTTCCTGTTATTTTTCTTTTGATGTCTCGAAACTGACAGGTATCATTTTGTTTTTTTTTTCTTTTAAGATGAAAAAAATTTTCGTTCATTAACGTTTTACATTTAATATTATAGTTGTAAAACATACATTTGTGGTGTTTATCTATGCATGATTAAGATGTTTACTTGGCCGTTAATATATTAAATAAATGTCTACTTAAAGTCTCAGACCCAAGTTAACTGAATTATATTGTCAGCATGGGTAATATATTTAATGATTAATATTTGAAACAAAATGACTCTTATATGCATCTATGTGTTATGAATGTAGTGACTATGTACCTATTTAAAGTCTATGTGTCATATCACATATATAATTAGTGTTTACTGCTCGGTAATCCTTCTTTTTTTACTGTATTTTACGTAAAAATGTGTTCACGGCTATTACATTTAAGAAACGTTTGTACTTAATTCTTTATGTACTTAATACTCATTTAAAATAGATTATTATTTAAGATTTCGAAAGTTTTCAATAATGTTATGTGTACAAATAAGTTGCCATGTTAGGGTTAGATCTAACTTCTGAATAATTTATACTACCTATGGCCCCCTTATCTAGTATTGTTTTAATAGATACAATTCCACCTCTACTCTTGTAAGTTCACAAAATAGGTATCATAACACCAACCAGACTGTGACTCTGGAGTAAACAAAACACTTAATATATTTATACCCCTAGTTGATTGTTCTGTGTTATTAAAACCAACTTGTTTCTCTATCCTGGTTACCTTATTACATTCCAATGCAATGATTGACTAGACCAGTATTGAGGAGGCAGCTAACGCAGTATTGGTTTTATCTTTAAAGTATATTTCTTGTGATCCAAATATTTTTTAAAGATATTAAACTTAAATTTGACTGTCGAAACTTTACAAGGTTACTGGAAGTCTTTAAGAAAAAATATGCCAATAAAATATACCTCAACTACATACATTTATTAGAAAAAAATATTATTATCTACTTTTATACAAAATAGAATTGATTTTACCCCTTAAATGGCTGCAATTCATTATATTACAAAATCATTATGCTATGGAACTATGTACATAGTTGTACACAAGAAAAGTACATAATATATATATTTAACAACCATCTGACCATTAAACAAGTACTAAATAAATATTACAATATTTGTAATTGATCAAAATTATGATTTAATAGTTTATTATTTGTTAAAGTTTCGCCAGTCCATCTCTGTAGATTGATTAATTTATTTGTTTTATTATTGCACTCGTGTATCGATCGACACACTATTTTAAATACTCCTTGTTGTATTAACATGGCAGTGTTACTGTCATCAAAAATTATATTTTTTATATTTACATTAGTAAAATACATCTGCCCTGTGATATGTGATCTGTCATACCTGTATTTTACATTCCCTTTTATTATATCCAGCTTAACTCATCTATAATCTCCTCATACCCGAGTACAAAATTGTACGGCTATGGGCAGGTTATGCTATTGATTATTACTTAATATTCATAAAAAATGTATGTAGTTTTCAAGTTATCTGTTTAAAAATTTACTTGTTACTATCGTAATTTATCTAAATGTCACAAATTCTAAAATTATAACTAAAACATAAGATAAAAATATTTAAGAAATAAAATGTCATCATTGTAATAAACAAGTGCTGTGTTTTCATAATGCCCTTAGCAGAGGTAAAAAATCTTTTACTTGTAAAACTATGTCTTATCTTTGGCCACTACAGTTGAAAAATTCAGTTACGTAAGGCAACACAACTGTCTAATGGTTAATTGTATGGGTACAGTACGTTATTATGGCGGGAAAAAACTGGGACATGTAAATCTCATTTATTTTTAGTAACAATATCAAAGTATGTACAATACTATGAAATATATTTTAATTACTGCTATCTAAAATATCTTAATAACTAGCACCAATGAAACTTACGTAATGAATTTGTCTGTACAATGGTTAGAATTATTTAAATAGTAGGTATTTTCTAGTTCTAATTACACCTCATTGGTGTTCCATCTGGGTTTGTGGGAATTTTGGGCTTGCAAACCTTTTTCCTACCCTCAGCGCTGCTGACCATAGTACAAGTAAATGTAAAATAGCCACAGGATGAGGATTTTGTATAGTATGTGTGAGAATATTGTTTGCGAACATTATTTTCGCCGTCTAGGTCACGTGTGACTGATTTAGATACCGAGACGTACCTGTTACTATCGTCAGGCTTAGGACTGTATAAAGATCTCAGATTTTTCGGATTGACATTTCTCGGGTATGGTGGGTATTTGTATTTGATTTTGCCGCTTCCTGAAGTAAGGGACACTGTTTGTGCTTGTGAAGGAGATTCTTTGGAACCCACTACGTAAGTCTTATCTTTAGATGCTACAGATTTGACACTACCAGTGAATCCAATAGGTATCGTGTAGCCGCCAGTACCCGGTACACGTTCTCCAGGTAGGTATATTCGACTTTCATCAGGGCGTTCGGAATTTCGCTGTGTAATTTCTGCATCTTGATCTGTCAAGGAGCCTAACAATATATGTTGCGTGTTACCACCTGTCGTCTGTCTCACTTCTATGCCTTTTCTTTTGGGACTGTGAAGAGACTGATGTGTTGTTTCAGGGTCTCTAGAGAATTCATTATAACTAGGATTAATGTAACCCTGTTCGCTATCTGCAGCATCTGTTCCTTCAGGACCGAAACCATCGTCGTAGTCTTCCGGTGGAGTATCATCTTTATCTGGAGAATATTCGTAGTCTCCGTCGGGGCTGTATGATGGTTGGAATGATCGCCTACTCTCTACTGGTGGTGAACGAGTAGGTACCAATGATGGATCGTTCAAATGATGATCTTCGTGTTTATGGTTGTCATAAGATTCTTCAGGCTGTCCAAGTGGTTCTTCCTTATCCGACTCTTGTACATCCGGTAAATATGATAATTCAGTTGTAGACGGATCTGTTTGAGGGCCAGGAGTTGTATATTCTATTGTTTCTGTGATGTTGAGATTATCATCATTAATATTAAGGTTTTTATTGATTTCATCATTAACGTTGATGTTTTTATTGGCTTCATCATTTATGTTAATATTCTTATTGCTTGGATCATTGACGTCAATCTTTTCAAAAGGTAATCTATTTGGGAATACAGCATCTTTGTCTAAACTAGATCCTGCCTGAGCAGCACCGTTGTATGTTATGCCATATTTGAAGGTGCCATGTAGTTGTGATTGTGACATACCAGTTCTACCGCTGGATTGTGCGGAAGCTACGCCTCCTCCAACAAATGGAGTTTTCTGGGCGTCGTGAGATTTATCACCATCTTTGTAGGGTGTAAATCCTATTTGTGCTTGAGAAGATGTACTACCTGGTCCTCGTGCTTGTGCGTCGGCCATTCCTCCTTTAACACTGCCTTGGACTTGTGAATTAGACGAGTGCAGTAGACCTTCACTTTGTGATCCAGTTACAACTGAACCGGTTTCTAAACCAAGCTCGACATTAGCTTGTGATTTGTTGTTTCGACCGCTGCCTTGAGCTGTACTTGAAGCACTTTTTTTGTCACCAGCCACCTGGCTGCTAGCGGCTTTATTTTCACCAGTAATTTCTGCTTGAGCTGAGAAAGACCCACTGCCTGTGTAAGTACCCTGTACATGTGTCTGCGCTCTTCCTTTGTCGTTGCCACCTTTAGACGACGCAGACGCAACTGTTCCATTAGCTGCTTGGTTCACACTTGCTTGAGCTTCTGAATCGTCCCCGTCAATAATAGAGTTGGGATCGATGACATTTTGTGGTACACCTAAGAATTTAAATGGTATTTTACTTATTTATTTATTTATAATAACTTATTTACCTAAGGTTATACAAATATTTTATCGATCATTGTTTTATGAAATTTCAAAAACAGGTCATTCCAAAGAGTTTGAATTAAGATCGCCTATTAATTACGGATTTCAGTTGACTTCAATCAACTGAAAACAAAGGATCTAAATACACTAAACTTGGAAACTTGGAAATTATGATCTTCTGATTCTATTATTAAAATTGATGTGAATTTAAATTAGTGTTAAACTATGTGTATTTCAAATAATACATACCATTTTGATTACCGCCTGAACCCTGAAATAGTAGACATTATTAATTAGGAAAATCATAATATGTGTCTTACAAAATGCTTGGGTAGTAGAGCCCTCCCCCCATATGTTACGAGGCAATTGGAAATTCTACGCAACACTTTTTTGTTGGATGCTTCAACTCGCTTTGAGCGGATAAGGTATCATTCCATACGGTTATGATTTAAAACGACACCATTATGGCTCCTTCCTTATGCACAGATTACACTGATAGAACATAAAATAAACGTAACGTCCATAAGAATGATACTGTACAGATTACGTTACCTAATAGGTGTATATTTATTTATTTATACTTCATGCACTATTTGTATGTACATAAGGCGGACTTAATGCATTGAGCATTCTCTACCACTCGACCTTTGGGTATATCTCAAAATTTACTATATTATTAATTAAAACTATGATATCAAGGGCCTTGTTATGAGTTCATACTTTGTGTGCTGAAGCAAATATATAATACAATTATTATCTCTTATTATTAGGTACGTAAGTAAGAAGTAACACACCGTAATGTTAATGAGTAAATAAAATATTGTCAGTAAACTTACCGCTTGATTATCAGGACCGCCTGGAGCATAAGGATTGTATGTAGATCCTGGGCCATACTGTCCACCTGTTCCACTTCCAGCACCTGGTCCAAACTGTCCACCAGTTCCAGTGCCTGGGCCATATTGCCCTCCAGTACCAGCTCCTGGTCCACCTGGACCATAATTTCCACCAGTTCCAGTACCAGGGCCGCCAGGTCCGTAATGGCCTCCAGTGCCGCCTGGCCCATATTGTCCTCCAGTTCCCGATCCAGGGCCCCCAGGTCCATACTGTCCACCCGTACTTGTTCCAGAACCAGGGCCCCCAGGTCCATACTGTCCACCCGTACTTGTTCCAGAACCAGGGCCACCTGGTCCGTATTGTCCTCCAGTGCCTGATCCAGATCCAGGGCCCCCAGGTCCATACTGTCCACCCGTACTTGTTCCAGAACCAGGGCCACCAGGTCCGTATTGTCCTCCAGTGCCTGATCCAGATCCAGGGCCCCCAGGTCCATACTGTCCTCCCGTACTTGTTCCAGAACCAGGGCCACCTGGTCCATATTGTCCTCCAGTGCCGGTTCCGGTTCCAGGACCCCCAGGTCCATACTGTCCACCCGTACTTGTTCCAGAACCAGGGCCACCTGGACCGTATTGTCCGTCAGTGCCTGATCCAGATCCATGGCCCCCAGGTCCATACTGTCCACCCGTATTTGTTCCAGAACCATGGCCACCTGGTCCGTATTGTCCTCCAGTTCCTGTTCCAGAACCAGTGCCACCTGGGCCGTATTGACTTCCAGTGCCTGATCCAGATCCAGGACCTCCAGGTCCGTATTGTCCTCCAGTGCCTGATCCAGATCCAGGAGCCGCAGGTCCATATTGTCCTCCAGTTCCTGTTCCAGAACCAGGGCCACCTGGTCCATATTGTCCCCCCGTGCTAGTTCCTGAACCAGTACCCCCTGGTCCATACTGGCCTCCAGTGCCAGTTCCAGTTCCAGGGCCTCCAGGTCCATATTGCCCACCAGGACCCCCAGGTCCATATTGTCCTCCAGTGCCTGTACCAGAACTAGGGCCCCCAGGTCCATATTGACCTCCAGTGCCGCCTGGCCCGTACTGACCTCCAGTGCCGCTGCCTGGGCCAGCAGGCCCGTATTGGCCACCAGAGCCTGTTCCAGCGCCGGGACCTCCTGGCCCATACTGTCCTCCGGTGCCAGATCCAGGTCCATAATGTCCTCCGGTGCCTGTACCAGAACTAGAGCCACCTGGCCCATATTGTCCTCCCGTGCCTGTACCAGAACCAAGGCCACCTGGCCCATATTGTCCACCAGTCACAGATCCAGTTCCGCCAGGACCATACTGTCCTCCAGTGCCGGTTCCAGAACCGGGTCCACCAGGTCCATATTGTGTTCCAGTTCCACCTGGGCCATATTGAGCACTAGTCCCTGAACCAGGACCTCCTGATCCATATTGTCCTCCAGTTCCAGATCCAGGCCCTCCAGGTCCATATTGACCTCCAGTTCCAGTTCCGGATCCAGTACCTCCAGGTCCATATTGACCTCCAGTGCCAGTTCCAGATACAGTACCTCCAGGTCCATATTGACCTCCAGTTCCCGATCCAGGGCCTCCAGGACCATATTGCCCACTAGTGCCAGATCCAGATCCGGGGCCTCCGTGTCCATATTGCCCACCAGTTCCAGAACCAACGCTGCCAGGACCATATTGTCCACCCGGACCACTAGGTCCATATTGTCCACCTGTACCGCTTCCGGGTCCACCAGGCCCATACTGCCCACCCTGACCTCCAGGCACATATAGACCTCCAGTGCCGGTTCCGGTTCCAGGGCCACCAGGCCCATATTGGGAACCAGTGCCTGTTCCAGCACCGGTGCCACCAGGCCCATATTGCCCTCCAGTACCACCTGGTCCATATTGTCCAGGAGTGCCACTTCCTGGGCCACCTGGTCTATACTGTCCACCGGAGCCAGTTCCAGCTCCAGGCCCACCTGGGCCATATTGTCCGCCAGTGCCTCCTGGTCCATATTGACCTCCAGTGCCAGTTCCCGACCCAGGTCCACCAGTACCATATTGGCCACCACTGCCACCTGGTCCATATTGCCCACCTATACCTGTTCCCGAACCAGGACCACCAGGCCCATATTGGCCGCCAGTGCCACCTCCAGATCCTCCTGGTCCATACTGCCCACCGGTACCATATCCAGGGCCCCCAGGTCCATATTGTCCTCCAGTGCCGATTACAGAACCAGGGCCGCCGGGTTTATATTGCCCCTCTGAACCACCTGGTCCATATTGGCCACCAGTACCAGGCCCGTACTGACCACCCGTACCCGACCCAGGGCCATAATGGCCACTAGTACCAGTTCCAACTGAGCCAGGGCCGTACTGTCCTCCAGTTCCGCCAGGTGTGTATTGCCCTCCAGGTCCGTATTGTCCACCACCTACCTGGCCACCGGTGGGCGATCCAATAGCCCCAGGTGGCTTGTATCCACTTCCACTACCACCACCTTGACCGTTTTGGGGAACACAGCAATAATAATTGACACCATCAGCTCCCAGAACACTAAACGGCCAGTTTGATCCTCCTGGGTAACGACCGTTTTGTCCGGGATATCCATTTTGGCCACCTTGATATATGCCGCCATCACCTGGTCGCCCGCTTTGATTTGGACCATAAGTTCCAACTCCGTTTTGTGGCAGCATTAAGGAACCTGGTGGTATGTTACCTCCATTGTTTGAACCTCCAGGTGTGTATCTTTGGTTACCTGGCCCGATGTTGCCATTTCCATTTTGAGAGCTGTCCGTAGGGCCGTACTTTCCAACTATCCCAGGGGCCGTACCACCGTGTGTACCGTCGCCCGTTTGACCAATTCCATACTTTGTACCGGGGGTGCCAACTCCAACTCCAGTATTGGGACCATGTGTGGTTTGCGTTCCATCAGGATTTATTCCATAACCAGATTGGCTATGGGGCCCCATTCCTCCGTTGTGCGTGCCTCCTGGTTGATAGCCTTGTCCAGTCCCAAATGGTGTACCGCCTTGTGTTCCGTCTTTACCAGGACTAAATCCAGCACCAGGTCCAGCTATGCCAGGATGTCCATACTGTCCGTTGTAGTTATCACCATGTGTACCGCCTTGATTAGGATTACCTCCATAGCCATTAGTTCCAGGATCGACCATCTGGCCAGGTCCGAGTCTATTGGAACCACTACCAACTCCATTACTTCCCGGCGAACCATTATGACCGGATCTGAAATACACATTGCATAGGATATTCATGTCGTGATCTTAGAAAACTTTAATCCGAGACGTAATATAATAATATTAGGGAGTTATACTCGTAAAACTTTATATTGAATATTGTAGTCGAAAAAATAATAGCTGAAGTTGTCTGTCATCAAAAAATTAATATTACTGTTAATGTATTTATTTCAATATTAAGTATGAGTTAGTTGAAAAATAATCTAAATAATTATTTTGTTTGACTTCAATGTCAGAAAGGACTGTTTACTCTGTATACTGAGTAAATTGTATATTTGTAAGTAATTATCATTCATATTTCATTGCTGGTTTACCCTAAAGTTCTGTACATTATACTAAGAAAAGTGGATGTTATTTTTAAAATGTTTTCATCTGGCTACTCCTTCAAAGAATATTTTTTTGTCTTAGAATTCTAAACGTCATAAGTTGGGACGCTAAACTCGTAGTTATACTTTACAAGTTACTAAAGAACGTAATTTATTATTTATACATACATGTCTCCTGGGCGGCGTTTCAAACTTTCTGCCCCCAAATCGTTACGACCCAAACAATCATCACAGCTCGGATCATACATCGATTGACTCTGGGCTTGGCCCATGCCGCTGTTTCCAACTGAAATAAATTTATATTATCATACTATCAATTTTACTCGTTATTTACTACGATAAACAGAGGTAAAGCATTTAGAAAATTTTTACTAATTATTTAAAGAGATATATATTTAAAACTTTTCAATTTCTTACTCACAAAGTTAAATAATTGGTTCTTACCAACGGTAGCTCGGGATGAATCCGCAGCGGAATGGGCTTCGGCTTTCCCTTCATCTTTGCCACTTCCTCGATCTATTGCGAGGTATTGGGACTGTGTCTGACCCCGATACCGACCTCGAGGAGAATATGCAGCTTCACGACGGTCTCTTTGGTATCCTTCTAACACTTTCGTTATACTAATTTTGTCGAATACGCCCACAACCAAGGACTTGCAGAATAGTGACCGAGTCAACCCATCATAAGGCGATGTGACCTGTATCAAATACATTCATATTTTGAGCATGCGTTAGTTTACCTTGACATAATAAAACGTTTTCTTTGTTCCATTTACGATAGTATAATTGTGAAACATAGGCCAAGGAAACACGGTCAACCTTGACAAAAAGAAGTTATCTCCTAATACATACGTGATAAATAAAAATATCTGCGTTTAGAACTCAAGCTCTATCGCAACGTTATCATGCGGACGTAATAATTAACGCTTTGAGCTTTGTAATTAGTTTTACTGTTGTACTGTTGTGTAGTCTGAATCTGAGACTACTTTTTCTCATAAGTAGACAGTATTTTTTTTGAAATTCTATATATACACACCAGGTTTATATTATAGAGAGGTATATAAAACCCTGTGGCAAAGTTACTTAAATTCGCATAAAGCTGAAATTTACATTTTTGGGAACAACGGGAACACCATAGGACGCTTCAAATATATATGTGTATATATAGATATACTATGTATTAATTCACGGTTAAAGTTCGCCGATATTAGTTTTCATCTAAACAAATCAGACTTATAATCTTATCATGCAAATATACACATATATACATTGTAAAGTAGCCTATAAAAATATCCCAGATTCGGGCCAAGTCTTGGATTTTTTCAAATACAAAACTTTTGGTTTATGTTGGTAGATGATCTCGATGTCATATTATGGGAAATACTTGTCGTAGTAGCGAGTAAGCACGAAGTATATGTTTTTAACTTCATTTCGATTTAGACTGTACTATAATTATGATGATATACATTCGATGAAGAAAAACATTGCGAGAAAACCTAAACGTAGTCATGATCTTCCTAGCGCGGTTACTATCTTTTTCCGTATGAGAAGAAGACTTTGCCTAGCAGTGAAATAGCGTCAAGCTGATGACAATAAGTAAGATACGTCTGAGGTTTTGCTGAACAAGCTGGGTGATAGTCTTTTAATAAATCGCTCAACCGGAATTTATTTATTTTACAAAAAAAAAGAAGAAGACAGCGGCCAGAGACACGTTATAAAATGACGGATTATGTTTTAGACTAATATGTGTATTGTGAACTTTAATGTTTTATTAGTCCTATATATATTTTTCTATGATGAAAATTGACTATTTTACTCCTGTCTTAAGTCCTGTTATCTCTGGAAGGTTTTTATGAGCGTGACATTCATAAAAAATATATTTCTCGCCCTGCCTCGGTGGGACTAGAAGGAGTGTCAGACTCTTACTGACTAAAAACTATCGCGTTCCTTGTCCTATTCCAGGCAGAGGTTGCGATATATTATTGCGCTTGGCCCGTAACCAAGGTCGAAAATGTTGAGTATGTCGAGCCTATTGAGTCCGATCTGTGGTAGTCTTCGTGGAGGTCGCGGAATGCTACGGACTGTCCGTTCTGGTCTAGTTCGCCTTCCGCAGGTCCGTTCTTACGGTGGCTGGAGATCGTCACATGATCCCCGATGCTCAGAGTGTTTCCTACTGAGGCAGCTCGGGCGTAAGGAGGATAGTATACTCATGGACGCCACCTTGCTTTCTACCAGCAACACTGCTTTGCAGAGAGATGAAACGGCTTCGCAGTTCCTTTCGCTCCGCGCTATGACCACAAATAAGGAGTCAGTCGCGAGAGGTTGTCGCCGCCGACCATTTTCCTGAGAACACGTCGGTGCTCAGTCCAAGCAGGGTACACTGCCGTACCGTGTCCTCCGGGTGGTACAAACAGTGACGACACGAGCGCTTCCTTCCGCCGGTTCCGAAGTAGGTTTAGGTACCTCCCGAAGCTTTCGTGCCCGGTAAGCACTTACGTCAGGCGGAAGGTGAATTACTCTGCACTGCTCAAAGAGAGATTTTACTGCTGCTATAACAGCGTGCCCGGCCCTTGGTTAAGACAGTCTTTGCTTCCACCTCCAGGAAGCTATAGTTTCGATTAACATTGACGAACTAAGAAGTTATCTTAACAAACGTTTTATATTTTTCATATTTCTCTTAGTTGGCTGCCGTATTTTATTAATATTCAAGAATAGTCTTCAGATAATAGAAACCGTTACTTTTAAATACCTAGTACTGATAAGATGACTAAGTTCGTATAGTGTACAACGCTTTCCTATTTATACACAAAGATTGTAACAAGGATAATTGGGTCACAAGCATTCGTCGCCTGCCTCAGGGCAACAGATATTTGTTAATATTTATGACTTTATTTAAGTATATTAGATTTATAACCTACTAGGTCTATTAAGCTACGTTACTTATTACACATTGAATCTAATAAAAATATGTGTAGGTATGTTAATATTACTTAAAGCGCAAACTGAAAGGTAAATAAATATCGCCAAGCTTTGTGTGCTTTCTTTGCCTTATCATTATACGAGTACATAATGAGATAACTTCGTTTCGCCAAGCAATTAGGTACAGTAATTTATAAATGGAACAACTTAACAAGTTAAATAATATGAATATTTTACCGTCACGATCTTTTTTATTCCTGGTTGAAGTCTCGAATTGCTGATGAAACAATTGTTACGTAGATTCGTGTTTGAAAAGATTTTCTTCGCCTCAGCCACATCCGACAATTCCGTTTCCAAAGTATAACACCGGTGAGAATTAAAGTCCTTACACACGATGTGTAGCTGGAAACAAGTTGATCATAAACATCACGCTACTTTTGTTACAGTGAACAAAAGCAAATTTCACTTTTATGAAACTTCACAAAACATTCACATTCTTCTGAGGACGCTGAAAAGTAAATAATAAATAGAAATTCTTACTTGCGTTGATTCTGCAGTAATAATGCAGAACAGTGGTAACAGAAGAAAAGCAACGCTGAGGGAGTTGGTGCGCGCGGGCCGCGGCCGGGCAAGGTGCGCGACACGACGCATGCCGATGCGGTGGTGCGCGCCGACGCTCTGCCGCTCTGCCGGCGTCGCAGGCGCACTGTCCGCCATCTGACCCTTGGCCTAACTCACAATCCGTGCTAGATATAAGTTCACCCACCTAATTTCGGCGATAGCAAACGAATTTGCCACACATAAACTAAAGTTTGAGGAAGTATGACTCTTAAAGAAAGATAATGTTACAACCTAATTACATATGTATATGATTAGAGGATGTATATATATTTCGCACATATTTTACGTCACTGAAAGATAAAATTTGGATAGTATCGGAAAACATTTCCTGTGTCTGAATATCTATCTTTTGAAATGTGAACTGAACGGTAATACCCCGTCTTTACATAAACTTAATGCATAATTAGTTGCCATCACGTTTATGCATAGCTCATATTAGCATAATACTACTGGTCCATAATCATATTTTGGTATAAAGCATAACTAATAAGTTTAGTACTTGGTACTACTAAAGCGATGAAAATATTTTCATAATTTATATTAATTTGACGTTTTATTTAAATCATGTCTCGATTACCTTCGTTACTAGACCTTGGCATGGATATGTTCATTAAGTTTTTAGTAACATCTATTTACTTAAACCTGAAAAAAAAACTAACTAAGTACATGTATATTCTATGTTGATTGAGATACCATTATCGTACAGAACCTAATTCAACGACTCATTTTAAACTGACCACATATTATTAGTCGGATTTTATCTGGCGTGTTGACGCAATATTTCATTATTTAAATTATTTTAGACTTTTAGAGTCAAGGCACTTCACCTTTGATGAATTTGTTTCTAATTGAGTTAGATTGTATGTTTGTTAAATAAAATGTGTCTTGTATTTGGCCCGCACTGACGAATTTATATAATACTAAATAGTTCCTACTTTAATTCGGTAGCAAAGTCCCAATATAATAATTACTTTGTTATATAAGTGTGGGAGAGCCATGCTTCGGCACGAACGGGTCGGCTCGTCCGGAGTAATACCACGGCCTCACAGAAAACCGGCGTGAAACAACTACAGCGTTGTGTTATGGTAAGGTTACCGGAGGCCCCATCCTTCCTCTCCCCCAATCCCTAAATCTCCAAATTCCTAATCCCTAAAAGGTCTAAAACCCACTCGTAACTCCTCTGTTGTTGCGGGTGTCTATGGACGGCGCTGATTGCTTACCATTAGGTAATCCGCAAGCTCGTTTGCCGACCTATCACATAAAAAAAATATATTAGATATAGATGCCAAAATTTGTAACTATAGATGGATGTTTGTTACTATTTCACATAAACGGCTAAACGGATCTTAATAAAGTTTAGGATAGAGATAGATGGTACCCTGATACTGTGGGCGAAGTCATTGGCAGAAACTACAAGTAAATAAAATATACTAGAAATAGAATGATAATTACCATTTATTATAAAAACTATGTCAGTAGGTAAAAAGCAGTTAATGGCGGATTTGATAAAATTACAATTTAACATCTACATTAAAATGACCTCGGCTATAAGGTAACGTTATAGGCTTATTGTTGAGCAGTGGTGGTTACAATTACAGTAGGTAGGTACCTATTGATTCCTAAATCTCACTCTTTTATAGTCTTGTAATTTCCGAACTTATGTTGGGGTCTTTCTTTTTGTAGGAATGCGTCGGGTAGATGAAATGCTGCGTATAGTAGGCCGCGGAGTGCTGCTCTGCGGGACTCTTGCTAGTGCTGACTCGGCGGTAGTAGTCGATAGACTCCACGCAGTCACACGCCAGTCTGCTCTCAGATCCGCTGCTCTCTAGCTGATATTTAGGAACCATGATGAGGCTCTCAGTTGACTTGGTTGGAGGACAGTGGCTATGACTTCTGGAGTACACCGAGCAGTGGTGCGGTGCGCTCTGGCGGTGTGAATGCTTCTCCTGGGAGTGCGTATGCTGGTATTCATGGTGACTTTGTGTGCTTCGGCTGCTGTGGTTTCGCCCATGACTCTTAGATCGGTTAGATTGTTTTGTTGTGGTATCCAAATAGCCATATCCGAATCCATAACCACCAAAGGCCTTAGTCGTTAAATTATCCCAGGACTTTGGTTTCACGTGTTGATGGCTACTTTGATATTGAATTTTGGGTGATGATTTGGCTTCTCCCCTGTCATTGTCCCAAAAGAGAGTATCGCTGCTAAGAGAAGTACTGTAACTGGAAGCTGAATTATCACACGCTACAGTAGCATTACTTGTTGCGTATGACTGCAGACTACACTGGCTAGTTTGAGTAGATTCTGTTGTCAAGTATCGATAGCGATTGGAGCAATGTCCTGACTGACAAACTTTTTTGGGTCTCATGTGTGACCCGCTGTCAGGCTTTTGTGTAGATTTATCAACTTGTTGGCATTTTTCCTTTCTCTTGTGCTCTTTAGAACATTCCCTCTTTCTTCTCATTTTTTTCCTAGTATTGGGCACACAATGTGGATCGCAACAGGGACTGGCAAGATCATAAGCTTCAAGGCTATTTGCGTCTTGATTATTGTAAGCGGGCATGCATGGGGCACAACCGTGGCTATGGCTACTTCTATGAACTTTATTGTGTTTGCCACTGCTAGTTTTGTAATTCTCTGAAGCTCTATGGCATTCTTGGCCGGGAGTTTTCACAACATAGTGATGGCATTCTCGCCTATTTCTTGGTGAGCCGACAGTAATGACAAAACTTCCTGTGCGCAAGTTGGGTTGTATGAGACACGCTCCATAACGTGGATCTAAATATTGGTACATGAATACGCTGGGCTGAGGGGGTTTAGCGGCTGTCACATTCTCGCTCGATAGTGTCGGCCTACAATACGCATTATTCATATTTTCTCCAATGTTATTTTCCTCGTTGTCTGAAATGACATCGGATGGCGAAGTTTTCTTCTTTTGGGAGGGAAGACTGTGCGTTTTCCAGTTACAATCAAACATTTGCCTTTCTCGAACTGTGAGTTGTTCCAGTTCTCTCATTTTGGATTGCAGTGTTCGCTGGAGGTTAATGTATTTGAGATGGAGTTCCACTTTCCTTACGCAGTCTTCGAAGATGACAACCATGCGCATTCTGGAGTCACAGTGGTTGATGGCGTCAACGATGGCGGCGTGGTCGGCTCGCTCCACGTCCGTCCCGTTGATGGATAGGATGACATCGCCCTCTCGCATTCCAGCCGCTGCTGCTGGCCCGTCACTCTCGACGTGGTCCACGTACGTGATAACTTCAATTTCTTGCTCCTGAAGAACAGACAAGATGTACATATTAATATTTAAATGTTGTGTACATACTAAGAGCATCGATATATAATTTGGTGCGGCTTGTTAAAAACATAATATGAATAATTCACAGCGCAAACTTGCAATGCCTGTTACTTATTTAACTTTCCGAAATTCATACACACGCAAATGATAATATTATTTATTGAATTAAGTACCTTTTTGTAATGAATCCCATAACTTTGCAACGTGAACCCGTAACTGCCATTTTTCTTTTCGATGATGATCGTGCGCCTTCGCCAGTCTTCCTCATTTTTACCAGGCCTCTCTGATTTTATTGATTCTCTTATCTGAAAAATCAAAACAAGGATGATGATTTATTATTAATCATTTTCTGGAAACATTTTTTTTTATTTCTTTATATCATACCATTTGATATAATGTATGCAAGTATACAATTTATTACTATTCGAATAGCCAAAAACCTATCCCTGTCTTAGATAGAAACTTCTAAAAACCGAGCATGTAGATAAAGTATATTTTGTTTACACATTACATATGCACAATTACACAGTATTACTAAGCAAATCAACGGGCTTATTTCGGGCTGGATTCGACAAAGTTCATTCACCTCATTGACGTAAGATGTTTAATTTCTTTGATTTAAAATACGTTACAACTTGCAATTAGCATTTTCTAGAACATGTGTTGATTGTTGTTAGAGTAATACAAGCGAAAGTTTTAGAGAAAAACTATGAAGGTATACTTACAGAATTATCTAAGGAGTCTTCCTTGGAGTCATTACTGAGGAGTTTTTTCCCATTGCTCATTGTGCTTGGACATCGTTCGTTGAGTTTTGGCGAGCTCATCCCGACCACTGTCTATATTTTCCCGGCCGTGAAGCCCCGTGTGGCATTGGTTATAAAGACGATAAATGAAACGGCATGGTTGCCTTATGGTTACCTTTAACGTTACCTAGCTACTAACGGAGGGTCCGGAGGTGCGACAAATCATTAAATTACAACCGCGCATGCGTCACGTTAGCGCCTGCGTATCTTGGAAGGACACCACCTTCCAGACTTGTAACTTAGCACCAAATACAAGGATGCAAGGTTTCAATAGATATATCAATTATTTTCTATAATATACTTTAATCACATAAAAAAAATCTGTAAAAATACAGTCTCGCTGGAGCTGTTTTTTTATTATTAAAAAGTAATGTAGACAATAGCTCGGAACAAAGTTGAACCACTACTACAATTGGTAGGTTCCTTAACTAAATATCTGCTGCTATTTCTTTTTTATTATTTAGTACCTACATAAAAAATTAAGTTTACCTCCTCAGATGGTTTTAGTTGCTTCAGTTTGAAGCGCGTTGACGCCTTCTGGTTTGTTCTGTATTCTGAGTTTACCTCATAATAAATATTTAGTCATTAATTTTATTAATTCAAAAGAACTGATGTAAGTACCTACTTAAATCTAAGTCTTTAATAAGTGTCCGTTTTTTGTTACTTTTGTACTCAATAATTGGAATGTCGTTTTCTATTAAGAAAAACCCTGTAAATTATTAAGATTTTAAAAATAATAAAAAAGTACTGATCATTGAGCTTTATATAAAGGTGTTAAATTAAATAAGGCGATTACTTCCGAAAGTAAGTCATTTAATATTTCCAACAAACAAACTGAAAAAATGGTATTAGGTAAATTAAAGATGTCGGTACAAAATGTCCCCTGAACATTTTTCTGAACAAAATTTTGTATTATGTATAAAGTCTCATTGTGTACATTGCTCCCAGACAAGATTTTCTTTTGATTGTGGCCCTTTGCTGAGATATATATCCCAGCAAAATAGGCAATATCTATTAGGTAACTGAAATTTAAAAATAGTTTGCCTTAAAAACTTTATAGCCTTTAATCTTTACTTCGACTAGTATGTAGTAGTAGTAGACTGCACGGTTGATGCGGTGGCTGGGCAACTGGCTGCCGTGCAACGTGTCGCGGGTTCGATTCCCGCAGGGAACAACACTTTGTGAGATCCACAAATTGTTGTTTCGGGTCTGGGTGTCATGTGTATGTGACATAGTATGTTTGCAAACGCACCCACAATACAGGAGAAAATCCTAAAGTGGGGCAACGTTTTGATAAAAAAGAAGAAAAAAAAAGAAAAAACTTCGACGAAGTCTCTAGCTGGTAGCCTTTAGACCATAAATGTAACAAAAATAGGGAAATAAATGAAACAATTTTATAATTATATTTTATAAAGAATTTACTACAAGTACTTAATTTAACACCATTCTAATGTAGTTTTAAGGTTTTGTAACAAGAGTATTGATTTTCGAGTAGTGTACTACAGAAGTGTTGGGTATAGGTACTGGTATATCTGACATGTTGTTGTTAAGGGTCAGCAAAGGTGGGATGGCAATGGACTGGACTCCGGCCGCCTGTGGAATGACCGCTGAACCACTGTTCACGGCAACTGGCTTGTCACCGAGCTCCCTTTTAAATAAATTCTTGTAGAAATTATTCAAAGGCGTATCTGCATCCGTGATGTCAATACTTCTTATCGATCTTCTCGATTTTGGATCTGAAACACAATCACTTGCTTAATGAAGGTCATCTTTACACTAAGTGTGGGAAAGCCATGCTTCGGCACGAATAGGTCGGCTCGACGGCAGTGATACGACGAATTCACCGAACTTTAATGAAAAACAACCATATGGATTGTCACACCACAAGAAGTTGTCCTTCCTTCCCCATCCTCAATTTCTAAATCTCTGAAACCCTAATCTCCAAAAGCGAAAAACCCATATCTCCTCTGGTGTTGCGCATACGGCATAACCATGTGCAATGCTGATTGTTTACCATCAGGTAATTCGTCTGTTCCGTTGCCGTCTTATATAATACGATAGCTACATTTCTCATTATGCAAAATATCAAAAAGCTTGAGAGACGCCTGAAATGTAGTTTAGTCAAATTATGTTTTGAACCCAAAATGAAAAAGACATGTTTCGTATAAGGTGTCGTTTAAATTAAAAAAACTAAATAAAGACACAAAATAGCTGCAAGTTAAACATATACATAATATATTTATTATAATATATCGTTACTTAAGTACTCGATAATAGACCTTTCAAAGCTATGGGTTCTCATAATTAGATTAGGTAATAATTATATTACATCTTCAAGAAATTGCTTCTATTACTTATTTTGTTTGATAATACAAGAAGTAGAAGTTCCTTGTTCATTAAATTATTAAATATTAATTATTATCATAGAACGAAAACTAGAATAAAATCAATGCAACTTATTATTTTGACATTATTTAAATTATCGCATTTTTATGACGTAATTCGGCCATGTCATGGAAGAATATGCTATTGAGTATATGTACAATGATAAATCAGGTATCCTTCTGAGACCACATTCTTAAGCCATACATTGACTGCGCGCTTGACGCGGTGTGGCTAGGCAACTAGCTACAGTGCAACGTGCCGCACGGAACAACTCTTTGTGTGATCCACAAATTGTTGTTCCAGGTCTGGGTGTGATATGTATGTTTGTAAACGCACCCACGATACAGAAGAAAATCCTGTGTAGGGCAACGTTGTTTTAATAATAAATAAAAGGATACTGTCAGACAATAAACATAAACAAAGACAAAGAATTTGATTAAGTCAAAGAATACATAAAAAAACACATACCTGCTGCCACGGGAGGTGGTACAGGTTCCATATTGGCTAAATGGTCTAAAGTACTCCAGGGCAGTTGGTTTGTAGCATTTTCTGGGTTCACAGCCACCGGTGCCACTCCTACCATACTTTGAGCAGTCACGTTCGTGAGAAGTGGGGCGGGAATCTTGCTCAAATCCAGACCTGCCGAGCCGTTTGTGTGGAAGAATGTCACAGCCTCTTGGTTGCCCCTTTGAACATAAAATTTCATAAATAAACCAAAAATATGTGAAGAGCCATGTTTAATACTGAGTGAATCTATTACGAATTTAGGAATCTTTCAGTAATCTTAATATGGGCAATTAATGATCGGGTATGTTGTTTATTAAAGTACCTAAGTATTTACAACTTAAAGTACCTACATAAATTGACCTAAGTCTAAGTCTTCTTATCCATAAATAAAATACAGTTTGCCACGTGAATTGTACTTTTATATGGCTTCAATCATTATGGCTGTCCGTAGAAGTGCTCTATTTATATCTTAATTAGGTAACTTGCGACAGCCGGCCATCAACTGATACATTTTATAATAACACTATCTACTCATGCGCGGTTTCACCCGCTTCTGAGCTCCATTTGATCCAACCTATAGTTCCGGAGATTAGCGCGTTGAACAAATAAACTCTACAGCTTTATAATATTTGTATTGATATAGATTTAGGCGTTTTTTACTAAGGAGGTTTGTTCTCATCGATCACAAAATAAATATGTATATTCCACCATTAGTTTAATCTTAAAATGGAATATTGTAAATGTCTCATAATACTTTGGTACGACGTTTGTTGAAAAGGTCGTACAGGATCGCTTATCAAGAAGTTTCGAATCGGTCTAAGGCAAGTGTTTATAAGTTTTCTATCTAGACTAGGTTTTCACCTAATAGCATTTTACGATAGCTAAGTAGGAACACCAGCGCGCAGCGTTTTGTAATTTGTAACATCTTTTAGAACAAGCGCGTTTAAAGTTAATACAGCAACAGTCTTTACCAGCCTTAATTTAAGGCCAGTGGCTTCTGGCAGATTTTAGGTTTTACCCACATAGTTCCCGATCTCGTAGGATTTTCGGGAAGTTGTCCTTTTGAATTCCCAGGATAAAAACTATCCTATGTCCTTTCTCGAGTTCCAAACTACGTCTGTACCAAATTTTATAAAACAAACACAGAATTTTGCAGAAGACTTACAGCAACATATTGAAACAACTGAAAAACCGATGATTACTGATTTTTAGCGCACCACAATACAAATTAAAAGTTCCTGGCAATCTCATTCTATTACATATAATAAATCTGTGGACATGTCAAATCTGTACATGAAATATAAAATTAGAGGTGCCTGCGACTTCGTCCGCTTGGTATCACACATTGTTTTGGGTACTATTGCGTATATGAAGTTCCTCTAGTAAAGTTTTTCTTATTTATTTTTATGTACAGACACCGACCTTTTACTGTTTATTATATGTACCTATATATTGATTATTATCTTGGACCATACCGCTAAAAAGGTGCACGCATGTGTACTGATTTATAATTTTTTTATTGTATAGATTATAATGTAAACTTTTTAAATTAGGGAGAGTGTTATAAACGTAAGAGTAAACAAATATATTCAGAATGCTTCGAACTGCTGAGCTATCAGGAGTTACACGTGTTGTTGTGAGTCCACCATATAAGATAGACATACATATACTGTTGTAGGACATATTGTAGGCAATTTTATGATAAACATTTCCGTGATGCATTATTTTTATGTAACTTTAACCATTAAATGTACACACGCGACTGAAACTTAAAAAAAGGAGGCCTTCTCCAGTTTTGCCAACTTTTCCCTTCACTGATCTGTTCCTATTAATAGTAACGTGATGAAAAATATACTATAACCTGTCCAGGAGAATAAAAAATCATTGTCCAGTAGTTTTTGTTTCTATAAGGAACATACAGACAGACAGACGAAAATTGTACTGATTGCATTTTTGGCATTAATATCGATAACCAATCACCCCCTGATAGTTATTTTGAAAATATATTTAATGTACAGAATTGACCTCCCTACAGATTTATTACAAGTATAGATTATTTAAATTCGGTACTTAATTTTCAACCTTATTAACGTTTGTGCTTGTCGTTGTTCAGTCCTGAACTTAGGTGTTCAGAGTATTTGCTAAGTGATTAGACAACTGGTTACTTACGTAGAATTCATGTTGGCTGTTTCATTATCAGTTTTGTTGGTGACAATGCCCACTTGATACACCATAGCATGAATTACGTACCTGCAATCATTTAATAGAAAAGTTTCCTTTTAGTATTCCGCATTGCTAGATATACTGGACAACATAAGTTCCAAGACAGATTAATATTTAAGGAATTAAAATTACAGTTTAAGTAAGAGTTTCAGGGGTAATCTTTGGAACCGCTGGTCGCATTGACAAAATTCTTCCACTGGTAGATAGCTACAATGTTCCTGAGTGCTATAGGCTATAAAACATCACGCTACGATTAAATGGAGCCGAGCAGCGGGTGAAACCGCGCGAGAGTAGCTAGTAAAATATAAAAGGCAATTTACATATCTTTGTTAGGATCCGAAGAGTTTCCTAGAAGTTCTGTGTTGTTGACTACATCCTCACTCCTGGCACAAGTCAGCCATGGAGCGACAAGTAGTAGTAGTATCACCTTGAAAACAAACAATACATTTTACGATTTCTAAGTAAAGTTGGATTATGGAAACTTACTTACTTATTATAAAGTTTTTATAAAATGGTAAATAAACATATTAGAGAGAAAATTTTAATTTAATAAGTACGAAATACAGAGCACACTGAAAAGCAAGCCAATAAAATTACGATTTCTAGAAGAATTGAGTAGGTATCATCTAAATGTTGCAGCCAATTTCATTTATAAGGCATTCAGGTAACGGTCTAACATGTTTAATAAAGTATATAAAATATAATAATAAAATTCTGGAAGTTGTTTATTTCTGATTACAATGCAATTTCTGGGCGAGCCGCACTTGGCAGCAAACACAACCCGTTCACCCTTCACGGTCTGAATGAGCAATTAATTTATTCAAGCATATGACTGCGACGTAAATACAACATTCTATTAACTATTAACACACAAATTACACAAAATGTTATATAAATACATCGATATTACGCACAGCATTGCTTCTAAAAATTATATGCATTTTACAGGATAATTTGTTAAACAAAAAGCAAAGGGAAATATACGAACCAGCTTTTCCATTTTGTATATAATGTGACACGTTTCTGATGAGATATTTCTAGGACCAGTCGCTTATATAACCACCGTCTAATTAGCTCCCCTGTGATATATCAGACGTCCTTTGCGCTCATTATAACTACAATTAACAGTTGTGTTAAACAATCGATTCATAGATATTATGTAACCATGCAATCCTTCACGTCATGGATTCATACTACACTAAAAGCACCCCGTTCAAAACAATCGGCACCTGTTGGTACTTAACTAAGAAAAATTCCCTTACTGCCTATTACCTGTCTTGAACCTGTTTCTAAATAGCAGCACGTCACTGTGCCCCCGCCATCCCTCGTGTTTATAACGACGCCTAGCTGTTATAAACACCAATACATTTTTAAATATATTAAAAGCCGCCCTGTTCCTCGCCTGCTCTTAGTCAGGCAATTCTATTTTAGTTGTATTATTTAAATAAGTTTTGAGCATATTGCACAGACGAGATAAATTAAGGGCCCGCTTTTAAAATGTCTGAAAAATCACAATTAACATATATTTTTTATGAAATATACACGTATAGATAGTAGATAAATCTTAGAGCATTAAGCCAGCTAATGACCCAGAACCCACCAATTCACCCCGTGAACGTCTAATGATTAGGCTGTAATTTAAGTTTAGTTGTCTTATATCAGAAAGCAGTTTAGTACTAAAATAGTAATGCTTGGAGTTTTGCTTAACATAAATCTTAGCATGAGTAATATCAACCCTACAACAATTCAGCTATCTATAAAAAAATCATACAATTGTTTTTTGCTACCAGTCCGAATTTCCTATGTTCGGACAATTCCGACAATGTAATGACGAGTGATATCTCCTATTTTATAGTATGCGATCGAGATACGATGACGTCCACCTGTCAAGAGGTGTATCTAAGATATGGAAGTGTTATCTTTGGAGAAAGACACAGTTTTGGATCAACGGTCCTATTAGTGTGATGCTGGGTCGCTGTGGAGTGTACCGACCTGCCTGAGGCGTGGTACCAACGGGGATACACACTCGGCTTACCATACAACAACCGTTCATCATGGGTTTCAATAAAATTATGGTCTCTTCTGGCATCATCACTCTGGTGAGTACATCAACCATATATTTTGTGACCATTGCAATAATTTCTGGAATGTGTGCGTTGTGCAAGCTGGCGATAATACATATTATGCCCCCTATCTTAATGTGTCTAAAATTCGTAGTCCCTTCCAAAACCATTGGCTGTGCGTTTTTATATAGTGACTTTATGTAGAGACTAATTATTTTTACTTCGGTAGTTTGCTACTTATATGTATGTGTAGATAATGTAGGTTTCTGAGTATGTGCGTAAGATATTTTCTTAACATTTATGTTTTATATGTAAGGTAAAATATTTTTCATTTCCTACTTTTACATTTTACATCATACTTTTAAAGAATTTTATCTTGAGAGGAGGAGGAGATTGTACACAAAGCTCTACCTAATCTTTTAGGGTTTATTTGAAAAATTTAATTAAATAAGTACTCAGTACGCAAGAATGCATGCGTCATCCCAGTGATCGTGTCAAACTGCAAGCTGTAATACTATCCGTCGTAGCATTCAAAAATACTTTTGTTACCTATAAAATTAATTAAATGATTATTTGTCTCCTCATATATAAATACAACTAGATAATACCAAAAGTGAAGTTCCAAACTTCACCTTAATGTACCATTCTAAAATAATTTCTTTTCACTGAAAACTATGAATCTTTTGACTGTGATAACAAATAAATGCACGTTATTGCTTTGTTTTTTTTTACTATTTAGGAATTTTAACAGTCCTAAAGATAAATGGCAAATTAGAATGTACTTTTGTAGGTACTTGCATTGGTCTACCATGACTCACTTGTACATATTTCATTACAAGTGATTGACAAAGAATTGCCATCCTTTTATTATGCTAATGCCTATCGTCCCTTAAACATTTAAATAGCATTAATTAGACGAATTTCTGTTCTCCTTTAATTTATTCCAAAAGCATGGACGTTTCCATACGCTTCAAAATAAAATAAAATATGGAACTTCCAAGAAAAGTGTTTATCAACCATTTTCATAGCACGACCCCTTTCGTATTAAAAATATTTCTCAAGCCACATTATATTTATTCGTTTTCATAATAAGAGACGGATAGGCTACTAGTAATACGTACTGCGTAAAATATATTAATTTTACATAGAATACATTGCCATCGTGTTTAACATTCTAGATAGAAGAGGTCTTACAAGTTTTTACGTTTTGTTTATTTAAAACAGATCATTAATTCCTTAAATAAAAAATATAACAATTTTTATAATAAGGAATAATATGGTGCAACCCGCTCTTAAAGGCGTAGCGACCCCTAAAAGGCACCGTGTTCCCAACTGGGTATGCGACCCACAAGTTGAAAAGCACTGCCCTTAAATAATAAATAATGCCTACATAGAAATCAAAATGTGGGTCGAGATGACCCTTCCTAAAACGCTGTTATTTGGCCTTTTTTAAAAAGTGAAAGGAAATGGGACGCATAGCAATAACGTAATCGATAGTAAACCGTGAGATGATAGTAAGAATATCAGTAAGCTTATCATTCGAGAGTTTCTGTAGGTGATAGCGATACAGCGAACGTTTGGGACAAGTACTGCCGGCGTGAGAACGAAACTAGACATTATCATAATATTATGATTTTAAGCTAACCATCACGTTTTACCCAACATTTGAACTGAGAAGGTTCTTTTTTATGTAATAGGTCGGCAAACGAGCAGACGGATTACCTGCTGGTAAGCAATAAGCGCCGCCCATTGACAGTCGTAATATCAAAGTACTACAAGTGCGTTTATGGATAGGTAATTGGAGAATTGAAGATGGGGGTGCAAGGATTGGGCCTCCGGTGACCTCACTAAACACAACGTAAGTGTTGCTTTACGCCGGTTTTACTTTCGGCAAAAATGGGCCAACTCGATCAGAATGATACGACCACGGCCTAACAGAAAACTGACATGAAACAACCACAGTTGTGTTTTACAGTGTGAGTGGGGTAACCGGATATCTAATCCTTCGTCTCCCTATCCCTCCTAATCCCCAAATCTCCAAAATACCCACAATGTCGGCAATGCACGTCCATGGACGGATGTTTATATATATTCCTATAGATATTGTTGCAATAGATCATAAAAACAAAAGAAGGTCCTGTTTCTGAAAATAATGTTTCCTTTGTCCTACAATCAAATAAAGTAACACTGTTGCAAGACAATATGATTAACACCTTAATTACAAATTAGGTATAGGTAGGTAGTACAATCAACAGTAATTTGTTTCATATTCCATAACCCGCCTTTTTCTGGACGGATGTTAATTGTCTACTAATTTAGTGTCCTCTAACTAAAGTCTGTTCTCTGGTATTATTATAATATTTATATTTTATAGGCCTACTTGTTGTGCCCCGCAGTTTTGGCCTAGCACTTTATAGCCCAAGTTCACTGTGGATAATCTAGCTCCTCAACAGTGAAATATTTTTTCAAATAGGTAAAGCAGTATTTTAGCCTATTCAATTAAAAAAAATAAACAATCAAATCTTTCCTATTTTTAATACTTATTAGTATAATATGTATATATCTAGATGAGATCAATTTCGCAGTATGTATACGTGCCGAATGAGTGCGTAGGTATCCGTTGCAATTATTTCTTCAGCCCAGTTTTATCAGTTCCTAAAAAATACTTATTAATGTATTTGTAATTTTGTGCTGAGTACTCGTACTCGTTTAATTGTACATAATTATTCGGTGACTAAGCATGCATATTTATAGGTAGCAACTTAAAAATATATTTAATTAGGTAGGTACATAGTACTATTGTAAATTGTTTAATAGACAAATACATAAGTATTTGTCTATCATTATAGTTATTATACTGTGCCTGTTGTTTTAACCTTAGTTTACAGTACCTGACTGTCCGAGCTTTGCTTGAAAGATTTTTTTGTTTTTAGTTTGGATTTAAAACTATTATTATATATGCGAAAGTAAGTCTGTCTATCTGTCTGTCTTTTCTTCACGCTTTAACTACTGAACGATTTCTGTGAAATTTGGTACAGACATAGTTTAGAAATTGATAAAGTACATAGGATAGTTCTTATCCTAAAATTCTGCAGGAAGTCACTATATTCCACGCGAACGGAGTCGCGAGCAAAAGCTAGTTCAGAATATGAAATGTACTATCTACCTACTTATATATTTATGCATATGTACACGTATGGGTACTTAGGTAAACTCTTTTTTAGATCATATAAAATAGTGCTACACTGCGATCCCGCCTGACGTTAAGCAGTGACGCATTCGTTTTGGCAATCCTGGGAAAAGTAAAATAAGAATAAGGGAAGGTCATTGTGTCACCCAACATTCGTCAATGCGTGTTATTTTGCTTTGTAAATAGTGATATCGATGAGTCATGTTGATCTATTTACGAAAAAAAAACTAACGTACTTTTTATTTCATGTTTTTAATGTCACACGCAGTCAATAAATCCACGAAAAGTAATAATGATTGTATCGGTTAACCCAAAATAAAAACATGTAACGGTAAGCATTGTACCAATGTTATCAATGTCTGTAATCACGAATGCGTAGTATCAGCTTAATCATTAAATATTTATTTCGACATTGTATTTAATATCCTCATTCTTTAAGTCCGACACACAAGTAGTATAGACTTATTAATAATAATTTTACTAGATAAAGAATATTTTGATAGATATTATCTTATCAAATTGCTCTCGTCATAATGTGCGACGAAAATTCTCTTGGATATCTGTATCGAACCAAACAGGCATACAAAGATCGACTTACGAAATTCCCTACATACCAATCAAAGATAAGTCCTGGGTTCAGCACATAGAGCTCGAAGTAAGCACGTAGGTACATACATGCGTGTGCTTATATCACTTTTAGGTCACATTATCGCGTGGCAGAGCTCAGACACTATATTTAATTTTAATGTAGAAACCTAGTTACTCGAGTGAAAGACGTATTAAGCGATAATACACTGTATGTATACGTACTGTGTATAGTCTAATATATTGTGAAATAGGATCAAAATCTTCTATGCTATCTTAATTAAAGTGTTACGGCCTTATTATAAAACAAGGGTTTTCTTTAGTCTAGGACTAAACCATTGAGCCAGTTTATGTATTTCGAATTAAAGGTAGGGGAGAATAAGATTCGAAATACAAAATCTGACGCAATAGTTTAAACCTACACTATAGATCAATCTTGTAAGGGGGATAGTTTTCAAATGCAAAATTAGTTATTTACATTACTTTTCGATTGATCAGATTTAAACGTAGGTACATATGTTTTGTATGTGGTATAACAATAACATAACATTTGGTATACCTATACATACCAAATGTTATGTTATTACTGAATTGCTTTTTGAAGTCAAAAGAGTAGACATTGGTGCAGTAATGATCAGGTGATCCGTCTGCTCGTTTGCCATCTATTCCATAAAAAAAGTAAGGAACCAATTTTGCAAAAGTTGATTACTCACAAATCTTTTCTTATTGCTTTAAGACTCTAATGTGTCTGTATTATTCAGATGGTTCAGATGCCTTATCTAGGTCAGTCTATCCATTGTCCAAATTAACGTATATTTAAGGGAAACAACACAACACAACAACAACCAATGAATATTTAACATAGGTACTAATACTAAAATCATTAATTCCGAATTTAAATACAGTTTTTTATGGAATAGGAGGCAAACAGACTGGTCACCTAATGATAAGTGGTCAGCGTGGACACTCGCAACTCGCAACACCACAGGAGTTGCAGGCGCTTTGCTGGCCTTTAAAAAGGATTCTTAAAGCTTTGAAGGTTATATCGGTTTCAAAATACCGGTGCAAAAAGAGCATTCCAAAGTTTTGCTGTGAGAGACAAAAAGTTTCACCAAAATCGCTCAGATGACTGCCAACCATCTATATGATGGGATGATAATGCTTTCGCGTGGGTCGATCGCGATATAATATGTTTAAAGTTGTAATGATTGTGATTTTATATTGAACCTATTATGTTGAAGTTTCTTACAAGTTCCTATGTCTGCAGCTTCAAGCCATGGGGCAGATGGTCTTCTCATCAATGTGCATAGCGCAATATTTTTGCGTAATCGACTTTTTGAGAGGATTCCCCCTTCTAATCTATATAAGAGTCCTTTACTTTCACAGTAAGTATCTCATTATTAACTAAATATGTATATGCTTCACACTTTTTATATATATTTATTAGCAAAGTCAATAATTGATTTTTTCTTATGAAGTCACCATGTTTACTGTGACATGTCACTGAGATATCTATAATAATAATAGGTTGTTTGATTCAGACCCTACTGCATGCGGACCCACGATCAACATCGGTCAAGTTATCGACAGCATAGCAAATGAAGCCTTTGTTTTGTTAACGTCGGAACCGTTCACAGTGTTTAGAACTTTCATCATAAACAGCGTCAGCCTCGGCCTGAGTGTGTTTTGGATGACCAGCAGTATAATTATCATCAGTAAGTTTTTTTTTATGTAATTGCTCAGCAAACTAGCGGACGGATTACCTGATGGTAAGCAATCAGCGCCGTCCATAGACACCCGCAACAACAGAGGAGTTACTTGTGCGTTTTAGACCTTTTGGGGATTAAGAATTTGGAGATTTAAGGATTGGGGGATGGGAAGGATGGGGCCTCCGGTAACCTCACTCACACGGCGAAATACAACGCAGAGGTTATTTCACGCCGGTTTTCTGTGAGGCCGTGGTATCACTCCGGCCGAGCCGACCCATTCGTGCCGAAGCATGGCTCTCCCACACTTAAAAGTACTTTTATAAATTACATATCCCAAGTAGTGGTTAGAGGCCTACGTCTTTACCTATAGTACAGTTCAGGAAACAGACGAGCTCGCCCAGCAGATAATCACAAAAGTATTGTTGACTTTGGTACAGGTTCTTGCGATTGCAGATCGTCCCTCTGTCTGTAGATAATATAACGGTTTTATAGGCTCCAAGCAATTACAATTTACGCTAAACATAGCCTTACATTAACAAATTGAAGTCCTATATAAATATTTCCTTCATTCTAATTTATTGTAATATTTAGTGGCTGGGGCCAGAGATAACCAGACAAAATGCACTCGGTGGCCTTGGATAATATTCACGTCTGCGGTGAGTGGTCTCGACCTGGTGGCGACTGTCACGTACGCTAACGATACATTTCACACAAGGGTAAGTAATATTCAATCCCTAACAATGAATAAGACGAGAATGAATACGCAAACATAAAAAACAATGTACCATTCGATATTAGCAAATTATATATCTGTGAAAGTTATAATAGTTACCATTATGTTTAGGAATTTCAAATAACACGAATACTTACATATCTAAATATTTCCGAAAGATTCCAAATGTGTGAATGAATGAATGCATGTAATGTTATTGCGAATTGCTTACAATGCCTACATAACATAACTACTTTTCAATTGAACTAATAATATTCTTGAATCGTAGCCAAGAAAATAATCGATTATATGTTTCAAACAATAAATGATGTCACAGACAAACAAAGGATTTGTTTACATCTAAAGAGACAATATCCAACTTAAAGCAATTCTCATGTAGCGACGGAGTTATACGTTTACCAGGTAGATAGCCATGTTCTCGAATAAAAATGTTGTTTCTTATATAAAATTGCAAGTTGCCACTTCCAGACTTTACAAGACATGATGGATTTCATCGGGGGCAGAGTGAGTGGAATTGGGAATGCTAAGCTGAACACGACGTGGACTTCTTGGTCCATGGTCATCCTGTATTCCCGGTTCGCCATACTCTTCATTATAAACATAATTCTTATTATCATCGTCATTGTAGACTGTAACGTGGAAAGGAAAGCAGAGACGGATATCGTTGTAAGTATAACGCATACTTTTAAGACTTATTATCACGTTTCAAGGAATTATATGAATAATTATGCTGCTCGCAATAATTTTTTAAAGTTTTAACACAAGAGATTAGATAATACATAGCGTAGATTATGATTGTAAACAAAGGCCTATTCCAGTTTCAAAAGTAATGGACAAAGACTCCAAACAAGGCCTAACAGAATTTTGTATAATATACATATGTTACTAATCATAATTTAATTTCCAGACTGTAGAGGCTCCAGTACCGTTGCAAACTGAAGCAGCACCTCAAGTACCAGTTGCACCTCAAGCTCCTGTCCAAATATCTACAGCAGTTCAAGCGTCTCCCCCTCAAGAGACCCCCCCACCACCCATTATCACTGAAAGGGATGCTATCAGTGACCGAGAAGAGGAACTGGCAAGCTTACCCAGCGAAAGAATTACCACCAGAATACCACGTGCTGGTCTTAGCCGCTCCTTCCGTCGGATGAAGGCATTCCTATTCAGAAAGTCACCTTCACCAGAAATCCATACTAGATCGAATCCTGATTCTTTCCAAATTTCACCCGAAAGGTAAGTCAAGATTTGATAAAACTTTATTATTTTTTCCGGCTCAAGCTTCGGATTACGTTCAAAAACCACATAAAATTAAAATATTATGGTGTTGTATTAAAGTAGTGAATTCTAAACATGTTAATTTTCTATATATAGGCATTATATAATACATGCCGATAATAATGCTTTTTAGGTCACCCCACACACATTATGGTCGCCAGCAAGTTGACGTAGACCTAGACAAGAAACGGACTGTGAATTTCCCGGAGAGTTTACTGTCATTGCCGCAGCGCTTAGAGAATATCATAGCAGAGCAGCAGCGACGTTTAGACCGTGCCACTATCGACACCTCTGGAAGAAACAGCCCACCGCGAGCATCGCAGTCCATGCCTCACCTTGCAACCACGTCCAGCCAACCAGAAGGGCGAGGGTAAGAGTCTCGCCATTAAACAATAACATACATTATTTTTATAAAACTACCAAATCATTTTTAATTAGTGAGTCACGATAATCAACTCTGAACCTTATTGACTGACCCATGTTTATTTCTTATTTCTACTGAGAAGAGAAAAAATACGGTAGTGTGACTGTCTGAATCGTTCATAAAAATCAACCGTTATCATTTCAGTCTGAGTGAGTCTTCTGTCTCGGTACGAGACTTCTTTGGTAAGATTATTTTCTTGTTATAATCGGTCACATACATTTTCTGTATCATCCTTCTCGTTTTATGGAATACCAGTACGCAGTGCAGTCTTCTGCTCACTCACTCACTCATCGCTAATTTCATGTGCAAGTAATATGGCATTCCAATGCTCATTCCAGTCATTTATAATGCGTCATTACCTATACGGTGATTCCTTAATTATTTATATCATTGGGTATCTTGGCTGACTCTTTTTTCTAATTTTCTTAGTTTTTTTTGGTTACAGTGTGGTGTAGGTGTCATTGGTCCATGTTATTATTTGTATGAGTTAGGAACCGTCGGCTTCGCACAACATCATTTCACTCCATCTGTATTTCGTAGGTAATTTAAGGACTGTGTTTGGTGAAGGAGTATGAGTAATAAGGAATTGTGATTATTCAGACGGCGCGGAACTACGGCCGAGCTCCAGGGCCAGCTTCCCTGGGCGTATATACCAGCGTCCTCGCACCGCATGCGGGACCAACTCCCTCCGGACGAGGATCTACCACCGGTCCCTCTCCCAGACTACAACGCCATCCAGCCTACTAGAAAAGCATGTGAGTTTAATTCAAACCTTAAAGTTCACCTCTGCTCTAAGATGAGCAATAATTGTGTTCAGTAATTTTAAGGCTTTTTTTACATGATACCACTACATCGTTTAGGCGAAATAACAATGATAGTCACAGATTGCTTAAACTCAAATAAGATATGTACTTCCATCCGACTTCCATCCATATAAATGGGACTTTATCTTTGTTTGACTGACTGACTTGCCACAACTTCATTAATTTATTTGATACAGTTTATAAACGAATTTACCATAAGTTAATTTTATTTATTTATTTCTCTTTTTTATTGAATATTGACCTTCTCAGCTAGAGAAATGTCTTCTCCAAAGCTTTATATGTTTTCTTTTTTCATTTCGGCGGATCCTATGTTTGCCGGGTAATAATAAAACTCATTTCTTTCTTACAGCCGTCCATCGAGCGGCTTCCAGCTTAAGTTCTCTAACACAAAAGAAAGATTATGTGACGTCACGGTCCGTGCGTGAGTATTACACATACAAGAAGACTTAATCACCAGTAATTCCCCATCGTTTTCAAAGTAAGCCCTTGAAACCTTTTGCTATCTTTCAGTTTGTAACAATATTTTATTTGTGCAACTCCGATAAACTTTGTTGAAAATGCCGCGGCCGTAAAATCTTTTCGCGTACCTAATCCAAAAAGTTATTATAAATATTATGACTCATAAATATTCGGTATCGACGAGTTGCCAGATTTATGTCATACTTTTGTTAAGGGATCTCGTTGTCATTAACTTACTAAGCAGATTTCATGAGAGCTACTAATTACATATGTTGAGTCCCTAATTCAGCACTTTTTTTCTTTTCAGCAGCGCTAAACCAATCCGACGTTTTGTATTAATTTAAAGAATTATTGTCTCCACAACAATCGAGTTAATATACTGATTTTAAAGCTGATGGAACAATCTCAGATCGTGAACCGACACCTTGCCTGAATAACGAAATGTTGAATGTTTGATGTTCTCGTTATGAATGATGCGTTTTATTGTATTTTTTCTAATTTATAATAGTTATACTTACTTAGTTTTTCTAAGCAGGTATTTTTGAGAAGTCAGTACCTAATCAACAACAAAGCATCGATTTTTTTTAAATATATCGAATGGTTATTGATAACATTTTGTAAATATTTAGATGTAATTTCTTATTTTATACTTAAATAATTTATGGAATAAAAAATAACTTAAGTAGTTAAGGCAAATAATAACTGATCTTGAATATTAATGCAATATCGGATTATTATATACTTTCTTTGTATTAATGTACGTGTTACGGCTACAATAATAAATCTGTACATTAGTTACACTGTCCTGTCAATATTTGTAATAGATATTATCTCCCACAAATAAGTGCTAGGTGACCGGGTTCGGCATTGGCACTTGTTTTTGTAATAAGTATTCACTCGTAATTTTGTGCTTTATCATTTAAAATATATATAAAATTATTATATAAATTATAAAAAAATATTATACATATATAAAAAATAATTATATATGTATAATAATATTAAACCTAATTTAAATGGTAGACGTGTATGTCTACGAACTAAAATTACGAGAAAGATGATCACACATATCTACAAAGTGACAATTGAAATTTAATAAATAAATTCAATTCGGGTTTTGTTGAATTATCACTAAGACAATGGGGATTAGAATGAATTGATGAAAACGAGTGCGAACAATAATTGTTTTTTGTTTTAAAATACTTACTTAAAGCAAATTATATTTATTGTCTTTCTAATCGATGTTATGAATCATTATCTCTGTAGTTACTGGAGTAACCAATTATGTTGTTTTGGACATGAGGGCTGGGAAAGATGTACCTATAAGAAAATTATGCTATTACTCGCTGTAACATTTGTACATTATAGATAGATATATTTAGAACTTTCTTATCTCAATTTTCCTTGAGATCGGCTAAAGTTCTTTTAGAACTATGATTAACATATACATTTAAGTATACATACTTACCTACTTAATAATATTATGCCTTATGTTATAAATTGTACGTACAGTATATGACATCTTCAATTTTATAACTTATCAATTTATAGCAATAAATTTTGCATAAAACTCTTTAAATGAATTTGTTTAATTTCTATCCTTAACGTTTTGTGTTTACTTATTTAATGAAACACAATATTTAAATCAAACGTTTACTTAACATAGATACTTTATTAAATATATTCGAGTTCCATAACCCTACCACAATCGACATATATTAAGTAAGCAGTTTCTAACACAGACAATACAGTGACTAGGTATAATATATAAGAATACTTAGTGTTATTTAAAGCCGGCCTTAAGTATCGGTGAACCATGATGATGGTGTGAATCTGTGACGGTATACTTGCAAATGTACTGGCGAGGCTTAGAATTGGGTACTGTTCCAAAGGCACAGCATGAAGAATCGCTGATGCCACCATAAATATCACCATCACCATACCTTTAACTTTGAAACTAGATTCCTTTGGTGTCACCATATCAGCTAAAGAATAGCTCGAGTACCAGAAACTACCGACACGCCATGTCCAGAATAAATTAAACAGTGTCGTTAGATATTGATTCACAGTATGTAGCATTACATTACAATTAATTTAGCATTCATAGGACTGAAATGTTTTTTTGTCTTTAAACGTTTTTATGATTCACATTGCAGTCGTTTTGAAAGATTTTTATTTATCTAATATTTTAGTATCACTGAGCAGACGTCATGTTTGGACAACTTTTGGATGTCATTTAGCATTGAGATTGACAACGATGTCATTATTTCTCATTGGTTCTATTATTTCTATTACGGATCTTTATTGTTCTAAGGTCATTCAAGGACCTCCTTTACCATTATTTTGAACATAATAATTACGTACGTTCGTATAAGACACGTACAATAGACATTGTAATCAGTATTATCACAAATATAAATACTAATCCATTGACGAAATTTAAAATTACACCTACAAAAATACAACACTTGGTGGTGCACCACGGGCCACGAATGTGGCTCTATAGAATGGTTGTATATTTGTTGTTGTTTACACATCGCTTGAATGCGTTTCAAATATATTGCTGGAATTAGTAGGCAACCCGTTGTTGATATGAGCGGTGGTATAGACCGCTGGCGTGATCGGGAAAATATTAAAGTATGCAGGTACCAGCTCCGTGTATGTAGATAGTGGGCGTTATTATTATCGATAACAATTATCATGACGCGATTAACTCTGATATCTCGTTGATTTCCTTCACATACGACCACTAACTCGACATGACGCGTGTTTGACAAAGCCCTTTTATGAAAAAAGCGCTGAAATGGATAACTCGTCAAAAAATAAGTATTCGTCGCACCTTGTCCTGACTGCAGTGCTGACTGGTGGAATTACCATTGTAAGTAATATTTTTTGTATTATATTGCTCCAACATAATAAAATACGATCGATGCATGCGTATGAGATAGATACGTATGAGTCACTAGGATGACAGAAAATCCCTCTCTGCGCTTTTAGTGACAAAGTACAACCCAAATGATGTTCATAGACCTATTTATTATTTTTTATTTACCTATTTATTTATTTGATTTTATTGCGATTGCTATCTGTTCTTAGGTATTTTGTTTTACTAAATGATAGTAAATATATAAATTACCAACCTGCTAGAAGTATTCTTCTGTTTTATTGCAACATGTAACCCAAGTTCATCACTTATAATAGATAATTTGTAAAAAAATATATTTGTAATATCTATTGGTATTGATAATTTTTAAATTTGTATTGCCTTGCGACTTTTATCATGATTGGCTTAGCGAAACTATTTAAATAATTTAGATTAGCAATGTCGCGGATTGTAAGACTTAATTAAAACAGAATATGTATAACTTTAATGGCACAAGATGTAGATAATATTAATATTTCCAGAATTTATATTTTTATTTTCCTAGTAATTATGTAGTTACTTAGTCACTTATTTCAATGCATATTGTTAATGCTTAGGTATGTTATTGCAGCCAATTTACTTGTTTACTTAACTGTACCTGTGCTATAGTTATTTGCTAGCTTATCTAAAAATTGTGATAAGTGCATGTAAATATTCGAATTTATTTGTTTTCAGACAGTGTCCCTCGTGTACATATTATTGTCCATAGGAGCGTTGATATATCGATTCTCGGACTGTAAAAATGTAGAACCCACACATCCAGGGCATGTTTTCTGGGCGGTTACCGTCGGAGCTTATATTTTAGAAGGTAAGTCCCGCTTCTCATCGGTAAATTACCTAATAAAAGTATGAGTAACATAATTTTCCTAACCTTCATATTACACTCATGAGTCTCATATAAAGGTTAATTAGAATAGTAGGATTAACTTCACTGAATTCAAACACGGATTTAGTTGCAAAGGGAAACTTAAAACAGATATGTCACAGTCGTTCATCTAGTTGCTCGGCTAACTTCGATACAATGACTAAGTGCTAAATTCAGGTCGTTAATTAAGGGTAACTAAGATTACAACTGCCACCGAATAGACCCAATGGCTAAATGAGTAGAACGAACAGGAACAGTAGGTATTCTCGTAAATAACTCTATCTTGTAATATTATAATGAGTAAAGATATGTATGTTGCAGTCAACTGTTTTAATTAGCCATTCATTTAACGGCCTATGTTCTTTACACTATAAAATATGATGTTATTTCAATTCGATCTCAGTGCAGGTTCAACCCTCTAGAAGCAAAAAGAGAAGAGAGAAGCTCGAATTTAGTGACAATGCCTTCGTGCTTCAACTAACGGCCTGAACCATCCAACCATTTCATCAAATTGCTAGTCATTCAGACCGTTTGATAAATGACTAATTAATCTGGTTGGCTTCGATAGATATATTAATAAACACACTTATGTTACCTACATAGTAATCTGCTAGTCAAGCTCTCGCCAAGACACTACTTCCATATATCTAATATATATCAATGTGTATTTTACCAATGCCGAATTAGTTGGTCATTAAAGTATAGGAGGAAAAAATATATAGATACCTATAACGTAAGTAGCTTCCGTCCGCGGTTCCGTCAGCGGTTCCGTCAGCGTGGTACGTCGATAAAGCCTACGTGTTAACCCAGGTTATCACCTATCTGTACACCATCTTCAGAATTTCAACCAATTCGGTTCCGCCATTTCGGCGTGAAAGAATAACAAACATACAGCCATACCTACATTCACACAAACCTTCATTTATAAAATTGGGAGGATTAGTAGGATAGTAGAATAAATAAAATTGATGATATTCGTGGTGGCCAGGAGGTTAGGGCGCCCGCTTCTCAAGTAAGAGGATACGGGTGCGATACCTAGCAAGTACCAATGTGACCTACTTTCTATGATTATTTAGCCATTATGATTATTAGATTATTTGACTGCACGGTTGGTGCAGTGGCTGGGTAACTGGCTGCCGTGCAACGTGTCGCGGGTTCGATTCCCGCACGGAACAACTCTTTGTGTGATCCACAAATTGTTGTTCCGGGTCTGGGTGATATGTGTATGTGAAATTGTATGTTTGTAACCGCACCCACGACACAGGAGAAAATCCTAATGTGGGGCAAAGTTTTTTAAAAAGAAAAGAATTATTTAGACACCGCTGACAAAACGGTGAAGGAAAACACCGTGAGAAAACCTGTTTTGTTAGAAAATGTTGCCAACCGTGTAGTTTGAAATCTCCAACCCGCCTTGAGCAAGCGTGGAGATTAATGCTCAAACCTATTCCTTGTGAGGCCTTTACTGAGAAGTGGGCACTTATTATAGACTGATGCTGATGATGTGATGTGATTTGCAGATGATCGATGCGAAATATCGCAGCTGGTCCGCCACAATACTGAGATTACGACTGCATACACTGTGTTTGTACTGGCTGCGCTCACCCTGAGCTTCCATGCACTCTGTCTCATTTCAGCCATCTGTCTCATCATAGGTAAGCACTAGCTATATAAATTGACATAGTAAAACCAAATCTTCGACATAAAATGGCGCGGGTTAGATTCCCTTACGTAACAACTATGAGTCAACCTCAAACCGGGTCATGTGTCTATACTAATATTATAAAGAGGTAAAATTTGTATGTTTGTATTTAGGGGGTTAATCTTGGAACCGCTAGTCGGATTGCCAAAATTCTTTCAATGATAGATAGCTACAATTTTATTGTCCTGAATGCTATAGGCTATAAAACATCACGCTACGATGAAATGGAGCCGAGCAGCGGGTGAAACCGCGCGAGAGTCGCCAGTACCTATGTGTATTTATAAACACACCCACGATTCAAGAGGAAATATTTGAGTGGAGCAGTGTCTTTTTTTAAAATAGGAAATAAACGTAGAAATTTTAGAGGGGGTACTAACATCAAATGCCTGGGTGAGATAAGAGGGAGTGTCAGGCTCTTACTAACTAAAAACCACCCCGTTCCGTATGCTACATGGAGTTGCGTTTTTTTTTTCTTGTAACCAAACTCGCTCGAATACCACAACACCCTTAAGAGGTGTTCGTCATCGTCTCTTCCGTTCTCTCCCCGTGGTTGTTCTCAGTGACATCAATGAAGCTTGACTAGGTTCCCGGCTCACTGCCGTTCGGGTTCGATTGCGCATAGTCGACTGGGACATCATGGAGGTGGTGGAGAAGTATTCCGGACATAGATATATCCAGCTCAATGTAGATTCGGTGTAAGCCATTCGCCCACACTAAGGGTTGCACTATCACGATGGAAACTCTAAAAAGGAATTTAAACGTGGAACAACTCACGCACGCAATTTCAGTGGGTAAACAAAACTGTGGGCTGATTGACGGCGACAGACGGCGACCACCTTAAGTGCACACATCCTCGCAAAGAGGATGCTACGATCCCCCTCACGCCTCATTCAAACGTAGGAGACGCTCCGGGAATATATCTTAAGATACTATAAGTGCGGCTCTGCGAGCATGGATAACTTGCCGCCCACTAGAGTTGCTATCCAACCAGGGTTGCAGGTGCAAACGGAATGATATACCGCAGCCCGGCCCAAAGCAGAAAAAGAAGCGGGAAAGTTTTTAAACAGTAACCCCCTTATTACAAAACAAGGTTTATCTTTAGTCGGGTTTTGAATTTTGAATCTTATTGTCATCTACCTTCAATTCGAAATACGAAAACTGGCTCAATGGTTTAGTCCTAGACTAAAGTAAAACCTTGTTTTGTAATAAGGCCGTAAAAGTTTGGCGAACAGCGAAAATCCAATATAACATCCTCGTCCATTGTACCTAATTGGGGTAGTTATCTTATGTGCAAAATTAAATATGTACAGTGATTAATAATGCAACATTTAGGCATGCAGCTGGCTGATGTACATATATGATTAGAACATTCAGTTTTAGCAAGTTGTTTAAAAATGTCTCGAGTTTTATGTAGGCAATAAATCATTTGTTATTTTACAGTGATACAAAGTGTGGAAGCAGCTCGCTACCTAACCTACGTAGTACCTACTTACATTGGTACTTGCGTAGCATCCCTGGTAGTAGACCTAACAACAGCCGCTCATTTCGGAATAGATCACAGTACATTGAGATCTAAACTGGTAAGCGCTTTTCATTAATTTTATTCACAGTATTGTGCTTAAACTTTACAATCACAATAGTAAGACTATAACTAGAACGCCGGCGTTCGCTTGGGTTTAATTAAATATATTTTCTTTTTTTATGCAAATTGGCTTAGTTTAACCTAGGAGCGCCTAGAGCTTCGAGGATATAGGCAACATTTTGACAAAGCAATTAATGAAAGTATGATTATTTTTAATGCCTCGCTGTTAATCCAGGAGTTTTTTTGTAGTTTCACTGGAAAGTTTTTCGGGAATTTCGAAGCGAATACGCCGCTCTGAACTGGGCAGAGTAATAAAAACTCGACTCAATAAAAAAAATCACATCAATTGTTTTTTCTAACTTGAATATTATTCTGTTGCAGGCAAATGTCCTTTTAGAAGACTCTAAATCCCAGTTGGACATTGATAACATTTACATATTAGAAAATCTGCGACAAGGAGCACTGTACATGATGACATTTGCACTAAAGGGATACGTTGCCCCGTTCATTAACATTATACTGATAATATTATTGATCATTTACGTCATGGAGCACCGAAAATTAATGAAAAGTAATGAAGTAAGTATGGGGAAACTTCGGTTTTTCCCGTCCGTCCGTCCCGCCCTAACTAACTTCATGTTTAATTATTGTATCTACATTTATTTATCTCTATCCGATTAAAACTTCAGAAGGTAGGTGGGTATAAGAACTAGGTTCTAACGACTACCTATAAGAATAAATTTACTGATCGGTTGTTTTAATAAACGCTTCTCTGTTTCAGCATTCAATACACAAAATGGGAGTTCTTTCAGGATTCGAGTAAGTTTTACTTTGATTCAATTATTTTAACGCAAATTAACAAGTTATAAATTAAGTAATAAATATATCTGATTATTGTTTATTGTTCACAGCCAGCCTAGGAGACCTGATGACAATAATTGGGCGGTACAGAACGAAGCAATGTCACCGTATGCGAGAGGGTACGTGATTCAATTAAGGACACATTAGACTGTACTAAATGAACTTAATTGTATTGTTGAGATCACCATACCTAACCTATGTAGCTACATAACTCATTAAGATTGATAAGGTTCTGATGAGTACATACTTACGTCTAGGTTTTCCTCATTATTATACGTGCATACCTATTAGAGAAACCTAATATGATATTCTTCTGCCTGGTGCAAGAGTTTGTGTCCGCATCTACATGATAGAACCATGTTTCGGCAATAAAGAGCTGGTTCTCGGGAGTTATATGATACCACACACGAAACGGCGTCAAAGATTGCATCTTATGTGTTTGGCGTGTGACTTTATTGTAACTGACCCCAAAACGGAACGCACTTTCAACTTCCAGAGATTGTTTAGATGAGGCACCAGAACTCACCAGCCGGTCCTTTTTACCATTGAATTATGACTTATAAAGAAATCTGTTTTTATTTTAATATCTCAATGTTACAGACCACGTACGAATAATGCTTTTATCAATGACGATGAGTCAGATCGCAGTAGTCGACAGCCCAATAGACGTCAGCTGACACGCAATGATTTCAATAATTCCAAGTAAGTATTTCAAGCCCATTAGTCAACTTCATAAGTTTTATTTATTAAGCTAAGCAATGGCTAGGTGAATAGCAAAAATAGTAACTATTTACGACAAGCCCCGCGAAACCAAACTCACTTACATCTTGAGAACCTGCATTTTTGGTGACAACAACTGCAACTTGAAACGCATCAGCATTAGTTCGTAATCTTGAATCCATTGTTGGTACTTCGGTAGTGTTCAATTCTCAAATAGAGCAAGTATAATATACTTGAAATATTATTACTTCAATATATCAAAACTATATACTTATCGAACATTTACCTATATAATCAAAAATTAGTTGCCTACCGAACTAAAACAATTATTCATTAAATTACAGCCGTTCGTACGACCGTTCGGATTCGTGGCATCACGCCCAGCCGAACTTGGCTCAAAGCGCCCGTCCTTTCTCGTATCTCGAGGACATAAGGCGGCCTGGTCCAGTGAAGCCACCGCCGTCGCCTGCAGTAGAAGTGCCCTGGAACCGAGACTCCTGGCAGCAAGGTCCACCTGTACCGGCCCCCGACTATAGCCCACAGCCGCGAAGACTCAAGTCTGCACTTAAACCAGGGTACATGTAACATGTCGACCCGATGTATGTTGCCACGTCGTGTGTGTATTTACTGACAGTCAACCTGTACTGGAATAAACTATGCGATGTTTTTTTATAAAACTCCGTGTTATCATTATTATAAATCAAATATTCAGGTCGAACCGCTTATCTAATCACCAATAACAATTCGGATATCAGCCACCCTGTACGACAAAGAATTTGTTTATTACAGAAGGTATAATAATAAATAAATAACCTATATGCCTGGTTATTTATTACCCATATCTATAGTTTATTTATTTTTAACCGGGAGGTATACAGTGAAAGCAAACAATATAAAAAATAACACGAATTTATTTACAGATTTATGATACTAAAACAATATAATAAAAAAAAACTTTAAAAGATATTTCATAAATCTTCATTTTTAACAGTGAAACTTAAGTAAAAATAAATGATGTAAGTATTTATGTTTTATGTTTATTCCCAGTTTATCATAATGTATAAACAGAGGACACACAAGATATTTAAAGGCACGGAAAATCTTTATAATTGTAGTTACTCTATTTCACATAGAAAGTGTACGGTGACACTTGACATTTATTGATTTATACCGTCATGCTTTATATCCCCAAACGGGTACGCACGTAATGTAACATACAAAGTCCACCAGATACAGTTTCATTTAAAAAAACTAGTATTAGAAAACAAGTGAACCATGGAAACTCTAAATCGATTGATCTACAATAACTTTGTAATTCTTTATAATAGTTATATAGACGATGGAAAGGTCGCCATTTTGTAATATTGCTAAAATATGAATGTTAATTTTATTAAGAAATAAAAAATATGTTAAAAATCTTCAAAATATGACGAATTATATTCCCGATGGAGTGGCTAGAAGTGCATATAAAATGTCAATGAACACCCGCTTTTCATAAGTTACTTATATTATTAGTCCCACGTATAAGTGTAAGGGGGTGAACCTTTTGCCACATTGCCATATACTTAGCACAAACCAGCTTCCACGAACACGCGCAAGAATAGTAGATTCTTAATAAAAGTTTAGCCAATCAGAGAATCGACCTGTGACAATTTCGTAACGATGTTCGTCCGATATTTGTATTACGATATTTTTTAGAATCATATCTAATATCCCTAGTTTTTGAAAACACTAAGCGTCACCGTACCCTTCCTATGTGAAACGGATATAAAATTATTTACCTTACGAACAATATGTACAAAAGTTTTATACATTGTAGTACAACTATGATATTATTTACATAAAATTGATGTTAGATGTAATTTACATTTTCATGTTTATAGTATTTACATCACAATGTAGTTGTACTGACACTATCGTGTTTTTTTATAATTATACTACATAACTTGTATAAAAAACATATTTTATTGATAAACTACACGTGGCTTCGCCTGAATTTATATATATATTCTATTTCGATATTAAATACATATTATTGCAGCACTTAAATGATAGTATAAATAAAAATAAATATATCTACATACAGACAGTAGCATGTAAAGTAAAACTAGCAAGTATAAAAGACAAGACATCATTGATGTCGTAGTAAAAAAGACTAAATAAATAGAAAATGGGCGTCGGAAATTATAAAAAGGTGGTACAACAATTTGATGCATTTTTCCGGCAAGTATTAAAATCAAACAGCCACGTACGTAACTGCAATGCAAGCAAGTTTGTTAATAATTATTGTTCAGGCAATATTATCAATCTGGCAATAGCATTATTATGCCTAGCTATTTTGTTCCTAGTTCTTGGGCCACGGGCCAGAACATATACAATAAAATATATTTAAAATAGAATTATAAATTCTATTTGTATATTAATTAAATTATACAACATTCATAATCAAGACACTTGAGCCTAGTATTGCCATTGATCACTAAAATTTGCACGTTGTGTACACCTATTCCAATTTTATTATAGGTATAGTATAAAATTACGATACGGCTATATTGAAATTTAAACTAATATTTATTATATTATGATACATTGACGTTCGATTGGTAGAATATACGAAACATTCCCTTAACTTTTGTACAATAGTTCAAAAGTTATTTACTAATTCTCTAATTAGAGTTACAGACTTTCCTATAGTTTACCAGTGCCTAAATATAGAAGTAAGTTCAGACTTTAAAACTTATACAAAAATCTGGGTACCGAGCTTAGAAATCTCCGTTGACAGCGTCTCTGAATAGTTATTGCTAGCCACAAATACAATGCCTGAGTTTTTTACAGTATTTCACTTAGAACCATCACATAATGTAAGGCAAGGTTACCGTAAGTTTTGTATCAATCCTTTGCACATCGCTAACTTCCAATGGTCAAAAACCGTCCTCTGCCTTTTTATCAGACTTGTTCTCTATATCTTCCACATTGTCTTTAACAACTGGTTTACTCGATTCCTTCGAGTTGTTTGTGTCAATCTTTGCAGAACAACTAGGAGGGCCCTCTATACTACCGTCTTCGCTAGATTGTTTGTCCTTTGTCGAAACAACGTCCTCTGATTCGTCGCTACAAGTTTTCTGTTCGTCATTGGATAACGATAACTCGAACTGCGTCGCCAGCTGACTCAGAACTTTTTTAAGATGTTCGAATGACACTTTGTCGTTTGATACATTGGGTGTTTCCAGTACAGTTTCACAATTACCCTCGTCGCATACGTCTTCGTATTGTGCTTTCATCGCTTTCAACTCGCCCACTGTCACTTTCATTTCTCGATTATCCAGGTAACTATCGAAAAGGTAACGAGCTTCTTGCGAGAATAAAAACACAGCGGGTATTTCAATGTCATCTTTCCCATCGCCAGACATTGCAAACAAGGCTGTACTCTCATGCGTTGAGTCTGGTATATTATCGAAGATGATAGCTAAAGTAACGCCAGCATTTTGCATGTGCCGTACTTTTTGTGCGAAAGTGCATTGTCCACGTTTGGCAATGCCAAACTTGCCTTCAACTACTTTTGCGTTTTCAATGGGTGAGCAAGCATCTAGTGGAATGACGAAAGCGACAGAGTTAACGTACTGGGTATTAGCAGTGATCTCTTTACCGAAATGTCCCGGCCCGGCAGGGAAGATCTTGTCATGGACCTTCACGCCTGCTGGAACGACGCCATTCTCTATATCACTCATGGAATTCCATTTTGACATTTCACGCATAAACGTAAGCCCTTCCGCGGCGTCTTTTGCAGACTTTGCCTGAAAGAAAGAATAAATAAATAAGTTTCAATATGCAAGTATGGGTACTAACAGAGCTTACGGCCACGGAATAATACAGTATGACCAGAAATATCATGCAGCCTAGTAGGCACGTAGCAAGGCTAGACTACCAATAATAATATCAAACACAAAACTAGTATTAAAATAGTTGAAAATATCTTACCGTCGAGGTAGTGTAGAGCAGCTGGACTCTGCCATCTGGGAGTGTCAGGACTGATATCCCCATATCGGAGAGAGTGTGTATCTGTCGAGGGTCGTTGAGGGGGCGCAGGCGGGCAGGAGGTCGCGCCGACGTTGAACCAAGTAACTGACGCATCGGACGCCGAACCTTCTCCGCAACCAACGACGCTGTATTCGGACAAGTCCTGTAAGCCAACACAAAACAAAATTGTAACGTATCACGCCAGGCTACATTAACATCAGAAGGAACAACACTCACTTTCTGTATTTGTCGTCATCTTCATCATCAATTTTCAATGATAATTGTGAGGTGTTTTTACCGTCTGTTGCCAGGGACAGCGGTAAAAAGTGTGCTTCCGTGGTTAGCACATAGTCTTCCAGTTTTACGGGGATATCTTTATCTTCGCCAAAGAGCATGTAAAGATACTTGAAGGTCTCGGCTAACACGAACGAGTCCATTCTGTCCTCATGATTCCGTGTTCTGACATCATTAACGGCCGCATACCCGCAAGGCACTTTAGTATACTGTTGCAACGCCTTTAGTACAGTCTTTCCGACTTGAAGATAATGGTCGTCTTCTGTAGCGCGGTGGAGGAAATAAGTGGATTCTAAAAACTCCGGTCTCAGCGGATGTTGACCCCAGTGCACCTGAAAAACAAACATGGTATAAAATTGCTTTAACATCCTACATGATCTCACAACAGTTAATCACAAAACAAGTATGCAGAGGCTCAAATATCGAATCAATAATTCAGTCACGTTATAAATTTAAAATAGTTTTACTTGAGAACGTTATTTCCCAACATGGTGGATAAAGACGTCTCGTAAGCGAAAAAGGCATTAAAGAAAACCAAAAAAACTAAGGTCTTGTAGAGATTTAGGAAATTGTGATTTTATAAGACACCTACTTATTTATATTAAATTCCTTAAAATAGAAGGAGTTTTAAAAAGCGCAGAACTGTTAAGAACTTATATCTGGGTAGCAGTAAATTTTAGAATATTTTTTTCACCTGGAAATCGGAAGTGAAAGCTTCAGGTATGAAGGTATGCCGTTGCATGACTTGGTAGAGCATCTCATGTGTTTCGACGGCGGGTCGCACGTCACCGAGTAGCACTTGAAGTCCAGGCCAGAAAGCAAGCAGAGCGTCCATGAAGTTCCGGGATTGTAAATGAGGTCTAAAACAATTTACATAAAATTAACATTTTGTATTGGGTAAAAAGACAATGGCATTGTTTTAACGATTACAACAAAAATTGTATAGGAAAATTGTGTTCATTATACTCTTAATGGCTATTTAATACAAACTATAAACCAACCTGTGCATGTGAACGGCCAGCATAACTGGGCCTCTACTGATGTACTTCATGACAGCGTTGTAGTGTCTATTGAACCTGGCCAGGTATTTTTCATCGCCGAGTAGGATGTAAGCCTTGAGGCAGTATTCGTAGTAGGAATCAATACCAGCTCCAACTCCAGCGTCCTTGCGAACCCAGTCACCGGAATGTATATTTATTACAGTGCCCATCAGATCAGATGTCCTGTATAAAAAGGAAAGTATTTAATGGCTTTCGATCCTGGGATAAATGTATACACCATGTGTTATTCCAGACCATAATCGTCTGAGCATTAAATTTCATACAAATATTTTTAGTACTTTTAACGTCCGTAACGTAACTTTTATCCTCGTATTTTAATAAAATTATAAACGCAAAAATTTAAGTATGGATAGATGTTTTTTACAATTATTGAAATGGAGATAGCTAGTATAGTAAATATATCGAATATAGTATAGTCTGGAATATCAACAAATAGGCCACGTTTACCGTCATAGGTATTACGAAATCACTGGCAAAAGCAAGGGCGTAAAGTAAGTCTGATTATTTTTCCTTCTCCTTTTCAGTTTGCGGTCAACGAAGTATGAATTTATCATCATCAAATTTTAAATGTATGTAAAGGATACCTCTCATACGAAGAAAGATTGAACATTCATCGTCATGCTTGCTCAAGACGGATTGGCGATTTGAAACTTACAATTAGAAATTAATTCCAAACTATTTCACCATGTTTTTCTTCACCTTATCAAGACACGACATCAATGATGAAGGAAGTTATATATCCAGAGATGCGGGTACAAGCGCAAAAAATAAACTACGGCCCCGTTCCGGAGAAGTAGACAAAATGAGATGATTTCTGACATGTCCTCTCGCCCCCAGTGTGACAGTTATTTGACAATTTCCAAACAAAAGTTACTTTTGTACAATTGAAATTATATTACAAATTAACGTGACTATCTTTTGAAGATAATGACAAAGAGAATTAAGTAGAATTGTATAAAAATAATAAGGAGTATTATATAAAATTGAGTCGTGTGAAAACAAAGCGGTTATCGATTTCTTAGGCTACAGCGCAAAACTTTAAGGCCGAAGTGTCCACGAAACACAAGTGTGAAATTGTAACGTTTCCGCAGGTGTTGCAATAATATGCTAGCCACTAAATAGATGCATCGGAAATATATAAATGGGTCTTATACTAAGTACATTTTGACATTAAGTCTAATTCAATACAGTCAAAAACTACACTCTGCTACAATTTCAGTATTATACTAGCTTCCGCCCGCGGCTTCTCCCACGTGGTATGTTGAACAGTAGCCTGTGTCCTATTACGGAGTGTATCCTACGCCTGTACCAAATTTCATCCAGATCCGTCCTGCCATTTTGGCGTGATTGAGTAACAAACATCCAAACATCAAAACATCGTAACTTTCGCATTTATAATATTAGTAAGATACCGACTTGTGACATCATAGTTTTTAGTCAAATAGCCTAGACCTATACCTGGTTCCTTAAAATTCTACAATTGAATATGTCAACAAATCGACGGATTACATACTATTATTTATTATTTACGTTATTATACAGTAACACCCAATCGAATACCGAGATAAGATAAAAATATGTACATTTTTATCGATATCAATATTTGGTCCCAAAAATATATTACGTTTAGTTCGAACGTAAAGGATTTCTGGTTGCTTACCTATGCCTAATCTTCCACAGCCTGTCCATAGCTTTGTGTGCCTTTTGCTCATACACAGGATTGCCTGTTAAACGTGACAGTGCTGCCATCTCGAGGATCATGGTGCCTGCACACGCCGTACACGTCTCTCGGGATTCCGACATCCCTCGCATGCCATGCCGAAGGTTTATCTGTGTAACAACATGTTTTTTTTTGTCAGTACCTACATAAATTAACAATAATTGCTACCAGATCAAGAAATAACGTTTCTTTTGTTTTGCTTTGATGTACGTAAAGGTTGACCTGGTATTTCATGTCGTAGGGGCTTTTACAAACATAATTTGTATAACATACACATTTCCACAACAACAAAAATTTTAAATCGAATTGCAATTCAACAAATTGGCCATTAATAAACAGCCAATTAAAACATTGCAACTTCTTACTGATTAACTTTTACAGTCGCGTGTAGCTATTAATCCAATTCCGTTGTAAAGCCACAGTTGTAGCTACCAAGATTTTATGTATAACTTCTGATTTCTCAAACTTTACCATAGTGTAAAGGTTTATGACAGGAGCCTCGAGATTTGTACATTGTTCCTTCTCATTGAAGACGTGGATGAAAATCTGGTATTTTTATAACGGCACTTACTCTCCCATGTGGTATCCCAGTGGACGTGTTAAAAGCTGGCAATAGCCTCTTGCCCAAATCCTCCGCCATTGCAAGCAGTTCCCCATTATACCACTGCAAGGCGGGCACCTCGTTTTTCAAGTTGGTGGCCAATACGTGGGCTGACAACAATCCCCTGAAAATAAGAAACGCAATAATTAAGTGTTACGGATTGATTCTACGAGCTTAAACTTTGTCACAAGATTATTGAAGAAGCAGGGAAACTGGCTTAGCTTGGCGACACATCTCTCTCCGTATGATACAAAGTATTATTGTTCCCGGTTTAGGTGCATGTTCCTGAAGTTTATGTGTCTGTAAACACACAACACAAAAAATATCGTAATATAGGAACGCGTTTATTAATAACTATGTACATACATAATATGTACATGAATTCGAAGGTTTAGGCTACCACACTGGTATAGGCTCAAACCAACCCAAGCCAAAATTGATCCTGTTCTTTACTGGTTGAAATATAATCTTAGTAGTAGTAGGAATAGTTTTTAATGATGCACGAATATATTGTGACATGAGACAGATAAGGTATCTGGCGAAAACTGGATATTACATTTAGCATGGTAACATGGTTAAGTCATTTTATTAAGAAATACAAAGTTCCTATTTTATAAACCATAACACGTTATGATGTCTACTTCATAATCTTGATATTATTGTATTATCAGCGTTCAACCGTAACGAACTTTGATTATTATATCCGGCGTCTTCAATGAAGTCGCTTGCGATGGTCAATTTATTAATCATCTTAAGCTTTATTCTAGAAATTCCGTTCTTAATCAGTAGTCCTTTATTCAGTTATATTTTTACCAGCCTTTTTATGTAAAAAAAAACTTGAAATCAATTTTTTTATAATGTGTCGTTAATTTATCTCGAGTAGATCCCGATTCTATTGCGACTATCGGGATTAAAAGTAGCCTAGGTTACTTTCTAGAAATTAACTTTTCAGTGGGTCATATTCAGTGCAACTAATAAACAGTATTTTTCCTTCTCATAATATTGGAATAGATACATAATAAATACTATAGCAAAATACGAATATCATACAGGAAAACTAGTAAAGGTATAATGAAAACCATACATGTGTATCCTTATTCGCACTATTAAATATAAGGTGTAGTTATAGTCACTGGCTAAAACCACAATAACACGTACAAATCTATACTAATATTGTAAAGCTGAAGAGTTTGTTTGTTTGAAGGCGCTAATCTCCGGAACTACTGGTTCAAAGTGAACAATTCTTTTTGTGTTTGTTAGTCCATATACCGAGGAAGGCTATAGACTATAAAACATCACACTACGATCTGTAGGAGCAGAGCAGCGTGTGAAACCGCGCGAGTGTAGACCGTCTGAATATATGACTAATATTCACAATTTGTAAGGAGGTAGATAATGATACATTCTTACCCGAGCATTCTAATGTTAGTTTCAAACACAGAAACAACAATGTTATGGTCGAAAGTGACATCTTTGATGACGAGCTTGATGGCGCGACTGAACTCTGAGAAATCCCCTAAAACGGCCAGCGTATCCAAACTGTCCACCAAAGTCAGGGAAAAGCTGAAAACATACAACAATCTTTAGGAATAATTCTCAATTTTTCCAAAATAATTAAACAGTACGTCATGTACTTGAATATTAAACGCAGTAATCGGAAATAAGCGTAACAGTTTCCATCGATTCAACGATTTCACGCTGACTCTATAAATGTAGGTCAAACTATTCACAAAGTTTGTTTATTTATTGTTCGACACTTTCATTTCTGCACTCAATTTTGACCTGTTATAATAAAATTGCCTTGGCTTGTTTAATTAAGAGCGGGAGTTTTTTTATTAATTTTCTTATTGGTTATGCTTTACACAAGATTTAACTACGAAGCCTCTCCTTTCCAATTAGAACAAAAATGTAATGTAAAATGGTATGCAATAAAAAAACTAAAATAATTACTTTTTCTTTTTTGTTAAATGCAAATTCAATTTTATCTTTATGAACAACTGCGTTTATGCAGTTATGTAAAAGGATATAAATTAAAAAATGGCTATAACATTTATAGTAGGTACCTAGTTTTCTTATCTATAAGTTAAACACTTTCAATAAGGTACAAGTTATCAATTTGTTACGTAACTTAACCATAGTATACACGTACTTTGAACTTATAGGATTTATTTACATATTGAATGATGAATGATTATGAAAACTACTTTCCTTACTAGTTTTCATTATTAAAATAAGTGAAAATATTTTTTTTGTGAGGACTTCCAATAGATACAGTAGCCAATCAACCGACTTGTTTCGCTCGATTTCTTTATTAGCATTTTAATTTCAAAATATTGATATGAAGTCTAATATTCAATTGAAAATATTGACAGAATTGAGTTATTTGAAATCTGACCAAAAAATGTAAACATAAAACAATCTTTGCAATAACCATTCAATTAGTTTGGCAAAAATGGCCACTTACTTTCCGAGAGCGTCATCCATGTCACCTCGACTCGGCGTGATGCCCTTCCATCGTCCTTTACAGCTTAACGGCATTAGTTCATCAGCAGGGTAGGCGTTCTCCATGTAGGCATCGTATGCATGATAGAACATTTTTCGCGCCTCCTCCCTGAAACCGTTAAGGTTTTTAAATGCTATCGTTGTAAAAGCCCAAAGTCGTGATTGAATACTTGTGAGGAAGAACTGAACGCATATTTGGATAAGTCAATTGAACACCCAACCTGCTCACTGGAGACAGGCTGATAACAAATATTTCTATGGCCTGTAAATGTGCTATGATATAATTTTAAAATGTATATTTAAATAATTTGGAAAGAATACATAGTATCTGGAAGATTATTGCAAAATGTTATTTATTGTTTAATTAGGTGTTGACTGCTGTTATATTAATTCAGGTGCCAGAAATAAAAATATCACTTTTTATTTTATCACTCTCTGACAAGAATTTACTTATAATAAATAAAAAACAAAAGTAACTAACTTTCATAATCAGGTGCATGGAATAAGACATCGAAGAATCAAAGAAAATTTGCAATTAATATTATAAACTTTGTGGTAGTGAATGTATGAAATTAATATATACATTAGCCTACCACATTACAGTCTCGCCTAATTAGTTAACCCAATAAAATGGGTTAGTTTCCTCTCTCAAAAGAAATTATGTAGACATTTAAAGTTACGAAAATGTTTAAAAAAAATCACATCTTCATACTAAATAATTGTATTATCCAAGAGAAATCAAGGATACTTTTTTCACGTAAAAGATTATGGCGTCACAACATGCTATTTCAGCATGACGTTTCGGAAAATTATTGAATTTGAATAGTTAGAAACCTTATAAATGAATGGAGTATTTAGGCATGCAAGTTCAACAAAAATAGCTGCATAGCATATTTTAATACTTCTCCAAATAAGTTTAATGCTTCTTGCCGAATATAAGTATTATAAGACCATGGCCACATGCTGATAGTATAATGTGAAAGCACTAATCAATAACTAACTATAATATGATCTAAAATGCAGGACACATCAAACTTCACTTTGCTGTATGTTTTTTTCCTTTAAATAGAATGAGAAATCAGATCGTTGTATAACATTATGTGAAGAAATTGGTCATTTCTTAATTTTCTTGAGCAGAAGGAAAGACTTAGTTTTTAATCAGTAGAGTCTGACTCCCACTTGCTTTGTTCATTTTTTTATGGTATATTTCAGCAAACAAACAGAAAGAAAACACATTTATTTGACAGACAGATAACCGATAGTAAGCAAATCGGTGCCGCCCAGGATTATCCGCAACAACAAAGGAGTTACAACTGTATTGCCAGCCTTTTAAAGATAAAGGTTTAAGTTCTGGTCGGATATTTAAGGATTGGAAAGGGATGGCGACAGAGGGAGGGATTTGGCCACCCGTAACCGTGCTCATCTAGCGAAACACAACGCTGTGTTGTGTTGTTTCACACCACTTTTCTGTGAGGCTGAGGTATCAATCTGTTCGAGCCGACCCATTCATACTAAAGCTTGGCTCTGTCACACTTAAATGTGTATGTATATGAATTAATCTATATTGCCACTTTCTTAATTACTTAATTAGCAATTAACAAGTGTCTAAATGACACTTAATAACGCACTTTATCAATATTAATGAGGCATTGATGCTGAACTATTAATTGTCTTTTTATACACAAAAATGTAGTTTTTATAACATTAAACCAGAAATTAAGTTGATTTTGAACAAAATTCTGACCGTAAAACTTAAAACCAATTAACAAGTTAAGGAAATCACAATTTTCTTATATTCCTTACATTAAATTAGCGTGGAGATGATGATATCATGGCCTCACAAAATACAATAATATGCATATAACAAAGCAAACATTATGTTTGGCCAAGACCGTACTTTCATCAGGTTATCTGTAAGTTGATTACTGGCCTATCCCATAAGAAAAAATCAAAAACATCCTCCTTATATAAGTAAGCTGAGTAACCCAAAATGCTTGAAAAGCTTCTAAAATCAATAAGCTTAAGTGATAATGGGCAGGTACTGATACAGAAATTCAAATTTAGAGTTCAGTAAAAAATACCTAACACTTCTCACTCCAAACACTATTATATTTTATTAAAGAAGTATAAGTCACTAGAAGATGTAAAAGTTACAAAACTTTTAATATTTGTTTGTTGTTTCAAGTGCAACTTCCCATTATGTGCTATAATTAAAGTATTAAATACAGGATGCACCATTACAGCTGGACTAAGTTAAGTGTCTTTGCTTATTCATTGTTAAGTACTATTGTTAACCTATTCTGTAAACATCTAAATAAAACATATTGATCATTATTGTGCCAATTTGGGGAAATATAGGTCAGCATTGTTCTCAGTACAGATTTACAATGATAATGTAAAATAAAAATTTTTTTGAGACAAAGCACTAAAATACTATGATTCTCAGCTTATGTGAACCAAATTCTATTTTATTGAAGCTGTTATGCCAGATCAAAATCAATTATTTAAACACATCATTTCTAGTGTATTATTATCGTATTACCTGCATAATCTCGTGTGACATGCGGGCATCAAAAACTTTCTATTTACACCTAAATGGTTGAACTAATTTAAAGTTTATCTGGCACAATTAAAGGAAACTGCTGTTTTGCCCAATTAACTAACAAACCAAAACATAGAATTCTTACTTTAAACTCTGGCGTTCTGATCTTGACATTCGCGTAGCTGCTTCTTCCTCGGTCCTCACACATATTATTGCTAAAATAAAGACTAATAAAACACGGTAGGCCATTATCACCATAATCACAATATTTTCAAATGACTAGTATTCTTATCTACGAGTAAGTTTTGACAATATTTAAACAATAATAGATACAATTAAAATGCTCAGGGAACGCTGTAATCAGTTATTATTTAAGATGTTATAACATATTTAGATGAAAATAATCAGTTTTCTAAGGACCTGAACAGTCTGCACTAATAAATAACTCCTACCAGTACCCACTAATCGTCCATGACAGGTAAATTGTCAAGTCAATGTTGTCAAGCAAATAACTACCTATATGCGTGGAGAAACTTGGTCCAGTTTATTGCAAATAGGACTTTTAGCATTCTGAATTTGAAGTAAAATCACATTTTTATATAATCAAAAATGATCTGCAAGCATTAAAATGTATAAAAATACCTATATCAACTCATATTATATTCATTCAGAATATCTCTATGAATAATGAAGCCTTAAGTTACAAGTTTATAGTATAATCAAGTAGAAAATTACTTTTTACAGTAACTTAGGTATGGAACACCATTTACAATTACCACGTAATCCCGTATTTTTTTTTATCATGCCATTCTAAAGTGTTATGAAACTGACTTAAAGAAAGAAGGGATTTCCTTGACTGAAATCGTTATTATTCAACCATCATCTATTTAATTTTCACAAATATAGTAGTAAACTAGACGCGATGATATATTTCATATATGTTTCGAACTATAGGAATAGGTACTGTCCACAAGATATGGGAAGGTATAGGCGCATTGGTCAAAAAGACGTATAAAGACAAGGCCTATTCACGCTACGTGACCTTTCCAGGCCCAAGAAAAGTTCTGCGCGCGTTTCTATACATAATTATGTCGTCAATGCTAACATACTCTGATTTTAATAGACTTATTTCTTGATTGTACTTGGCAAATAATCAGAGTCGGTATAGCTTTTAAAATATGCACGTTGAAATGGCTTCGGGTTGGCCACAAGGTTCTTAAGACTATCGTGCAATGGGCTAGGAAAGTTCTTGAGTTGGAGTCTTTGTGAACAGGTCTTCAATTTTGAGCTTCACCTCAGCCATGCCCTACATCAAGTTGTGGAAAATTATCCTTCGACGTCGGCTATTGTAATTTAAGACGCGTCATTCTGGACGAGGATCGCCGCCGCACGACTCGACTATCCTGCAGCGGGTAGGGTGTGAGGAGGAAAGTGCCAACACCCGGGCATTTCTTCGCGTTTCCGTGAATTGCGACTGACGGAAGCTGATGTCCTCCTCAAAGAGGCGTCTTACCCCTATGATAACAGCGAACCCGAGCTTGGAGCCTGGCTTCCAGGATTAAATGAAAAGGATTTTCTACCTACTTTTCAATTATGGCATTCTTTTGATCGGGTCTGTCTTGAAGACAGTCCCATTTCAAAACCCGAGCAGGAGCCGCATTATATTATGGTCACTTTATCCTGCAACCCAAAAAGGAATAGCCCCAATTCTATACATAAAATTAAATAAAAATAAAATTAGTTTTGATTTTAAAGGGTACTGTACTGATAGTGTGACACGACAAGTCGTTGATTTCGGACCCTGGCCCGCTGGCTGCATACCGTGATGTTTCGTAAGTAATTAAAAAATCCGAAAGAGTGCGCTGCTAGACAAGTCACGTGACTGACTTGTGGCCGCCATATTGCATTTGTACGGTGGCGAGGGATCATTTACTAATGCCTAATTTGTAATTTTATAAATGTCTAAAATAATTATGTACTCAGAATTGTTGGTGTCCGTTTATTCCTAAGTTTGGTGTACGTTTTACGTTTATTTTCAATTCATAATAAGTGTATAGTGTACATTAAAAGTATATAAAATTGTTCTGGGTTCCACCATTGAAATAACCAAGTAGTGGCAGAGTACCAGAAAAGGTTCACGACAGCGTTCAGCAGGCTGGACTAGGAAAGGTAAAAAAAAATTATCTTAAAATTCATAACACTGCGGTACTTAATTTTAATGTTTTTGTTGATATTTTAAGGCTGTTTTGAATGCCGGCTTCAGTTGTTTACCTTAAAACGCTACATAATGTATGGATAACTTTTATAAAATGAATAACAAACACTTTTTTAGTTTCTTATACTAAAATTTGGCTAAGTTATAAATATCATCCTTTAAAAATACTTTTCTTAAAGGTATGTGGAGCGAAAGTTTTGAGTTTTTTTCTTAGACAAGACATAGGGTGTGTGTTCATCAACAATATTATGGGTCTAAGAAAATCAATGGTTGTCATCAGCCCTTTCAGTGATTTGAGTACGTGACCTTTATATACGTTGTGCATTATGTACACGTAGCTTTAGACAGCTATACCATGGGACGACGCCATTTTGATTGCTAGCGCCTTGCCAGAGGGGGGAGGGGGGAGGAAGGGCGGGTAGGAGGGGCGCCTCTCACTATATAAAATATATGACGCTCAGACTTGGTGTCTCACTCATGATCATTCATTATCCACACTTTACTGATGCACACTTTTAATTAGCCCCCTCACAAATTGTTTAGATAACTGAAACTGAACCCCAATAAAAACAAACAATCTCACTAAGTTATTTTGTTTTACTTCGACAGGTTCACACATGGAATGTAGATTCCTATCACCATGAATGGCATAGTAAATGGTACTATGGAAACCCCGATGGACACTTCTGCCCCGAATCCCTCAGACAATTTGCAAAATAACCAGGAACCTGCTTCAGAAGGCTGTGATAATGCAAGTAATGTTTGTGAAAATAGCAATCATACTGAGGACAGTAATCACTTAGACAGCGAGAGCAGTCAAGGAGGTACAGCGAACAGTACTGGAGAGGATTTAGAGAATGACAATAGTAATTGCAGTGAAAGCCAAGATGCTGAACTTGAATTGGCAACAGATGTGCCAGATCCAGATAATGAAAATGATAATGATAATATAATATTTATGGATAGTAATGGTGGCAATAGTAATGAATCATACCCAGAATCATTGACTGGCTGTCATGTTAAGTCTGATGTTAATGATGATTTACTGCGTAAATTAATGATTCAAAAAAATAAAGAAGCTGAAGCAGCAAGAGCTCTGGGTAAGGGCACTACTACCATCACTCGTATCACTGAAATCACTCCAGAAGAGGTATGTTACTTTCAATATACATTAAAATATATATACAAACATTCATGAAAACCCTGTAAACATTCACACCTAAGAACCAAACGAAAAATACTTGGTTTAATGAGAACGGAAGAGGAACTGTTTTACATATAGTTTAATCCAAAATAATATTGTTTGTCTTGAGAAAAAGTTCAGTTGCATAGTCTATGAATAAATAAATTGAGTATAAAAATACGATTCTCGTAACTATCGGACAACTGTGTGTGGGTACATTGCTCATAATTGGGGAGATTACGACGATAGTGTTCTGTACCAGCGCCAGCCATTATGCAATAGAGATGTCTTCTATTAGGTAAAATGCTAGACTAATAACATAATTGGCGAATGTACAATAAGTAAAGGCAAAATGTCTTTTGTCTCTAGAGTAACATTTTCATTATGTTTATGCAATTTCTCAGTAGTTATGTCAAATAAAATGTGTTTACGCATTTAACTAACTTATTATTTTTAGTATTAAAAAGGTCAAGGGTTGTTTTTTTTTTGTAAACAAGATAGAATAAAAACATCACAAACTAGCGGGCCGCCCCTGCTTCGCCCAGGACTATGTCGCTAACAACGTAAGGGTCACTTTTCCCAATTTTCCCTTATACCTTTCTAATATTTTCTTTGATAAAAACCTTCTACTCACAATAACAAAAACAACAAAAAAGAATTGGCAAAATTAGTCACGGCGTTATTGAGTTATGTGCTTACCAATACATTTTGCGATTCATTTTTATACATATAGATAAAAGGTTGGTTCTCATAACTCTGTAAATTATAAATAATGAATCATGTACAATAATTTATTGACAAGTTACATTGAGTAGGTAATTTCGCGTTCCAGTTATCATTCAAAATTCACTATCACACATGCTTTGGTTGTTCTATTTAATTATTTTTCGGTGACGAAATTAACATAGTGTTATTAAGACAACTTTTGATGTGTTATGGATAAGATCAAGTCAGGTTTATTCTCTAACACTTAGAAATGCAAATATATTGACGAGTAACTGTTGGTTTAATTAGCATTTATTGTTGCTAAATATAAATGACCAACAAAAACTAGGACCGTTTGTAGTAAAGGGAACTTTCGGAAGATTTTTGTTGTTAAGGTTTTAAATGAATAAATGTTAACATGATAGTAGAGTACTAGCAACATAGCGTCCTTTGTTTACAAAACCTACATAGTTTCGCTTGGGGGGGAACACGTGTCATTTGGCGACGGCCTGGCGCCACTTTGCTATCTTTTAGAAAAAGCGCCATGACGCAGTGATTCTAGTAATTGAACCAAATACGTATTAAAGAATAAAATATAATTGTTATTATTTTCAGAATTCTGACACTATAGACTCAGAAGTTGATTGTTCAGATGATGAAATATATGATTGTGAAACAAGGGCAGAGGATACAGTAAGTATCAATTCTGATAGTGAACCAGAGAGAATAGACGATTTACCGGAAGAGGGCGTAATTAAAATAAAAAATAGGAATAATGTAATAGTATTAGAAAATGAAGATTCTCCCAGTCAAAATGGGAATTCACATGGCTCACCAAGTCCAGAAGTTCAAGAGATTGAAAGTGATAATGACGACTGTCTAGTGGAAGAACAGAAACCTAATAGTGAGAACAAAGTACAACTGCGCCGTAGTAGTAGAGCTATAAAGCGTAAAAAATATAACGACGAAGTCGAAAATGGTGGGCATTTATCTGACATAGAAGAAGTTACAACACAAACTGTGCACCGTAAAAATAAGCCCATTGTTATTAATGACACTAAGGCTTTAGTTGAAATGGCGGCTAGGCAGATGAAATTAAATCAAAATAATAACCAGAAAAAGGAACCTACTGTTGTTATTATCGACACAAATGCCTCACGCTCTGAAAAGTCTTCAGCACCACCTAAACCTGCGGGTCTGCCAATAAGTTCTAGTTTAAGTGCGCAAAGCTTATATCAAAGCATTGTTGCCCGGGGCACAACAGTAACACCAGTCAGTAGCAAGTCAAACATAGCAACACAAAGTGCTTCCCAATCGGCACAGTCTTCTATACTACCTTCTTTAACAGATGATATGTTTGTAGTTGAAGCACCTTCATTTATTGTGCCCTATGTTTACGAAAAACCGTCACTGAAGCCCTTCAGAGAATTTGTAGACCTATTGGGCAAAGAGCTAGATGATCAGAAAGCCAAAGAAGAAAAAGAAAAACAAAGCAAGGAGTCGAAACATAAGCAGGATAAAAAAGAAAATGGAGATGAGGTCAAGGTGGCTCAGGAGGTTTCAGATCCGAAATCATCATCTGCACAGTCCAATGAAGGTGAAGATGTTGATGACAAGAAAAAGAAGAAAAAAGGTAATTTTCAAAAATGAAATGGTAATTAAAACTCTAGGAACTAGTGTATACAAAAAAATCCAACACTTGGCAAACTAGGACATAAGCTTTCATCGGATAATGTTTTTTATGTGTATGAATTGTACTAAAATGTATGTGTTATATTATAGAGAAACGGAAGAGGGGCGGCGATGAAGACGATGCTTCTTGGGATGGTGAAACATCTACAGACTCTGAGGATGAAATCCTAATGAGTGATGAAGAAAATAAGACTATTATTATTAAAGATAAAGTTGATTCTATTGAAGACATTAAAGAAGTTGCAGATTTAACTGCAGATAAGGTGTGCTCAAGCAAAACTGATAATTATTTCGACTGTTCTCTTGGAAAGTTTTTTATTAATATTGGCTTAAGTCTTGTTCAGGAATATGTTCAAAGTGATTTATTAAAACAACAAACTCGAAAATTAAATCGCGAGAAGAAAACGGGGCATAGTACTAAAAACACTGAATCATCTATTGCTTCTTTAATAAAGAATATAGAATTCAGCAAAGAAAACAATGCGCCTTATGCATTTAAACAAAATAAATGCGAATTTTGTAGTTTTAAGACAGAATCTAAGTTGGCAATGGCCCATCACTTGGAAACTCCACATATGAAGAATAATGTTTATAAATGTAACTTCTGCGCATTCGAAATACGAAGTCCTCACGATATTTTGTATCATATGGAAGCTGAGCATAATGTTAGAGGAAAGTTAGAGAGAGCACCCGCGTACCACCAGTGCGCTAACTGTCCTTTTGAGGACAATGGCAAAGGAAAATTGGCGCGTCATCTGATACCATGTGCTAAGAAATTCAAACCTGAAACAAATTTGGCTCCACCTCTAGAATGGGAACCTCCTGCTAAAATACCAAAGGTAAAATTATTGTTATTAAAATTATATTATTAAGAAAAACTAAAGCAAGATGTAGCCTCTCGTTGGCCAGCACATAAGACATCTCGTTTAGATCTACACTGCTTTCAGTGATTAATATTTTTATTTTATTCACAGATAACGAGATCCCGCAATAATATGATGGGTTCTTATCAAAACACATTCAATAGAAGTAATATCCACAACAGTCAGGGGCGACAGTCTTCCAACATGTCCAACGTAATGCCAGGTCTAAGTTCCTCATACAGGCCACGAGGCCGCACCCCCATGTCCATGCCGCCAAGAGCCATGCCCGTTCATGGCGTGCCGATCTTACGCGGCGGTGTAATGGTCAGGCACAACGCACCCGTCCTTATGTCCTCGAATTATCCAGCTGCTGTGAGTACAACTTTATTTCAATATAAAGTAAAGTATAGTTTTATTAAATAAAATAGTAGTTATCAGACGATAAAATTATTGTTTCAGAATAATACTAAGCAGAAATCGGTGCACCAGCCATCGATTTCCATCACACCGTTACCAAGACAACCAACGCCTGTGCAGGTCCCGCCGCCTGCAATCAACTCAAAGAGTACTTTCGTTATTTGTGAAATTTGTGATGGTTATATAAAAGACCTAGAACAATTACGAAATCATATGCAGTGGATACATAAAGTCAAGATACACCCTAAGATGATATACAACAGACCACCTCTTAATTGCCAAAAATGTCAATTTAGGTAATAATTTACGTTCATAAACTTGATTTTGTTACGTATTTTTTTTGAAGATTTAATATAAAGACGATCCAGATACAAAATAACGAAACACATGATTGCCGACCATTACAGGTTTTTCACGGATCAAGGTCTCGAGCGACATTTGTTGGGTTCCCACGGCCTCGTCACGAGTTCAATGCAAGAGGCCGCCAACAAGGGAAAAGATGCGGGCAGGTGTCCCGTATGCGGCAGGGTAAGAACAGCAAACTCATTAATGGCGTGTTTTTAATTATTTAATTTTATAAAGAAAATTTTAATGAAAGTTCGTTTGTAAATGTTTCAGGTATATCAGTGGAAGTTACTAAATCACGTGGCGCGAGACCACAATCTAACGTTAAAACCAGCTCATCTTTCGTACAAATGTACAGTATGTACAGCTACATTTGGAATGTACAAACAGTTTGAGAATCATGTGTATTCGGCCCATAGTGTTGTGGCCAAAAGAGTCATGGACAAAAGTAAGAGTTCAGTGCCTGCAAAGACTAATAATAGTGATACTCTTTTGAAGCCATTAAAGATTAATGATGAGATTACTATAATACCACAGCCAGTGAAGGGAGCCGCGGCTGAAGATGATAATTAAGGTAATATATTTTTTTATGTTGCAGTATGATTATTTAATTGTTTTACTTGGGCTAGCGAATAATAATTGAACATACATGTTATTAACTAGCTGCTTCAGAAAAGTTCTTTAACTTGTAAGTTAGTAAGTTCTTTAGCTAGTTAATAGGAAAACAAATAACACATTCCCACAAAGAGCAAAGGCTTTTTCTGGGAATGTGTTATTTGGACTGATTGGAAGACCTAGTCCCACATTTACCCCAACCTGTTATAATGACGTGTAGATCGCAAATAATTATTTCTTGTGAAAATAGAAATCCTGATACGTAACTGGTTTCCCAGCTTCTGCGCCAACTTAGCAGTTAAAAAAAGCAGATAATTAGCAAGTAGAAAATTATTATCATTGTAAGAACTGGCTTGTAAGAAATAGCTCAAAATGATAAATAACTTGAAATGTAATTTTATATTACCCATTCTACAGAGTTGATGCTGAAGTGTCGATTGCTCAAGCCAAAAATAAAACTACTTGTGCGCTATGCGAGTGAAAGTAACATCTGCTATTGGCTATACCCTCATACATATCTAAACGCTGCGCGTCTACGTAAACGCTAATTTGTTACGCTGTGTCGAAATCCCAATGTTTGTGTTGTATATACAGTTACTATCTACAAATTCTTGCCGAGGCTTGCGTCTGCGTATTGCGACTTTATTAATATCCCGTTATTTGCTTTTTGCTTATTTATGTTTAGCATAGCTATGCTCTGTTTGATTATCATCATTGATATTGATTATCATAAATAAGAAGATATAAATATTATTGATATAATATTTTGCAAGTGAAAAACAATCTAAGTAATGTCATGACATTTATAGAGTTTCTTTTCGTGCTTTGCGAACAAACATAAGTAGACTGGATTAACGTGGGTTAGCTGCCATTATTTTTTAAGCTGGGCTGGCTGCTATGCTGCTTATCGCGGGTTCGATACCGCTATTAACATTCATTGTGTGATACTCATATTATTTTTCCGAATCTGGGCGAGATGTGTACGTGTTGTTGTGTTGTAAGCACGCACCTGATAATATGTATACCAATATATACATATAAACCAGTCTGGTATTTTTGAAACGAATGCGAGATATGTGATTTTGATTTTAAATTTAATTTTAAAATAATATTTAAATTTAAAAGGCTTAAGACATGTTCAAGAAGGACAAAATTAAAAAAAAAACATTTTTATATGCTTGCGTCCTGCTATTTATAGCAGCCTATTGTACTTATACTCGTACTCATGACTAATCATGATCAGTTATACAATTTTTTAATTTATAATATTCTGCGACTGGATCTTGTCCAGTATGACAATTTGAAGTTTCTAACTCATATCAACGCTAGCGAATTGAAGTTACATGCGGAATTAATGTAATTGTTATTCACAATTGAAAAGCCAGTTTTTTATCTAAGCTAATTATTTTGTTACTATATAATGTTTCTTTTATCTCTGGATGTGGATGGATTGAACACTGCGGGCAGTGCCGTTATTTATATGAAAGGTGACAATTGTTACAGAAGTGAAGGTGGCAGAGGTCGCCGTATCTTCGCGCTGCGAGCTTGCCGGTGCCTTCGTGCCACATTGTGAACGAGGGCAGAGCCCATCGCCGGCCGTGGTGGGACACTTAGTACCAGTGTACATTCCAACTTAGGCAATATAGCTTTATAAAACGCTACCTAGGTTTAGGCATATAAATATTACGTACGGTAATCTAACAACTAGTTTCGAACGATTTTAATAATACTTCACCTTATTGTGGCAATGTAGGTATTTAGACTTCTAAAAGAGTATCTTACACTGCCTGGGCTTTAAAAGCCAGTGATATATTATTTATATCATAAATTCGATTACGGGATGTAGACTTTCAATTTGGTTTTATACAAGTAATAGCACGGTGGTCGATTGTAACTTTTGACGTTGTAAATTTTGGTAACATTTAACGTAATTTTAATTATATGGATTGTGAATTGTGGAATGTACACCGGTTACGCAGAGAGATAACTTGTGTAAATGCTAAACATACCTCAGCGAATCTTAGATTATATTGTAATTTTATGTAAGATATTATAATGTTGTGTACCGTGAAGGGGGTAAAACGGAAATTAGAACTTTATTTGATTTATGCCGTAGTTAGAGTGTGTGAAGGTTGTGTTATCAAGAAAAGGTCTTTGCAGGTCATGGCAGACCTAAGGCCGTACTTGTATATAGTAAAAACTCGTACGTAAAAAGTTTTATTTTATAACTCTCTTACCAGACTCGTACGAGATGACATCTGTGTTTATGTTCAATTGGAAGAATTTGATTTTGCCTGTGAAATAAGTTTTACTCAATAACTTAACACAAGAACAATAATGAAATTTATTTGTTTTCAATCCACAAAAAAGAATTATGCTGAATTGTTTGTTGTCAATATGTTTGTATATTATACAAGCGCTACAAAATGTACCGACTTTAACAAATTAACTTTAAGTTGATGGTCTACGTACTATGTAAGTAGATTATATCAAAACCTGGGTTGAGTGTATGAAAGTGACTAGGTTATAACATAATAGTATTTGTCGGAAGATGAAGGGCTTAAACTGCAAGTCTGAAAGTCATTGGTTTAATCATTATTTATAATTAGCCAATACAATGGAAACTAATAAAAAGCAATAATCGGTTAGTTTTACGTCAATAGATTGCCATTTTTGAAGTGTACGAAGTTTATTGGGTCCTTTATTAAACGTACGGTCAAATTAACACAAAAAATAGTAGGTTTCAATAATTTTATCCGCGTATTATTTATATAAATGTTGCTGGAAGTGAACAGCATTAAATGACATTCACAAGGATGCAAAAAATTAAAAAAAAATTACATTCACAAAATCTTTGTGAATGTTTGTTTTAATCTTTATGGATGCGATTACCCACCATGTACTTAATTACTTAAGTTTTTTTAACTCTCAAGGTCTACCCAGGGTGGGAACTTTACCGAACAATAGCAATTGCACGTTAAAAATTTCATTCCAAATTTATAAGGGACCAACGTCGGACATACATCTTTTACCTATGTAACGAAAAATCAGACACCACAAAAAATTTACTCATTTTGTGATATATCTTGCTTGACTCATTTATTAAAAAAAAAGTACTTTATGGAACATTTTTTTGCTGCTTTGTAATTGATATAGCGATTTTACAAATTTCATTCATAATGCTGTTCATAACAATTCTCCAATTTACTGCTCTATGCAAATGAATGTAACCTTAATGTCTAGTTTTATGGAACTATTTCACAGAGGCACTGGTTAACCGAATTTGATAAAGTTTAAGTTGTACATTGTCTAATGGAGTAGGGCCCTATTTCTTTTAAATTATTTGTAAGGAGAAAGTTTAAGTCTTAAAAAGCCAATAATTGCCAGTAAATCCTGAAAACTATAATTTTCTATGTTAGGTTTTTATTCTAGTTATTTAAATTTTGCGACCTTATTACTACAATTTCTAGTCTGGGAGTAGGCCTAAGGACTGGGCTCTGCTCAACGTTGCACTGCATTTGGTGACGTACACCCATTCTAGATGACACGAGGAGATAATGTGTTCCGCGGAATGCGGAGTTTTCAGTCCTTGCTGAGTTACATTGGAAATTTAACCAAACAAATGATTTTATAATAAAGCTAAGTTGACGAAGACTAAGTTAATGATAATTAATTAAAATACTAAGGGCCTGTATCACAACGTCCGGTTAGGCAATAGGGGAATTAATAAACTGAAATAGGTATAATTATTATGCTAGTTATTTTGACCAAAACTTATCAAGTAAACAGACTAAGAGAGCTGAAAGACGATACAAATGAAGGGCCTCTAAAAATTACATTAACATCTTCATCTAAATAAAATCATGTAATTTTTGGCTCGGTTTTACTAGTTGACATATTTTGCAAGCATTTCGACCAAAATATATGTTTCAGGGTAAACTAAATCGGATATTATAAGTAATTAATACACATAGTAAGTGTCATATCACACTGCGGAGTTTAGTAGTTAGAAATTATGCAAAGCATCCGGATTAAGAATGGGATAGTGTCACCCGTTTACACGTAATAATCATTGTACGATGCTGTCGGATGTTATCCTCAAGTACTGTGGCTTAACATTTCATTAGACTCTTATCACGACTGATAGGAACCAATAACAGGATTCTACTAAATTGGCGCACAGTAAGTAAAACTTTAAGAGAATAAATGTGATTAAAATAGGACGATTACCTGTGTTGCATATAGTTACGATATATTTAAAACAACGGTGTTGTTTTACGTAGATCTTATAAATATTGAGATGTTTTATTTACATAAAGATATTAATACTTAAATATATATAGCTTACAAAACAATCATATATTTACCAAGAGTTTAGTCTGGTGCAATAGATATCTCTATTTTGTAGAATGTTACCTGGGCTAAGATTTTAGTTGCCAAGCCCGACGCTTTGTTACATTGCGTGGTTAGCTCCTTTTATCAATAGATACTACTGTTTGTCCATATGATGATATTATCTACATTTGTCTCAGTAAAATATTTTATAATTATGGTTAGACGAAAAATTTGTTGAACAATTGTATTATTGGTAATTGCGATTAATTTACGATGGTCTACAATAAAAAATAAGTTAGTTTTCTGTTTGAAAAGTGTATTTTTACTGTCGCTAATTGCAATAACCAAAATCTTGTTTGCAGTATCAATAACACTTGGTACAGCACTAATATGCGATAACAATTTATAGGTGTCTACAGATGACTGATTCGATACGATTTATTTTACCTTCTTTTATTACAATTATTGTGGTGTTATTTCAATACTTGTAATTACCATGTGATACACGCTTAACAACTTATTATATACCTTATGAACACACTTTTTTTCCAAAAATATATTTTCTGTAAGGGCAATCTACATTGGTGACATTCTAATGTGCATGCAATAGTGAACCCTAATTTTATTTAATTATGGTGTGATGGTTGTTGTAACCAATAATTATTCGCATAATACCTAATCATCGAACTACATAATAACATTTAATGATTGCCAACGTGGATTAGCCCTGAAAAAGCGAGCAATTATGCCCACGAACGAGAAAGACGTACTATATTGAGGGCTAGTTGCACCACAACCATACGTTGGTATATTGAACTGGCAGATATAATTCATGTTAATTCCATTCCATTTCAATTTTCTACGCTAATTTTTATTCAGAGCTTTTGACGTCATCCGTAGACCATCCAATTTTGATTTATATCTTATAAAAATAATTGTGGTTTTATGGAACATTGCCATTATTGAATTGAACTTTGATCACATGTGTTTAAGTCGCATTATGTGATTTGACATTGTAAATCTTAATAATATTGTGATTATAACATTATCATTTGAATAGCAATAGCTGCTGTGTTAATACAAATAAGTTTAGACACGTAACATAATAATTAATATATACAAAGCCTGAATTTCTTTTTAAATGGGCTACGTTGATGAATGATTGTGTTTAGGATGGGACATTCCTAATTGATGAAGATTATATTTGATGGTAGTAATACCGGAGGTGCGTGGTAAATATTTATTATTTAAACTTAGGTTGTTAAACTAGGTTTTAGTTAAATTGAAAGTAAAAATAATAACTTCTTATTGTGTTTTCTTTTCAACTATTGTTTTCAAACTTGAGTGATTATGAATAGTGGAACCTGATTGATTTGGTACTAAATACCTAAACGAATACGATCTAAACGTTTTGTACAATTTTGTTATCTTGTAAATAACAGGTATCATTAAGTATTTGTAATAAAGATACCTTACCATTATCGATGTTTCATTTGAACAATATTTGGGTAGTTTCTTCAGTCAAAAATAAATTATTTCAAGTTATTAAACCATATAAATAATACCACCATTCAAGCTTATTTTGTAATTACCTACGTAAAAAAGTTAAGATAACTAAGTGCAATTTCATACAAAGTTTTTGACATTCCAGAAAAAGTATTGTATTTAACTAACTGGAAACTACCCTCTAATATTGATGTTAATGCCATATTTAAATGACTACAACAGTGTTTTTTCTCTATTGCTAAGAAAGAAGAGGCACCAGCTGCCAAAAATTGAGTATATGAAAATAGGAAATGGAAATTGTAAAGTATTTCAATTCGGTAAAAATTTTATTGTCAGGGAAAACTATCAAAAGACATCTTCCAGGACAAGGCGAGAGAGAGAGTCAGACTCTTACTGACTAAAAACCCCCCGTTCCTTCTCCTTTTCTGGGCCGGGGCCGCGGTGACTCATTGCGCTTAACTCGCAACCCCGGCTGAACATCAGCCTCTTTGGCACGCCGCCGTCCGCTCGGGTCTGGATTTGGTCGGGCGGCGAGCAACCCTTACTCGCCATCCACAGACCCGTGCCAACGGAGGCCAAAGATTGACTCTCGAAAAAAAACCTTAAAAAAATATTTTTTACTTTTGAGTAACAAGTTTAACCTTATTTGTCAATTTTCTGTTTAGGTTCTGTACCATTGTATCAGTTTTTATTTGCATATGAATGAGAAGTGTCTCTAAACTGATTAAGAACAGGAATGAGCACATGTTGTAACATTGGTCTAAATGTAATCTAGTCACGACGCAAACTGAAGAACTAAGTGTCAACCTAAATCTGAGCAGAGCTGTATGACTCCACGATAGTAGGTACTTTTAGGTCTCTTGTTAGATATAACAAAAAGCAGTATATGACAACAAACATCAGTCGACTGACCATTCACTATCACTAGTTAAATGACCACCTATATTTGCAGAAAGTTGATGAAGTCCGCAGAAACAAGCTGGATGCTGGTCGCTTCGTCATTGGCGGAGAAACATGATCAGCGGACCTATTGTGATGATGTTGGGTGGTGATTTCGATTATTGTTCTATTTCTGTGTGTCTGAAATTTGTTTCATAGGTAGATTACGTATATCACAAATATTTTCACGTTCAGATATTACGAGGGTGAAGTTGCCGCCAATTTAAATAAACCGGGTTCCTTTAGTTATTTTAAGGTTCAACAGATGGCGCACCCTATGGGGGTCAACTTAGAGTGGACGGTATTTGGGATGAGGGGTGAGGGGTGCCTAAATATTTACAACTATAGTTATTTTAAACATTTCAATGTGCGTCGAAGCTTCCTAGATGTCGCTGATGATGTATTGAATAGTATTTGTATGTTTATGGTATCGACAGCGTTTAAATTAAACAGCTTACTCTATACTACTCGATCCCTAGACCCCTTTCTTCGACAGTCCCATTTGTGGTTAAACTTACCAAAACGAGATAGCCAAACCTCTATGAATCTAGTTATTTTAAAACCATATTTAGACTAAAAGGTTTAGAAAAAAATGCGACCAACGGGGATAAAGCTCTCAGTTATCCAGGTCTCCGAGTTTTCGATATGACACGATGTCTGGGATTGGTACATATTTATATTAAAAAGTAACTGCATACAGGTATAAATTACATCAAAATATTGATTATGACCTGCGCAGAGCGGTGCAGTCAGAATAATCTAGACTTGTGCATTCTGCGTAGGTATCACAAAATGCAGAAGGTCCATGTCTCCTAGTGTAAGAAATTAAGTAGGTTCTATATTACCTATAAAGTCCATTCAGTATTTGTATCGATATCGTGAATGATTTTAGGTGCGGTTTGCGGAATGACTGAGCAACCGGCTACTGCTTGGAGCAAATTTTTTGTGTAGGTACCTAATTCACAATTGTTGTGCCAGGTTTGACTGAAATCTGAATTTAGACACAAGTAAAATTACACATAGGTAGGTATCGATATCATCTTAATCGTATGGGTGAAAGCACGCACACTTAGTGTACGAGTCGAGTCGAGTTCCCGCGGTAGGTACAATTACCCACAGTCTAGAATAGTGGACTTAAGTCTAATCGTTTAAAATGGTAAATTATAATGTGATTTCTGTCTTAACGATATTTTTACAATAAGTGTGGGAGAGCCATGTTTCAGCACGAATGGGTCGGCTCGACCGGAGTGATATCACGGCCTCACAGAAAACCGGCGTGAAACAACATAGCGTTGTGTTTCGCCGTGAAACAACCACAGCGTTGTGTTTCGCCGTGAAACAACCACAGCGTTGTGTTTCGCCGTGTGAGTGAGGTTACCGGAGGCCCAATCCTTCCCCTCCCCCAATCCCTCCTCAATCCCTAAATCTCCAAATCCCTGATCCCTAAAAGGTCGGCAACGCACTCGTAACTCCTCCGTTGCAGGTGTCCATGGGCGGCGCTGATTGCTTACCATCAGGTAATCCGTCTGCTCGTTTGCCGACCAATCACATAAAAAAAAAGCGAGACAGGATTTGACTCAATTAGATTTCACACAATGTAAATATCGACGAAATTTATATGATGGTCATAAAACGCAATGTTACATAGATGGACACCCGGAGGATTCGATGACGGTGTTCACTGCTTGGGCTGAGCACAGCTGTGTGCTGAGGACACAGATGCGATCGGCGCTGCGTAACGCCCCTCTTTGAGGAGTGGCTAGAAAGATGGTGCTTAAGGGACACGGAAACTTCGGTAAGGATCTACGTGTTTCGGGTCCAGCGGGATGATACACCTGGTGGTCGTCATTGTGAGGACCAACCGGGGGACATGGTGGAACCTAAGGTGGTGGTGTGCCCTGCTTGGAAGTCGACTCCTCCTTCAGGGAATCAGTCATAGCTGCCCGCGGGGGACACTTCGGTCTTCGCGGATCTTGAGGCGATCTCCAGCCAAAGCGTGGTAAAGCGGCGAGAAAGCAACAAAAAAGAACCAGGCCCGTTTCGTTCGGCCTTAAAGATGAGGACACTTGGCGATAGAGGCCGCCGCAGTGTCCTCATCTTTAGAGTCTACGTCTAACTTCTCACCTGCCTGTCACACATGTAGCCCTCTTTTTATAGAGGATACCTATAGAGCAAACAGTACCTAATGCATTCTCATTAATTTATTTTTATAGTTCCATTAACAACCACTAGACATGGAACTAAAGACGGCAGCTTACCAATTGTATTCAAGAACAACATATGTATTGTAGTAAATCACAATGTAGTACAACCTACCTGCTAACAATAATTAGGTACTGCTATCGTAATGAACAAAGTTAGTAAATTGTAGGTGGCGTCTAGTGAGAGGAAAGTAAGGAGGAGTGCGCTGGTGGGGCCGTGCATGAACTTGAGTGCAGCAGTAAGTGGTAGGATCATGCAGTGGCTGGTCATGTGGTGCCAGGTCTTGCTCCTCGCAGAGGGCATGCACCTGATGCCCCAGTACTACGAGCCCTCAACTGAAGTAAGTCTCTCTGTTTACATTTGTTTTAATTAATATTTTATTAAAATTTTAAATAATACTTTTCGTAATTTGCCTAACGCTATGACGGCGAAACATGCTGGTCTGTTTTAAATGTTTTCAACTTTGTATTTACCGTTTTTCTGGCAGATAATTATATTATTTAGTATCTATTATTATTAGACCTCTTGATCAAAAGTGTTTACTTAGAAATTATCTAATAGGCGTCCTCTAGTTTTCGGTGTGTATTATTTAAATTGTTCTTATTTCATTCTTACTTGCTATAATTTAAGGATGATAAGAAAAACACAAAGTCAATTTTAAAAAAGTCTTGTCTTTCATCGTTTTATTTTTATTTCTTCTTGTTAACTTAGGTAGGTACTTTTAACCAAATATGTATATGTATTGTAGCTTTATTACGAGGTGTTAATACAATGAAAAGTAAACGATACAACAGGTATTACGAATGATGTGAAAAAAATGGAGAGCAGGTAGATATTTAGACCCGTTAATGAACATACAATGATCCATATTCAGGAATCATTGTACCGCGTAATTGACAACCTGGTATGTTACAATACTAATTATTGTCGACAGGTAAAATTTACGATCACATTTTCATACTTTGCGATGCATTAATCGCGTATAGAAATATTACTAGACTTGCTTGTAGGTAGATAGATACTTTATATATTATTTAGGAATTTGTGAAGAAGCAGTGTCTAAAGGGCTTCAATAATCAATTCAATTTTATCATTTCTTATCTAGTAAATCCACGTTTTAAGATATTGTAATGAGCGATAGATTAAAAGGTGATAACGATAGACAATCCATTTTCTTTTCTTAATATTTTATAAAGATCTAATGTACTTTTTTATTACAATCACTCATGTGGCATAAATTATTTTGATATTCTGTATGCATGCGAAATGGATGTTTACTGCTTTGTTTTTTAGCGCCTAATGCGAGTTAATGAACTTTGAGTGTATTTAAAACACCGCATAAGCATTATCGTGTTATTGATGTGTTTTTAACAAGCATAATGTGTCTCCCATGTTTCTTGCTAAATAACAGTGCTACCGCGTGTATCAAATATTGTTCTTATGTTATTACGCTGTGATAATTCCAACATTTGCAACTTTAGGACAAATTCTGATAGGTGAAGAGTTGACTAACCACCTTTTTTATTAATTTTACAGTACCAACATAACAATAAAGTAATAATTTCTTTTTCAGGTGAACTGCATCGAATATGCAACATCAAATCAAAATAGGATTGGTAGAATTCTCAAAGAAGGTACCTACAGTAGTAATCGTATATTAAAATAAGATGACGAATGAGTAGAACATTTAATATATTTCTTTAGGTCTTATTTTCCTAATATGCTTACTTATGTTACACAGGATGGCATGCCCAGAAACCCAACCCTAGGAAGATTATCCAGAAACGTTCCGTCACCATACCTGTCCAGTTTTCCCTCACTACGGAGCCAATGTCGCGACGAATGGATGACATTATCAGCAACATAATACCGAGAGGCGCTCATTTGCTTAAAGAACATGCAAAATTAGTTCAAGATATAAACAGCCTTCGTCAAGTAGTCTTCATATCGCCATTCATAGAAGAGTCAAAGGATTACGACGATTCCATCTTTCATGAGATAATTGAGACTTCACCGACTTCAACAAACAGACCGTCATCGTTTAAGCCATTTGTAAGCACCACACGGCCTCCTATAAGTTCGACAAGACCACCAATGAGTTCGACAAAAGGAAGTTCGATTCCAATCATACTACTGGGTGGCGCGAGTCAACGGCAAGTGGTGAAGAGTCAACCAATTACATTTTTGAAACCGACCGTTAGCTTAGTCGGGACTACCATCTCTCCTCTGGTCAAACATCCGTACCCGTTCGTGAATCCACAACGGAAGCCGATGAAGATCTGTATGACTTCGCTACCTGCGATGTTTACTACAACGAGGCGTCCACCTACTTTCTGGGACAAACTCATAGATTATTTCATACCCACCCGAACAATAGGGAGATAGGTGGAGTAGATAGGTCATAATTTAAATGCTTTTTATACATCTTATTCAATAAGTAGTGATATTAATTTAATGCTAATCTGTTGCTTGTATGTGGCATGTGTTTGTAACCAACTAAGTATCTAACCTTAAATAAAATATTTATGTAAAATTGTTGTGGAAGAACCATTTCCTACCGCCACTACATACATATTGTTTACTAGTTCGTGTATCGATCTATGAACGTACACTTATTATCATTAATCGTCTATGTATACACACATGCGTGCGCCGACGGCTCTATAGTCGCGTGTTCAGCCTCTTATTATAAATGCCGATTATGTATTGTCTTCTTTTTTACACTTTTACGCGTCGGAATGGAAAAGTTGAACGTCTTATGTATTATGACAAAATAATTATTTTTCATTGTGCCTTATGTCATTAGTTCTTGTTGGGTTCTGGTAGATATCCAATGAGAACTTTTCATTGAATAAGAGCGACGTTATGTCACGGAATTTTTCCCTCCATTGTGTTAATCTTAATTACTTGGGTTGCATTTCTATTCCACGGCTGAAATTGTAAATTAAAATTGTATATAATACTCATATTATTTTATAAGTAAGTTATAATATAACGTATTAACGCAAGTATGTTCAGAGAGAAATGTTCAATTCAATCTGATTTTTTTGTTACCAATTAAAATGTTATATTTGCGATGTATTCACGATCGTTTTATTATCAATTCCCTTTTGCTCAGTAAGTATTTATTTAAGTTCATTTATAGTTTTTTAGAAGAAATAAGTTGTTATTTATTTTAGGTCATCTGTAAAGGTAAAGTACCTACATTATGTATAAAACCAATAACCAACCAATACAAATAAGGAAATTAGCAGACCACAGCCGTGGTTCCGGAAGCAAGTATAATAATAAACTGCGACCCTGGCCAGGAGTAGGAGAAGAAAGGGGATTTTTAGCCAGTAAGAATGTGGCACACGCTCGATATAGTGATCGCATCCAATGTGCATATGTAAAGTCGCGTTCTCCGGAAACAGGGAGAGGTTTACTTAAATAATAAATAAATTACTAGTTTTCATCTGTTAGATTTGTCATACCTATGGGCGAGTCTATCGTTATTGTAGATATCTATCTGTTTTGCGAATGAAAACATTGTTTTTCCCGTATTTGTTTTGTATTTATAAATCGCCAGCAACGAATGATAGGTTGCATTTAAATAGGTATATTTTTTACGGCAAAGGTCGTCAAACGGAAGACGGATTACCTGATGGTGAGTAATCAGCGCCGCCCATGGACACTCGCAATAACAAACGAGTGCCTACATAAGCGTTGGGGGTCTTGTACGTTATAAGGGATTTAAGGATGGAGGGGTTTTGAAGATTGAGGATAGGGGGAAGGTTTGGGCGTAAAACGTCAGTGTTGCTTCACTAGTTTGTGAGGCCTTGGCATCACTCCGGTCGAGCCTCATTCGTGCTGAAGCAGGGCTCTCCCACACTTAGGATGGCACACTTGTTCCACAATTTAGATACGTAATGTTAAAAAAACAACTATTTTATTACTAGCTTTGATCGATGTGGGCCTACTGCAGACGATACATAGAGTGTACATTTCTAGAATGTTCTGACAGCACTGCGCAGGTCACGATCAATATTTTGATGGGAGTTACATTTGTGAGCAGTTTTATAGGAATAATATGGAATTAGGAGGGTTCAGTTAATTTAGTAGTAGGTACTGAGCGGGAGGATATTTAATTCAAATTGACCTCGAACTTCGTATTATTATCAATTAAAAAATGTTCTATAGCAAGAAGGTTTCTACAGTTGTGTGGGATGCATATTACATTTTATTTTGTGCACATTAATAAAACAATGAATAATCAATAAGTTAATTATGTAATATATATTTATAGTATTGTTAAGTTTTAGTAAATATTGTATTGTATATGTTTATATGGGCCTTCGATGCCTGAAATAAATGGACAAATAAAATATTATATCAATTACTCAAACCGATAAACCATGTTTTTTATAGGTCGGTAAACAAACACTATGATTACCTGGTGGTAGGTAAGCAATCAGCGCCGCCCATAAACACTCGTAATATTAAAGGAGTTACTACAAGTGGTTGCCGGCCTCTTGTAAGTTATTAGGAATTTAAGGATAGGTCAGGATTCCGGTAACATCACTCACACTGCGAATCACAAGCGTTAGTGTTGAGTCACGCCGGTTTTCTGTTAGGCCGTGATATCACTCCAACTTTTGGCGCTAACGTAGGAATATAGCCAGGATTAAAAATGGTCTCAAATCCTTAGACTACGTCTACTACGTACTACCTGGACGACTCCATGCTGACAAAGCCAAAAGTATAGAACAATACATGTAGATAGATATTCCATAGAAATGCCTTAGTCAGGACGAGGTACTCAAAATTTACTTGTTGAATACCTAACATAACACAGACTATGGCGGCGACGCTCCTAGGTCTCAATCTCAATTATAGTGATGAGACGCCTTGCTGGGCACGGCGGGTGTCTATCGTACATTGCTGATTGGCTCTTGTTTGCGCTGGCGACGACGTGACCCGCTGCGTACCATGAACGCAATGTACGATGAACGCAAGACGCGCCCCGCAACGCACTCTGTCTTTGTAAGCGAAAGCCTCACAAATGGCTCCCATGGTGATGTGATTATTCAAGGATGGCACTGATTGCTTGGCATCAAATGCCCCGTAACCTCGTTAGCTTCTTATTTCATAAAAATATATGATTTACTTCTTTGAAAATAAAATACTATTACGTATAAATCTCAGTGTTTTTAATATTTAATTATATATTGATTAAGTACATAAGCATTTGTTCCTACGATTGAATCTTAGGAGTCTAACTTTAAGATGATACTTAAGTCATCTACGTGTGTATCTTTTATTCAAATTAGATAAATTATCATTCATACAAGTAATTATGCACATTAAAATTTTTTAATCAAAATAATACAGACGTATTTGTGACGAAGTTAAATCGTTAACTAAGTATTATGGATACCAACAAAACATTATTAGAAAAAATATTTAACAAAATAATCATTAGTTCATGTATAATATTAATACATCAACACCCATATAATCAAACAAATTTACGAGTAAGATTATAAACAGTATCTATTTAATAATAATGCATTAAATATTACACTTTTAGTTCTAATCACACGCACAGAACATTTATCTAAATAAACGTTTGGTGCCCAAATTATTAGACAAATAATACGCATTTGATTATAAATTATACAATGATAAGTTCAAATTCTAAGGAGTGGCTTGTTATTGTAACCTTCTAACCTACTTACGCGTTGTATTTGCCTTGAATAATGATAATTTTTGGCGATAAAAGATATTATTATAGCTATTTATTACGCACTATAATGCCTGGCTAGATATCTAATTAAAAGTAATATTATTCCTACAGCCATTTCTATTTCTAGCACGGAATTTAAAACGTAAGTACTAAACATTAAAGACATTTTTTATTTTTCACTTAAAATTAATCATTATTTAAATTTTAAGTACTAATAATCAGTTCCTTTTTCAAATTTTGAAAGTAACGATATAATTATATGTTCGGTATTTAATATTTGAATAACGGTTTATTTTTTTATTTTTATTGGGAATAGGGATTAAAATAAGGGAAAAAGGTGTTTTTAGACAAGAACCTATTTACTAGGTGCTCGTTTATCAAAGTATCGTACTAAAATTGAAAATGTTCATATAAAAATTGCTATAACATCACACGGGCTTTAAGATTTTGTAACCACCTGTGGATGGCTAGCGATTTCCAACATCTGATCTTTATTCGCGGTTGAGAGAACACATAAAGAGTGTTCCTCACCAGAGGTGCTTGAAAAACAACACACTAAGCTCTACACGCTCCAAAAAACCTTAACAAAGGTTCAAGGCCATTGAGCCTGAATTCCATTTCTACAAACATTAGGTACGTCCATTTTTAGTAAACAGTAAGAAAGGACAAATCGAGTACGTTCTTGATATAGGTACAGGCATTATCATTTTATTCAACACTGAAATTCTTTATAGTAAGACTTCTAAAACCAATTCATTATTTAAGTACGTAAAAATATACATAGGTACTATCAAATACAACAAATATGTTATAATCCACGATAAATATTTTCATTGTTTTTAACACATTTTGGTAACATCACAATAGATATTCGAGAAGCATAGGTATATCCAAATACCAAATAAACTCATTCACTTTACACGCTTGATACATAATAATAATAAAATAAAACTAAACACAGTTTAAGTACAAAAAAAGTTAATAAAACATTCCTCAATCGAAAAAGTTAATTATTTCATAAAACATTTAATAAATCCAAAAATATATCCCGTGTTTTTCTTTGGGCCCACAGCAAGAGAGGAAGGAAAATTATTACAAAAATAATCAGATTTGTTTGATTTTAATGTGGACAAATGGGTAAGTTGACTGTGAAGAACACATTTAATTCTATTAGAGCTGCTAAGACTAAATAGCCGATGTAAATAAGTCCACATGTGATGCCAATCTTCCAGTCCAGCTGGAATTTGTTCAGGAACAAGCATCCGTATAAGGTGAAGAGTGTGGATAGAAGAGATATAGCACTGTAGGATAGACCACTGGAATTTATTGATACCTGGAAAAATAAAAAAGTTTTTATTAATATAGCCAAAGAGTTCTAGAAGTATACAGTTTGTCATTCATTTGAATTTAGATCGTCATGCACCGCCAATTAGGACATGCGATTTAAAATAACGGATCCGAGCTAAAATTCTTCATTTGCTGACAAAACGTTTCGTCAAAGGAAACTTTAGAATAAATGTAAGAAGTTCGTTGATTTGTATATTATATAAAAGAAGACTTACGTAATGATGGCCTGGTACAGTAGGGTAGGCGAGTGACTTAATCAACCAGGGCAAACCCAGGCACAGCAATATGTCGAACGTATTTGATCCTATAGAATTACTTAAACCCATGGTGCCGTGACCTGGAAGATAAATAGTAGTACATACAGCCCATGAAATGATAGATGGTATGATACTATGAGAGACATTGTCAAAGAGTTCGTAGTTATTTAATACATACTAATAATAATAAACGCATGTAATACTTGTTAACTTAGTAATAGTCTAGCAGTAATTACTAAGTAATAGGCTAATTTTCAAAAAGAAAATACACTTGTAGATATTTTAGGTACTTCATCATCATAAACAGACCTCAAGGTCTTTCAGTCAATAGACGATTCTTCCTATTTTTTCATAAAAAACATGTTCATGTTATGTTTTTCTCCTGTGTCTTGGGTGCGTTTACAGACATACAATTTCACACCCAGATCAAGAACAATATGAAAACATATGAAGGCTTCTTACTCAAACTTGAACTCTACTACTGCTATTACTAAAAACCAGTTTACCAAATTTTTCGTATATTTAATATACAATGTAAACAAGAATAACCATCCTTCGTTTCTATATATTACTCAAATGATGCTTCTTCTGCCTCAGATAAGAACTTTATCGATGATATGCGCGTGTCATCAAGAGATACATAAATAAAGATGTAGTTATTTATTTATTTGTATAGTTTACCTTGCACAGTAACCAGGACACTGGAGACAGCTTCAGGTAGACTGGTGCCTGCGGCTAATATCGTCAGACCTGTGATGCTGTCAGGCACGTTCAGAGTATCACCTATAGAAAAGGGATTGCTGCGATATTACCTACATAAATAGTAAAAATAGCTTAAGGGCAAATAATAAATAAATTATTTGACGCCGTTTTTTTTTGGTTACTTGCATGTAAAACTTAATAGCAAATAAATAATAATATTTATTGAGGAACTTCAGAGACGAATTTATATGCTTGCAAAAATCGTTTGATTGTAAAAGCAAGCGTGTTCGATTATAGCCAAGACTGTATGAGTATGTAGTTGCACAGGAATACAAGAAATAATAATAACATATCAAAAAATAATTGCAAAAAATAATGTAGAATTATAAAAAATAGTGTTTTTTTTTCATATTTTTGTTTAATAATTCATACTTTGTTAAATTTAGGAGTAGAATTCTTTGTGAAGGAACTTTAGAACTTTAGAAAGCATGATTACGAAATCGGTAAACCACAATCACATGATGTTTTGACTACTATCTAGGGGATTTATTAAGCAAAAGTGAATTACCTAGGACAGTGATCATCCAGGCGACGAGGTAGGAGACACATCCTATCCATGTTACACACATGGCGAAGGTCAAAGGGTACAAGTTGGGTCGACGCTGGCAGTCAGGGATCGTCAGCCACAGCACCAGATTAATTGGCCAGGAAAATATCCATAGCAGCTTCTTCATGAATGATACCTTTTCTCCAGGCCATGACCACATCGAGTAGGTGCTGAGCGCATCTATAAAATCGTATTATCTTTTACTTAATCTTTTACGTTACTAAATTATAAAGTACTAGTACATGAAAATAACAACCACGATCACATGTACTACTAAGAATAATTCTACTAAAATAAAAACACGAAAATAGTTCAACTTTTAAATATACATATTTTAGACGTGTTCTGTTCTAGATTCCCCCCTAAAAATACATTGAAATCCAACATATTTGAGCAAAGACCAATGAAGGTAGTCGATGATGAGTAATTTAAAATATACTTTTTGAATTAATTTTGACTAAGCTTTTTGATCAAGCTTAGTATAAGGGAACTGGAAATTAAAACATTTATCAGCTCACTAAGTTCCTGTAAATGATATTGCTCCGTGAAACACTAAGGGGCTCGCTAGAAGGAATAAACAATCGAATCTATTGAACATTATCAATGATGACATGGGTCTTGCCCTCATTAAAAGGTTCCACTCGGTAATAGTTTTTAAAGTACCATCGTAACCTTTTACCATTCGTCATCTGATTATACCAATTAAGGATTGTTATTGAGTACGTGAACTTGTATCTAATAATTCTATTATACAAAATGGTGACCCCAAAAACTTTCGCCTTTATACAAATAACTATTATAATGTTATTTTAGCATTTTTCTTGCGACCATTAACGCGCCCGTGAGAACATTCCAAATATCGAAGCGAATAATGTAAGTAAGTATTGTAATGTGAAAACTGTGGAAATTCCCGCGTATTGAGAGTCATTGTTTCAAAATTGATCTTATAAGTGAAATACTTCGTTTTTTAATGCGCAAAGAGATAATCTGATGATCTATGACTAATTAGGGTAAGATGTTGATGTTGAGAAGTGGTAATAAAGTACATAGAAGTCAAATGTTATTGTATGGTGTATATATTCATTGTTATACTTGTAATTTTTTTCTTGGCTTTAGTGTTCATATGTAACAGACCACAACTGTTGTATGTATTGGGTGTGTATGTGTATGCGAGATGTAGATGTGTATGTGAGTAAGAAGAGCCTTTGCGTACGCGGTTTGGAGAATGCAAATTAAACTCAGGCTAAGGTTTATAAGACTGTGCTTTAGCCAGATATATGTTTGTTGTTTTGGTACCCTGGCATTAATAAACATTAATACTACAGCGTACCCCAAAAGACATTTTTGTTACGTTTGCAATTTTTCCTCAAATTAATAAATAAGTTCTTAGAACTCAAATTTTATAGGTTTTCGTTCGTGATAATTTTATTTACTTCGCAGTAAATAGACGAGTAAGATTTCACTTAAATTCTTATGATCGATTGATTAATTAGCCATTATCAATCAAGTTCCATTGCAACTGTATACTAGTTCTAATGACAAAGCGGTTATAGGCAGGCGAGCGATCAATTTAGCAAGTGGTAAGGGATAATTTCCGCCGTTTTTAATTACAACTCGCCAAGGCCTAGGCTACACTACAGGTAATCCGTTCTTTTATGTAATAGGTCGGCAAACGAGCAGACGGATTACCTGATGGTAAGCAGTCCGCGCCGCTTATGGAGCAAGAAGCCCCGCAACTGAAGAGTTACGAGTGCGGTGCCGACCTTTTGGGGATTAGAGATTTGGAGATTAAGGAATTGGGGGAGGGGAAGGATTGGGCCTCCGGCTCAGTTAACCTACCAGCGACTTTTAACTGGGTTAGCTAGCTTCTAGCGAACTAGCATAAGATGGCATAAAATCGATTTTACCCGCGTTTAATTACTTTTTCCCGAGGGAAGTTCGTATTAAGAGATATTTTGAGTGGTTTTGGGGCTATTATAGAGATTGCTCTCGATCGCAAAAAAATGTGTGCGGCTTCACCATAAAGGATGAATATTACCTGAGTCTGTGGAGTCGTGTCGCTTAGACTGCACTGCTGATTCCACATCTGTTGTTTGGACACTTAGGCTTATGCGTCGAACCGACGATAATGTGTTATTTTTTTCTAGAAAAAGAAATAATTATTTAATTCCCTTTTATGTTATGTTAAAAGCATTTGATAATTTGATGTCCTATGTTACGTTATGATTATAAAAATGTTTATTTTTCGCAAATTTATATTAAATACGTACATAACTTTTATTGGTGAATGAAAATCGAATCCACAAAATGTTGTTATTACGTAGATTGGTATTAAAAACATTCTTCATGACAAAATTTTATATTATGAATGTTTTTGTAGGGTCATAAAAATAGTTGACACTATAAGCGTAGCTAGGTACTTTAGGTAGTTGATAATAATAAACTATACGATAGGTAATACTCTACCACTATTTAGAAGAGGTGTGATTTCGGTGTACGCCTTGGGCTTATTGAAAGTGCAGCACCCACTCCTAAAGAATGTTCCCAGGCAGCCGTTAAACGCCATAGCTGAAAAACAAATGAAAACAAGTTGTAAGAACTAGGTCCATAAGAAATCTCTAGGCCACTATTCTGTTTGTATTTAGTATAGAATAGAATTCATTCATTCATATTTATTTATTTGCAAGAAGCATGGTACAGAAAGATCTTAGAGCTAAACAGTGAACTTCACACTTTGCCATATTTATTCATTGAATTAGATTTATTTAGTGTAAGTAACCACTTATCTCTCTCTCTCATGAATGTTCTTTCACCTGTATTTGGCAACTGTGTTAGCAGTCTACTTGTGACAACGTACTATTTTTGTTAATCTGTACACACAAGCTGTTGGTATACCTTTAATAAAAACAAAAAAAACATTACACGGCTAACTTTTATCGACTTGATTCCTTGCAGGTATATTAACGTCATCAAAAAAGAAAAACTAAACCAATTTCCTCAATTAGCAGAGAATGATAAAACTAAAGTAATTGTCGCAACATATTAGCGAGTAGTGTTGATATCGATCATATTTTTAATGAAAGAAATTCTAGTCATGAACGTGTCATTCAAGCATACAACAGTAAATCAAATGTAACAGTTTGTAGTTTTTACCGTAATGTTAATGTTTACCTGTCTACCAGAAGCCGATTGAGCGAGCATGCAAATAAACTTAGTACTTATACATATATATAACTGATATGGTAACGACATCAAACAAACCAGTAGGTACGAAATTTTAACATATAACACATGTACTTAATAAAGGTAACAAACACCTTTTTTTTAGAAACAACTTGTATATAATAGAAGTTTATTGATATACTGTGAATCAGGCGCATTATCGGTTTCTTAACCCAGTCCCAGAGATTTAAGTAAGTACTAGGCAAACAACACTAAATTTAAAAAAGGAATGTAATTTAGACGTCTTTAAGATTCAGCCGGGGTTGGTTGATAGAAATGTACCAATGCCTCGGCCCAGAGCAGCAGAACGAGGTGGTTTTTAGTCAGTAAGAGTCTGACTTTGTCTCTCGGAGGGGAGCAATTCGTTTGATGATTTTCACCTCTCAAAACAAGAAAACCCGTCTTTTACATTACTAACTTAAACATGCAGACGTTATTTATTATATAAATTCATAACTTCCAATTAATCATAAATAAATGACGTATAACTATACGAAATATTCACGCTGTCTGCCATATTAAAATAATGTAATGTATGTTCCAGAGACAGTCATATTTTCAGATACAATATTTTTTGTAAGCTGAATTCTGACACTTCTCGAAGTTAATAGCAATAAATTGTATATTTATGTCAACTTCACGACTACACGAGTTTTAACATGTAAATAACTAATAAATTATTATCATGTTAAAAACGCGTAAAACACGTCAATTACATATATACATATATATAATTCGTACGTTGAATCGCTCATACGGAGTTGTTTTGATTAACTAGTTCTTAACGATACATAAATTCATAATTAACGCATTCCTTATAGTTTACCTAATATGTAGAAAATGTACATGAGCACCAGTAGGAGTGCTTCGTGCCAGTAAATAACGTCGTCGAGTAGCGTGAGGATGAGTGCCACTACCGCCACGGCGTACATCACGCAATCCCGCGATACTGACCACCAATCCAAGTCCACCACCTGTGAATTAACGAGCATTTAATATATCAATCTGTTTCATATCGAAGCATAGTCTACCATATTCTAGTTCCTTTCTAAATAACAATGAGTTTTGTACGGTTAGATATGAATTTAAGACTGCTACTTCTGTTTTTCCTCTGCTTTTTATTAGCAGAAATTCTTGAATATTTTTTCCATTCTTATTGGGGCGATTAAAATATTGCATTAAATCTTCTTTATTTTATATAAAAATGAATTGCTATTCGGTAGTCTCGCTCAAACTCCAGATCGGCTGGTGCGTTTTTGATAACGCTGGTCTTAAAATGTTTGTTGAAGTCCAGGGTTTGTAAGGTCAGAACATTGGTTACCTATTTTTGAGGCGGAAAAACGTTGTGAAATATTATTACATGAAGTACAAGTCCTAGTGATACCATTTCTTGTCACAATACCGTAACACAGTTTCCACAATTTATGTAATCAATGTATGTATATCTGAGGAGATGTTCATTTGTTTTGTGTTTCTGTCGCGTCGGCTCCCACGGTGCGAAGATCTACATATTTGTGACATCACAGTTAGTAATTACGCAGTAAGCCAACGACAATGTATAGGAAGCGTCTATACCGCCTATTAGTAGATACATACATATGTAATGTGGCAAATAAAGAAAAAAAATGCACGAACTGCCGGAGACGTCAATTCGATTTACCACTAATTTTTGTTGATTAACACAACATCAAGTTTTTAGAGTCTACGCTCATTTCAGTGAAATGATTTTAAATTTTTGTCACCCAGCTACAAATCTACAAACAACCTTATTTTTTATGTAGTAGGTTGTCAAACTAGCTGATCTATGATCAGACCTTACTCGTACACCCATAACATCGAGGATTTACTAGTGCCCTGCCAATCTGGAATTCGAGAAATAGGGGTGGGAAGGTGTGGGAAAGATTAGTCCTTCGGTTACCTCACACTACAGAAAAACACAATGTAAGCGTTAATCTCCATATTTACATAGCAAAAAACGAATTTATAATAAAAAACTATCGAAGCCTAGTGTCTGTTTCTAATTATTTTTCCACGCTTAGTTCCTTACATTGTATGCAAGTGAATGTATTCAGTATATAATGTGTTCACAAACTGCTTCCGTGTGCAGAATGTGCGTAAAATAATTTTCAAAGACTCTTTACTTTCTTTACCAAATAATCACTCTGGATTATGCTAGACAGTTTAAGGAAAAAATGTGAATTAATAAGAACATCATCACAATGACTGAAAACAGAAATGTGATGTCATATTACTGAAAGTGTAAAAACATAAGGAACCCTTGAATGCAAATACCTTTAGCACATTGTTTCCTTGTAGCAAGATATTGTTTACCTGCCATGGTTTGTTATCAAATAGATAATTATATTAATTGTCTAACTCACGCGCTCGTGTCACTTAAAGATTAAAGAGATAAAATGATAAGAAATAGTATTCTGAGACGACAATGCATTTCATTAGAAATATATTTGCATATGAATACGATAATGTAAGTCTTGTTGTAGGAAATGCAACCAGTTTGTGAAGAGTATATTTTTATGGGAGCAACCCTTCCCTCCTTACTACATTTTTGATACCTTGGTCGTCCTTGAGTGAATTTGTTGGTTCACCATGGATAATTCTTCTGCGTAGTACAAGTGATAGTATTCTTAAGGTAGGTATTGATGTTATCTTACAAGTATGCCTAAAACACTATTGATTGGCTATAATATGTAGGCATATAATTACAAATCGATTTTATCGCAACAATATTATTTAATACATCATTTAATTTGATAGTGAAAGTGGAAACTTTCACGTGGAGTGAAAAGGCCGAGTACACCAAAATAATAATAATAATTGTTACATAATAATAATTTTGAAATACAACAGATATACTTACTTTGCCCGCAATGAGAGCACAAAATGCTGGTACAGCTAATACATTGAACACTGCTGATCCTACGACGGTTCCAACTCCAATATCTCCTTCAGTGACGAAAGTACCAACACAGTTGATGAACAGCTCAGGACTAGAGCTAGCTGCGGCCATGAAAGTAGCACCAGCCACATCCATACCTATATTTAGACCTAAAAACAAATAATAATTAAAGAAAAGTTAAAAATGTTTTGTTAACAGTAAAAAATGTCGTAGGCTTTCGTAGCGATTTCTACGCCGTAGCAAAGGCTGTAGCAACAGGCTACGAAGCCTTTTCAAGTAACATTGGAAGGTTTTATTTGTTTTGTAGATTTTAAAATTGTATTGCCTGTATATTCTTATATATGTATTAGGCACATAAAACTTGACTACAGTATGTTCTACATTTATCAATAACTTCGAAAAACAGTGCAGAAATTAGTTATCGTACATTACAAACATTGCTGAAAATAAACAAACGAATGGGTTTATAAGCTTTTGAAATTGAAGTAGAGGTCTACTCAAATAATATGACTAGTATCTATAGGTACTTGATGCCGAGTTCCTAATGGAAAATAAATCCAGCCGGATTGCGGAGGTTCAGTGAAGCGTTCTTACGAGGGAAAATTTCATACCGTCGAAAACTAATTTAACTTGCTACGCCTCTCGCTTCCTCACAAAAACCATGTTGATTATCACTGTACAATGTTATTTTAGTAAAATCTTAAGATATTTTAGGTATTCTGATAAATTGAGTACAAGATAAATACTTAATAATTATAAAAGTTGACATTTGATCCGGATAAACACTAATATTTTTTCATGTCGGGAAATCTGTTAGTCTTATTAAGACTAGCAGAATTTCCACATGTGAACACTCACAGGAACGGTTAACGGATTACTGAGATTTAAATTTAAATTCAAAAGAACCCTTATTATTACGGTGTTAAAATACATAGTAACTAGAAGAATCGAATACTATAATAATTGGAATAGTGTACGTGACATATTACTTAACAACGAATTCATCTTCAGTCGAAACCAGAATTTTTAATAGAATAAGTTCCGATAGTTTACATTAGATTGAACTACATTTTGTTCCTTGTCAGATCTATCCCAGCATCAATCGTGGGATCTTGCTGCCAATACATACAAAAATTCATATTTAATTTTGGCAGGGGATGGGATGAGTGTAGTCTAGACAGAGTCCCGTCGCATCGATCCGTATTGCTGATTGTGTCTACATTTATTACATTTGGACAGAAACCAGCAGGTGGGAACTATTATGTATCTTCTACCATAAAAATATAATTTGATTAATATCGTTACGGGATTCAAGTCAGTCATTGTGTCCCTGGGTAGACCTCAGTGTTTTGGTGTTTACATGGTTGTATCTACTAACTGTATCACTATTGTAAGTCGTGACCGAACTGATCACGACTTACAATAGTGCAACAGTTTTGGCAGGTTGCTGTGGGAACTATTATGTTTTTTCCCTTTCAATAATTAATATAATTTTTACATAATATAAATTTCGTTTGGCAGACGCGCCTGGCATTTTGGTGTTCTAGTAGTTCTACTGTAGATCCTTGCTTACAAGAGTTGCCGTGAATGAAGGAAGGAATGTCTTTTCTGTCGATTTACTTAATAAAGTTTTAAACTTTATTATTTTGATATAATAATTAAGTCCCATAAAAAGTTAAAAAGTTCAAATGTTAGACTTGCTGCCCACTGTAGATTGCACGCCATGTTTTAACTTTAATTTTATGCTGGCGTAAACAGCAGAATGAGTGTAAGGAAAATAATGCCTACCATTGTACAAATATTGTTAGTCCCATCTGTTTCTTTTAAGAGTTAATATGGAAAACATTCAAAAGATTTATACATTTGAATTGAAGGAGTTTGCTAGTTGATAATGGTAAGTAAAAGGGTTTGGAGAATATTACTTTTTATGTAAGTACTAACATAAGGCAATATGTACCTACATGTGTTGTAAAGTATCAGAGTAAAAACCATTATTAAAATATCACAAAATAGTAGTGCCTGCGCAATTAAGGAATTTTCCATGTTCAGTTTGAAATTAGTCTAAATTCTAAATAGTTATTTTACTATTGAAGTACTCATATGAGCTCTCAATTGTGTTCCTTGGATATTTGGAGGAGGCTCTTTATATTATTTCGTATGAAATGAATCCATCTAAAACTTTGACAGTTGCCTAAGTGCATTCGATGGATGCAGTGAAACCGCGGATGCAATTTAGTCCTATTACGACTATTACCTAATAACCACAATTCCGTGTCAGAAACAAAGATGGCTGAACATCCGTCGTACGCACCTTGACCTGAGACGTCAATGAAAAGATTGACACCGACTTGTGCAGTTGTACCTATGATTTGACTTATAATTTGAGTCGGCACGTGAAGGCGGCTCGTCTCATTCGCTGATTAACCTCTTCCACCCTAATTGATCTGGAAGCTACGTGATAATATTAAGCACGCGAGGAAACATCGGATAAACTGACCTGTGGCGTGTGATACCTACGGCAACATGATTGTTGTTAGCTGATAGTTGAGAACTGCATGAAATGGTGTAAGTAGGTGGTAAAGACTTCTCATTGGCCATGTATTTAATGGGACTGATGTGGTACAATTGGCGTATGCGTATGTCTGGACGGAAAAGAGTTGAAGGAAAGGTTATAACAGATCATTTTTATTTTATACAGTTAGTGAGTTTGATCGTAAATGATCAGCCGGTAAGACGTGAAACGAGGGCTGTTTGTGTTGTTACAATTAACAATAACAAACAATAACGTCAAAAAACTAAACATTTACCCTTAAGTTATGACTGATTTTGCAATAGTCAGATTTATAAGTGTTATTGATGCTGCAAACATTCTCTTTTACTGTCTTATACAAAAATTCAGACGTAACAGCATCATTATTATTGTCCAGATAACTTTTACATAACCATTGAAAAATCAGCCCTTAGTCTTTTAGTTGCCAAAAGAAAAGTCAACAGTTCACAAAATAGGCCATAACTTGTATTATTTAAATAGTATCCAAAATTGCTTTATGTTTAGAATTATAAGTGTTACTTGTAATTATACAGTGAACGAATTTCCATATTATTAGCTGTATATTAATCCACATAAAAAAATCCAAATGGTTAAACTTGGGCTAGCCAGGTAAACTACACTCAGATATTGTTCTTTACGGCCGCACTTGCTACCAATCCGACGATTCGTGCTGAACAATGCTAGTCATAAACTTAATTTTAGTCAAACCGAATATTAAAGTTTAGACATCCACATACATTATGTATATTTAGTACGACAATAAACATGTCCAATTACAGTTTAATTCGAATTACATTTCAAGACTGTTTTTTTTTAATTAAACCTTGTATGCATTACGAGTAGTGTTAGCACGTAAATATCATATACTAATTAACATTTACATTAGAAATTTACACTCACGTTCGCATATCATCTCTATTGCCGGCACGAAGTACTGCTCACACACCGTTCCCAGAAGAAAGAAGCAGTATATAGCCAATATACAATGTATGGCTATGTAACCCTGTAATAGAATAGTAATACAGTATTTTTTTTAAGTTATATATTACACCCTGAGCGAATACGTGACTTCCTGCAGATTTTTTTATATAAAAACTAGCCCATGTCCTTTCTCGAGTTCCAAACTATGTCTGTACTAAATTTCACAGAAATCGGTTCAGTAGTTTAGGCGTGAAGAAAACCCAGACAGACACAGTTATTTTAGCATTTATAATATTAGTTTGGATATAGTGATTTCTGAACTGAACGACATGTGATATACGCCTTTAGTTGGGCTGTTTCATAATTCTTGCCTTTTCAATGCAATTAAGTATTAAAAAACAAATGAAGTTCATCGTTCGTTATAAAGTTCTCAATAGTAACTCTCTATGTAAAGGAAATTTCAGCGATGTTACAATATACTTACTACTTAATAATTGAGAGGCATATCATTTTTAAATCCATTTTCTTTTTTCATAAATATTTAAAACTCAAACGAAAATTCATAAAACTTAAAAGTTCATATTATTTAGCTTTTTCTTGTCTTATAATTATATTTCATGCTTAGGCAATGTCATTCACAAAATGATAGAATATGTGTAACCATTATTGGAAACTGAATTTTGTCAATACCTTTTTTCTATAACTTCTTTTCATTTTTTTACTTTTTAGGACAATAATGATGGATGGTACATACATATATTTGAAAATTAGCAATTTTGTATACACACACATTGAAATGATTACTTAAAATTATTATTATTATGATAATGACATTATTCGTGAAATAACACAATGAATAAAAAAAATTCGCCATAATATTTCCAGCAACAATGTGTACCTAATTAAAAAAAATACATAAAAATCGCACGCAGCCTGGTTTTATAACTACTCAAGTTGCTTAAATGCATAAATAAATTATTGCACATTAATCCTTACATGTTGCCGTTGGTACCGGCTGAGACCATCGGAGGGAAACTCCAAAATTGCTGCGGGAGTGCAGTTCCTCTCTTCTCTTTCAACGATGCTCAGCAACCTACGCTGTGGATTAGCCGCATCAAAACCTGAATACCACAAACGAATGTTATAGAACACTTGTGTATTCATACAAAAATTCACTAATACCCTGCCAAGTAATTTACCTGAATGAAACGTAGATTTTAACATATCTTCCTCCGACTGAACATTGCCGAGCATCAAATAAACTAAAGGTATGCCCAAAACTAATATCACTCTAATTACAGTAGCAATCCTGTAGCACTTGTACCGTCTAGTCCTTATTAACATGTTTGCCATTTAGATAAACAATCAACTGACGGGTATTATAAAAAAAAAAACTGAGAAGTTAGCGCGCGGTGACTGGTATATTCAGTACTGGTTGGTACCGTCCAATGCGAAGAAAACGTTTCGTTAAGTTGTACTTTAGACTTGATGTTAAGGATTTTGTTATGAATTAACATAGACGTGCAGTTGCACCAGTAGTCGGGAAGTCACTGCTCACTCAGGTTTCTTACGGCCCTTGATGAAAATAAAATGATTTATCAATAAATATTATTATTAGTAATATTGTACAGTGTACACACATTCGTATCACTGTTATCGGAGGCAATGTCAACAAAATAGGTTCTTTTGATGACTGTAGCTAATCTTCAGTGAGATTATTTTAAATTTCTTTACTCACATGTGGAAATGATTATTAGATAACTTTTTATATGTACATAGATAGTGCTGCAAATAGAATTAATGTCAATATTGGAGGAGACGGCACTACCTACGTCGTTATGTTACAATGTAGCAAGCAAGGTCCAATCGAAGGGTATCTACAGGTACACATTGAGTGCTATTTCATACATTTACAATAAATAAATAATTATTGAAGACATGATAATTATTAGAAGTCTAAAATAATAATAGGACTTCCGTGTTGATATCTAAATACATCGTTTTTGATAAGTCCGTCAACAGATTGCAAATAATTTTCAAAGTATTTATTACATGCACGTATGTCACGACTTTTAATCCTCAAGGAAGTGGGCAGAATTCTTGATTATAACCAGTTAACTCTGTTATGTTTATACACATGGGGGTGTACGTGTCTATGACAATATTTCATCGACTTATTCATTCACCAAATTTCCACGACTTCAGAATATAAAAACATTAGTTTAAGAAACCGGTTTACACCGGATTTTGTTATTATTTACATAAAGTGCAGCGTTACATAGATTATAATTTAACTCACTTCTAGAAAGTTTGTCTGAACTAACAAAAGTTCTGATTTATGATTAAGATTTTTAACTTTAATCGTAAGAGGATAAGGTCGAAAATCGATTACACACTAAATTAAAAGAAATCTAGTTGATGGAACACTTTGGAGTAGCTTCATGTGCGGTATCTATACTAATGCTTTGTAAACATGAGTATCTATCTATATAAACACAACGGGCAAGTACAATTCGCACTCGTAAAAGAAGGGTTCCGTAGCATTATCCAAAAAAAAACAAAATATCTAAAAGGCTGAGCATGTCTTCGTACTAGGTATACATATGCCTTATAAGATACATTAAATTAAGTTCTAAAGTGAACTGAAGTGATAGTTAGACCCGAACGTACGGCGTGTACCGTTACACGAGCGTCTCAAAGAGCTAGTAGACCACCACAAATGGGGTTGAATAGGGCCGTTATTCATCGAGGTTGAGAAGCAAGTGCAGTAAGTAGGTCGCTTTAGAAGCTATCGTCTTTATTTGATTATCTAAAAACTAGCGGATAAAACCCCCACATGTCAAGCAATCGCTAGGGCCGTTTCCGCGATCATATTCTTTTTAAGCAATCAGCGCCATTTGCCGGGCTGATTAGTGATTTTAAACCATCCAGGGCGTCACTCAAACGCCTACAGAATCATTTCAATCGGTCAAGCACTTTAGGAGATGTTCAATGACATACACACGTACATCGATCGCAAAATGTGTTGGTAATCAGATAAATCAACAAGTCGTCGACCAATTTCAAAAAATCTTTTTTGTTGTTTTTGTTATAGTTAGGAGAAGGTTCTTATGAAAGAAAATATTATAAAAGTACAGGGGAAAGTTGGGAAAAGTGAATCTTTCGTTGTTAGTTAGTTAGATAAGATCATCATCGGATGTTGTAAAAAGAATTGTAAACAAGCGGTGGCGGACCCCTGAAGAGTAAGAAGTGATTTGGCATTTTTGGGATATATGAGGATCGCAGGATTTGAAGCATGAGAACGGGGAGGAGTATTGGGCCTCCGGTAACCTTAATTAGTCCATAATAAGTCACGTACGGTGCCTCAATTAATTAAATTATTTTCTTTTACTAATTACATGGCCGTATATAACTGTAAAGCAAAGTTGTTACTTATTAAATAATCTACTATGCTTTGATTATTTCAAGGGTCTACTTAATGATGTTACTAACTACCTGTTATTGAAAAAAATCTTTACTTACCTATGTTAGAACTTAAGAATGTCTGTCGTGAAGCATTTGTTATTAATTTTTATAATTTGTTTTTAGTTCAGACACGTATTTTTGGGACTACTATACGATTACTAAAATACTTTCACCTTTAAAATAAATGGATTCTGATGACCTGTGTCCGGCAGTGGACGTTTTCTGGCTGATGATGGGTTAGCCGAAACGTGAAATAAACCATTTCAAATTGTAAAAAATAATCTTGTAATTTCTTCAGAATATTGATGATATACAGGTGTCTGTTGCGATGTCAATATTTATTTTCTACAAATTGCAGTTTCGTATATATTCTTCTTTTTTATTTTTTATTATGTCATAAAATTCAGATTTAAAAATACATAAAATTTTTAATATTTTTATTAGCATTTAGAAAGTGAAACAATTTGTTTTTAACTAAGGATGGTAGGTGCGCAATTGTTTTGGTGCTTTGTATATATTGTGTATATATGGATATGTAGGCGCAGTGAAATAAGTGGAAATACAAAACAATTTTTAAAGAACATCTAGAAATCTTGAACATAATAAAAGTGATTTATTAATTACACATAAGTGGAAAACTTGGCTTACTTCAAGTGACTTTCCAACGCACTAGAGATTACTGAGTACTTTCTTACGATAGACAAATCAGATAACAATATAATCTATGGAAAGTTATAATTCAATAGTAACCAAAACAAACATGGAATTGCGATTTTTTAAATAGATATTAGTGGAGTATACACAAAAACTAGGTTTTCCTTAATATAATCAGTAAATTCAGTACCTAAGTAACATTGTACGAAAGATAAACATATTCAAGCTAACAATAACAAAGTAACATGTCCTAGATACTTGTATTTTCTAGATGTACACATAGATAAATAGAATAATCTCTTTCAAGGCTGAACCGGTGTTGTTAACAAACAAAAGGACTCGGATCTATTCGTTGTGTCTCGAAAATTTTCCATTAAAATCATAATCCGGGGATTAAAGGGCCACTCGAGGTAATAAGTAACTTTCCACTGTTTGTGTTTGGACAGAAACATCGTGTAGTACAAGCGAAGGCCTATCAATAACAAATATTATCGATAATTTGATAGAATACAAGCGAGACTGATGTCAGGTAGTCAGTGTGTCTATTTATGTATGTATGTAGCTAATACTAATAAACCGACCTGCTTACTGATTATAAACATATAATGTTTTTTAAGTTCATATTTTTAGAAAGAAGTTCTTATTATTTTACGTAAGTTTAAATTGTGTTGTTTTTATTACTTAAGATATTTTTTTCGGATTTAGGAATAATTTTATAAAAAGAACGCCAAGAATTCATTATTATTATTGATCCAACTTGAAAGAAAGGACATCTTACAACTCAATTTATAGTCACAATATTATTTTATTGCAAATTATTTGTCCATATGTACTGGTAATATGACAAGAATCTTAGTCATAACAACGCGTGGCTAGGTCTGCTAGTCGACTATGTTTTATAAACTGTTTATTTTTTTACTCAATGGCTTGTAAGTAAGTAAATATGATAATAAATTAAAGTAAATTTAAAATGTTATATAATGCTTTCATTCGTGTTTCGATGAAAACACTCTTGATGTTGAGTTTTACTAGTTCACTGCTGAAATAATTGTATTGTTTACATGCCGATTTTTATAACGTGTCACCGAGCCATTAGGTATTGCAGTTTATTTTACTAGTACGTGCGATAAAACGTTCGTATCTATAAAATAATAGTGTTGCTTCCTCAATAAAAATGATATTTGAAATGTCTATAATTAAAAATATAATCAAGAAATGAAATGAATCATCTTCTCTCGCAGGGAGTGTCAGACCGTACTGACTATAAACCATTCCGTTCCTACTCCTGCTCCAAGCCGAGATCATGGTACATTAATGCGATTGACCCGCAATCGATACCGGTTACCAATTTGTTGAAATAAATTTGCAAACCACGCTTCTTGCAAATAAATGAATTCTATTCTATTCTATTTGGCTCAATTAAATTTGATCTTTATTATGTATGTACATAGGTACAAAAAAAAGATTGAATTTGGTCCTGTTCTGGGCAAGGGGCAAATCAGCGTCAGACTCTTACTGACTAAAAAGTATTCTGTTTCAACTTCTGCTTCGTGCTGGGGCCTCGGTACCGGTATAGCGACCTATGTACCTACGACCCTGACAGTTGTTTCCTCTGAGGAGACACTTACTTGATTTAGACCTAGTCATGTATACAAAATGATGATAATGATAATTCAAAAAATTATACACGTTTTTAAATTTTCTTACAAAGAAACCTAAATAATCTATTAATATCGTGTGGTATGACTACTGAATACATTTTACACCGAGCGGAGACGTAGCAACATCCCATTCCCAAACTTAAATTCTTTATAACTTTGTACTATTTTATGTTAGCGTATTTGTCGGCAGTAAGAGAATAAAATGTTGCCTTATTGTTTATCAACACTCTGCGCCATTTTTTATGTGATTAACCGGCAAACAAGCAGACGGATTACCTGATAGTAAGCAATGGGCGACGCCCATGGACACTCGCAATAGAATAGTTGCAAGTCGGCCTTTTGGGGACTAAGGATTTTTGAGATTAGGGAAGGTTACACAATTAAATCTTTCATTCAGATTAAGATATCTATTCATACCTACAAACTTTGGCGTTTATGTATAATACTAGTAGAACTGTTTTCTTAGACAACAAAATAAAATATAATATTTTTCATAAACCAACTGGCAGACTAAATAGCCTTTGTTTTCCACACCCTATCATCATCATTCCTGTTATGGATACGGTTACAATTCACTGTATTACTCTTTATTCAGAATTTTTCTCGTTCGTTTTCTATACGCTTTGATCTCGCTACAGCTCTACTGGACCCAATCAAAAGTTCGATTAGGTTTGCAATATGAGATTGGGTTCTGTACGTTGCGATAACAATAACTTTTACTACCCGTATATGCAAAACTGCAACAGTGTATTTCTCTATTTGGTTTCGAAATTGTAACCGTGTTTAGGTAACTCTATTTTGCGCTGGATATTTCCCAAAGGACTGGGCACAGAGCATCATGTTTTAAACATGTGACGAATGCATGGATGGGATTAAGTTAATTTATTGTCACCTGTGTTACTCTGAAAAGGACTTTTAATCTCTAATTAAAAGTTATTAAAGATCGAAGTTTTCTCAGGACACCTATTTGCTTCACTATTTTTCAGTGGTATCTCAATAGTATTAGAATGTACTTTATGACTCGGAAAGTTCACATTCGTGCAGGCAGATTATGAATTCGTACCTTTATGATTAAGAAGCGAACAGCCCGTTAGCCACTGCGACAACAAGATATTATTAAAAACTTATACAAACGTTACCCCTTCAATAACGTAATTATTTTAATACATGTGTCATTTTAGTAAAGTCCTACTCCTATCATACTGTGTATTACTCGTCGCAAGAAATTCAATTAAGTTTTACCTTTTCGATATTATCTTGAACTGCAAACATTAAACTATTGACACAACGAGCAAAGACTGACGTCGCACACATTGTATCGGCGCATGAACACAAACTCAACATGCTTCTCTATGTATTTACTTTCCCTCTAAAACATGCGAAACTATGATACCGCGTATCACGACTGCGTACATCTGTGGATAGGTAGCATACTAGCACTAGCATGTAAATTGTTGTACAGCGTTGATCTATTTTTTAACGATCTTAGTTTCCTTTACACCTACATAGGTGCAATATTGTCTTGTGAGTCACATCCATGATACTTGCTTTACTACAAATGTTCGTGCTCAAATCTTTTAATTAAGTCTAATTGTAAAAGTCGCGTGCCGACCGCGCCAAGTCGGGAAGGGCTTGTAAATTGACGCTTGACCCCACGGATTATTAAAATCAGAGCTCAACGTGCCCGGTCATTTCCTAAACGCTGTCGGTGTACGATTTCTTTGTTCTAAATAAATGTGTTCCGATTAGTCACTGCTCTGCAAAATTACTACTTAGGGAATCTTGATTTGTTAACATATTAATTGTCATTCGTGTTGACCTCCCTTACTTAAAGTAATCAATATGCGTTTCAAACGAATATAAATAATAAGGTATAACAAGGGATGGTAGGACGCATGGACAACCAAATTTTGGCAAAATATGATTCATTAAAAACAACATATGTTGGTGAGCGTGTGTAAGAGCAGTGATCGCGTGGAGACGACGCCTGGGCACGATGCTCGCGCTGGGAGTCACTCCCGCACTGCGCCCGAGCGCCGGCCGACGTACGTGTATTGTATGGAAATAAATAATTGGCCCCCGTATTCTTCTTTTGACGAGCTCTCCGGCGGGTCCATTATGTCCGTTTGAGCGTGAGCGGCGGCATTCGGACGCCAGTGGCGACGTCCTCGGTCGCCTGCGTCGCGCTCTACACGAAACTACTCCACTATGAATACCTCCGATCGAGGTACGAGTTCCATGTCTTACTTTTATCGGGGTCTGGATCGAGGGGTTTCAAGTATTTCCAGCATCTTGGAGATACATTCAACGCACCAGGGATGCTGGTGAAGTGCACGGACCAACACAGCAAGGTTATGTAGAAGGAGGTCGGAAGTGCGTCCAATTCTAGTTCAGCGGCTAGGTCACTCATGAAGTGAATCAAATGGCGAAGGAGTCCAACTATTCAAGTGTTGAGTGAATAGTGTCGTTGGAACCTGCGTCAGCAAACCGGGCAGGCCGGGCCGGCGCCACATGTAGCTGTAAGTATGGAAGACTGAGCAGTCCTGCCATGGCGACTTCATCACCAGGTACGATCATTCCTTTTCATGTCCACGTTGATTACTCGGTAACTTACAAAGACTACTACCCGGTTGTTTAAAGCGTTTATGCGTAGGCGTTACATTGTAAATAAAAACAAACTGTTGTTGCAGACTACAATGGTCAGTGAAACTGAATATTCAGATGAATATTTAAAGTAATGTGATGGTAAAACAAGGTATTGTTACAAATTGAACTATTGCTACTAAACATTTAACGGAAGCCATTGACGAAATTGTCGAAACACGGGCGTGGCTCGATGCTCACCCGATGGCTATTAGTCTTTCTGTAAACGAATTAGTGTTGATTATAGCTCAACAACTCGGCACTACCTAGCAACCGCACCTTGTTTTACGAGTTGGCAGTGTCCATTGTAACGGCTTCATTAGATGAGGACTGACCTGCCTCACTAACAATAAATCATTATAAACAAATAATGCTCTAAGAGCCTTATAAGTTTGTGCTGGAGATTCCAACTTACTGATTACACCTATTTTGTCAGCACTGATTCAAGGGCATAAGTGCCTTATCATCTTTGGATCATTTTACGGTCCGGAATCAGGATACGATGGCCATTGCAAGAATTAATCAAGAGTGGGCGGTAATTAATTGGTACTGATCGATATCTATTTTTAGAAGATGTTCGTAGCAGTACTTGTTCTAAGGAAGATGATAATTGCCACAGAAGTTACCCACTTGTCACAATACGGACACTAATAGAGCAACGCTTTCAAGAGTCTTGTTTAAGGTGATGATGAATGATACGAATGAACGAAGTTGATTCTATCTTGTCGTTTGATTTGATTAGGTAAATTTAATATTATAGCTATTTGCCGCAGTTAGGCCATCGTTCTTAAAGTTAGAAGGGGGAGGCAGAGCTCCGACTCGGCGCCTCATCCGGTCGCTCCTCGCGCAAATTGTCAATTGGCCGTCGTCCACTCAGGGCTGTCAGCTTGCAAGGTTGAGCTCTAGCTGTCTTCACGTGATCTTTTCTTGTAGCGTCCAAAATCAATTGTTTTAATCTAGGTTTCTACTATAAACTAAAACTTCTACAATAAACAATAACAAACGCAATTCGTTTGAACAAAAATGAGGCCTAATGCAGTACTGGTCCTTTTAAAGACCAGTTCATCATTGGTAACTGAAATTTAATATAAAAATATCTGCATTTTAAAAGTTCTCATTGTATCCCTTACATTGTTGAGCAATAGAAAGAGCAGTGGATCGAAAGACGACTTATGCGTCGCTAATGCGGACTTCCTGCCATCTTTGATCTGTCAATTTCCTTCATAGTGCACTTGCTGTATGCGGTGTCTAAACTCTAATAACGAGTGGTAACATGCACAATTTGGCACAGGCGACACTCTTCTGTCACAGGTACACAACGAGCAAACGACACGTATTTTCTAAAATCAGTTAATTCGGTTAAACAAGTTAGTGCAGCAGTAATTTGAGACAATTTGCTCACGATTGGCTTGTTGACTTTGCTATTTGAAGGAGCCGTTTTTAGAGCAGCACAGGATGTGCGTTTGTTAATCAAGCACGCCATAGCACGCCGCCGGCACACCGGCCGGGACATGGCCGTGCCGTCTCAATGGTAACTACTCTGATGATGACTATTGAATTGGTTCTAGGAGGATTGGCCACTTTAGCAAAACTTCTAGTGATTTTGGTGACCTATTTTGTCAGTAGTACGTATAATACTTCTGAGTGTCCTGTTGAGAAGATACATTCGAAACAAAATGATTATAAGTAACAAACAAGAATGGAAACGATCTGCAAATAAAAAATAATTGCATTTTAACAAAAACCAATTCGTGCCTCGTCTTCGTCAAAAAATGGTCAGAGCGCCTTTTGCACCACCTTTACATAAGTACCCCATAAAAACATTGTCACACATACGTTTATGAAAAAGCGTTTAATATTCAAATTTATCCGGTACAAACATGTCCTAAAGATAAATAAAAATAATGACAATCAATGCTGTCGTATCTACTGCTCAATCTAAAGAGGAAGCACTTTGGCGAACGCACTCGAAGTACTGACCAGGGACTTGACTATACAAAGCGTTATTGAGATACTATTGACTGTTATACTATATTTAAAAACGCCATTACTCTTAGTGTGAGTTGTAATGTTGAATTTCCAGAAAAGGTAATACTTTGGAAATATATAGGCAACTCGTACACTTCTTTAGAGTAAACTAGTAAAAGGATGCCTACTTATGGGTTTTTAATTAGTTTTCTCACCAGTTTGATGGAGTTCTGATGTAGTTTGTTGCTTCCGTACGTTGCTACGTCAGGTGTTTGTTGTCAACATGCAGTTTAATCAGGAATTATTATGAAAAAGTTTTATAAGGAAAGGTATGAGTCACTAAGAGAATTCGACATTAGTTAACTAAGACTACGGCTCTTGTGTCATAGAAATTACGATCTTTTAAACAAGGCTATGATAAAAAGTTATTTTTTGGGCAAACGAACGAGTCTCATTGCCTGAGAATAAGAAACGCCGTCCGTGGACACCCGCTACACCAGAGGAGCTACGAGTGGTTGCGGGCCTGCTAGTTTGGGGATTGGGGTTTCAGATATTTAGAGATTGAGGAGGGATTACGGGAGGGGAAGGATTGGGCCTCTGGTAACCTCACTCATACAGGGGAACATAATGCTGGTTTTCTGTGAGGTCGTAGTATCATTGCGGTCGAGCCGAAGCTCCCACACTTTTTGGCTTTCTTTATTTTTCTACAAAATTAAACTGCTGCAGAACGTTGGATATTTTTGTGGTTGTGGAAAGTTATATAAGATATCTTTGGCCTACACTCTTATGATTTAAGAGTTGAATTTTCTATGGCACAGGCTGATTTTGACAACACTCACGGCTTAAAAAACTTGACCTTAGAAATTGCTTCCTATATCTAGGGAAAGCAGCGTAATTGAACAGGTGTAAGTATTTCAATCGAAGGTGGACGAACTAAAATTGTTTCAGTAATATAAAATCAATCAGTGGTAAAATGGTGACGCGGGGATTATGACGAATCCTTAGTCTTTTCATTACAGTTGTCTGATCGTGAAGTCGTCTGACTGCAAATAAAATCACTGCAATGGGTTCGTATTTTCTTTTTAATTATTCATCTGTGATAGTTTAAATATGGAACTTACACAAACAGGAATTCATATGAGCTGTAAAAGGTATGCAATTGTTTGATTTTCTATTTTCGTATTTTCGTTATTACGTGTTATTGATTTCAAATATTTATAGATGGATTCGAGGGAAGTCTGGACGTTGACCTGATCGGGCTTAGCTCTGCAAGAAATTCAATAGAATTGAGTTTCTTTGCAAAGCTCCAACTTACTTAAGTTAATATTACGATGGCATTGGTTTTAAAAAAATGTTGGCCATCTCTTTGTTCTTCTTATATATTGATTTATGGGAAGGAAGGAATATAAGGAAATAATTGATTTATTTTTTGATAGGACGGCAAACCAGCATACCCATTACTTGATGGTAAACAATCAGCACCACCTATGGACACCCGCAACGACGGAAGTGTTACGAATGCGTTGCCGACCCATTGGGGATAAGGGTTTTGGAGATTTAAACATTAAGGATACCGCTAAAGAGAGTTTATTAAAGATAAGTCTCTGTTAGTTTCAGAAGTGTATCTCCGCAACTGCACGCCGCCGGCCATTGATGACTTCCCGGCGGGTCTTTTCACGGAGCAGCAGAGGCAGCATGGAGCCATCGTACTTCATGCCTTCATATCCATCTACCTGTTCCTGGCACTCGCCGTCGTTTGCGATAAGTTCTTTGTACCGGCTGTTGAGAGAATATGCCAAGGTGAGTATTTTGTAAGAAGTTACATCTAGTTTTAATATAAGATAGATAATTCTAATTTGATTACTATTGTAACTTAATATTTCATAATTAAGAAAATGTGAACCAGGCATATAAATAACTAATTAGGTGTAAGAAAAAAAATTAAACCCTCTTTCACAACGTCTGACTAACAGCTAGCTCTCTAAATTTGTAGACACAATGTGCCTCAAAAGTTTATCAGAAACTTATATGAAGGTTGTGCAACAGGCTCCTTATTAATTACACAGTATTAGCTATTCTGCTATTTTTAAAATGTTTGATATTAATTTTCTATTTTTATAGAAATAAAGAAAATGTCAGTGCTGATAGAATAAGGTAACATTATATTAATTTACAGCACTAAATATGACCAACGACGTAGCTGGTGCCACCTTCATGGCTGCAGCCACATCGGCTCCGGAGCTCTTCGTAAATGTTATTGGAACTTTCATTACGGAGGGCGACATCGGAGTTGGTACAATCGTCGGCTCAGCAGTCTTCAACATTCTCGCTGTTGCTGCGTGCTGCGGTATAGGCGCAGGAATGGTAAAGACCCGCCTCTGCTTAACAATTGTTTTTTAAAGAAACCAGTATTAAGTGTCTTTTTGTTTCTAGGTTGTACCACTAGATTGGTGGCCATTGACTAGAGACTGCCTGGCCTACGGAATCACAGTATCTATACTAATTTGTATAATGCACGATGAGTACGTTCAGTGGTACGAGGCATTCCTGCTTGTCATGCTGTATGGGGTCTACATTTGCATCATGTACTACGATAAATCTATTCAGAACTTCGCTAAAGGTTGGTATTTTTTAAACCGATAATTAATATAAAATGATTCATGCGTAATTTTATCACAGAAAGGTGTTGTTACACAGGTAACTGGAACTGTGTGTCCGACATGTTAAAGAAAAATGAGAAGCACGACAATGCTGTTACAGCAGATAATGGTATGTAGAACCGTTTTATTTAAAAAATTTCAATATTATACGAACTGCGACAGAAGCTATAAGATATTTTTTGTGCTCTTGTTTAAATTTCCAGAACTTAAAGATGCTAAAGAAACTTCACCTGTAAACAAAAATGATCTATCGTTAGAACGTCACCAACACAACGGGAATATAAAAAGTGCATTATCTCTTTGCCCAGATAAAAATGAAAAGAATAATGAAAATGATTCGTCACAATCTGTAAGCTTACCTGCCGCTGACGGTGATGGTGATAAAGCTAAGAATACCTGCATTGATATGGAAAACAAGGATAATGATGTGGAAGTTGAAAATTCAGTGGAAAATGAATCCGTTGTGAACGTCGATGACAATAATAAAGAAGGAGAAGATAAATACGTGCATTCGCTCTGGAAGTGGCCTACTGGAAGGAGCTGGCTGACTAAGGTATGATCCATCACATTTATGAAAGTGCTTGAACTGAATTCTCACAAATACCTAACAAGAGACAAAAAATACATAAGGCCTAAACATGTTTCATCTCTTCATTTACAGAGCACCTGGGTGGTGACATGGCCTATTCACCTGGTGTTTTTGTTCACCATCCCAGACTGCGAGAAGCCCCGATTCAAGAACTGGTTCCCTCTGACCTTCATCATGTGCATTGTCTGGATAGGATCATTGTCATATATAGTTGCTTGGATGATAACTATTATAGGTACGAGGATAGATGGATTGGCAAAATCTATGAATATTTTTTTGCAAATAACAATGTTATTAATAAAAATGTTATTTTGCAGGGGACACGTTAATGATACCAGACTCAGTGATGGGTATAACTTTCCTTGCCGCTGGTACGTCAGTACCAGAAGCTGTTTCCAGTGTAATAGTAGCAAAACAAGGTGCAGTGTAGTTTTTCTTGTAAAATGTTACATTTCTTCAAGGAGGAGCTTGGACGAAACTAATTTTATTTCTAACTTGTGTATAAGGGCATTTAAAGATACCTTTCATTTTGTACGCAGGACACGGTTCTATGGGCATCAGCAACTCGATCGGATCAAACACTTTTGACATTCTGCTATGCCTCGGGCTACCGTGGCTCATCAAAGCTTCGCTTACTCCAGCCGAGGCGGGTCACTACTGGGTTAGAATTCTACTATATTAGAAAACTTGTTGTTATTAAGTTGTAATTAGCTTGTGTCTATTTTTTGTATGTTTATATGTTGTGAACTCATTTGCAAATTGCGAATGAAGCTCTTATTAATGAAAAATGCTTTAGCACTGCGAAATTGCGTATTGAAATTTGCTTAGCGACTAAAAATATTTTGTTGTTACTTGCCTTCGGACGGCCAAGATAAATATATTGGAATGTTACCAGGTGAAGATCAATTCGATGGGCTTGGAGTATTCTGCTATATCGCTGCTGTCAACGCTGCTGCTGTTATACTTGACGTTTTGGTTCAATAAGTTCAAGCTAGACGCGGCGGTGGGCCGCGCCTGCCTCGCCATGTACGCCATGTTCCTGGTGCTCGCAACGCTTATCGAACTGAACGTTTTCTTCCCCGTCAACGTACGCACGTGCAAGAGAAGTGAACTAAAGTCTTAAGCTAGCTTAGTGTTTTGGACGCAATCACAAGACGAAGTGTTAAATAGTAGTTGTGAGGTCTTTTGTAACTGTTTCATGCTCATGTGTGCTGAAACCTTTACGTGTACTTTATATAAGCATTCGGTTACATTTTTTTTAGAAAATTTCTCCGATTATGTCTAATACACAATTTTTCTGATGAAAACAGCGTAGCATAAGCGTTTTTGCCATTTTTTGTTTGAAGTTTTTTATTTAATGTTATTTATGTAGTTTAGAAGATACGAGACGCGTGTTTGCGCAAGGTGGAATTTATCTTGATACATTGTAGTTTCCGTTGCAATACGATATTGATTGATTAAATAAATGATAGTATTGAAGTATACCTCCATTAAGTGTCAAGAGCATTAGTATCCACTTGACTAGCTGCCGTTGTCCAAACAGTTTTATGAACCAATTATGTTGTTATGTGTCACTCGTTTATTGGAAAAGCAGGGCAAAATGGGGTTATACATTAATTTTAGTAATCTGCTGCCATTTTTATTTTCATAGGATTGCTTTAAAGCCATTGTTTTAGTGATGGATTAATTTATTAGTTTAGATATTTAACCTATCCAGATACAAGCGGATAGGTAGAACAGAATATGTTAATATATTCCTTTATGTTTTATAATTCAGTTTTATTTGTGACGAATTGTTTTGTTTTTAAGCACATCGTTTAGTATGTTGCCCTACTTTTTGTTAAAATTTGTTTTATTTTAAGAGAAACGTGGTATATTGAGTGTTTGAAACAAAGCATACGTACATACAGACAACTTTCGCTCTCTGTCAGTAATCTCGCTACAGATAAGTTGATGTAAATACATAATATACGATGTAATGTAACTGTCTTAATCTAATTAAATATCGCTTCTTTACAAGAACAACGTGACATCTCATAAAAACGATTTTTTTTATTATTTGATATTCAAAACCGCGATGTCGAATATTATTTTCTGCAAAAACGCGGCATTTTAAAAGTGAATATTCGAGGAGCTATGAGTGAAAGAGATGACTTGACCGTGGCAAATGACGTTATCACGTTGTCTCTTTCGGTGTGGCGCTCGACTTCGACAACGCGACGCGTTAGTTTGGCCCGCACGCGCAACGAGTGAAGTGCTCCTGGTTTTCACAAAAAACGTGACATCACGATTATACCACGTTTTTAGAGCAAAGGTATGTTTCTTGTTGTTATTTACTTTAACTTGAATAATGTGATATTATTGTTTAACTCGTTTTTATTGTAAAAGTCGTGAGAATTGAGAATGTTTTAATGAATATTGTCACATTATTGATGAAAAAGTTACAAGCTTTCTTTTTGGTATCTTTAAATGTAACCATGTTGTTGATGAATCGTTTTTAAACACTATGGGTTATTTTATATTATATCACTATTTTTGAAAACCTTTCAAGTTTTGTTTATATTATGCTAAAATATTACATTATACATGCTAAAATAAAGTAACTTTTATCATTAGTTTTTCAGATGGCATCAAGATCTAGAAAGTTAATTGAATTAGCTACAGGTGTAGCTCAGATAGATAACACACAAGATGAGAGTGAAAATGCCAAAAGCTCGAGTAATACAATGCAAATATCAACAGAAGGTATTTTTTTACTTTTGTTTACTGATACTTTTTTCTTTATATTCCTAGAACTTCATTATTTCAATCCTCTTTACAGGCAAGGACGTCGCAATAGATTCCATCCGACCTCGTAGTAGTTCGACTAGTAGCAGTAGTTCCTGCAGTTCTTGCAGTTCCTCGAGTTCTAGAAAATCTTCAAGCAGTGATCCATCTATATATCAAGGTAAGTTAATTTAAATGCAAGAGGGATATAAATTATTTACTCCTAACATCTAAACTTCTGTATAAATGTTAGGAGTAATAATTTATATACCAATATTCTTACAAAATTACCGGCAATTTATAAATACATTACCATATCACTATACTTCAAGAAATTAATTACATTTATAACATTTCAGACAGCGACGACTCGGTAAAGGATCCTGATTATGAAGCCCAATCCACAAAACGTGCTGAGTATTCTTTTGATACTGACGTGGAAGAACATATCACGACCAACTATAATAACATTTCGGATGATCCTAATTTGGTAACATCAAATATGGCTTCAATAAACAATGACAACTACGAGGAACCACTTTCGTCTACAAACGAACATGTACTCAACGACTTCGGTGTCATAGAAAACAATGAATCTTCTGCGATTGAAAGCATAGGTAACGAAAATACTGTAAGTCCAATAGTGTATAATTCTAGTCCAACTAAAACTGGTAAAAAAAGAAGACTAAATGAAGCTACCTGGAAAGTCAATGTAGCTAAACGACTGAGAAATAGTGGGAAGCCTTATCAATCTACCAAATCAAAAAAAAACATGCCAAGTCGTGAACTAAAACCTTCTTGTAAAGATAAATGTAAATTTAAATGTGGCTTTAAATTTACAGAGGAGCAAAGACAGACCATTTTAAATGACTACTGGAGCTTAGGTGCAATAGAAAAACAATGGACGTTTATTGCTAATAGCGTAGACATAGTCATCCCAAAACAACGTTACGTTAAAGTTGATTCGGATGGAAATGTTGCGACTATTCGAAACAACAATAACGCTTTCTTTTTGACTATTTCTGGTGAAAAAATAAGAGTTTGTAAATTGTTCTTCAAAAATACTTTAGGAATTAATAATCGACCCATAGAGACTGCTTTGAAAAAGAAAAATAGTAACACTAATATTTCTTCAATGAAAGATAACCGAGGTAGTCATTTAAACCATCATGGCGTGGACGAAAGTATTAAAAATGGCATCAAATTGTTTATTGAGTCTATACCGAAGATTGAGTCACATTATACCCGTGCTAACTCAAAAAGAAAATATATTGATGGTAGCAAAGCTGTCACAGATCTTCACAGAGATTATGTGGAAAAATGTAAATCCCAAAACGTTCCCTATGGCACCTACATTACATTTTACCGTATTTTCACACAAGATTTTAATATTTCGTTTTTCACTCCTAAAAAGGATTTATGCGATATATGCGAAGCTTATAAAAACATCACAGATGAAGAAAAAGAATCTAAGAAAGAAGACTATGAATTACATCTTAAGGAAAAGAATTGGTCTCGTATTGAAAAAGAAAAAGATAAGAACAACAAAAATATTTGTGTAGCGGTCTATGATCTTCAAGCAGTGTTTCAGTGCCCAAAAGGCGACGTCTCAGTTTTTACTACAAATCCAAACTAAATGTACTTAATTTCACAATTTATAATTTACAAAATAATTCAGTTGAGTGTTATGTATGGGATGAGTCGAACGCCCAGAGAGGTGTCAACGAAATAGCTACCTGTGTTTACAAATACCTGGAGAAAATATCCGAAACGGCCGAAGACCTCGATGTTGTCTTTTATTCAGATAATTGTGCTGGGCAGCAAAAAAATAAGTTTATGATCTCAATGTACACTTACGCAGTCAAAACTCTACCAAATCTCAGATCAATTACACACAAATACCTCATTAAAGGGCATACACAGAACGAGGGCGATTCAGCTCATTCTCAAATAGAGAGAGAAGTTAAAAGGCAACTGAGATCAGGACCAATGTATACACCTGACGCATTTATTGGAGCTATAAAGGCGGCACGGAAAAAAAAACGAGCCATTTCATGTGAATGAAATGTGTTTCGATGATTTTTTTGATTGGAAAAGTATATGCACTCAAATGAACTTTGCAATAATGAAAGATGAAGACAATAATACTGTGAAACTGGCTGGACTAAAGATGGTAAAAGTTCAAAGCTCTGATCCTGATGCTATATTTTTCAAAGAATCATATGCTGACGAATTATTCAAGAAAGCTATAGTGGTCAGAAAAAAGAGATATCATAATAACCAAACCATTAATTTAGATTTGCAAAAGGCCTATCTCCAGAAACCTGGACTAGCAGAGAGAAAAAAGGCTGATCTCATGGATTTGGTCAATAAAAACCTCATTCCTAGATACCACAAGCCATTTTACGAATCGTTGTAATAAGACTGATTAAGTACCTACAAAGATTTTTTAAGTTTAATTTTTTATAAAATATTTAATTGTTACATTTATAATGATATCGTTTTTATTAGTATTAAGAGAATTTGTGATTATATGTTCATAAAGGGTCATAGCAATGTTCCTATTTTGAATTTCTTTATACTATAAAACTTGGTGCCATAATTGGGTTAGAAGACGTTAATTAATATTAGATAACTTTAAGTATGATTAAATTTTTGTTTCTTTTTTTATTTGTATGAAAGTATTTTTAGTTACCTTATAATTTAGTTAATACCAGTATTAAGTACTATGTGATTAATTGATCTCTTGTTGATTATTGTGCCTTAAACTAATTTCATGTTATAAGTAAGCCATTGTTTTCGTAAATTTATATTTTTTTAATACAAGATCTTTATTTTAATAGTGTGTTTTATTTAACTTATCACACAGCCTCACACCTAAATTTAACATCTTCAACGTGATATATCAATATGTTACAAGCGTTTTGTGACATATTTTCATTAAAAACGTGACATGTGTGTCTGTGTTTTTTTAAATCAGTTTTTTAAATCATTTTATAGTGAACTGGGTTTTGTTTTGATTATTTTCAGATAGCACATTAATTACCGCAACAATTTAATAGTTTTTTATGGTAAAATTATCTAAATTCCAGAATTTATGAATGTTTTAAGGTTTAAAATTGCTCTCCTGTAAAGTTGTGGTTTAAAAAATATCACGTTGTTCTTGTAAAGAAGCGATATATCTATAGATTTTTACTTCTTTTATTGTTTCTTTTATGGCTACGGAAACCAAGAGAGGGCTTGATCGAGTAATATAAGTATTTTAAAGAGACAGGACCAATGCACCTAGTTTTAAGCTTTGAAAGACTTGTTGGTTAATTTTTAAGTAGATCAGAGTGATGTTCCTGTTGCGCATGATTGAAGACCTTTAAATGTCACGGGTCATACGAATGTTAGATCATTAATTCACGAAGCCAACACTATATCTTTGTTACTGCGCAGCGCAGCTTTAAATCGGTACCGTGCAGTAGGCGTCTGATCGATATTTCCTTACAACACACTTGCATCAATGTAAGTACTTATAAATACTTTACTACCTGAATGTAAGAACCACGGCCAGAGATTTGCAAAAAAAAAAACACCAGACTAAAATTGAGTATTCATCCAATTTATTACACTTATTAATTAATTACAAATTAAACTTCAAAATATGATAAAGTAATGATCAGTAACCATCATTTATGTTATTGTTGTTTTTTCGCATAGATTCAGGACTGTCACCCATTTTCTGAAACAAAGGCTGAATATTAATATCATAGGTACCTAATTTATGATAATTCTTAAGCTTCTGTGTTTTGTCGTAGGTTTCTTATAAGTCTGGCGCAAAAGACTACCTCACATAGTATGAAAGATAAACATGACTACAATACTTATTTAAAATGAAATGTTCCTTGTTGCTTAAGGACCCTGTTACTGAAAACCTCTTCCTAAAAGTTAATTAATATTTGTATATAAAAATAAATTTGTAGGTATTGCGAGATTTAAGTGTAGGAAATTAAAAATAAGATTACTTGAAGGTATCAAAAGAGGGACAAATGTAATCCGATGTACTTAAAAGTTCTCTATATGTATGTAGTCTAATGTTGCTTGCCTGTGGTGTGACCTGAATAACTTGATTAATCCAAGTATAGGAAAGTAAATTGAATAAACATACGTCATAAGAAGAATGGGCCCTCAATTGGTCGAGCTCTCGCGCGTGGAGCTCGATGTCGTGCTGCGTGAGTCGCGGGCGACGGCAGTGCGGATGCTGGGTAGGCAGCCACCGATGCACAATAGGCGTCAGCAAGTCCCGATGCACCTGACCATTGACCCAGATAAGGATAATTGGCAATACCATTGGCAATCTGTTGGCTCACACGCCTTGACCACCAATTTGGCTAATCGCCTGTCAAGGGACGGATGGCAATCTTGAACGTTACATCTTTATAGGCACGTCGACACGTCCAACGGAACATGTAATAGAAGTATCGTACTCTGTTCGTCAAGTTGGTAGGTCATGGTTATTATAAGTCGTTTTTTATTGACTTCGTGTTGAATGAATAGGGTATTTACGGAGGTAAGACTTGGGCTATACTATAGGGAGCTAGAATGTGTCTCTATGTACCTAGGTATATATCTGTAAAAAGGTTGAGGTTTGGTATTAGAAGGGCGTAGTTACCCTGATACACTGCAGCGTGCAATAGGTCACATAAGGTGATACCGGTTGTTCTGTACGTACATCGATATTATAGGGGATAGTTGACATTTGGATCACGAAAAGCTTACTATTACCCGAGTAACATGAGTTTGTTAGTTATTTATAGTGAAAATGCGGGTGTCGTCAAGTGATGTTGATAGAATGGTTTGTTTAAAAACGTTTAGACCACTTACCATAGCAGGATCGTTGGGCTCGGTGAAATATGAGACGACAGAGCCGACTATGATGCAGACAATCATACCGACCAGCGTGTAGTACAGGTAACTCAGCCGGTACAGAAAGAAAGTACCTGACCTGTTGGGAAACAAATAAGATTATATTTTTGAAAAAAAATTTTAGCGTGCCCGTTATTATAATTACCTAAGTAAAACTACCTTATTATATAATAACAAATCTCTATAACTTTTGCCTAAAAGCTAAAGAAAAATATAGCTTTTTATATTTTAATCATCCAAATGTCAAACGGGATTTTGTTCTTTTTAAGGAATTATTAAGTCACTCGACAGTGAGTGATCATCGCCAACGTCAGAAAATAAACATTGCTTTACGCTAGGAATTTGTCCTTTGTCGTGATTGCATTTTCAAACTTACAAATTTACATACACAAGCCACCCAGACCCGAAACAAGAATTTGAGGATCACACAAAGTGTTGTTCCGTGCGGGAACTCGCGACGTTGCCAAACATGCAGTCAACCATGCGCGCTCGCAAATGGCACACCAGAAGTGCTTAAGTGCGTTACCCTAAAGAATTATTAAGAAACTATTTATTCCATAGGTTCCTGTAATAAATATTTTTACAAATTATCTTACCTGTCAAATTCAACGGCATGAAGCGGTGTAGATGGAGTGGAGAACGTGTGATTCCCTGGACATCCAGCCACTGATACAGGCTTGGGGGTGACTATAATATCTCCTCTCATCATTGCTGCCTGCGTACCCAATGAGATCCAACCTACCAGCATGGTGGAAGTCAGACCTCCTGTTAAGGCACCCTGTTAAAATAATACGACTTTAATTATGTCTTTCGGTCTTGGTTCTCAACTTGGTTAGTTCCGCACTTCCTATACCTTGATTAGTTTAGCAATACCAATAGGTAGTACCTACGTAACGTAATTTCAGATTTTAAAGTCTGTAAGGAAGACTACACGAGGCGATTATCATCATTGTCAAGAAAGGCAATTAATCTGTTCGACAAAAGGAATACAAAACACACTGTCAATTGTTTTTAAGCATAATAAAATTGGTTTTAATCAGAATATATTGGCAATATATCTCTTTTGTCTATCGGTTAATCAACTTACATGTTAGATTACTTTCACTTTGCCCATCAACCTCTGTGACCGATACACAATATTATCCTCCTTTCCTCCTCCTTTGTCCTCGTGGTATGATGATAGAAAGTAGCCTATGTCCTATACCGGAGTGTATCCTATGTCTGTGCCTAATTTCATCTAGTGCCCTCCAGCCGATTTGGCGTGATTGAATAACAACCCTCCAAACATCGTAACTTTCACATTTATAATATTAGTAAGAAGAGAGAGTAAGATTTCCAGCATGGTGAAAGAAAAGTGAGAAAGAGTTTTACAGATACATTCTGATTAAAACCAATAGAAATGTTGAAAAACTTATAAACATATAATATAGATTTACCATAAAATTGGCATAAGTACCCTATAGTTGTTTTTGATACTAAGTACATAGTATCAGAAAGGATTTATAAATAGTGAAATATGTTCTATTTCCACTTATAGCCCGTAAGTAAAAAGAAAAATTATAGGTGGATAGTTGGTTTATTGACACTCCATCTACCATCGCTCTGTGGCCGCACTTAGGTAATTAATCAACGCGCTGTCCATTAAAAGCCTGTCTGATATTACTCATATTGCGCGACGTTGTCAGCAATTATATTGCCAATGTTATTTTGTTAATTTGATGTACCTTCAATAAAGGACATATAAGTAGATAACCTTTCATTGACTAAGTATGAGTTTTTCTTATAAATATTGTTACCATTATTGCTAATGTGTTCCCTAGCTGTCTATACGTAGTCTTAGAGAATATATTCAATGTATAAACTATGACATGACAAACTAAATTTGTAATAAATAAAAAAGTAAGTTATCAAAAAGAAAAATGTTCATAATTTTTTGATTGAATCAGTTATAAGTAAAGTAGGTATCTTTTATCAGCTTTTTAGTTATGCTTACTATCTTAAATAGTTACATTTTGTCAACAACACCAGCTGAAGAATAAAAAATCTGATCAACTTTACCGTAGAATTCACCCAAGGCAGGAACAGTCCCATTGAAAACAGGCCCAACAGACTTCCAGCAGTGATGCCTGCCAGGCTTTTTCCAGCTTGGATCAAGGCACCCATGTGTTCCACTAAGAATACCAAGGCTACACACGCGAATCCTGAAAAATAAAATTATTGTACTAACGAAGTCATAAGTTGTAGTAGGTCAGTTTACAAAATAAAAATAAAAATATTCCGTTCAAGAAATCTTTCTATGTATTAAGAACATTTTAAAAGAGTCAGGCGAGGTTGACAGATTAGAATAATGTAACCTAGTTCGCTGGACATGTGACATGAACTCCATTAGAAAAGATAAATGCAAAAAAAACAGTATGAGCACACTCCGTATAATATATGGATCGATTTAAATTTGTCTGTTTCTGAACTCAAAACAAATTATCATTAATAATGGCACAAGTCGCAATAAACGAGAAAGTTTGTGCTATATTCTTTATGTACAAGATAGTTTGGTAAACGGGTTGGCGGATTACCTGATGTTAAGCAATTAGCGTCGCAAATGGACACCCGCAACAACGGAGGATCTACCGGTGCGTTGTCAACCTTTTGTCGATAATGAATTTGGAGATTTAGGGATTGGGGGAGGGGAAGGATTGGACCTATTTCATGTAAGTACCTCACATTATTAAATTACAAATAGGGGAATACATTGTTCAAACACAACCATGTGTTCAATTGTTCGTGAATTATTCATAAGATATCGAACGTAACAGTTTTACGGTTATTGGCTGTTGAACGACATTGTACATGTTTATTAAAACACTACATGCTTAAACACCCAGTCATGCAGGTAAATGGACGATATTCATGAAAGAATCGATGATTTTCCCGCGGGTTCGTTCACGCTATCAGTACAAATAACACCTTCTGTATTGCTATATAACGCACATTTTTAATTAAAACACTCGTACTATGCTATTCTTTGCAATCTTTGGTCAGCAGAATTCATGGTAGAAACTCTACAGAAACGTGCCGATGCAATTAAGCTCAGCTCAGTTCTTTCAGAAGTAACAAACATACTACCACAGAATTCAGTTACTATTAGTATAGAGCCATCACACTTATATTCAACTTTATAGTGAGAATAAATACTTTAAAGACAGGTTGACGTTTTAAACGATACCGTTTATGATTTTTTATTTTATGTAAAAAAAATATCGAATCTCGAATACTTGCGTTGAAGGGTAGGACGGTAATAAAGAGAACTTGAAAAATTATTTCAATTAACGATTAACTGTATTTAGTGGTCACCTGATGGTCATGATGTCGTAGTGGCCCGGAGGTTAAGAAGCCCGCTTCTCATACATGAGTGTGTGGGTTCGAAACCTGGCAATTACCAATGTGACTTTTTCCGAGTTATATGTATTTTCTATGATTATTTAGACACCACTGACATATGGTGAAGGTAAACATCTTGAGGAAACCTGGACTTATAATTTCTAATTATAAGTTTGAAATCGCCAAGCCCCGCATTGAGCAAGCGTGGTGATTAATGTTCTAACCTTCTCCGTATGAGAAGAGGCCTTTGCTCAGCAGTAAGCACTTATAGGCTGATGAGAATGAAAGAAAGAAAAAAAAATGAGTGGTCACCTGACAATACTATTTTAATTACCTAATATAAAATAGAAAAACAACATTTTATTAATAGGGAAATAAAAGGTAATTAGTAATTATTTATGTAAGTATTCGTTGTTTTTACGATTTGGAGGAACACTTCAAACTTTTTTTACGATTACCAATTAAGTATTGACAAGTTTACAATGTTAGTTGCCCGTAATACCTGTTTTTTTAAACTATTGCTCTACAAACTAATGTTTGATGATTGTTTACGTTTTTTCCTACGGGTTTTCCTATCGTGACTATCGACTTAGACAATCTAAATTACTATACACGACGTGAAATTAGTATTTGTGATATGGTTGTTACGTACGCAGTGCAATTTTTTAGTCCTTATTAGTTTCTAGTGATCCAACGTGTATGTATAAAGGGTGCATTACTTTGTTAACAATTAATTTTCGAGAGTGTTCTATTTTACCATCCATTTTTCGATTACTACAGCACACTATGTTACGGTATTAAAAAACCAATCCATTATTGTTCTTCCTTGCATTGAAACAGAATTTAAAACAGTAATAGTTCTGTTTTCGGCTAAGTAATTATCTACTACAAATTCATTTCACAAATAAATGTAGGTAAATATAAAATTGGAAAATAAAATAATATAATACGTATTCTTGCTTTCTTTATCCAAAAATCATTACTGAGTTGTAAAACCTTCCATGAGAATTTACGATTGCTAGATAAAATAGTAAAAAACCAATCGTGTTAAGAACCAACTAACTTCATAGGTTTGTAAAATCAATATCAGTTTTAGAGCAGAACTCGCTACAAAAAGACCAGATTGAAAAACAAAGCGCATCCCGAGCTAATCTTCCATTTTTGCCCTCACTTTGAAAGGACAGGATAAACTAATTGAATGACTAGAGGCAGACAATTGCTCTGAAGGAGGCTTTTGAAGTTGTGACACTAGACAGCAGATTCGTTCAATCCTGTGTTCTTTTTAAATTCTGTGATAATTGAATCGAGCGACTATGTATAACACAAACAATTGAAGAAGATATGCTAGTAAAGGGTTTGTTTAATAAAAGCGTAAAAGAAATTCGTTGATATATATATATATATATATATGTCGGAGCGACGATTATTTAAATTGAATTTTGAAGGAGGTTTTATTACAATTCATCGGACGAGGGTACCATAAATCGTACTCTGGCGGAACGTCAAACTGGCAGTTCTGCGTGCGCATTATGTTGGAGAGCGAGCGCTGTGACTGTCATCTGAGACGGATCGCCGACGTCCGTTATTTTTGTAATTTATTCGGTCTGATTATAAAATCCTACGCCCTACAATGGACTGTGAAGACGATAATCTGGATGTTGATGTTTGTACCAACCCCCCGGTGCCTTCATCAGAAGTGGGATTTGATGGGAAACCATCTGATAATCCGATAGAATGACCTGTCACTGACGCGGATGAAAAGGGGCAGTCATCTGTTTTTCATGCCACGTGTCTACTGCCTGTTTAGAGAAAAAGACCAGCGGTACAGGTTGCACAGAGCTTCTAAATTCGTTTTGGAGATATCTACGGGTGAGGAAGTTCCTTTTCTTTGTGATAACGGGTCATCTTCCTCATTATTTGCGTGTTCATATGATTGAACCAACGACTGTAGTTATAACGAGCAAGATAGTTCTCAAATTACTTAGAGATTAGTGATTTGATGGTTGTACCTAGTTTCATCTGGGTAACGTGAATGTCTGTGAATAATTGAGTTGGCGTAGCTGATCGTTGGGAAGGATAGTGACGTCCGGTCTATGTCACGTGGTGTCTAGTCGAAGGGACGCACTAGTCTGACCCAGGCAGGTGATCTGGTGAGGTGGTCGAAGGGATGATGTGGTCTTGCCAGAGCATGTTGGCTGGTGGTAGAGACGCATACATCCGGTCCAGGCACACCAATCACTGAGGCCGTATCAGTGTGGTTTGGGATAAGTTGTTTTGGAAGTAGGTACAACTGATAATGATGATAATGTTACATCGATGTTGAGTGCAGTAACCAGACGATGTTGAGATAACGAATGTTAGTCAGGACGAACGAGCAGCGTGCTATACACGTGGAATCTTTCTTCTGTTCCAGAACTTAGAACTATGATCGCTCGAGGACGAGCGAATGTCAGTCTGGCCGTGTCGGAGCGACGATTATTTAAATTGAATTTTGAAGGAGGTTTTATTACAATTCATCGGACGAGGGTACCATAAATCGTACTCTGGCGGAACGTCAAACTGGCAGTTCTGCGTGCGCATTATGTTGGAGAGCGAGCGCTGTGACTGTCATCTGAGACGGATCGCCGACGTCCGTTATTTTTGTAATTTATTCGGTCTGATTATAAAATCCTACGCCCTACAATGGACTGTGAAGACGATAATCTGGATGTTGATGTTTGTACCAACCCCCCGGTGCCTTCATATATATATATATATACGAGGAAGGTAAAAAAGTACTAAGCATGTTAATTTATTACACCACATGAGCAACGCGTTCCATATTTTTAAATTTCGTATGGTTAGATGACATTGCAATTTTTACTGTAGGTACTGATAATTATAAAACTTTGAGTGATCCTATGTACTCGTATATAATGGCTTTGTTTGTACTCATATTATTTAGTTTTTGCCTCTTCTCTCATCTTCATGATGTTGACTGTATGATACGGAACATTTAGATTGTTTTCGATAATTGAGTCTGTCGCCTTGGTCTTATGAAATGAAAAATGTATTAATACAACAGTTGTTAAGCGTTGCCAGTCGGAAAATGTGATACACGGATAAATTGTACTTTATTTTGGGGTCAGAATTAATATGTATTCCTGTGTTGAATTAATTCAGTTTATACGCGAACCCTCGACTTTTCTAAATGAAGCGGATAGAACATGGTATGGTAATGGGTCTTGTTTAAAACAAATTATTTCTTAATGTTACAATTTTAACTTCATAAATTACCTATTTGAATGTTTGGCATAAGAATGAAATAAGCTGCAGTATTATTTCATTAGATCAAGGAAGTTAGCTTATATTCATAAACAAAATGAGGTTTTACATTAGTGGCAATTAGTTAGGACATAGGGAATTATAAGTTTTTTATTTTTTATTGTTTATTGCTTCAAATAAATTAATATAAGTGAATTGAACAAAAATAGTTATAAGAAATGTATGGACAAAAAAGTGCAATGACACATCGGTTTACCTGTACATGAGTCGGTAGTTAATAGGTATGGAATTGGAAGCGTTGCGCGAGTGGATGTCATTGCCCTATTGATTTTATTGCTGTCTGTCTGTAGTTTAATATAAATATTTTTATTATTAAGCCCTTCGAACGCACACACACATATAGATTCGGAATGAGTCTCGATTTTTGTTGGAGGCTCTGTATTTTCGCACTTAAAAGTTATGTGTTTATCATGTGATGTTACGCAGTAAATTCGCTGTGTTATGTTACTTAATTATTTTAATAAATAGGTATAATTCTATTCCTAATTAGCTTTTAGCTGACAGTCAAACATAAAGTAAAGACAACATAAAATGGCTGAAAATGTTTGGAAAATAAATACTTAAGTTCGTGACGTCATGCCACCATTCCTTTTTACGAAAGAGCAATTGGATAATGTGTTTTATTTACTCAAAGATCAACTAAAAGAAATTCAAGCATTTTGCCAGAGGATAGTGGTTTAACTTTCATTGGTAATTGAACAAAGTAATGGTCATTGTTGCTTGAATAACCCTAGTTTTGAGAGTTGCGTGTCTACGGAGATAGCAAGTAGTTGGTACAATCTCTAGTGTCCATCAGTAATCGTCTTGTAAGTAGGCCGACAGGGATCGCATTATTACCCGGCTCAAAAGGAACGAGGTTAAGAATTTGTCGGGTTTTTAAGAATGGTACTAAATAATAAATAAAAAAATATATAAAACATACATATATATCTGTACTACTTATTCCTAAAAACAGAATATTAATAAAAATAATGATAAGTACCATAACAAATTTGTCTTACGTGAGACTAATGCGCTCATATTAATTTTCAAATTTGTTATTGTAAATATCGAAAAATAGTTGATTAAAATAATACATATTTTAAAGCCTTTCTGTAGGTTCATAATTTGTGCTGGTACGTGGGTGTACATCAACAGTTTTTTTTTAATAAGGTATGTCGTCCAACCAGATCACGTATGGTACGCACTCGGTGCCACCCATCAACCGATGTGCGTTGCTTTTTGTTAGTTGGTCACGGGCACGAGGTGTCGAGGTGATTGATTGGTTGTCCTGTACCTTCAGTCATGCGGTAATGCATACCGCAAGAGATAGTTTGTGTTACCAGTCGATCCAAAACATAGGTAGATACGTGCCAAATCATGATTCTGGACCCTTAACTCATTCAATAAATTCTTCTTTTATTTCGGTAGAAATAACGAATTATGCAGGTAGGTACCGAAATATGTGTCGTATAAAACATGATAAAACATATTATGTAACTCAACAATAATATCTTCAGTGTAAAATAAATAACAAATAAACAACCGCAGTTATTTCGTGTGGAGATAGGTACACGGATGTGAAAAACAATGCGCGTGGGTGAAACTATAATAAGCACTTAGCCGTCCAGTTTGTAGTTTCTAGGTTTGCCATTCATCAACATAAGTACGTACTTAACTTTAAACATCTAACCGGAATCGGAAAATTGTTCGTAATTCATAATGGCAATGAATTAGCGTTTGTGTCAAGATAAAGAAATTGTCGTACAATAAAATATATCAATCGTAAAGTACTAATAAAGTTTTATTCTTTTCATTCTTTGTCACGACAGCGCGGAGCAGTAGCTGCTTACTAATTAAACCATCGCATTGCTTTTTACATGTGGCCATGACCCACCCTACTGATATCACTGCCTTTCAGCAGATCTCTGCCAGCGCATTAAGGCACCGCGACATAGAAGAACGAGGGATTTTTAGTCAGTAAGAGTCTGACATACTCTTTCGCCCAGGGTGGGGCGGTCATTTGACGATTTTCCCCTCACAAAAAAGCATTATCTATTTACTGCAGGTCCACCAAAACTTTGGTCGTTGCGTCCCTACTTCGAATTCTAATAAAGAATGTACGCATACTTTGGTTTTATAACCGACTGTCGCACGCGTTTGTCTCTCATAGTCATTTTTAAAAAATCGCTACCAATTATTTTCTAAAGTGATATGGTAGCTGGATGACTAGTATGTGACATCTATGCGTTATATACTCAATACACTTGTTATACTTTTCCTTGCACCCATTTTATATGTTTTGTACCTATACCTACACAAAATTTTCTATCATTGTCTTGGCTCTGAGCCTGCATATAGATTTACAATTTAGTCGGAACGACAACCAAAGTACATACATTGTGAAGAGAATTCGTGTTAATTACCGTTAAAAATGCAAGTGAAAGTTTAATTAAAGTATGCATGTTGTATGTCTGTCACTCAGTTAGCAGTTACGGAAGCGTTTTTCCATATATATACTTAAGTAGGCATATTAATTCTGACACAGCACAACATTGCGTTTATGCGCCCAGAGGCAGCGCCTAGTTCTTAACTGTTACAAATAAAAGTACTGGTTAGCAAAATCTAAGCTTATCATGTTTATAATATTATAAGGCTAGAGACAATAGTTAAAACGCGCTTATGTCAGGAAATAATATTTTTTTCATGATAGACATCTGAGGAGTTATTAGAAATTAAGGAAAGAAGGATTGACCCTCCGGTAATCTCACTCACGTGGCGAGAGACAACGATTGTAGCTTTTACTCCGGTCGAGCCGAGCCGACCCATTCGTGCCGAAGCAATGTACTAATACTTAGAATTGAACAATTATATTTGTGTCGACCTGTTATTTTGCGACAGGTTACAGGCAGGAAGGCAGAAAGGTTAATGGAACATGGTAATGGAACATTACACAACGATCAATAGGAGCCGAGCAGCTCAGAGAACCAGGCTCGAGTCGCTACTACCAGCCACCCTGTTATCAGGTAATAGAAAAGTACCCAGGTTCATGACTCTGCCATCAGCCATTGTTAATTCTCGAATACTGTGTGCCGAGTACTGAATACGGCATTTAAGGTGTAGATATAAAATTGAGTATATCGTCAAATCCATGAATGAAGTACGATTAGTTTTGATTATTTTATTGTATTTTAATTTGTTTCACTGTACTTTTTCGTCAGGGCATTTCAGCGTAAATATTTGGATGTTATTTTTTATTTTACCGACAATAGTTTATATAGGTACATTGGTGCACATATTAATTGCAATTTCAGTTATCATCATTGACCATAAATCATATAAAAAGATTTAGATTAGAAGACCCATGTAGTCTTTACTTTAAATATATGTTCTAAGGAGGTTACATACCTTATATGCTATAGAACTTTTGTACTATCGAAACAGAATACATGCAAATACGCACCGACCACCACAACAATAATCTTCATGATAAAACTAGCAGCTCTCTCCGAAATAGGCTTATTGTAGGCCGGCCGGATGAGATCTTCAAAAATCACGCCACACATCGAATTCAATCCGGTCGACATAGAACTAAAATATAACAAACAAACATGGAATAAACGAGTTTATAATTATATAGATATTAATACTAGCTGACGGGGCAAACGTTGTTTTGCCATAAAAATAAGGGTTGATCGTACAAGGGTGAAAAACGAGGATTGTATGTATTTTTGTATCATAAAAATGTATCATAAAAAAGAATGTTGTATCATAAAAAATAGAAATTAAAAATTTTGTTTAAAAATAAAATAATAATTTAGGTGTGAAGTACCCCTAACATTTAGGGGGATGAAAAATAAATGTTGGGCGATCCTCATAGATACCGGATAATTAAAAAAAATCGTTAAAATCGGTGAAGCCGTTTCGGAGGAGTATGGCAACGAAAACTATGACACGACATTTTTATTTATTAGATTGATTCTGATTTACAAATTGCTATAAAATTAGGTATGCAGCCTATGAAATAAATCCCATTACCAAAAAATTAACGAAAATCAATGCGGCTTTCATGTGTTATAACAAATAACACATTGTTCCAAGTGTTGTTCAAAAGTGCAAATATTGGTCTAAGCATTTGAAATAAATGATTTGCAGCTTTAACTTTGTCTTTTGACTTCATCTTAATATCATAATGTGGTAGGTACCTAGTACCCCAATAATGCAAAACGAATATCTATAGTTTCTCTAATAACAACATATAAGCAATACATACAATTAATCATAACGCATACAATACAGTTAATAATACATCATTTAAAAAAAGAAGTAGGTATTAACAAAGTCTACATATAAAAATTAGGTACATTTGCTTTTGCAATAAGTTTGTTGCAATCATTGGGTACGTATCTTAAAACTAACTAAATTTATCTTTGAGGTCTAAATTATACAAATGATAGAATTTAAATTAAGTATACTTATAGTAACAACGGCGTATCTCACCGGAACTATACCTCAGTGCAGCACTAAAAACTCCACTCATGAAGATTCCTGGTAAGGCTGGAATGGAACCAGTGATAGTCATCACAAAGTAAGGAAGTAATTGGTCACTTTTCCTTATTGATCCTGTTGTCAGAGGGTCGCAGTCAGCAAACGTCGCATAGATAACCAGCCCAGTGTAACAACACAGTGACACTATAATGAATATTCCCGCCGCCATTATAAATATTGTGCTAGAAACAATTTAAAGTAATCTATAATTTATATTTTAGGGATTGGATAATGTGATACAATGCCTTTGTCTGCGTTCGGTGATTCAAAAAATACTTACATTCGAGCTCGTTTCAATGAAGACAAAGCGAGACATCTCTGTACCATAGCCTGGTTGACCGAACACGAAGCTAGCCAACTAAAGTAATTTCCAAACACAGTCGACCAGAATGTATGGCGAATGGTTGGGTCCACATCCATGCTGGAATCGAGCAAATAATAAACAAACTATTTTGAAGATAAATAAGTATTTGAAGCAACCTACTCACTTAAAAAACTCAAGACGATCTCCTTTTTCGTTTATAGTTATCACATTCGATATGCCACCTAAGCGCCAAGTTCCATAAGCAAGCACAAATATTACGCCGAAATACATAAGTACCGTTTGTAAAGTGTCTGTCCATACTACAGCTTTAAGCCCTCCCTGTGAAAGAAAACAGCGTCTTTGACCATTTAAACTACGTATATTACAGCAAGCACAGAGGTGTGTACGTGCATAGTTGACCTCGTTACCAAGCGGTTCTAGAATATAGTCAATTATTTGTTACTAGCGGGGGATAAAATAGGGTCACTTTGACCTACACTACAGATCGATGTACTTACTAGAGTCGTATAGAATATACAGACGACGCACACGATCGGTGTGATTAAATGTAAATTAATACCAGTCACTGAAAGAAAGGATATACGTCAATAATATAAATTGCACGGAAGGTAAGACGCTCGTAAGAAGTATATGAAACACAATACCTTGACTGAATGCCAGTGCGGGCACGTAAATGACGATAGGTATATAGAGCATCATTTTGATGATAAATATTATTGAGCCCAACAGTCGCACCTTTTGATTAAATCTCAATCGTAAATACTGAAAATATCAATAATGTACAGACGATCACATGATAATGTTATGTTTTCTGAGAAATAAACATGTTCACTAAGTACACAAGTTTTCTCTGATAATAAGTATAATTACAGCACAAACATGTTCAAGCTACTTAAAGTAGATACCTCATAAGTTGAAGTGATCTGCAAATTATAAAATACAGGCAGGTAAACAATTGCAATAGTGACTGACACTGCCCATTCCGAGAGCACTACCATCCACAGCTGTGTTCCGTACGTGTACATTTCAGCTGGCAGGCCCAGCAATGATATACCCGAAATATAACTAAAAATGACAAAAACAGTTGTTAACGCCACACTATCAATAACATTCGCATGGTTATTTGTAGATATGTATATATGTGCAAGGGCAGAATCAAAAATCTTAAGTACCTGGCTATCAGCGACATGGATATGGGAAACATCCCCATGGTCTTCCCTCCCATGAGATATTCAGATGTAGTATTCTGCTTTTTCGAGGCAAAGAACGCGAAGTACACCCCTATGAGGGCGGAGCAGAGAAGCATCCCCCCGAAAACGAGGTAGTCCAGCCAGTCGAAGTATATTACGGTCATGATTTTGTTTGTGTGTCGAGCACTGTGTGTGATCGCGCGTCCGTCCACTATGACACTTAAACTCCATCTCGGTATATAATAGGCATTTACCGAGCGGAACTTGCAGCTGGAACGGTTCTATATTTATCCTTGGAAGGATCTCGGACTGACCCATTGGAGGGATGAGGTTGGCTAATTGACCAGTTACCGGTGTAGTCGCATCTTGTGTTATCCACGTACGAATTGCCCACACGGTATGTTAATAGCCTGCTACGTCACTCTCTTGTAAAAACTGACTGCAGTGGAAGCGAACTTCTGATTCACGCTGACATTATTTCAATAAGTGTTTAAGTAGGGTCGACAACACAGTACCTACACAAGGCATAAGAAGTTGTTAGTTCATCAGTCTGGAATTTGATTCATATTGAATTATTTATTGCGTCTTGTATTTTAATTAAACAAATACTTATATGTAGGTCTACTACTCTACTACTTTTCGCTTTCATGTCCACTGTTCACACTTCTGCATCACATTAAATTTTTGCGGATGATCAAAATAGTTGAAATTATCACGCTCATGAATGATCCTGCTACTACACAATTTTTACTAAGTATTGCTGGTGAGGTGAAACCGGAAAACTAGAATAAAGAGTGTCGGTATCAAAATCAACGTACATAGCTGAATGTACGGTGCCCTATTTTTATTTCTTATCTTCTAATAGCTTGCGTTCCCTTGGCCTTTTCCTTATTAAGATCAGGTCTACAGACTACAACGCGTTGAAACAATTTTAAGTAATTTGAAAGGCTGAAAAATTGCTCTATGTACCGCTTCGTTATTTGAGGAATCGGTTACTCAGCACCAGCTCTTTGCCTGAGTTTGTAAGGCACTGTAAACCCTCGTGATTACGACCGAGCTGCTAAGAACGAAATCAAAAGTGTTACATTTTATATGCGCACCTCTGCTTACAACTTATCGGAAAAAGACTAGATGTCGTATATTGACTTAATGCTTATGATCTGCATTGATGCTGGCGTTAACAGTGTCCACATACGATCTCGCAAATGCCTGAAAATATACTTATATAATTGGGATTTTTCGACCTTTTGTAACAACCCGTGAATGTCCTGTAGCAATAGTAACCAAAATAAAGAGAGTAACAAAGGAATTGCGACCGTCGTTTCCTGAAGGACTGTACCTTTCACTTTTTACACACACACAAACCACCAATGGTGGTCAAGCATAAATCTAAAAAACAAGCAGATACCTACACAAAGAATGCTTTTGTTCCACCTACGCCTTTGAGTATTTTTTTTTATATATTAAAGAAACCCACGCTAGTTGCTTTTGCGTCTGTTGACCTTTTTAGCCTGATCTTTCATTAGGTACCCGTTACAATCTTTTGTCCATATAAAAAAGGTTTTCTTCGTGAGGAGTACATTGAGGGTCTGTTGACTCTTACTTTCGTATGTGGTGGTTTGTAGGCTATTTGAGGCGCGCCTGGAACGCGCCTTATGCTCGGGTCTGGTTCAGTTTGGGCGGCGAGCTACTCTTGCTCGCCATCTGCAGACCTGCGGTACTTCCGGTAGCACGTAAAAGTGGGTGAGCCTATAACCTCATAAACTTCGACCTCTTACATTTTTAAAGGGAAAGGAAAGGCACCCAGTTTCTTTTCGTTTCTTGTCGTTCTCACCCCACACAGCTCGGGAGAGAAGGTCAAACTCATAATGATTAAGAACCACGTCGTTGTTACACCTGATCCTGGACATCGGCCCTAGCTGGTACCAACTGTGATGGGCTGGAGGCTCTTTAAAGTGCGTAAACTTACCTAGTTATGATGGACCGAATTCCCGAAACTGCTACCAGCCTAGATGACTCCAACTCTCGTGGTTTTACTTTTATACTTTTCAACAGTGTATTTTTCTAAAACTTTTGTGTTTAAGTTTTAAGCTATAGAAATCGAGTCTATGTAGTAATTTCAGGTTTAGATTATTGATGAAAATCTGCAATTATTTGCTCGAGCCAAAATCTCTAGATCAGAGAGCAAATTTTATTTCGTTAGCAAACTATGGTAAGGATTATGTATGGTAAGAATCATGTATGATAAGGATTATGTAGTCTTATGGACACTCAAAACTCCCGACGCAAAAACAGGCGTCATTGGACCCATTTTGATCGAGTTTTTTTGCCAGTATTTTGAGGTACTCGATTGTGTTAACGTTATTTATGATTTGTATATGATAACAGCACGATAAAGTAAATAATGCTTGTTGTAGACCATTTGTAGGACCTATTACAATTTTTCTATTAAATACATTATTGAAAACCAAATATCTGTTACACATAGGTACGTTTATGCAGTCAAGAAATGTATGGACTATTTTTAACTTTATTTCAAAAGGGTTAGATAAAAGGAACACAGAAATAAAAATACAGATCACGTACATTGAGATTTTATTGGATTAAATTTTGATTACAAGTTGCTGGCTTAAACATTTTAAATGATTATACATATAATTCAAAAGTAGCTGTGCTCTAGATGTTAACGTGAGCTTTTAAAGAGTTAATTTATTGTTTTTAGTATGAATATGTTATATGAACATCGATCCAAGTGACTACCGACCTACACAAACTACTAACATTTGTGACGTAGTCTACACATATATACGACGTGTCTTGGATTTTACTCGTCTTTTATATATAACATATACATTTGATTATATACAGGTTATACATAAGATAGAGACAGATATACAATACTCAGAGATTAGTAATAGGTACATTAAGTAACGTACGGGTTTGGATGTTACATATAATACACAATTATTTCCACCTACTTATTTTTCTAGGTTACAATAAAAACTAATCTGACATGAATTATTATGAAAAAGTGGCGTGCGATTCTTTTGTAGTTGTATCGATGGCGACGGTTGATTCGGTCGGTCGATTTAATAGCTTTTAAATGCATATTACAATAGTTTTGCTTTGGAATAGAGGTAAAAATATATGTATATATGATGACGTATGGAGAATGACGTCTCGGGAAACCTTAAAGTTTACAGATTAACTAACTTTTTAATTTATATATTAATACATACCTATAAAATTATTATTGAAATTATATAACTAGTGAACATTTTTTTTCAGGAAAATGATACCAAATTGTTCTTTTTTGTTTTTGAACACCATTCATAATTTTGTCACGTGTACGGGGTAGGCCAATACAAGGAAAAGCCACATAGCACGATTCTAAGGTATCTTTTTCGTCTAAATTTTTTTAAATATAAACGCTAAGTTATTAAGATTTTCAAAAAGACATCAATTTGAATGTTTATTAATAAAATATGAAAATATTTTTGTGCATACTATTATGGCATCGACCGTAGATGTTAAGCAAGATGTTTTGTCAAATTATTCTGTTGCTCGTGTAGGTATTTACAATTATAAATAACAGATTAAATTATTAATGATTATTATTAGACATGAAATATTATTAAATATTATTGGATAAAT